AGCACCTGGCCTGAAGGGGGAAGAATCCGGAGTAGAGGCTGACGGCAACCATGGGCTGACTGCCGAAGTTGGCTGTATGGCAGCAACCGACAGTTGCAAGTCTGCGAGTCAACGAACGGGCGGCAGGACGAAGCTAAGGTACGTATCATTCCAGTCTCCGGTTACGGACGCTGCACGAAAGTGAACCGATGATGGTGGGAGGTACTTGTAGGCTGACGAGACTCCGAGCCCTCCCGCCGTTCCGTCCGGCAAAAATAAATTACCGCAGGAACGGAAGAGACGCTACGGATCTGTACCTAGGTAGTAGGTAGCAGCGAAGTGTGTCGGCCGTCTGGATAAAGTATACCTACCTAGGTCAGGGAGATATTTACCGACTGCCTATGGAGCACGGAGCGCGGAAAACGGCTGCAGGAGAGCCGGCTTAGGATGACGCTGGGTAAGGGTTGAGAAGGTCAGGTAGGTAATCTGTGCCTGAGCAGCGGGATCAACGACCTTCCCTCACCGTCATGGCCCAGACAGGGGGCCCCGCCTTCATCAGCCCTGGTCGGCGTTTGAGGTCAGGACCTCAATCGAACTCCTCGTGTGGTCGTCACTTAAACCTCCAGCTCCAAGGACGGGGCAGCACACGAGTGCAACTTGAAACTCGCAAATGCAAAGACTTCATCCACATCAGCCTGAGTGAGAAGGTTCTGTACTTCCCCACCAAAGTTGAGCTACACAGTACCTCTGTACACCCTCCGCGACTTTCTCTTTTCTGGTTCATTCGGCGCCTGCAACCTCCTCGATGCAGTGTGCTTCGCGGTCTAGCATGCACACCAATGCAGAAATCTTCACATCGCTCGGCCGTTTTGGCATATGCTGCGCTAACGTGCACCGAGCTTGATGGCAGGGCCGTGAAACTTTGGCCATTACCTACTGTATGTGGTATCATCTACTATGTACAGTACTGTGTAGGGTCAGTGAACATGTTGGCAGAAAAAATTGTTGTGTCGAGAACTCAAGCACTAACCCTAACCCTAAAATGTCGTTGGCTCTAGCGGTTGCACGAGAGTTGGTGTGTGCAAAGTTTTAGACTGTATCTCTATCCATGGGACTTCTTGACCCTTTTATGTAAAGCTTGGGTATCTGGTTCCGATGCTCAGTTTTGCCCAGCCGTTTCTTGTTTGTGTGAGCTTTTGTCTATATGTGCCTACATAGAAACTTCTCCTTCACGTTGAACACTTCGGCATGCCCTTCCATCAATATAATCGCTGCCAGGTGCTGAGGATGAACATGGAGCATGTCCCGCATAGTGTTTTGACAAGCACACTATCCATACCCTAGGCAGGCTACCAGATTATAGGGCTCCGCAGCGCAGCACAATGCCACTACAATCATGCTTGTCCAACCTAAGTAGGTATCTACAAGTAGGTAGACTGCCCGCTCCGTCTGGCGATGTCACATTTCACTTTTCATTTCCCGTCTGCTCACAGATACCTACGTAGTGTAGGTTGCCAATCTAGCGCCCCAAATGGCCATAGCAAAGCTGTCTGGAGTTCTGGACAGAGATCAGACAACCAGCGTCGACAGTAGCGGCGGCCGGGGCCATCCCCGTCTGCTTTTCTTGACATCCTTCGCGCAGGGCGCATCTGAAGTTAGTCCATCTGTATCCTCTCATTGGCTCCAACCGTACTATGACCTTCCTTGCTAGCTGCCGAGCTTGCTGCCAACCAGCGCGGGTAATGGTCCCGGTCTTCTGCCTTTTGGCTTCTGACCAAAATGCTGTGCTGTCCAACATCTCACCAATCAATTGGCATGAGCGTACCGTGTATCCAGATCATCTCGATATCCACACCGCACAGTGTTTGACGAGAATCCCCGTACCAGAGTACCGGAGCTCCAGATCTTCCATTTAAGGTGTACCGCATGAGGTCGAACGAAGTAAATGTTTGCGTGGACCAAACACTGTCGGATCTGTCGCCGGGCCAAAGGTTTCCCAGGCTAGCGCAGCCACTCCGCCGACCAGCCGGCTCGTGACTTCATCATCCTTGTTCAGAACCCTCACAACTGCTGACAACCCCGGACTGGAGGGACAGCTTCCAGCAAGACGTACGGAAGCTCCGGTCTCTCAAGCCACGCTCAAGAAGTGGGTATGCGCATAGGGCATGCAGATGCAGTCTGCAGCGTCACTGCTTAAGTTTGCAAGGCGGTGAGCGGTTACCCAAGCATCCTTGCCGGTAGTTCATTCTGAAATGATACACTAGTTGATAAACAGGAAGGGAACATTATGTAAGACCGGAATGTGGTTAGGTACCTCGGGCTCCTGACCTTGGTTTGTCTTTTTTTATTCGAGCTTGCAAAGTCAAAAAGCGAATGGCTCTGCGTCCCCGTAACAGGTTTGCGGCTTCTGGCATGACTGCTTCTTGCTTTCATTGAAGTCCCCTGCCGCCACTGTTGCTGCCCGCTCTAAGCCTGATGAGTCGCAGTAGTGAGACAGACTGCATCAGCATACAACGGAAAATATTATGGCGGGTATCTGCTTGCGTGAACTCCAAAGAGGGGCAAGTGAGAGGGATACATAAACGTGATCCTAGGGCCTTCGAAGGATAGCCTTTTCGGTGGACCGTCAACAATGCATGGGACTAAGATGAAAGGAGCACTTAAGATTGTGTATAAGCGGGTACCCGTCTGATGGCGGTTGTTTAATTTCAGTCAAAGATGGCAGAGCAACTTCGATTGCAAGTTTACGGGCCGCAATGATCCATCTACCAAGGCCGTTGCAGGATGTTAGCTCGCATTGTAAGTAGGTATGTAGGCGCTTGTTAGAAGGTACACAGGAAGGAAATTTTGCGATGTTGCAAGACTCTCATGGTAGTGTGTCCAGCCGTTCAGCGGTCCACATCTGTCCACGTCTGCCCACGTCTCAGGATGCTTTCCCTGGATCCCGGCCCGTCTCCCGCACGGGGACCGGCCGTCTCAGGACCCTTTTCCAACAACCACAGAGTGTAGCGTGATAATCCGAGACCGTAAGCCCCGAGTGTCCCCAGCGGATACCGGGGTGCCAGCCACGGGCATCATAATGTCGATGGTGGCAGAAGATGTCCTCGAACGTCGATCTGTACAATAACATAAATTCTCGTAATCCAAGAGTACGTGCAGGCATTCGTAGTGCGTACCAAGCCTTGCCCTTCGTCTTGTTGATGCTGCGTCTCAGGATCCCCGCAGCTGTGCGTAATGGCCCAGAGCATACCACTATCTTGTTGATGTGCAAGGCTCGGAGAAGAGGAAGATGGGGATTGAGAGAGCCTAGGATGGGTAGGGTATCAGACTGCATCTGGAATCCTGAACCAGACATCTAGTTCACGTAGGGAAGTGACACAATTAATGTACAAGGGTTTCTATCGTTTCGGTCTGTGGTCTGTGTGAATCGATGCGAACAACCTTTAGCGGTTCGTCGTTTCGGCTCCGTTGTCTGGGGCTTCAATGAATAAGTCGGGCAGCGCGTGGTTGGCCTTGTCAGACAGGGGTACGTTGGGTGTAAGCTCCTGGGAGTGCATCTAACAGTGTGTGGTGGAGGAAGAACGGAGGAGTGTTCTGGCCTCCATTGAGGCGATTGCTGGACTTGCGGGCAACTAATACCTGGCAGAGCCCCTCTATCATTGCGGTCCTCTGGACCTCGAGTTTGCTGTTTGCTTCCTTCCCCAAGGATATCGAAATATTGACAAGCGCTGCTTCCTACGCTCGTTTGTCTGCCTGTCTTTCGCCAGTTCTCACCCCAAATCTGTGGGGATCTCTGGTGTAGTTCAGTCTCAATCAATCGGTTGAGGTCGGTCATTCGGTGAACGCAGGTCACACTGAGTCTGAAAGCCAGCCGAGGCCCAGGAGAGAGCACTGCCACCAGCAATAACAACAATAGGAACGGCTCAGAACAGCAGCAGCAGCAGCGGCGGCGGCAGTTGAGTGTTAGTGGCCCAGGTAAACAAAAATAAAAACAATCGACGTCGACGTCGACAACACCACTACGTCACTGCGTTACCGACAGCACAGCACAGTAACAACCATCTCCTTCCTGCCTTACTTGCCTGGGAAAGCCGCAACAGCCGCCAGAGCAACCAGCGCATCCCACGCTGTCAACCTGGAAAGCTTATAGGGTCAAGGTTTTGGCTCGGCTGTGAAAAGCCACAGGTTAGTCAGTCATTCATTGAGTCAATGACACCTCAGTCATCCACCTGCATCCAATAATCCACAGGTAATCCAGGATGGCAACTGTTCGTGATCACGATCTGGGGTCCTGATGCCTTGGGGCGATGATGGGTCCCTAGCTACCCACGCGGGCTTGGGAACTTGCTCCACTGGCTTGCCCTTGCCACTGACCAGCCGTCCGCTGCACAGCTTCCCCACTATCCTGCGTACCTAGTCGATCTTCCTCTCTGTTATGGGCGAGTCAACGGCTTCATCTTCAATGTTATTCGAGATCAATTGTAGGCTAACCATCGCAATCGGGCAGGCTGACGTACCATATCTTCGGCAGCCCGTCTGCCTCTTTTGTTTTGCCTCCACAATCAGCTAAGTGGAGGCCATGAGCCGCAGGCTCAGCTGCGGCCCATCTTAACGACACATCTACCTGGAAGCCCGTATGTATCACCCGGCTGCTTCCTCCCTCTCTCCTTCCTCGCTTGTTCCTCTCCTCAACTCTCTTGATCTTCCCTACCCAACCATCGTAATTATCGCCGCTGTTGCTGCTGTTCTTGCCGGCAATAACACAATCCTTCCCAGCCGGCTGGTAAGCAGCATGCGGTTTTGTTCACGATAACCATTCCTTCCTTCCTCATCTCCCTTTTTCATGCCCACCATCTTCAATTCTACCCCTTCATCCCATCTAGTACTCGGCCCCCTCCTCCCCGAGGCTCGACCTTCGCTTCTCAGCCTAGCCCGGGACTCCTACCTACCTAAGGCGTCTTACTTTAATTAACCACGCTTCTCTTCCTCGCCAGGCGCCTATCCGTCCCCCCACCTCCACCATGGACTCGCTGCCCGAGCATACCGGCCAAGAGCAGAGCCCCAGCCTCGCGCGGTCGGTCCTGAGGACGGCAGAACTCCTCTACCCGGTTATTCTTCTTGTGATCTTCGTCCTTTCGGCCGCCATTCACACCATTATCACGTCAAAAGCCGAGGAAAGGATCGACTATCCAACCGTCAAGGGTCCGGGTGGTAAACCATTGCCAGTTACCAAGAGGAAGCGGGAGAAGATAGCCCAGGAAGTAGCCGATGAAGATAACTCTAGGGCTAGCCGCATCGCAAAGAGCGCGTTTCGGTACCTGACATTCGCCGTTATTTCAAGTTTTGTCGCCAACGGCATCGCCATCATCGCCCATGTCCTGCATTCACACAGGCACGAGGCGCGCGAAGACTGGTGGTGGTGTGGTGAGGAGCGAGTGGTAAGCATCATTCTCAGCCGATACTGAATGGAAAACCTTACAGTGAACACAGGTATACGTTGGAGGGTCGGTATCCCTTTATGTGTACGTCCTGATCACTCTTTTTGAGTGGCGCCAGGCCCCGACCCCCAACCATTTGATACTATGGGTTTGCGGGCTTCTTGGGGAGGTTGTTATTTTCGTTGCCTCAGCTATTACTTTATTCGATCCGCAGGACGTTGCGCAGGATGTATTCCCCTCATTTACGGTCGCCGACTACGGACTCAGTCGCTGGGATGTCGCGGATCTCAGCATTGCAGGCATTCGACTCTGCCTTCTTGTGTCACTGGTCAGCCTTTACGGCATTATGTATTCCAGGAAACGTTCCGCAGAGCGACGCTTAGCCGATGAAGAATCGCAGCGTTCAGATGATGATGAAGCAAGCCCCTTGCTTGGCAACAACGATTTCCGACGTCGCTCCACGTATGGCAGCGTGAATGGCAGTGCCAGCGGCCAAGCAAATGATTCCGCTGGAGGAAGTGTTCAGAAACCGGACGAGGAAGCAGCCTTCTACCGCCCAGAAAAGCTCCCACACAAGACGTGGTTCGAATACTGCCGTGGCTACGCAATCTTTTTCCCATACCTTTGGCCCAGCAAGTCTCTTCGACTCCAGGCGATTGTCGTCTTCTGCTTCGTACTGGTCATCCTTCAACGTGTTGTCAACATTTTGGTTCCTCGACAATTGGAGCGTGTCACCAATACCCTTGAGCCTTCCGAAGGGTTGCGAGGCATGCCATGGTTAGACCTGGGGCTGTTGATCCTGTACAAGTTATTACAGGGGCCATCGGGTCTGCTGGGGTCTACTCGGTCAATTCTTTGGGTCCCTGTGTCCCAACACACATACAGGGCACTGACTACAGCGGCGTTTGCACATGTCCATTCATTGTCCTTGGACTTTCACCTCAGTAAACGTACCGGAGAGGTGCTCTCGGCTCTCAACAAAGGCGCCTCGATCAATCAGTTCCTCGAACAAGTGACCTTCCAGGTCGTCCCGATGCTTCTCGATCTCTTTGTCGCTATCGTTTACTTCTGTGTTAAGTTCGGCTCCTTATACGCGTTGCTGGTCTCCGTCATGACTTTCTACTATCTCTATCTCACTATTCGCATGGCTGCTACCCGAGCCGATCAACGCCGTGAGATGGTCAATGCTGATCGCGAGGAAGAAGCCGTCAAGAACGACTCAATCATGTCGTACGAAACGGTCAAGTATTTCAACGCGGAGCAGAGGGAGTTTGCGCGTTATGGCGAAGCTATTAAAAAGTTTCAGGAAGCTGAGGCCAGAGTTACTTGGGGCATCAATCAAATGAACATCTGTCAATCCTTGATTTTCATGGTTGGCCTTCTAATCGCCCTGCTTGCATGTGGCTATGAAGTCTGGCAGGGCCAGAGGAATGTCGGCGAGTTCGTGGCTCTCGTCACATATCTCGGTCAGCTACAAGGCCCTCTAAACTTCTTTGGCACCTTCTACCGGACGGTTCAGTCGGCTATGATCTCTGGCGAGCGACTTCTGGAGCTCTTCAAGATCCAGCCGACAGTGGTGGATAAACCAGGAGCCCAACCTTTGAAGGAATGCAGCGGCCATATTAAGTGGAACAATGTCGGTTTTTCTTACGACGAACGCAAACCGGCACTTCGTGACTTGTCATTCGAATGCCGGCCTGGCACCACGACCGCTTTCGTTGGCGAATCAGGCGGAGGGAAGTCGACTATCTTCCGTCTGATGTTCCGATATTACAACTGCCATGAAGGAAGCATTGAAATTGATGGCAAGGATGTCAAAGATTTGACCATCGACTCAGTCCGCCGATTCATCGGCGTGGTTCCCCAAGATACCATGCTATTCAATGAGACGCTGATGTACAATCTCAAGTATGCCAACCCTGAGGCAACTGATGAAGACGTCTACGAAGCTTGCCGTGCCGCTGCCATCCATGATAGGATCTTGAGCTTCCCTGACGGTTACAACACAAAAGTTGGCGAACGAGGCCTCCGGCTAAGTGGTGGCGAGAAGCAGCGCGTGGCGATTGCTCGCACGATCCTGAAGAACCCAAAAATCATCATGCTAGATGAGGCAACGTCGGCACTCGATGGAGAAACAGAGCAGCAAATCCAATCTAAGTTGATCAGTGGCAACTTTGGACAAAACCGGACGCTCCTGATTATTGCGTAAGTTTTCATTTATTAGCCACCTTCTGAGCCATTGTCGCTAACTTACCACCTCCAGTCATCGTTTGTCTACCATCACACATGCCGATCAGATCATTGTCCTTCATCAGGGGTCCATCGTTGAGAGAGGCACTCATCAGGAACTTCTCGCACTTAACGGTCGCTATGCCGCTATGTGGAAGAAGCATTGCCGTGCTGAACGGGCTGCCGAACATGCTCGCGATGCGACTAGGAAGGCTAAGCGACTCATGAACCGAGCAAAGCTTGTGCAAGTTGATGACGGGTATAGCAGTATGCTCTCATCAGCTATTCTCCCGACAAACCCTCCCAGTCCCAGGACTGAGCCAGTGGAAACGCAAGATGTTGAGGGACATGATACCGAATCAATATCGTCTAATGACAGCAGTAGCGACAACAGCTCATCCAGTGGAACGGAGGGTACGCTCCAAGACGATGCCTGTGATGGAACCCGTCAACAGGACGCCAACCAAGCCGACAAGTCTCATAAACCACAGCAATTACTCAACTATCCTTTCCGTAACGATTGAATGCGACGTACGGGCTGGCGGTTTACCCTACATCTTTCTCAGCAACCTCTTATCAACACTGATTCTTCCACTTAATGAGGACCTCGCGTCGATACAACCGATACCAAGCTGCCAAAATTCTTCTTACGTTTTCGATTTTGTGTGTTTTTATACAAGAAAAGAATAAGAACAATGCACTTTGAGGATTCGTTTGGGTCCGCTTTAGCGTGAGAAAGAGAGGGCAGACCGACAAAATTGGTCGATGCCGTTCTGTTAATGACCATATGAACAATTGGAACGATAAATGCAATGCCATGACTAATAGTTTGAGCATGGGCTGGCGTTGGCGGTTCATATCTTGCTTGTTTGGCACTTTGATGGGTGAGTTTTGGAGAAGAGGTTCCTTGACAATGGCCTATGAAGGGAACGTATGACAGGTGGCAGTCTGCATGGGTATAGGAACGGTGAAAAGGCGTTATTGATCTTTGTCTGGTTTTTCTATGAGTGTGGAAACAATCATAATGTAGCCTTTGGTCCTCATCTGGTCGACAGAGACCTGGACCACAGTGTTTGGGCCTCATCCAAATGTCAGAGGACAACCATCGGAGTAATAATAAGTGGAAAGGGACAAGTGTTTCGCAGGATAGACAATCAAACACTGGCATTGACATAACTTTTGGTTACTCATAGATTGTTCCAATGGCTTTGATTCATGTGACTCAGACAATGAATAAACAGACTAAGTGACTACACACGTAACCCCTTGTAGCAGTTTACTGCATTAATCATTGTATATCAAGTATAATTTTTTTCGAAGCTATGTTACATCTATCTGCTAAACACAGAGTGAGACCATGATGTACCCATTGAAGAAAAACTATCCTCTTCTCAGCGCTGGCTTAAGTTAAGAAGCAATATCAAAGATGATGTCTCATTTCAATCCTGCTGGTTTCCGTGAAAAGGCTGTAAGTACGCCATAAAGATGTTAGTTTCTTATCATATGTGAAATGAGTCTAAATAAATATCAAGTCGTTGTTTGTCCGCCACTTGGACCTCACCGCCATGAGCTTGGACAATGATGCATGCGCCCGGAGCAGCACATGTATCTCATCATGAAAATATACATGGGATGTACGTCTTGAATGGTGGTGGTCATCGAGTGTGGCTTCGAAACTCAGACAAGGTTTGTCTACATGCATGCATAAAATGAGGGTTTGAATTGAGGATACAAGCGGGGCCGACGTACCTCGCTAGATATGTAGATATATGTCCATGCATGTTTGTAGTGCTTACAATTTGGTTGGCTGCTTATCAGGAGCTTATATAGTATACTAGGTTCACTCCTTTCTTGGCCATGCGTACAAAGGAGCAGAACTGCTTCCCAGACATTATGTTCTAGAAGCTTTGTTTGATCAAGGGCTCTATGGAGTATATGCAGGTGGCATCCCTAACAGGGGCTATTGATCTCATGACAATTTGCCACATACAAGTGTGAATCTGTACAGATACATGTGTATGTACCTACACTACCGTATGCAGAATGCCGACAGCATGCTATACAGTGTATCCCCTCCTCTGACACTCGGAAAATTGGTCCAATCATAGGTTGTGTGGGGGGCAGATGATGATGAAGTATTTTAAAGGGAGATGGAGGGAAAGGAGCGGTATACGCAGGGATACGGATTCGGACTTTCTGATAACTCAAGTGAATATGTCGCCATTGTTTGTGGTCATGTGTCGTTGTCATATTCCCTGCTTGCATGCTTGATGAACTGGTGTTCAACGATACTTGAATACAATCGGTTCATCAGTCCTTCTATTATAAAATATATTATTATGCAAAACGTCCGTTCTATTTAAGAGGGCAAGATAAACAGGAGAGAAATGACGTTGGACAATTCCGTGAGCACCATCCATCTACTAGCCTGGTTTGGGCTGGGTGATGGAGGGGATTGGTTCAATCCAAAGATCGTCATCGCAATTACCCATCCTCATAATCCGCAAGGCTTTAGGCCTGTCTGAGACCATGTGGCAACTTGGATGTCGGGAGAGTGACGATAACCAAAGTGAAAGGGCATAACACCCCCTGATAGCTCAGACGGTGTGAAGCCATCTAAGATATTTTCACCACTTCCTCTTTGAATAATAACCTTGTGGAGAACCGTCCCATAATCCAACCTCTCCTTTCCCAATCTCATCATCGATTAAACTCGGCATAGAGCATTCCTCCTCAGCTTATATCAAGGCAGGGAGTCCCGTTTTCCCTTCTGCATCATCATCCAACCTGCATTTCCATCATCATTACCTTCCTTTTTTTCCCACATCATGCGCTTGTCATGATCGTATTCCTGCTTTCCTCTTTCCTCCCATACCCAAGTGCTTATATCATAAAGCGAGTGTATAGTTTCTCTCCTTCGACCATTCCCAGAGCGAACGACCCCGATTCCAAGCAAAAGCCGGAGAACCACCGCCCTTTCCCCCATATCCATCCAACGCCGCGACACCTGTCCGTTAGAGAAACTGCCCAGTCCCCCTCCTAACTCGCCCATTAAAAGGGAAATTATATGCATAAAAGGCGAGAGCTCTGAATAAGGCATGCCGATAACTCCCCTTGGCCCTTGAACATGCCGCTCATCCCATGGCTGAAGAGAAAGAAAAACAAATATTATACAAGTAAAAGATGCTAATAAATGTTCATTCCTCTCTTCTTTCACTGATTACTCTTCTTAGCATTGCCGTTGGCAGTCACTGGCTTGCCATTGGAAGAAGAGGAAGTCTCCTCTGTCTCGCTCTCCTCGCCGTCACTGCGCTCATCCTTAGCAATATTGTGGACAACGAAGCGGTAGGCGATGCGGATGATGAAGAAGAGCCAGAAGAGGTTGAGACACTGCAGGGCGCCAAGCAGGAGCAGAGTAATGGTGAAAGAGATCCAGCACTTGTACTGCTCAGTTTCCCAGTTGAGCTCATAGGGACCGACGGTCTTGAACTCCGTGAACAGACTGAAGAGAATGCGCAGGTTGATGTAGTGACGTAGGTAGATCCAGACACACATGAATGTGAAGTAGTACGGACCAGTTAGAGGATGGTCGAGGTAGTTGAGAGTCTTAGAGGTCTGGGGACATCAGAAGGTCAGCGGGGAATTGCATAGAAAAGGTTGGACAAAGGCCTTAGAAACTTACTGCCAAGAAGAAGTCGCTAATGTCATGTGTGATATAGACAGCCAGACCCATGTAGGTGAAGTGGAAGCGGTAGCTCAATGCAATCAGCGCCAGACTGACGATGTGGTGACCCACCAACTCCTTGAAGTCCTTCCGAGGCTTCTCCATGCCAAGAATCAGGACAATAGCCTGCTGGGCCCAGTAGGCGGCCTGGAAGAGATAGTAGAACTTGAAGAGCGCATCGTGGGTCTTGTGAGGGAAGTTCTCATACATACCGCGGGTGTTGAAGTACCAGACAGGAGTGCGGCTCATGACGTACATGCCAGTGGGACCGAGAATGCCAAAGTACAAGGCAGTGTACATCTGCTCCATGTAGCGGGCCTGCTTAGTCTTGGACTTAACACCAGCCCAACGCGCCATAGGCCGGAGGATCTCCTGCATGATGAACTCGCGGGTGAAGGAGAGAACGACTGTGTAGAAGGTAACAAAGGCAATATCCCAGGGACCCTTGCCATACTGTGGTGGCTCGTTGGGATTCGTGATGGGCAGGCGGTAGGACAGGAAGATGAAATGATGGACCGGATTGCTCTCAGTCGGGTTCAGGGCATAGAGGAACAGGAAGGTGAACAGGATGACCAGCGGGAGTACCCAGGTGTGCTTCACAATGATGCTCTTGGCCCGGCGAAGCAGCGAGCGGGCCTTGCGCCGCTTGGAGAAACGCTTGGAGGGGCTCGTGAAACCGGCAGGGGACTCCTGGTACAGTCAGCGGTCAGCAAGGTGTTCGATTTGGTGTATCTGCGAGATGTGAAAGGTGAGGTCGCGCAGCTGGAAGCGCTGGAAGTACCTTTGGCGTGCCGTTGAGCTGGGCGAGGGAGGTTGAGAGAGCTGGGGCTCCTGTGTCGCCGACGTTGAGCTGCGACCCGAGAATGCTTGACTTCCTACGTCGACGGGCACCAGAGTCGGCCGTGGCCGAGTGCAGCTGGCGATCTGTGGCCAGGGGCGGGAAGGGCTCGGAGTCGGCCGCCATCATAATGCCTCCTTTGGGCTGAGATTGCACGTGTACGTGAATGTGTGTATGTGTACGAGCGTGGGTGAGTACGTCCTCCGTGCTTCTTTCGCTGTTCCCCCACTTAACTTCGGGCTATTCTGCTTGGGAAGCACAAGCTGGAGGAAGTGCTACCACTTGATCCAAGCAGTGGGAATCCTTCTGACACAAGGCCAGCGCGTGTTGTCGTAACGGGCAGAGACCTAGATGGTGGGCGGTGTCCCGATCGTCTGCAAAGCTGCACGTCGCCTGGTCAGTGGACACACGCGCCCTGTGGGTGCAGATGACGGATGAGAAGAGAAGAGGGATCCGGAAAGGGGCAAAAGCGTAGGGGGCTAGGCGAGAAAATGTAGAAGAAAAAGTAGAGGGAGCCCGCGTCAACTCAGACCATACACACACGGGATCGAGGAGTCCGCAAAATGCACACGTGAGAAAAGACGGGCCCAACGAGCCAGCAGCGTTCAAGAATCCAATTGCAAGAGTCGGCCAGGGGCACGAGACTTCCCCAATCCACAAAATCGCTTCCTCGGTCGGTGCCGCTTGTTCTGATGAATTTCAGTTTAACCTTGGCTTGGTGCCAAGAAGTGTGAAGTGCACGCTAAATCGCTTTTGGAACAGCCTGAGCTTTGCCGACCAATGTGCATTGAGATCCACCAAGACCCCCTGAAAAAGTCTGGCCGGCGGATTAACATGGCCAGTGTACTTTTACGTAGAATACGGATCTGCATGCGTATTAATAGTAATATTACAAGAGGCCAACAAAATGGACCGTCAACGTGTCAACACTTGAACACCGCCGAGTCCCTTCCGCTAACTAGGAGCTTCACCGCCCGACAACGCACCTGTGACGCTCACCCCTGTGGGCTTATGAGTAAGTGGCGATAAAGTAGGAAAACATCGGTTATGGGCGTTCGATCAGCATGTTTTCGTGGTTGAATCCTAACAGTATGAAGCGACAGCAAGCTTTGGTCTTTTCCTGTCTTGAAGTTTGAGTACTTCTTGACCAAGTCCAAGAGTCTAATCATGCAGGTAAAGTAACTGATCAGTTTGATAGCCTCGACCGTCTGCCTAGGTCAACATCTAGCTGGGATTGCCTTCACGACAAGTCTGCTCCCTTAAGATGAGTCCTACGGAAGACACATCAAGGGAAGAAATATCTCGAGAAGGGAATCAAGCATGCAAGTAAGAGAGCGTTGCTTCAAACTTTAAACCTTTACCATTCATTGGGTATCAGATAGCAAGTCAAGTAACTACACAACATCTACACAACAACTAAGCTATGTCCATGATTACTACCGGTGCGTGTGACCCCATATATACCAAAACAATCCCATTTTGTTGCCTACCAGCCCCCTTTCCCAAAATGCGCCAATGATCCTGCAACAATCCGAAAAGCCCAAATGCCCTAATAGATAATGCTTGCTTGCATGATGAACCCATACAAAATACCTCGCCAGATGCCGTAGCTAAATGATAAATAGGCAGACAGGAAACATTCAAAGGTTCAGCTTGCAGGAGCTCCAGGAGGAGGGGACTGTGGAGGTGCCGAAGGAGCCGTACTCCTCGGCCGTTGCCCAGTGGGTGATAGCACACCAGAAGGGCATATCGTAAGGGTAGACGCAGGGTAGACCGGCGTTCCTGTGGCTGTAGGAGAGGGTAACCCCGTTGTGGATGTGACATCAACAGGCGATAATGGCACATTCACGGCTGGTAAGGATACCCTGTGGCTATTGTGCCCTGACCCAGTCTCGAAACCACCTGAACGGAACACAGATGAGCTTGGTGTCACTATTGACCGCAAGGGGATCGAAGACTGAACCGTCACCGGGCTCAGGCGTGAAATCGACCGTGTAGTGACGTTGCTGCTGCTCGTAGATGCTCCTCCTCTAAAATACTCTTGCTGCCGGGACTGCTCCTGCTCCCGCTCCCGCTGCTGCTGCTCCTGTTCCTGTTGTTGCTCCCTCAATACCTCTGCCAGCGCAGCACCAGGTCTCGGCGGCGCAGGGATTATGGTGACCGGTAAGCTGTCGGTATCCGGAGTCGGCCGGAGTTTTTCACGCAGGCGCTCAGCCTGGGCCGCAGCAAACTCTTCGAGGCGGCTGCGAATGTCCCATTTACTGCCACTGCCTGAACCGCCCATGCTGATACTGTGTGATCTTCTTTTTGGCTGTCGCTGTTCTGTGGGCGGTGTGTTTGACTCGCCACACTCTTCGTCGTTGCCCTGATGACCACGAGCAAATGGGAGTCTTCGCGTTAAAGCAAGCAACCGAGTCGTCGGTGACGAGGGTTCTGAGTTTTCGGGAAGGGGTGAGGGCCGTAAAGCACCATCGCGGCCGCTTTCCTGATTTCTTATATCTTCATGGTTGGGACTGGTCGCCTCAGTACTGGTGCTAGGAGATGAGGACCTGGTATCCTCAACTTGTGGTGGTGGGTCGGTAAGAGGGCTGTGATATCTGACGGCATAAACAGTGCTGGCAGCGCTGGCAGTGTCGGCCCTGCTAATCGGTGTGGCAACTGCAGCCGGTCGGGCCGGCCATAACGGGGGCCGTATCCTGTCATGATTAGATGACTGTGTATTTGAAGGGTCGCTGGGCTTTGTGGCTCTCATTGAGCGCGATCGAGAGCGATATCTTGCCGCGAGTGACGCAACGCAAGGCCACTTACTCCCACGGACTGCTCTGGCATTGCTGTCACTCGCCCTTTCATCACCGGTCTCATTGTCTCCTCCGTTCCTACCACGCTTCCTTCTCTTTCTGAAATTGGACTCAGAGTATGCCATATCCCAAGTCTCATCCCCATCATCGAAAACCTCCCTTCCAAGGATACAATCCTTTTTCTCTTCCCGCTCCAGAGCCTCGATTCGTTCGACCCATTCCCAGACAATGACGCTGGCTGCTGCTGCGCCAACCCATCTAACATATTCGCCCCATCCTGTGAACTCAGGCTTCGAAATATCCAAAATAAAGAAAACAACGGGTATCAAAAGGGAAAGAAGAGATAAGGCAGCCACCAGACACATATTCTTCATCTGTGGGTGCCAGAAAGCGTAACGCTTTTTTATCAGAGAATAGTAGATAACCCATGCTGCATACAGTACACTCAATGAAAGGGCGAAGAGGTAGCTGAGGGCAGGGACAGCGTCCTTAAAGAAGCCAGGTCGCGAGGGAGGGTCGGGATAGTGAAAGCAATTAAGGGATTGGAATATAATGTCAAGAATGATGAGGGCAAAGGCAGTCCACTTGATGATAACCTTTTCCCGGTGACGAGGAAAAAGACGAATCAGTGTCTGTGCCTGAGCAAGCCACAGGAATGTGTTTGAGATGATCCGGATAATCTTGAGCTCATTACCGCCTAAGACTTCGGCCTGCAGAGCCCGGGCATCCTGATAACCATCTCTGTACTGCCGTTCAGCAGCATCGAACGTTGCGGCACTGGCAATTGTCAAGGAGATAGCCACGGTCAGCGCAGCCACTTTCTGTAGCCACGGCCGACCGCCAATGCTGGGGCCGCTCCCCCCATTGGTGAAGCCTCTGCGACCCAGAACGACAACACCGCCATTTAGGAACGACCGTGGAGTGATGAGCAACATGATAACCAACGTGTATGCCACCACGGTCGTAGCGGCGAGGGCATAGCACTGTGGGAAGGTCGAGGCATAGAATGGGTCACTATCAGCTACCGGGATGCGGTCCTGAACGGTATCTGTCTCGTCAATGGTGACAGAACCTCCACCTCCGTTTGCTATGATAGCTGGGGGCACGACAGGCGTACATGCTGGCTTGTATGAGCCCGCGGCAGTCAAGGTGAGAACCTCACCACCAGGTAGTGACAGGACACCGCCAATGGGAAGGTTATATACAGCACAGGGGCGGCTTGAACCTGAAGTGCCGGTGGGTTGGGCACCAGTACTGGAAGTGAGGCCAGCGAAGAGCTGACGTGCCTCTAATGCCTGCATCGTGATGAGGGCGGCTTCCGCCTGGGTCCCGACTATCGCGCAATCGCCATGGAATAGAACAGTGGCTGTTGTCGTCGTCCTCGTCCTCGTCCTCGTCGAACTTAGCACTCACGGGCTGATCCGTTGCAGGGCACAGCGACGGCTCCGTGTCGAGTCGACGCAGCTGGGACTGGGACTGGGGCCGGGAGCGCGAAGCAGGCACTCGCCCAATCAGTCAAACGGTGCCCGGCAATCACGACGGCCTCCTGGAGCTTAGGCAGCTCGTCGGATGTCCGCCGTCGAGGGCGCACTCGATACCGGAGACGGGCTACTGGCGCTTCAAAGTCGAAAAAGTAGCAACCGAAAATAATGGCCAGGCACAGGCCAGGAGGCCAAGAGAGCGCCAATGTGCCAGTGTCTTCGCGACGTGCGACGGGTGCGACGATCAATGGACCGACGCTGCTGCTGCGTGTGGGATGGCAGAGGCTGGGCGCCGAGAAATCCTCGCGGTCGGAAAAGGGGTCTTGGAATTACTTGTCTGGAGCGCCGAGAATTCGAGTCTGGGGATGGCGTGCAGAAGTCCAAAGTCGCGTGCTCTGAGCCTGTGTCGCTCAAATGGCGGGCTCCTTTTCTTGAATGCTCATAAATTCCCTGCTGCGCTGGCTTGCTGCGTGTCGCGTCCTCGGTAAGGTGTCGTTTCGTCGTTCCGAATGGAACTGGAAGCCGTCTGGCTTTTAACTGCCGCACAGCTGGGACAGAGAGCAGGAAGGATAGCCGCTCTAGAAAATCCCGGGGGGGGGGGGGCTACACGATACTTACCTTAAGATCCATGCCATAACCGACCCCAGAACCTCCGAGGAGTCACAGTGTCCTGCCCCATCCTATTACTGTGCCATCGACAGTCCGCTGCAGCCTGACCCTGCTGGTAGACTGAAGTGCTTTGACTGGTAGTTTTTTTTTTTTTCGGAATCCCGCTCGACAATTCTAATCGAGAATTTGCTGCGCTTTTTCTTCATCAATTTTTCCTCAGGTTCTTTTAAATTATTAAAATGTCGAACTGGTGAACAACATCGCTCCCCTTGAAATTTCCCAGCATAAGCCAGACTAACTGGCGCCCGGACGCCATGTAGATGGGTGGTAGAAATTGCCCATTTTAAGGTAGCCCACTGGCAGGGAAAATCTCGGGCTTTCACCCTCGCTCCCCAGCACCTCTTCCTCCTCGGCCCGCACTGTACTGCACTGTGTGCTCACCCTCTCCTGCTCGATCATCCCAAATCCATCATGGACCGGGATCCAGATTCAAGCCACCGCACAACTTTGCGTGCTTCCTTCGTGCTTGTGTGCCCTAGGCCTCCAGGCCCCAAGATACAACCTTTTGGTGTCATTATCGGTGACCTATCATATCGTTGCTGAATCCGACAAAAAGTGAAAACCGGTTCCGCTTCCTGCTATTCAACTGGCAGGCACAGCTTGACCGGCTGATGATCGAGTTTTCCCCAGCAGAAATCACGCTTGCCCACATTTCACGCAACGAAGAGGAGAGGATCCGCGTGCGGGCTAAACACTCCATAGACTACTCGGGCTCTACTGGCGTCGCAGACGGACGGCTATGTAACAGTAACTCGCCAGACAAGCATGCCGGTTCAACGACCCATCCAAGCACTCGAAATACATGCACAACATTTGTTTCATCGAACAAGAACAGGAGCCGCAGCCGCAGCCCATCATGGAAGATTGCACGCAAATCGATTGCGATCGCCAAGCGGCGCATCATGCTGGCGTCCCATCTTGGCGAAGGCTTGTCTTTTGTGGGGAGCCGGCTTGGCGTCTAGCGTTGGTCCAGTTTGGACGATGGAATCGTCTGGATCCTCCAGCACAAGCTCCATCCGCCCACAGCCCCGGGACCAGGCCTGGCAAACGCGTCCCCCGAGAAGTTCACATGTGCAAAACAAAAATTTCTCGGCAGTCGAAGCGATACGGATGATCCAGAGGTGCTGCAGACTTGAGATCCGGGAATCTGGTCCAACCTGCCTGTTTCAGGCCGATATCTGCCTTGTGCTGGCCAACCATCCACCAGATACCGCAGATAGTTGTGAGCACACGCTGGCTTTGGGTAAGACGAACATAAGAGCACGTGTTGCACCAGCAACTGGTTCAACCTGCTTTGCGCGTTATGCTGAGCCGGAAGTGACAGTTACGCCGTGTTCAGCCAGGGACGGCGAGCCCGAGTTTTACAGCTGCTCTTTTTGACGCCGTCCGTCTTGTCGTGTGCTGGCAGTCGCTGTACGTTGTTGTGGACTAACCGTCGAGTGCCCAAGTGCGTAGGTACTTCGAAAAGGGCGAAGGATAAACGAAGAGTTGGATTTATGGCAACCTGTCGGAAGATTGGTAGGTAAGCATACCTAGACAGTATATCACAGATGGCCTACATTCTTCGGCAAACGCACGCTAGGCACAAACACTAGGCTCCGGTTTGAGTCTGGCCATCGACCAATTCTGGATGATCTTGCCTTAACCATGTAGCTCAATTCCACACCGGACTAGCAGCAAGTTTGTGAGAGTCCGGTCACTCTAGGCAAACACAATAGGCTATGGTGCCAGAAACCCGACTCCGGTGCTACCTTGAAGTGCCGTCGGCTCATGATAGAAAAACATGCTGCCGTTCAAGGGAGGTTGTGCAAATAAGTGATCGTCCCTCGAGAAATACCTCAGTTGTTTGCAGTATTCGGTTCACTCATATATACCTCTAGATAGGTAGTTTATCTTATACAGGAATGCTGGGAAGACGATGTCCGTTGTTGAGCTCATCCAGAGAGTGGACTGGAGAGCAGTGTTTCGTTTTCGTTGGATAATGCAGTATTTGGACTAATGCGCTTCCGCTGGAGTCAATTTTTCCTTTGAATGCAACTGAAAGATGCAAGAGCGCAAGTCGACCAGTCGGTAAGCGCTGCCGTACGTACATAGGAAGTTCCATTGCAGAGGAAAGCGGGGCACTCCGCATGCTGGTGGAAGCCCCACTTGCCAAATGCCCCGCCAATTGCCAGGCACACCGGTCCACTGCAAGTTTCTTGTCGCCATCAACACGAAAGAACTTCCTGTTCCATGGAACCAGGCGCTTCATCAGTCGTCATTACGACCTCTGCTGCCCCGATTCGTAGCAAGCTCTTCACTCGGCTACTCCCGATTTCCTCCCTCTTTTTGCAGCAATCGGACGTAAAGCAGAGCCTGTCAATGGCACAGGGCTCGACGATCGCCGTTCCAGGCCGCAATCGGAATTAGGCTAGATTTTTCACTCCGCTGCGGTAGGGTCAATCGGCCGAGTTCAAGGCGCGCAACGGATCTCCGTTTCAACCCTCGTGCAGTCGGCGCACCCACGAAAATCCATCGTCTGATTTGCCTACCATTATGGCAAACTAGGGCCCGAGAGCATCCTTTACAACAAGAAACATTATCAAAGCAGCGCCTACGTACTGCATTACCATCAATCACAACATTCATTTGCGTTCCCAGCGCCTCTACCAACCTCGACATTGACAGCGCCCATTTTCGAATCGAAGATCACAAGCTCCTTGAGAAACGTGGTGGAGCAAGGGTCCGAGCTTCAACACCCTTGTCTGCGCCGGCACGTTTCACGCCAAGAACCCATACCAAGCCAGTCCTGGGGGTTCTTCATTCCTGTTGGCCAGACCTTTTAACTGGAGACCCCAGGGGCACCGTTTTCTCGTCTCAAGGCTTCTTGGACTCCCGCCCGGCAGTTGTGCGCTTCACCACCAGACCTTTGGTTGTTGAGCACATTGCGAAAAGAAGAACAGGGCAAAAGCGCATCTGTGCCATACCCATAGCTTCATTAGCTGGTTGACTTATGCACGAGCGGGCCTAACCAACATGACCCGGCCGCAAATTATCCGTGCTGGTACGTACCTCATAGCGGCTGACGGTTTACATCCACCCATCAGTCCCGGTCCTCCTCAAATCTCGCCTACCTACCCCAGGGATGCGCGCCGCTGTGGCCAGGTGCGCTGTGGCTGCAAGAATAACTCCCTGGGGCTCAGTCCCGCATGCCCGCTTCTTGTACCTTCTGTGCCTCCTCCCTCTTGCATCGTCTGCAATGCTCCTTACAGTTGCCAACGACCAGTGAAGTTTGAACCGTTTTTCTGACTCTCCCCCTTTGTCCAGACACCATTGACCTGCAACCCGCCGACGCGCCGTCCGCCCAGACTCACCGCAGGCTGACCCCTGACGGCTCGATCGCTCCACATCAAGCAAGCACCCTTCGCGAAGTCGCGGCAGAGACTGCAGAGGAAATTCTCCGGAGCCCTCGTCCCTCGTGGCACGCAGAACCGGACAATCTCGAGCAACATCCGCTTGTGCTTGATTCGCACGACGGCACCGCATCGACCATGCCGCTCTCAACCCAGCACGATGCCTTGGCCATCGCCCAGAATGGCGGCTTATCCGGGAACGAGATCGACGATCCTAACATGGCCGGCGACGACGCCGTTGACATTGAGGATGACCTGATTGACAGGATCTCGAGCTCGCCCTCGATCGAGGATGGTGGGTCGCCTCTCGCTCTTCCGACTCTTCCTTCAACCAGATACCAAGGCCCCCCTCTAGAGCCAGCCGCAGTGCGGAGCTCATCACCATCTATGTCGGAAGCCAGTGACCCTGGGTCATCTTCTCCATACCTTGAGGGTCCTGTCTACCTTCCGCTCGGATTTGGGGCCCAACACGACCGTGGCCGGAAAGTTTCCAGGCCGCTGTTTGACTATGTTTCTAGCTCGAGTCGCCATCATCATCTTGACGGTGAGTCTCGATTACGCGCCATCTCTGCCGCCAGGCCATCGACCTTACAATACGAGCACTTGGATCCCTCGGACTCCGACGACGGGCTTTCCACGATCCCCGAAGAGGATAGTTATATTTTCGAAGATGCGAACCACGAGAACAAGAATGTGACGTCCTTTAACGGCCAGTTAAGAGGAGGAAGCTCCAAGGTGTACAACTGGCGAGATCCCCCAATTGAAAATTGCGAGCCGCACAATAAGCGCGACCGCAGGCTTAGCATCAACCACGATGGTGCCCGCGACGACCGAAAGTGTTACTGGATATCGGCCGAGGACGACGATCTGACCTTACCATATGAGTCTGCTGAAGATGATGATGGCGACTTTTCTGATGTTTCTGATTCCAGGTTTGTCGACTCAGGCTGGGGAGGCGAATGCTTACAAGAAACAGAAGATATTGATTTCGACTTTGTCTACGCCCTTCATACGTTCGTCGCGACCGTTGAAGGTCAGGCCAATGCGACGAAGGGCGACACTATGGTGCTTCTCGATGACAGCAACAGCTACTGGTGGCTAGTCCGCGTTGTGAAGGATAGCAGTATAGGTTAGTTTTGGAACTAATTGTTTGCCTGGCACATCGGCAACACTCCTGACTTACATGCTATCAGGTTACCTGCCGGCCGAACACATTGAGACACCGACAGAAAGGCTGGCTAGGCTGAATAAGCACAGGAACATAGATGTGAGCTACAATCATGAGTTTGGTTAAAGGGATATTTGATTAACACAAGCACAGCTCTCTGCTTCCATGCTTACGGATACAACCGAGAAGCCCAAGTCGAAGAACCCTCTGAAGAAAAAGAAGAACAAAACCGTCCAGTTTGCCGCTCCCACTTACGTTGACTACACCGATCCTGAGTATTCGGATGAAGAGGAAAATGTTGACGACCTGGCTACCCAGCAATTGCAGCAAGAGCAGCATCAGCATCAGCACCAGCAGCAACAGCAACAGCAACATCAGATGCAGCAGCAGTCTTCTCTTGACTCTGATATGGAAGACGAGTCGGCAAGGGTTGAGCCGTTGAAGCCAAGGTCACAACAGAGGGACACCAAGACTGAGACAAAGAAACCGGAGACCAGCCGTGAGGAGAACAAGACCGGCGTACGCATATCTGAGTACGCCGATTCAGCCTCGGAATGGCCGCGAAAGACTAGCAACGGCACTGTTCGGGATTCCTTCTTCAAGGATGACACTGTAGAGACCAAGAAGATCACCTTGACGCCCAATCTCTTGCGTGACGACGAACCCCGGACGTCCAATGACTCTCTACAATCAAAGCAGCGACCGAGCCTGGATAAGCTTGATGGGAACGACAAGAAAAAGAAGAAAGAAAAGGAGAAGGACAAGAAGTCAGGCGGCTTACGGGGTTTCTTTTCTAGGAGGGATAAGAGAGGAGGTAAAGAGGAAGAGGACGACATACTTGGCAGGCACACGGACGACAAAGATGAGGAGGATGATAATCTGATCGAAAAACCCGCTCAAAGACAACCCAGCAAGCTGCAGAAGCCGCAACCGCGGGTCGAGCCATCGCCCGCCAGGAGATCAAACAGCATATCCAGAGAGCCCGGTGTCGATATCAAGACTTTCCTGTCCGAAACAAGGCTCAATAATGTTGCCAATGTCCCTCCAGCAACAATGCGCTTGGTCGAATCTAGCCCAAAGTCTTCTCAAGAGCGAAGTGCGCAAGATCAGTGGCGTCAACGGGAGCAGTCACCTGGTTCAAGAGGAGCTGGTACACGGAGAAAACCCCAGTCGCGCTTGGAAGCCGACATCGACAACGATGAGTCCGACGAAGACTTTGCTCTAGAGCCTACACAGAAAGCCCCAATCCCGGATGCAATTATCCATCAGCAGCCACAGGCGGTCCAGGACAGGGCTGTTCCGGAATCGCAACCAGAAGCTTCTCGGGCGGCAGCAAGCAAGATTTCTCCGGACTCTGCGGCAGCTCACAAGCCCCAAAGCGAGCCGCGAGCCGAATCGCCCGTCGATGTCTCACCTGTCGACAACAGCCCTTCTGGGCTCATCACAAGTGAGGAAGAAGCCGCCCAGGACGCAGCGTCTTCCTCACCCGCCGAGCCTGTCGAGCCCGAAGAGCCGCCTGTCCCTGTTCCCGAGGCGCAGAACCAGCCTCAAGGCAAAGCTCCAAGCACTCGTTCTGTCATCTCGCCGACTACCATCAATACCGGTACCGCCACCGGTAACACCACGGCTTCCAGCTCGCCACGTGTGTCTGAGTCGTGGGATGATGTCAGCCTGCGCGCGTTCTTTGACTCTGGATCTGAGATACGTGATATGCTGGTCTTGGTGTTCGACAAGAACAATGTGGATCCGGATCCAGATCTGGATAACCCGTTGGCGTCGTCGCTGTTTAGGGAGGAGAATGCTAAATTGGCCGAGATCACGACGGTAGGTTATTCCCTCAGGACAGCCCCAACCGTTTATGTTGTGGTATAAAGTGCTGATTGTTTACAGAGGCTGGATAACATGCTTGGGGACTGGCTGGCCAGGAAACAGCGGTTGCGGGGCACTGTCTAAGCAGACGCTTAGCTGTTGTCGATCAGAACCGGCCTTCCTGTTGGAGTCGTATCTAAGCTGCGTCTTGTCTACGACTTGACACACATTTTTGTTCTATAATTGATGATGTTGCCCCTTGCGGTTTTCTTTCTGCACAAGCTCCTATTATTGCTGACTAGAAAAGTCACTTGGGGTTACATGGTCAACATTATTTGGGCAGGTATCACCAGCTGGTTCTACTGGACGGACTTTTGTTCTCTTTGATGTCCCTCCTGTTTCATTTCATAACCGCCAACTCCGGCAACTGGGGAGCTAGTTGACCGGGACAGGCTGAGTTTTCTTTCTGCATTTGTGTTGTTACTTGTTCTCTTTTCACCACTGATGATGTTACGATACCCAAATTGGAGAAAACAGGTGCCTGTTTGTGCAGGCTGCCTTGCTGTATGGTTTGCTGGGCCTGAGAACGAAGGATGTCTATATAGACTATGCCCCTTCGGTGTCTGAGTTGCCGGTTCAAATAATGCATACTTTGGCATTTTTTAATGGCCATCATGAAGTCCAACCTACATGAAACCCAAACTTCAACGCCTACCTACGCTTCGGGGTGTGTAACTACGGAAACATACCTAAGATAGGCACTCTTCTACTGTTGTAAACATCGAATCACACCCACATATTCGGTGATACCGTGAAACTCTTCACTATCGGGAACATCCCGGCAGAGGTTTTGCCTGAGCACCGAACCCAACAAACTTCGGAGCGGATGGACTCCGGTACCGATCCGATCATTGATCTCCACTCAAGACAGAGACCACGATGAATTGGGGATCTTTACCGAGGACCAAGTGGGTTTGTTTGCTGCATGCCAACGAAGCGACTTTAGCTTCACATCCTCATGTGTTTTGATCAAAAAGCTGAACTTGCAGCCTCTTGTTCCTGAGATCTGATGATCTGGTTTTCACTCAAACTCCATCACCCACAAAGCAGAACCTAGCACTCCCGTTGAAGTGGTTCCTCTAAACGACCAGCCATAATGGCTTCCCTCATTGACTTCAGCTCGACCAACTGGTCGTACTACACTGTAAGTCCTTTTTTTTTTTTTTTTTTTTTTTTTTTTTTTGTCTGGCTGGAAGCCTTGAAAACTCAATGAGAGATAAGGGGCTAACAAACATGATGACGCAGATCCCCGCCGCCTTCTTCCTGGTGATGGCGCCTAACTTCTACGCGGTTGCGCTGGCTGGCAAGAACTATGATATAGCCTAGTAAGCTTCTACTCCTACTTCTGATGCTTGGCCTTTTAGCCCTACCTATCTCTGCCTGAGTCGGGCTTCGAATATTCACTCAATGACCCAATACGTACTAACCTTCATCTAAGCCCCCGCACCCTTGAGTCCAAGGTCGCCACCGATAGCTCCCTCCCCAAGCCGATCCAGCAGCGCATCTCTCGCGCCCGCGCGGCTGCCGCCAACGGATTCGAGACCATCGGCTTGTACGCTGCTGCCGTCGTCGCAGCCAACAGCGCCCAGGTACCGACCGAGAAGCTGAACAAGCTGACACTAACGTATATCGTCTCTCGCGCGGTGTACAACTTTGTGTATGTGGCACTGCAGGAGAACCGGAAACTGGCTGGCCTGCGGCCGCTTGTGTGGGGTGTGGGAATCACGGTGATCATGATGTTGTTTGTGTCGGCTGGGCAGGCTCTTAATGCTTGAGGGACTGCTCTGGGGGTTGGTATTTACGGGGATGGAGATGGGGGGACTGTACTATAGTGTGTGCAGTAGCAGTGTATATCACTGTTGACTCAAAATAAGTTGGTAGGTAGACGTGTTGATTTCTGAACGGAGTACTCCATGGGAGATTTCAGATGAAACAAGGAAGAAATATAGGGCATATGAGATCCTGGTAAATGCTCATACTGAGATAGAAACCTACACATCACTGTGGGTTCACGTAAAAGCTATAACGACGAAGGCCTTGGAAATACTGAGGAGTTATGCATCATGCACTCCCGAATTTGTCCATGCAAAAGTCCAATTCAAAACAAAGAAAAGGCAGAAAACAATTTTAATCATACTCCATACCACCAAAGCTTTGATTCCTCACCAGCGCGGCCCTCTCCAAGCTCTGCCTAGGAAGGACCTCAACCGACCGTCTGCTGCGAATCGTACTCGGCCGGCGTGACGACACCCGACCGCTCGTTTCACCTCGCTCATCTCGACTAATATCCTCGTCCTCTACTTCGCCATCCTCAATCGCACAGAACGCATCCACAGGCATGCCCGGGTCGTCACGAATAGTGTGGATCAGGAAGGCCGAAACAAACACCGTCAAGCCGCCCAGGGCCAGGACGATGGCGATAGAGTGATCACCAGGCACGCCACGCGGCTTCTGGAAGATGCGGAAGATGATGGAGCTGAGAATAGTGGCAATGATTTGAGGCGCGGCAATAGCCATGTTGTGTATTCCCAAGATGACTCCAGCCTGGTCTTGTTCCTCATCCTTCTTATTCCCGAACTGCCGCGGGGTCTGGTGCTCGTCAGAGGAGTACCCGTCGAGAGAAGTCACGCCACGGTTACTCGCTCGCTGGCGCTGGGCGTACTGGGCACGCCTGATCTCATCACGGCGGGAGATCTCGGCGCCGATGATAGCCCATGGTGCCCAAAGCGTCAGGGCCCAGGTGATACCGACCAGACCAATGAGGATGGTTCCGGCGGTGATGCTACGCACGAGGAGAGTGCACAACATGCAGATGGTGAAGAGGATCTGAGCAAGCATCCAAGCACGCCGGAGAGTGAAGCCGGGAATGACCAGGTAGTCGAGCCAGGTCTTCTTTGCGCCGTCGTAGTCTTTCAGTGAGTTTGCATCGTCGCCGGCTGTCTCAACCCGGGTCTCGATTGACGGGGCGATGAAGAAGGGGAGGAAGACGTTGGTGGCCAGGCCCACGATGGCAAAGATAAGCAAGGCAAAAGTGCCTTGACGAGTTGCATCCTCGTACAGTTTGTCGAGTTCTTCAGGCGTCATATGCGGGTTCTTCTCGAGGAAGGGATCAACGTAGATCTCGGCAATGTACTCTGAGGTGTAGAACAGCATGGGGAAGAAGCCGATCCAGGCACAGAATTGCACCTGGCAGACCTTCTTGGTTTGAGGAGGGAGCCTCCTGATTGACTTGAAGATCTTCCGGAAGAAAACCAAGACGCCAGGTCTATCCTTTGGCGGAGGGCCTTCGAGTCGTGGGTCCCTCTCGCGAATGAAAAGACATGACAAGGCAACAGTGAGGGCTAAGGCGATGCTGGCAATCGCGCAAAGGTCCTTGAACTGAGTGTCACCGAAGAACCACATGACGGCGGGCAGGTTGGTATAGCCGGCAAGGTAACCGACGATGTTACCAATGCCAACAAAGCGACTGGCCATGGCATTTGCCGTCTCTTAGTGAATGTTAGTAACTAATTGCGTTCTCGACCCCTACAACCAGGAGATTTCTTACCTTGCTGGTGAGTGGGCGCGCAATCCACGATGAAGGCACGAATAGCAGCCTGCACCGTATTGATGGCAAAGTCGAGAATATAGACAAAGAGCACAGCAACGACGATTATCGACACCTTGACAAAGTTCGAGTCTGCCGGGGCACCAAAGAGACCCAGAAACCCCCCAACAATCTCCTTGGTCCAAGCAAGGAACAGCAAAGACGCAATAGTGGCGGCAGCGCCGGCAATCATGAAAGGCTTGCGCTTCCCCCAGCTGATACGACAGCTGTCGCTTAGCATACCAACGTAAGGCTGGACAAGAGTCCCGGATAGAGGACCGGCAATCCAGACCAAAGCGACCAGCGACTTGCTCATACCGAGCGAGAGTAGGTAGGGCGAGCCATTGGACAGTTCGACAGACCAAGCAATTTGCAAGCCGCCGATGCCGATGGTCAAGAGGATGAGGTACCACAGACTCTTGGACTTTTGGCTCTCTTCCATATCATTGTGAGCGGCATGGGGATGGAGGGGGTCATCGTCGCCGTGCGAGGAGCTAGGAGAAAGCAGAGGGGACTGCTCGTTCAAGCCATCTTGGGGCACAGGGGCATCCCGATGCCCTTCTTGTCTATGGCCGCCATTTCGAGATGACCGCGTCGTTTGTTCCACGTCCAACTTCTTGACTGCATCCGAAGAAAGCGAGCGACGATGGTCGCTATCTGCGGGGTGCGCCGCGTCTGGAAGGGCTGCCGGTGACGACGTCATACGAGGCGGCAAGGAGCAAGTACTTTGCGATGCTGTGTTGCTGTTTCACAGACGCCTTTTGGAAAAGAGATCAGGGTTTCCTGTTGCCAAAATCACGGACACTCTCGAATTGTTACGTTTCTTTGTCTAGTTCGATCCGAAGGGCCCCGTGGCGGTTGGAGATCTTGTAAGCGGGGGGAGGGCAACGACGACGAAGCGTTGGCCCTGCTATAAGCATAAGCACGAAATCAGGAGCAGGCAGGCAGACAGGTATGGGGTGTCCACTGCTAAATATGTGGCACTATGTATGTTGTTTGTTTTGCTGTCACGAAGCGCGTGATGCTGACGAGGCAGACCAAAACCCGTGGTTGGAGGAGGGTTGCAGGTCAGCAGCTGCAAGAAGCCTCGTGCCTGCCGGTCCTCACTGAAAGACGGATTCGCTCGGCACCAACAGGGCCGAGACGAGGTGGACACAGCGCAAGGACTGGTTGGAATGGGGCTGCACTGTTTGGAGTCTTCTCGCGGACGCCTGAGCCCCAGAAGTTTGTAACAACACTGTTCGCTCTGCACCAATCACCACGACAAGATCAGAAAGATCGGGCACTCTCTGGAAGCAATGGAACAGGCAATGATGCATAAAAAAGAGTATGTTTGAGCTTCGATCTTTTCGGCGTGGCCCACTTCTCCAGGTCCTAGGCCAACTTTGGCCCAAACCCCGGGACGGGACCTGATGACCAAATGACAGTGCGCCCCACAATGTGCGCGCCACAGCCGCAGGCACGCTCAACAGCCGACATCATCTTCAACCAGCGACCACATCAGCTGCAGTGGATCACCATCTTTTTCCTGGTCCTTGGACCAGCTCCCCAAGCACCGCCCTGCGCTGTGTACTGTGTGTTGCACAACATCTCTGGAGGGAAATTGTGGAATGAAGATGTCCTGTTGTGAGCCCTCCTGGATGGGCATGCAACCCAGCTCCGACTCTGTGAGACATCGATTCCTTGTCGCTTACAGTTAGAGATACCCCGCTCTGGATCCCTAGCTGCATTGCCGTGCTAGATATGGAGGTAGTCCCCAAGACTGGAGGAAAGCATCTGATTCTTGCAGTGCAGATGTCTATACTAACCAAGATGAAAAGTATAGCGCTGGCAAGGTTAAACTTGCTGCTGAATGTTATTATCCGCACGGATTTATATGTGATTCCAAGTCCAGGACGGCGTCACTCCAGCCGGAACTTTTTGGATGGGATTTGGAGATCGATGCCGGTGGAGATGGACACTCCAGCATTGTGCGGGCAGCGTTCTGTATCCATCCCCCGGTCGTCCCTTGTCCATTGGCTGCGGCCCTCTCCGCAAGCGGGTCTGCCGCGCGGCTCAGGTGGGGACACCTCGTCCAGATCAAGCCAAGTGCATCTCCGTCTCCAATGTCGACATCCTAAATCCAGCTTGCAGATTGCTCTTTCGTCTTCTACCCCGCTGTCTGCATCTTTCAAGCTCTTTCAGAGCCGCTTCGCGACGTCCATGCGAGTCCATCTCTTGATCTGCCCGCCCAGCTTTGTGATCCTGTAACTCGATCAACCCTGGCGATCAGTCCTTCATTAAGCCCAACGCCAGCCGTACAGCTCCCTCCCAGACCCTGAGACGACGACGACGGCATCGCAGGCAGCCGAGGGAAGCGCAAAGCACCAGCAAGCACCAGCTTGATACCATGCTTGCGCAAACACTCTTCAGCTCCTTGTTGGAGCTTGCTAGTACGCATCGGTTTCTTGTCTTGCTCTCCCCTTGTTATCGTAGACGCTGACAGGAGAACCATACACCAGAGAGAGATGAGGAAGACCCCGACGGTAGGCTCGTGATCTCCCTCCCAAATTCGATGCCCTCCTGCGCCGAACATAACACCAGCTAATCTGTCGTGCCGCAGCTTCGGACCCCCCGAAGCAGGAAAACAACGCATCATGGGCCATCTTCATTCTGATTGTGCTGCTAATTGTGGCTTTCTGCACGAGCTACATCATGCAGCAGCGGAAAATTACAGCCATCCATGAGACTGTCGTGTCCATCTTTGGCGGTACGCTGTCCATTTCACCCACATTGCCCCGTCTCTCGGCTTTTAGTCTAACCACTTTGATTTTGCTTTAGGCATGATTGTTGGCCTGGGCCTCCGGATCTCAGGTTTCGACTCGATCCGCGACCTTGTCAACTTCAACTACCAATACTTCTTCAACCTCCTTCTTCCTCCCATCATCCTGTCATCGGGCTACGAACTACATCAGGGCAACTTCTTCCGAAACATCGGCACCATTTTGACTTTTGCATTCGCTGGAACATTCATCTCTGCCGTTGTTATCGGAGTGCTGCTCTGGATCTACACGGCCATATCCCCAGAGGGGCTTGACGTCTCTTGGATCGATGCGATCTCCGTCGGTGCTACCTTGTCCGCCACGGATCCTGTGACCATCCTGGCCATCTTCAATACCTTCAAGGTCGACCCTAAGCTCTACACTATCATCTTTGGCGAGTCTATTTTGAACGACGCTGTCGCCATTGTCATCTTCGAGTCGGCCCAAAGTGCGGGAACCAAGGGTGGGGGGATTGGAATTTTCAGCATGCTCCATGGAATCTGGTACTTCTTGTCCGAGTTCTTTGGCAGTTTGAGCATCGGTGCCATTGTTGGTGTCGCAACTGCCCTCGGCCTGAAATATACCTATGTCCGGAGATATCCCGGCATTGAGACGTGCCTGGTCGTCCTGATCGCCTATGCGACGTATTTTTTTGCGCAAGCCATTAGCATGTCTGGTATGTATTTCAACAGGTAGTCACAACGATATGAGCTCTAATTGGTTTCTAGGCATCGTCGCCCTGCTGTTCTGCGGCATCACCCTCAAGCACTATGCCTACTTCAATATGTCGCGCCGGACACAGCTGGCCACCAAGTACATCTTCCAGGTTCTTGCGCAATTGTCCGAGAACTTTATCTTCATCTATCTTGGACTTGCACTGTTTACCGAGAAGAATTTGGTCTATCAGCCGCTTCTCATCATCGTTACTGTTCTCGCCGTGTGCGCAGCCCGATGGGTGGCTGTCTTCCCCTTGTCCCGAGCTATCAATTGGTTCATCCGCTATCGAGCCCGTCGTCGCGGTATGGAAGCTGGGGATGAGCTGCCATATAGCTACCAAGTAATGCTCTTTTGGGCCGGTCTTCGTGGTGCCGTCGGGGTTGCCTTGTCTGCTTTGTTCACCGCCAAGGAGACCCAAGCGCTACAGGCCACTGTTCTCGTCGTTGTCGTGTTGACGGTCATTATCTTTGGTGGTACCACAGCTCGAATGCTTGAGATCCTTGGCATTCGCACGGGTGTTGCTGATGATAACGACTCGGATGACGAATTCGACATCGAGGCCATTGGTGGTGGAGGAGTCTACAAGCGCACCGACACCGGCGTTGGCTACACTCCCCATACCGGTCGGGGTGGCGCTGCTCTGCCCCTGAACAACGTGGGCCCAAGTGGAAGCGCGTCCGGAGACAGAAGAGGTCGCAACGGTTGGGCCTCAGGGCACCACTCCCCCAATGCCGGCAGCCGCAGCCGTAAGAGCCCCCGACTGGGCGCGTCCCACAACGAATATGAGCGGACCGACCTGCTCGGTCCAACCTCCTCTACAGGCGGCAGCAGCGTCGAGTCCGACTTTGGCAGCGACATCGACATCTCGGACCTGCCGCCTCCCGCCAACAACTCCCGCACCAGGTCGATTCCTAGTCCCCTGCTGGGTCCCAGCTCTGCGGCGACGCCAAGTAGTGGTACCCAGGCTGCCGGAGGTTCGTCGACGACAGGCCAGCAGCCCCTCACGGCCACGGCCGCCATTCGGCAGTTGCTTAGTGCTGAGAATCCTACGGCACTACTGAGGCAGCTGGATGAGGAGGTTATTAAGCCGAAGCTGTTGCTGGATGCTGGGAGTGGGCGTGGTGGACCTGGAGGGTCTGGCTCTCATTGATGGATGGGAATGAGATACATAGATTTGTTTTGTTTCTATGAATTGGTAGGCTCTCTGTTGAAAGAGGGGGGGTTATTTCTGCATCTATTGGCAAGGAGGGATTGGTAGACTGGCAGGCTGGCATTATTGGCGTTTTGTTTCCTTTTGCGGAGTTACTTTTTAGGTACCTGAAGTAAGCAGGCTGATAGATAGGTATGGCTCTTTCATTTTGAGTTTTCTCTTCTTGAACGGTGTAGTTGTCGTTGTAGTATACCCTCTGGTAGTTGTTTAGGGATTTCACACCACACTTATCTGTATCTCCTGGTTCTATATCAATTGGAGTTGTGCAAGTGATTTGATGGTCCCGAGGCTTTCATCTCATCAGCAAGAGAGCGCTCATTTGAGTGCGATTGCAAATTCTCAATCCCTCTTCCATTTTGAACGTACTAGGGTATAAGTATCGACTGAACCCAACTAAAGCAGCACCGAAAGAACTAACCAACTCGAAAGATAGAACATGTTCACTATCACAGCATTAGCCATGCCCAGGCCCTCTCGACCGCGTAAGCACCAGGCTCATCCGCGGCAGGACAACTGGCATACCGATGCACTATCATTACTCCTGACTCAATTTCGCCTTTAGTAGAACCGTTCCCTCTTCACACATTCCTCACCTTGTCCTCTCTCCTCTCGCTTTGACTATCCCTCTTATCCCCCCAGTTGCCTACCGCACTCCCCGGCAACGCCATCCCCATCCCCCCCAACGCACTCTCTACCCTCCTCGGCCGCTCCTCATCCCCCATCATCCCCAAATTCGGCTCCGGTGGCGGATTATGAATCCCCGGAATCCCCGCATACATTATCGTCATCTCTGCCGGCTCCGGAGGGAACAGGTCCTTCTCGCTGCCGCTGCCAAGGGTGGTGCTGCCGTCGCCGTTCTTGCTTTGTAGCTCGCGGAACCGAGCTTGTGCGCGATGAATACGGCCCGTTTGTTGGTCAACCCAGGAGCGCAGTGAGCGGAATCGGGCTGGGTGGTCTTCGCTTGTTTGAGTGTAAACGGATTCGCTGCGGGCGAGACTGGGGGCGCGCTGGAGATGAGGGGCGAAGGATTGGGAGTTGCGTAATGGTGGTTGGGTTTGAGTTTGGGTTGTACGATTGGACATCCAGGAGAAGCGGGTTGTGTAATTTGCGGCTGTGCCAGTGTTGTTTGGATCAGGGCTAGCGTTTGGATCTGCTGGGGCACGAGGAAGGGCCGCCAGGGCTGGAGGCTGCGGCTGATCGTTTGGAGGGAGGATAATATCCCCGTCACCGAAGCCTGAAGAAAGAGACGAGACGTCACTCTCGAACATGCTAGGTTGGCGATATCCATAAGCAGCTCCCATTTGCGATGTGGACATCGGTTGGTTGTAGTAGAGAGTAGTTGGCACAGTCGTAGTGTACGCAGTGCCAATTGAACCATCACTCGGTATCATTGAGCTGAAGTTGGCGGCATTCGTAGAGCTCAGAGACCCCTGAGGTTGATGAGCATACGCTGTCGGGATGCTGGCCATGTTCGTGATGTTCAGGCCGTTTGGCGGCGGGGCGTACATAAGAGGCTCTGGAATCTGTGAAGGATAAATGCTCTCGGAATAGCGAGCCTGAAATGACCGATCGGGCATTATCATTGGCTGAGTTTGTTGCTGTTTCTGTATTTGTGGTTGCGGCTTCGGTTGCTGTTGCTGTTGCTGTTGCTGTTGTGGTCGTGGCTGTGGTTGTGGTTGTGCTTGCAACTGCGACTTGTCTGGGGCATAGTAACCCCCGACCAAACTGCTGATGCTGCCCGACTTTTCATGGAGCGTTGGCGGGGGCGATCCATTGATGGTTGAACCACTTAAGCTCAGTTCTGGACGGTGTCTGAGGAATGAGACCTTGGAAGTCAACCCCTTGGGAAGCCCGCCCAGGACGTTAGCCCTCCCCTGGCCACGCCTCCTCCTCGCCCTTACCAGCCGCCAAATCATCCAAACTATGAAGCATACAATGATGAAGGCACCTGCGGTACAGGTTAGATCTTCCATTTTGGCAGTCAACGTGCGAGAGAGCCATACCTATTGAGCTAACCGAGATCAGAACGCGCTCAGTTCCGCGGTCCATACCACTTTCTGACGGTTCAATCCGGTTGACAACGCTGCCATTGCTTAGGTCACCATCGTTGGGCTTGATCTCGGGCGTTTCACCCAGCGGCCCCGGAAGTGGAGGAGGGCTGGCAGATGGCGTGGGTAACGGGGCCAGTGACGAAGGTACAGTTCCGGAAGCCCCATTCTCACCAATATCGACGAGGCTAGATGACGACGGCACCTCGCTCGCTGTGATGATGGGGGCATACGTGGTGACAGAAGGATCCTTCCAGAGATATTAGCACTGCTCAAATGTCACAGAAAACATTCAGACTCACCTCAAGAGTCGGGCTTGGGGTCATTTCAGGCTGAGGGACAACGGCAGATGTGCCAGACGCAGTGGGGGCATCAGAGATCGTCCCTTCTGCCGACGTAGTTGGCTCTCCAGAAACGGGGGTTTCGGTTGCGGTCGGAGCAGCCTCCGGTAACGAGGAAGAGGGCGCGGCAGTTGGCTCAGGAGTTGGTTCGGAAGTCGATTCGGGAGAGCTACTCGACGATGGCCTAGAGTCGTCATCACCGTCGTCGTTTCTGTTCCCATCCCTAAAACGTCCATTGCCGTTGCCATTACTCCCATTGTTTCCTCCGCGACTTCCACCATTTCCTGACCCATTTCCTCTGCCGTTACCTCCATTGTTCCTGCCACCGTTTCCCCGGTTGCTCCCTCGATTTCGATTCCCATTCCCATTCCCATTTTCGCTTCCATTCCCGTTACTGTTGCCCACATTTTCTTCACCTTCCTTACTATTCCCCCCATCCTCATCGCTGCTATCATTCCCGCCCCTGTTACCTCCTCGGTTTCCTCCACCTGAGTTGCCGTTACCGTTACCACTGCCATTTCGAAATCTTCCTCCGTTACCCCCATTCTCAGACCGGTTACTACCTCCCCCATTTCTGTACCCATTGCCATTTCCGTTACCGTTTCCCTTGTTGCTGCCACCATTCCGGTTGCCCCCTCCAGAATTCCTATTACCCCTATTTCTCCCAGAGTCGTTGTTGTTATCATCATCGTCATTATTGTTATTGCCGTTCCTGCCGTTGCCGGACCGAAAACGACGCGGACTATTATCATCGTTGTCATCATCTCTATTGCCATTCCCTCCTCCTCCCCTATTTTTCTGTCGGGGGTTGAGATTGAAATGAGGCAAGAGAGCGTATTTGTCGTCTGGGCATCTTCGCGCAACTGCTGTTGTGTCTTTTCGAAACGGAGCCATTCCCTCACTGATTTGCATCATACATCCGCCGGCGAGGTAAAATTGATCGACCGGGTCAGAGTATCCATCAAATTTTGATTTTCGTAGACATTGAATCTGTAAAGAATCGATTGAAGGCTGATCGGGGTTGGAGAGAACTCGACAACCGAGGTTGACTGACGCAGAAAGGAACGGTCGAAATAGTGATAATATTACAAAAATACGTAAAGGACAAGGTGGAAAGTATAGTACATAGAAGAAATGAACGGGAAGCCGGCCCTGTTGTGAAAAGAAGCAAAAAAGAAGGATGAAGGATAATGTGATTTGTGTGGAACAAAGCAAAGCAGAAGAGAAGCAGAAGCAGAAGCAGCAGTACAGACAGACCAAACTTCCTAGCCAAGCAGCCGGCAGTAAGGTTGCATGAGGGCCAAGCTCCACGTCCCTGGCAAGAAGCACATCAGGGATGAGATATGCCGGAGCTTCAAGGGGATCGAGCTGTACCAAAACAGGGATCCGGGTGGCATGGGGTTGTATTTTTTTTTTTTTTCTCAGCTTTTCTCTCACATTGGTTACCAAAATTTTAAACTTCCTCTCCAGAGATCTTGGTTCCGGCAGTCAGCAAAAGCATGGAGATGGAATCAACAAGGATAAAAAGGCAACACGATATAGAGATCGGAAACGGCTTTGTCTGAGTAGGAGCTTATATCATGAGGCTCTTTGAGGCTCACACGATGCAGCTGAACCGATGGTGTTGCTCCATCCATTTCCCACAAAGCTAAGCTGAGCACCCGCTCGCCCAACTTCTACACGCTATTGCATGACCAGAAGACAGGCAAGACTTTTGGCATTGCATATCACTTCTACTTCAGCAACAAGGCAACAGTAGCCACTTGGGATTTGAAGCTACTCGGAAGTTGAACGAAGGGCCTGGGAACAATGAGATGTTGTGGTTGCAGGCCAAGATTCAGGGTAGCAGGGGTAGTGCGTCTCAGCCGGCGAAGAGCGTGTTTCAGCTTCCTCAAGACGGTCACCGCGGGTAAACTACTAAGAACTGACGACGCATCATGGCGTTGCAGTCGCTTCACTTCCCGCGACGGCAAAGCCGCTGCTCAAAACAGTTCTGAGTTGAGAGCTTTTTATGATTTGAGTTTGTGTGTGGCGCCTTTACGGGTTACCACACACTCCCACTGATGAGACTGACGGCTTGCCTATGGCAGTTGGTCCGAACGTCGACACGCTTGGGAACTTCAATGCTGGGCGCGTGCTCTCGAACCCTTCCGAGGAGAGCAAACACCGGTCGACATGAGAGAAGATCAAGCATGTTTACTTTTCCAGAGGTTGATCCCGATGAGTCTGAATCGGTGGCCGTGTAGACATTCCGGGACTTGGTGGGTGGGGAGGGGGTTTGAGCCTGGAAGCTGGTTGGCACTGACCCACCAGCAGAAGATTCTTTTGCGGATTTGAAAACCAACGTACTGCGTTTGATGAACTGTGACAGTATGAAATGGCAGCGGTATCACTAGATGTGGCTGTGACACTCTACAGTGGTTCGGTGTTGTCGCGAGCAGAGGCAGGCCAAGTCCAGCTCGACGTCGGAGGTAAACACACCAAAAGACAGGCAAAGGCTTCTGAGGCCGGGCTTGGTAGCCACTCTTGTCGCGCGCAGCAGCACCAGCAGCTTAAGCTCACACCAAAGCGAAAAGGCAGCTTTTTCGACGCACAGGGGACAGGTTCGTTGGGACGACGTGGGGTGAAGTGGCAGATGAGGGGAGATCTCTGCAGATGCTTTCATGCGCACGAGATGTCAACCTGCGGGTCGATGGCACATCAAGCAGCAAGCTTTGACCGAATGAGCTCGAATACAAATAAGAGTGGCTGCTCGCAAGAGATCAGACGCGAGATTTGCCCTGCAATCGACAACATTCCGATCTTCCGCAGGGGCTCGAGAGGTCTTGCATCCAAGAAGCCCGAGTCATCGCTGAGTCATACAGAGTAACAGAACTCGGGACTTAAAGTGAGGAGTTAGGAATTGGGTATGCTTGTGACGGTGTGGATAGCGCTTGCTGTCACTGCAGTGGCAAGTTGAGGCTATAACCAACTAACATGTAATTTTTTCTTGCTTCCACACCCTCCGGTTTGGAAGACGGTGCTGCTAAAATTCACGACCGATAGCGAAGCATGGGATGCTTTCTGGTAGACAGGCACACCTTACACGTAGTTGAGTTTACCAGAAATTTGAACTGATTGCCACGTGTCGGGACAGTTTCTGATGCCTTTTGTTTGTTTGCTTTTGGAGAATCCCGAATTGTGCAATATCAGTCTGTACGCGCTCGTTGCTTGAAGCTATGCTCGGCAATGGCCGGTATCCGGGCTCAGCTAGGCGCTGACCGACCCGGGCCTCGGCGGACTCGGGACCGGCCCGGGGTTTGCCGGCTCTCTTTGGAGAGCGCAAACATCTGCAAACTGCAGTCTCGGCGGTGCTGGCATGTCCACATGCCTGTCCTCGCTCGGCATTTGGAGTTGGGCCGGGCTGACTCGGCAAGCTCAACAACCACAACATCACTTTAGCCGTAAACCAACCAACCGTGACAGGAGTGCGTTGCACTTAGCACGTAGCACACTGTCATGTTGCCCAGTGCCTTTGAATGCATGTGATAGTGTCGGTGTCCAGGTCACAACAATGGACGGCTTCCTCTCTCCCCGCAAAGAGTCAAGGGTTGCGCGAAAAGTCGGAATAGAATGTCATTTCGGGGAGAAACGGAGCATTATTAGCCCCTAAAAGTGAACAATGAAATTGTCAGAAATAAGCAGGCAGCGCATGAGAGGACCAGGAGAACTAGGCCGAAGTGGTGATGATGATGATACTGACAGCATGGGCGGTTATGATTCACACAGTTCAGATACGACACAGGTACCTCGAGCTGCCAATCCATACTTGCACTTATCGCTGCCATACTGATAAGTGATAATGCAGGCACGGGAGGTTCCGAGTTGACAGTGTGCAACCCAGGTTCCATATTGGTAACGCCCAATGCTGGCGAGTGGTCCGCTGCCTGTGCACTGTCACTCAAGATCAAAAATTTTCTCGTCGTGTCCGATGTTCGCCCACGCTGTCAGAGGAAAAGGTCTCCGTCATCTGTCACGGTTCCGCATCGGAGCCTTTTTGCATGGGTGCTGAGTGCAGTCAAGCCTCCTCAATTTGCTCCAAAATCTGTGTGTTCTGTGTCGTCATTCAAGGATTGCACGGGTTCGGTCGCTTGGCAGACGGCCTGGTGGGGTGTGGTGGGGGGCTGGTCCGCCGCAGAGTGGCCACTGGCCGAGGGAGCTATCAGAAGGGGCGAATAGGAAAAAGTCGCAACTGTTAGCCATGAAAAAATAGCCTCCACTACAAGAGACTGATGACAGGGCCGCGACCCGCAACCCGCCAACATCAAGCTCCCGCAGCTTATCTTAGCGCAGATCGCAGCCCTGATGATGGTCGACCTGCCCTGCCAATTGTGCAGCCCTTTGAACTAAAAAATTTCTTGTTCGTCCGTTTGCTGCCTCTGACGTTCCTCTTCTTTCGTCGTACTCTCTCGTCCCGCTTCGGCCAGTCTCTGCCAGTCCTTTCTCCAATCCCTCCCTTTTCACCTTCTCCGCGCGACCCCTAAGACCCCGCGCTCGCCAATTGAGCCCCTATGGCGACGTCACGAGCTTTCACCAAGCTCGCGGTGCCCCAGACAGGCGCCGTGCTGCTTCAGCAGTGCGTCACTCCCAGATTGTTCCTCCAGGCCTCGCGCAGGACGGTCGCCCCGAGGCCTCTCTTCGGCAGCGTGCAAGGACCTGTCTCGAGCCAGCTCCGCCGTAACTTTGCCAGCGAAGCTTCTGTCTCTCCGCCACCGCCGAAGAAGAGGCGGTTCCGCAAGTTGAGGTGGGCCTTCCGTCTCGGATATCTCTCGGTGCTCGGCGGCATCGCCTTGGTCGGATACAATGTCTACATGGACAGGCATCCTGAGCCCCAGGTGGAGCCCGATCCGTCCAAGAAGACGCTCGTTATTCTAGGTAAACACATTTCGGTGTGAGTTTGTGGCCGTCTCGGAACATCTGGCTGACCCGTGATTTGTTAGGCACCGGCTGGGGTTCGATCTCTCTGCTCAAGCGTCTGGATACCGAGAACTACAATGTGGTTGTTATCTCACCCCGCAACTACTTCCTTTTCACCCCTCTGCTTCCCTCATGTACGACCGGTACCGTCGAGCATCGTTCCATTATGGAGCCTGTGCGCACGATTCTGCGCCAGAAGAAGGGGCGCGTTACCTTCTACGAGGCCGAAGCTAGTTCCATCGACCCCGAGCGCAAGGTAGTGCGCATATTTGACACCTCGGAGATCAAAGGTAGCACAACTGAGACCGAGGTACCCTATGACATGCTTGTGATCGGCGTTGGCGCCGAGAACGCTACTTTCGGCATTCCTGGTGTCCGCGAGCACTCGTGCTTCCTCAAGGAGATTGGCGACGCCCAGAAGATTCGTAAGCGCATCATGGACTGCGTCGAGACAGCCATGTTCAAGGATCAGTCGCCCGAGGAGATCGATCGCCTTCTTCACATGGTTGTGGTTGGCGGTGGTCCCACTGGTGTCGAGTTCGCTGGCGAGCTGCAGGACTTCTTCCAGGAGGACATCAAGAAGCTGGTGCCCGAGATTGCTGATCGCTTCCGCGTGACGCTCATCGAGGCTCTTCCTAACGTGCTGCCCATGTTCTCCCGACAGCTGATTGAGTACACGGAACGGTCTTTCAAGGAGGAGAAGATCAATATCCACACCAAGACTGTCGTCAAGAAGGTGAATGAGAAATCCGTCGAGGCTGAGGTCACCCGCCCTGACGGCACCAAGGAAACCATTGTCTTCCCTTACGGCCTGCTCGTCTGGGCTACCGGCAACGCCGTGCGCCCTGTCGTCAGGGACCTAATGTCCAAGATCCCTGCCCAGAAGAACTCTCGCCGCGGCTTGGCCGTGAACGAATACCTCGTCGTGCAGGGTACGCGCGACATCTGGGCCATCGGCGACTGCGCCGTGGCCGGGTATGCGCCGACAGCCCAGGTTGCTGCCCAGGAGGGTACCTTCCTGGCTCGCCTTTTCAATAACATGGCCAAGACGGAGGCACTCGAGGAGAAGATCCGCCATCTGAGCTCCTCGCTCAACCTGGAGCCTGGTAACTCGGCTGAGATCTCTCAGGAGATTGCCGAGCTAGAGCGCAAGCTGCGCCGCATCAAGGATGTCAAGCCTTTCCAGTACTCTCACCAAGGTAGCTTGGCCTACATTGGCAGCGAAAAGGCCGTTGCTGATATCACCTGGTTCAACGGCAACGTCGCCGCTGCCGGCAGCTTGACATTCCTCTTCTGGCGCAGTGCCTACGTTAGCATGTGCTTCAGCATGCGCAACAAGCTGCTCGTGATTAACGACTGGCTCAAGTCCAAGGTGTTCGGCCGCGATCTCTCCCGCGAGTAGAGCGGTCTCTCTGTCATGATACCTTTTCCTTATATTTAGTTGCTTTTTCCTTGCCTTGTGGTCGTCGGCATTGTGATGGAGTCTGGGATTTCACGAGTTTATAGAGTAATGGGCTAGACTGGGTCGGGCAGGATAGAGAGACAATCAGCCATGGCATGGTTTTTTGTGTTTGCACTTTGTATTTGCTCTGCAGATTGTGATTTTCAGGGCGTTATCCTTACACGTGTCTTCAACCTTACCACGTATTAAGGTAACTTGTTCATTAACACACAAACACATAGCTGAGTAAATAGATTGACTGAATCAATCGGCTTTTTTTCCCGTCTCGATGCCACCTCGAAGGCTGTCGGGATAATTCCTCATGAGAACGAGGGTTAGGGTTTGAGGTGCGACGAAACCCACCTTGAGCTCCAACCTATAGCCCCGCGGCGTCAACCCTCGCTTCTTATCAAGCTGCTTGGGCCCATCCATAGCTTTGCAGACGATCCAAAATGCACGAAATCATCACACTCCAGCTTGGGCAACAAAGTAACTACCTTGCTACACATTTTTGGAATGCCCAGGTATGTACTGAATATTTTCTCTAATAACAGTAGTGAAGAGTCCATCTATCAATGGATGTGTTATGTGGAATGTTCTAGCCCAATGCCTACATCAATACTAGCTACTAACACACTTAGGAATCATACTTCACATATGGGGAAGATCAAGCACTATCGCCCATTGACCATGACATCCATTTCAGACCTGGTCTTGCCCCAGATGGTACAGAGACTTATATGCCTCGTACTGTCATATACGACCTGAAAAGCTCTTATGGCACCCTCCGTAAGATCAATGCTCTTTATGAGATTGTCGAGGAAGAAGACAGTCAACCACAGGCTCTCTGGTACATCTACCCATCCTCATGTGTGTGTTTTTTCCTCCCCGACTAATCATCCCCCAGGCAAGGTCAAGCAACCATTCACAAAGCCCCTGCCATCCCCGAGTCTCCTTACCAAGCCGCTCTCAACTCAGGCTTGACCCCTTCTCGCCCTTCTCCCTCTCAAATCCGCTTTTTCTCCGACTACTCCCGCATTTTTTATCACCCACGCTCAATCATCCAACTCATCGCTCCTGAACTTGAGCTTCATCTCAATGCCAACATCGCCTCCTCCAGCAGCGCTGCCTCGGCAGGCCCAAGTACCTCGAGCATCCCGCCGCCCCTGGAGCGGTACGCTGCTGGCGAAGAACTTTTCAATGACCTAGATAAAGAGCATGACTTGCTGGATCGCGACTTAAGGCCATTCGTGGAGGAAGCAGACCACATGCAAGGCGTGCAGGTCATCGCGGGGATGGATGACGCGTGGGGAGGGTTTGCGTCACAGTATGTGGAGAGGATAAGGGATGAGTATGGGAAAGTAGGCATTTGGGTTTGGGGCGTAGAAAATGGTCCTGCTTGGGGTGTTTCGAGGGTAAGCTTTTTTTTAATCTAACATCCCCAAGGAGTCAATTGTGCTAATAGGCAAAAAAAACCAAAAAAACAGGAAAGGCGCCTTCTCCGCCTAGCCAACAAAGCCCGCTCCCTCATCGAAGTATACAAGCAAGCCTCCATCATCGTTCCACTAGCAGTCCCCGAGCGCTTGCCCTTGAGGCTTCAACTGGACTACTCCTCGCAATGGCATACCTCCGCGCTGCTCATGGCCGCAATGGAAAGCGCCACACTACCCTCGCGGTTGCGCGACCCCTTGAAGCGCGACACACTCAGTGACATGGCCGAACTGCTCAATACTATGGGCAAGCAGAGCGTTGCGGGGTTACAGATGAGCTTTTCTGCGGTTGAGTCGGGGCAAAGGGATCATAGGGACCCGTTATCGCAGAGACGAAAGTTGACTGAGGAAGAGCTTTCCGAGGGCGTGCAGCTAGATGTCAAATTCACGCCGTCTGATCAGCTCGAGCCGTATGGGAGACGCAATGGGTACTTGGCCTTGAATCCGAGGGTTTTCAGCCAGTTGATCTCGTTACGGGGTTATAGTGAAGCGGATAATGACGAACAGCTCCCAATGGTTGATGAGAGGGGTCGGATAATACGCCAGAGTGCGTATGAGCCCATCACCAAGACGTAAGTCTCCCCCCTTAATTCCATCTGGAGCTTCGCTGATGGCATAAACTAACCATCATCAGCTATGCTACTCCGTTACACTTCCCTGTCCTCGATAGCTACCCTGAGATTTTCCGAAATGATGTTGGAACACCTGTTGGAGATGTCGTCAACATCACGACCAATTTGGCAACTGATTCCTCGGTGTTTGGCCGATTGAAGAGGTTACGTCAGACAGTGTTACGGTCATTTTCTATTGAGGACAGAGAGACACTGGGCAATGAACTCATGGAGATGGCGGATGAGTATCATGAGGGATGGTCCAGCGGGACTGACGATGGAGAAGATGATTGAGTTAGATAATTTATCTGCAAATAAACCGGACCCAAATATCTCTCTATGACGGTCTCATCTAGGCTTCCCAACTCTCCTGACCTCTACCAAAGTTACTAGTATGAAATACCAACACCAAGAGGGGACTAGCAGTTGTTTGTCTGAGGCACGTGTGCCTCAAAACCTATCATCTATTAGTCTAGAAAAATTCTAGATAATTTACAAATTCCAGACACATGACTGTTAATGCGAAGTGAGCTCAAATCTGTGTGCAGACTTCTCTCGAAGAGTGACATAGTAGAAAAAAGTGAAAAGCTCGAAGAACCAGTGGAGTCTCCCATTGGGACACAATTTCCCACTTCCTCTCTCCTCTCCAAAAGCGCCGAAAGTTGCTCCCAATACCGTTTTGTTCGCCACCCCCGAACCAAACGCCCCTTCCCCCCCTCCTCCCGCGGCGTGTGTACTTAGAAATCAAAGGCAAATATTGTTCATCATTGTTTCTCCGGTGCTACCACCGTTAGCGGCTGCCACCTTAGCTGTGTGATGTGTGATGTGGAGGTAGGGTCCCGCTTGCTATGTTCTCGCCAACGTCTTACCCTGGTTCCCCTGCGGCTGTTGCAGCTGGCCACTCTGGACACCCTCATTGCCCTGGGCCTGACGCTTCGCAGGTGGTGCCGAGCCCTGCCTGCTGGGCTCCTCTGAAGCAACACGCTTGCGACTCTTCTTGGCCGGCTGGGGCTTCTTCTCGCCCGGCTCGAACACGTCGTCGGGAAGAGCTGTGTTCTTGAGATGCTGGATTGCCAGGAACATAGTCTCGGCTTTATAGATCTCGTTCGACATGCACATGGCTTTCCAGTCGTTCACCTCGCGCGAGAGATTAAGTTGTTTGGCACCCTCGACCAACTGCAATCCGATGTAGTGGTTAGTGGTGTAGATTTCCATAAAAGATTCCTCCTCTTCTTCCTTGACGGGAATGTCTTCAAGTTTGACATTCTCGCTGTTCTCAAGCTTGACGTTCCCGTTTGTGTGGTCAACGGCCGGCGACTGTCCGTGCTTGGGGATATTGTTCATATTGGTCTTGCTATCGTTCGGTTCGAATTTGATCGTTGGCGCGGGCGGCGGCATGGGCTCACCGTTCTCCTGCTTCTCTTGCTTGACAGTAACGTCATCCTCAGTCTTCACCTCCGTTTTTATCTCCTGCTTCATCGTAGCATCCTGCTTGGGCTCGGGCTTTGACATGCCCTTGACCTTGTCTGCTTCGTTCGCAGCCTTGTACAAGTAAGCAAGACTACCCTGGCCCACGACCTCCTCAAGCTGGCGATCGTCCTTCACCCTGTGAACTCGGTCATAGCCCTTGTTAAACGGCCGGGCCAAGACGATGTCGGGGTGCATTTCCAGCTTGTTGACAAGCAAGCGCACCCTTGACTCGATAAAACCTGACCATGCATTTTGGGCCTGCTTGGTTCTGCTGGACGAGATGACCGTGAGATAGTACTTGAACCCATTAGTGAAGAAAGTGTGCTTCGTGAAAAGGTCTTTCCACGGGCGACGGCCCACCATGATCTCATCGGTGATTTGCGCACCTTTCTCCAGCTCCTGCTGGATGACTGCCATAGTGGAATTGCCGACGTTGTGTGTTGCGCACATGGACGGGTAGGCCGGGGTGATGATGGGCATTTTGTGGTTTCTGTCGCTTGCATAAAGCTAATTATTGTATGGTGAGACATCCACACCGGGTTTAGGGGGTTAAGGGCCAGCGAAAGTCTCTCACCTTGGGATTCCAAACCGCGACTCGCGTCACAGGGCAGCCATACTCAATATCCTTCAGTAAGACAGGGAGGGGCCAAGGCCACTTCACCATGATGTGGAAGAACTTATTCACAATGACAGCACTTGTCGCCTTCGGATACAGCTGGCAAACGCGCGCCACGAGCATTGCCCAGGCAACACCACCAGGGAAACCCATGATGTTTGCATAAATGGCCTTGCGCTGCGCCCACAGCTTGATGGCGCGCAGAGCGAGCTTGAACGTAGCAGGTTCGGGGACGAGGTTAAGGATCTCATCCGTCACTCTTGTGCCATTCAACGACCGCACTTCGTTCTCACTGAGACCTCGAAGAAGGTTGTTGTCGGCCAAGCTCCAGTTAGGATCGGCAGGCAACTGCATGAGGGTCTGGATGGAACAAAAGATCAAGTCGATGCTGATACCGTCAAACTCGAACTTGATGATGGGGACAAAGGCCTCGGGCACAGGGGTAAGGTCCTTGATGGCGCCAGGCGGTGCCATCTCAACCAGCACCTGCGGGAAGATCCTGAAATACTGCTCAACAGTGACGTATTTCGGAGCTACCACAAGTGTATCAATATCAGAGCCAGGCCCATAGACACCAAGCCGATAACTGCCATAGGTAAACACTCTGCCAATGGCATCGCGGATCAGAATCGAGTTCTTGGGTTGTTTCTCTTGCGCGGCTCTCTTGACGAAAACATTTGTAATCTTTTCAAGCTCTGCGAGCACCTTCTCGCGCTTCGCTCTCTCGGCAGGACTTTCGAATGTGCCCTGGGCACGCAGTTCCTTGTGGAGTGCATCGTGCAGGCGCTTCTCGTTTTCGGTAGGAAGGGCGGTCGAAATGGGAGGTGTCACACCCCATTGACGTTCGGTAGTCATGGTGAGATCGGACGGGTATTAAAGTCGTAGAAGGGTCGGTCGGTCGGCGATTGCGCAAGGTAACAGCAATCGCGCTGCTACGATTGGGGCCGCGTAGCAACGGTCGAAAACAGCCCGGCTGCCTCGAATCGATCGCGTAAATTGGGGGGAAAGTGACTGATTAAAATGAGTGTAGTTGAGGAAGTGAAGGAAAGGGATGCGAATCTCGATTTTGCAGACGGCGCGGGAAAGACAAAGGGACTGAAAGAAAAAAAAATTATATCACGAATCGAATCCTGGGAACTGTAGATGGAGAACCCACGCTATCGCAGCCCTCGGTCATGATAGTGCGACGGCGAAGGTGAAGGGATGCAAACCGGAAACCGATCGAGAGACGGAGGGAACTTGTGCTGGTTGGCAACAAGCCGATTCTGGATCCAAAACATAATCGCAAAGCGGACGCCACGCGCCTCAAGCTGCCAAGAGAGTTGTGGGGACTGTGCTTCCAGGACCCACCATAAAAGTGTGGGCCTAGTCAGTCATTTTCTACGTAACCATGTGACAGACAATGCCATCACGTAGGCAATGGGTTGATATTGGTAATGAAAGCAAAGATTGCCTATGGTTTTAATTGTCTATAATTTATAATTTACTGGAAACAGCTCAAAAATGTTTGGATGATGCTTTTTTGTGAATCGGAACAGGCCACTCTGGAAGAGATTTTTCTTAAATCACTCAACTTCTAACCTCTTGCTCCTCACCCTCAGCTTGTAAGGGTTACGGATTACATAGAGGTTCACACATGCCGTAACATTACAAAAAGAGCTGACAGATTGCAGTGCGCATTATCTGGGCAGCTGAGTTTTCGAGCACTCAAGGAACCCACCCCCTACAAACGGCTGAGTGGTTCGGATCGCCGTTTAGCCCTGGCGTTGAACACACGGGTCCTGGTTGCTGGATCTGTGCTCCACGGCAGAAGCCTATTAAGAGTCGCACTGTCCGTGTCATCGAGCTAAATGTAGTATTACTCCGTGGCTCATGCAGTGATACAGGAGCTTGACTCTTTTTCTCTCTCACCTCTCTCTCAGACCGTTGTTACGGCTCAATGGAAGCAAACAATGAAGAAGACACTGCTGCTCTGCTTTATCCACGGCTTCAAGGTGCGTTTGATCATCCTGTGCCGCACGCCATGGCAAGGCAACGTCCCAGGTACTCTATTTCAATAAACACCACTCTAAAATGAGATTAGGGGGGTGACGACACGTTTGGCAAGAACTATTCCTTTGTCGAACACCTGCGCAAGCGTCTTGCCACATCATTACCGCGTGTCAATGTTGAAGCCATCGTCTACCCCAAGTATGAGACACGGGGCGACTTGGGTGAATGTGCGTCTCGGTTCAGGGACTGGTATGCCCCTTGACAAGCATGAGCTGTCCTCAAACGACAGCCGAGGCTAAGTCAAGACACACAGGCTCATCAACAAAGTCATCGACCTCGAAGTCGCGGCCGGCACAACCTCTCCGACTGTTGACCCATCTGTTCGGGTCGTCCTTGTAGGCCACTCCATGGGCGGCATCGTGGCCGCCGAGACGACCATCTCTATCGCATCTGAGCATCCAATACACAACAGTGTTGATGAAGACAGTCCGAACAAGTCGGGGACCGCCACACCGCCAGCCCCTAACCCGTTCATGTTTCCTTACATACAGGGCCTCCTAGCTTTCGACACTCCCTTCCTAGGCATTTCCCCTGGCGTCGTTGCTCACAACGCTGAATCGCACTACGCAACTGCGGTCACGGCCATTTCCCAGCTGAGCAGCCTGGCAGGTCTCTGGGCGGGTGGGAAAGCATCCCAGTCCTTTTCTTCGGGGAGCAGCAAAGCTCTGGTGCCGAAGGAGAATAAGGAGAAGAGCGGCGGCAGCGGTTGGGGGAAGTGGGGTACCATCGCCATGGCCGCAGGGGCAATCAGTGCTGTCGCTGCTGGAGGAGTGGCAGCATACTACAACAAAGAGCATATCAGCCATGGGTTGAACTGGGTCACGTCTCATTTAGAGTTTGTGGGCTGTTTGGCTCGCAAAGAAGAGCTGCGCCGGCGAGTAGCCTACATGCTTCGCTTAAATCGTGAGCTGGGTGTAGGCTTCGGGAACTTCTACACACGGCTTGGTCAGGCCGCGAGTTCGAAGCAGGTCAGTATGGTTGGCACAGTGCTGGGCAACGAGCGGACATTTTGCATTGTTCCTCGGCAAGAGTTAGTGGGTGACTGGCGGGAAGCCGTGAATGATAAAGCGAAAGATGAGATTTGGGCACATATGTGTAAGTGATATTATATGTTACAAACTCATTATCATGGTATTGATGAGCTAACTTGGTTGAAGCCATGTTTGAGCCTGAGGACAATCCGAATTTCGACAAATTGGCGGCCGAGGCAAGTGCCATGGTTGCCAGCTGGGTGCCTGACGACTGGTACGATGCTGGCAGTACCAACGACACACCTCAATCGGAGGGAGACCGAGAGCAACCGCCATTATTGGCACTCCCGCCTGCGTAGTTTAACATATTGCTTAGATACTTAATTTAGGGTTGACTCCAGCACCTGCTTGCCGTCCCCTTATGATTGCCCGGCTGGCAGCTATTAAGGCAGGATGTAATGCTACAAGCATCGCCTGGAGTTTGTCACGACGTAACTGTGTTGCTGAATTGAAGGTTTTTGGGCGGCAACTCTTCATTGTCTCTTCTTCTCGGCAGCCTTGCTGCTGCCCAGGTATCTTCTCCGCTGCTTGAGCATGTGGCCGTAAAGTACGGGGGAACCTGGGAAAGTGTCAGTCTACGTGTAAAAATAGTGCCAGGACACCAGAAGATCCACCCACCAGGAATATAAGACAGCAGCACAGCAGCGAGAGCGTACGGGTACCACCAAGCCAGCTCAGCCGCAGGACCAAACAAAGCCTTCAACGTCATAGCCACCTCGCTGCTGATACCGATTGGATACAGGATTAGAAAAGCGCTGTAGCGTAGCCAATGCAGCCATCCAGGGACAGCGTCGAACTGCTTGAGGGCGAAGTATGAGTAGCGAATGACCTCAGTCGTGCTCCAGGCGAGAAGCATCGAAGAATACCAGGCGCTGCCGTTCAACTCGGGAAAAGGGTAACAGACCGCCCACATCAGGAAGAGTCGGCTCGCAACCTGCATGGCGGTGGTGAAGAAAGGGGCAGGAACAATCCCTGGTGGGTAGGATAGCCTCATGTCAGCATTCAGAAAGCCTAGCAGACGAAGGCAGACATTGACGACCATGGGAACTCACCAGTCAGAGCATGCAAGACTTCCATGATAGCAAAAGTCTGCGTGACACGCACAAACGCGCTCACAACAAGGGGGACCAGAGGCGCTCCCTTCAGGTATGTAACGACCGCGACCCTGCCGAGGATTGTCGCCCACGCCACCGCCGAAGCGGCATTGTAGAGGACGAGATACGCCTTCTTGGGACCAAAACCATTGGCCATCGTGCTTACAAAGTTTCGCTGCGTCGTTGTACAGCGAATCGGACCCTACGTGAGTAGTAAAAGGCGGCTGGACAGCTGTCGTTCGGGGGGACGATGACGGGCAAAAAATTGTTGGCTAGAAGCTAAGTTCAGGCACTTTTTGTTGGCTGCCCTGGGCGCCGACGGTCCCGAGGACCCGGCATTCTGGGCCATGGAAGTTTGCAGGGGGTCGGCCCGCTAGCGACTGGTGGACCCACCAGCCGTAGCGTCCTAGCAGTGATGCCAGTGATGTCACTCAGCAGCATCCATGGGTCCGCTGGCGCTACTCACATCACCCCTTGCCCCGACGCGCCGGCTCCCAAACAGCAAATTTGGTCGAGTTGCTTTGGAGATTTTGAACATAATGCACCAGATCGTTGCGAATACTGTTTAACTGGATGAATATGAAACGAAAACATATTTGTGTGTTTACTAAGGGTATCTTCAAATCTCCAACTATCACGTTGTGCTCCTTAACTTTCCAGAAGTCTCTGAACTGCGATGGTATGTGGCAGATATCCATGTGTAACTCCATAAAACAGCCCATCCCAAAAAAGCAAAACGGGACTATCACTCTGTACCTTATACACCTACTGAGAGGCAATGCCAAACTCACTATGCGCCAATGTCAATCCCTTGAGATGAACAAAGAAAGACAAAGAAAACTCGCAGATGTCATCTCTAAAGACAATAAAAGAACAATAATAGAACAGCTATATGTCTTGAATCACTAATCACGACTCAAAAGTCAGACTTCTTGATCACCGAGCGGACAAAGTCTCGGCTAGCGCGAAAGGTGTCTCCCCAGCCGGTAAACAGAAACTGGTCTGAATGCCGTCCGCAGTAGCTGTTGGCGTTGATCTTGTGCGGTGGAATAAACTTTTTGCTGGGATATGTACTGCTTGTTTCCACTTCGATCCGCCACGAGGCATGTTCCGTGCCGTCTGTCGGGGAAGTGGGGGGCGTCTGTTGATGGAAAGCTGGGAAAGTGGGGGACGTAGCCGTAGTGGGAGAAGGAGAAGCCCGGGAGGAGCTGGACGAAGAAGGCCTTGACGAAGTGATCGTGGAGAGGATAGGAATCTTCTTTTTCCGAGGAAGAAGCGGCGTTGTAGAATTAGTAGAAGAGACGGAGTCAGAGGTTGACGCGTTGCTGGGTAGATCGAAGCGGTGCTCGAAGGAGTTTTGAGAAGTTAGGGAACTCTGAAGGGAAGTTAGCATCCGTAAACTCTCGGGTGCTACGTGGGCTGAAACACACCATGCTGTTCGCTGACAGAGCAGAAATCGGAATGGTGCTGGGGACAGCCCTCGCGGGCCCAATGTCAACACGCGGCGGAGCAAGTAAGTGGGAAGGTCGAGCTATCGACAGTCGTCCGCTAAGTGTTCGAGAGAGCGGTTGGCCAGCGAAGTGTAACTACAAGCGGCAAATCCGTTCAGCCTCTCACCCTGATGGGGTATTGTCTGCCGTCGAGAATGACCCGATGATCCAAATATCTGGGTCTGGAAGGTATTGCGTGAGGTTGGATTGGACAGATGATTTGCACTGCCACCACAACAAGGAGCTTGGCTGCCGTAAAGTGCTGGTATGCCTGGTGATGGAGTAGGCTTATATAGGAGGAGGGGAGGATGCAATGAGCTGGGCTACACAGAGTTGAGGACAACACAACCGGGTCCTTCCAGGTCTCAATTGAATGTAAAGCACCTACACCCAATCCTACGTCCTCCATTGATGACTAACTGGTGGAACAAAAGGTCATGCATATCTCATGTTAGGTGCCTGCGTTTGGCGAGTCGTTTGCTAAACGTTCCCTTCTGTTTTCTCAGCGCCTATTGTAAATCAAAGTCGGTCAGAAATGCGCAGCATGGGTCCCCCTTCGGTTCCTATCTTGATTATGTAGGTCCTAGTGCACTCGGGACCTACGTATTTGACGGTTTCATTGGCAGCCTGCGACATGGCTCGCAGTGGATGCCTGGTAGAAACAGCCGCCAAGTCCAGGCGGATGAGCAAAGCGTAGGTCCCGGTCGCCTTGTAGGGCTGCAGGGACCTTTAAGAAGGATGGCGCCGATTAGCCAGGATTGGACAGAGATTATGCAAGCGGGGATGTGGGGGTGCAAATCTGCGGCAAGGCAACCGTCGGGCGGGGAGCAACTGAGGGGCAATGTGATCAAGTGACTTGTACTGTAATCCCAAATTGGACAGTCCGCTTGAAAACGCATGCAGGAAAGGACTCAAGGGAGCCTATGACAGCGTCGTCTAGGAGCGGACCTTTTTCGTGGATGTAAGTTAGCACCTTGCGGTGACGAACGCGGCCGCAGGTCGCCACATTCTCCAAGTGTATGTCCTGTCAGGATGGGCATCCCGGAACAGATGGTCTGGTATTGGTCTTTCTCAAATGCTGGATCGTTCATCTAGTTCTTGTCTAGCCGCACTGCCGGATTCTTCTGCACAAAGTTGAGATCGACCTGGTGTCCCAACAGCTCCCGAATGTTCGAAATACCGTACTTAATCATGGTCGGCCGTTCCAGGCTCAAGCCGAAACCGTACACCACCATGTCCTTTGGCAGACCCATGGCCTAAAACCATCATTAGCGCTTCTTTGCTTCTTAAAAACGGCGGAAACTACATTACCTCCAGCATTTCCGGTCTGAAGATGCCCGAGTTGCCAATCTCGATGAGTTTATTGAGCCCCTTGTGGTACGAGAAGATCTCCATACTCGGCTCTGTGTAGGGATTGTAGCTGAACTGGGGTTAGCCAAAGTGGCATTCAAATGAACAGATACCAGATTTACGCACGCAGGCTTGAACCGAAGATCGGTAACACCCATGGCACCGAAGAAAATCTCCATGAATTCCATAAGACCACCCAAAGTGAGACCGTAGTCAGCAATCACGCCTTCCACCTGATGGAATTCACACAAGTGAGTTGCATCGACGGTCTCGTTTCTGAGCTGGAGTCAGCCATCACTCTCAAAAAGCGACATTGACTGGATGGACAATGAATTACCTAAAGACCCTGTCGATGGAGAAATACCGCGCCGGAGGGACACGTCCATCCTTGGTCCTCTGACCAGCGAGCTTATGAAGCATGGCCGCTGAGATGGCGGTTGTGTGTGTCCGCAGAACAAGTCTAGCAATTATGTCAGATATGTTACACCAATATTGGGTTGGCAACATACCTAAGCGACTCATCCTCCGACCATGGGTATCTGTACCCAATAGACCCATACTTCCCATCCTGATGAACTTGTCTGACGTTCTGGAAGTACTCGTCATAATCTTGCTTGTCCTCGGCAGAGACAGGCTTCGGCCTATCGGCCTTGGGAGGGTCTGAGACGTAGAAGGTATCTTGCAGATCACGAGCAGGGTGTTGCTTCAAGTCATTAGAGGCAAGGCCAGTAAGGAACGTGGTTGTTTGAAATAAAATACCTGAGGAACGAAAAGAGCGTCGAAGTTCTATTGGCAACTCCAAGTTAGCAAGATTCCATGACTTTATGCGTCGTTAACGTCAAAAGGTGCAACATACCCAGAAACCCGACTCAACAAATTGGTTTGTAGGCATCTCGGTAAAGCCCATCTCGAAAAAGATTTGCCTTTGAGAGAGAAAATATGGTCAGAATATACGTGGAAGCGGCGACGGTAGGCTCTGTGTGGACGAACCTGAACTCTTGGCGGACTTTATTCAGGGGGTGAAGGGCACCTGCACGCTGGTCCGCACCCAGGGCGTTAAAGTTGTAGGGCTCTGGGACTGTGTGAGCTATTCCTGATATTTGAAAAAAAAGGAGAAATGCTCTTCCAACAGCAATACTGCCATAGGTCTTATCCTGTGGGAGACTCACTGAAGGTAGCAGTCTTCCAAGCGCCAGACACAATCAGCTCGGCAGTGAGGTCTGTTTCTTCCTTAACCAGCTGCAGGGCAAATTTTGGCCCTTTGCTTATTCTGAAAGAAATAACCTTCTGCATCTTCAACAGTTTGCGCTTCTTGAGCTCAGCAATGACTTTGGGGTCATGTGTCCGCGTTTTTTAATCACTTGCAACTGCTCCCGGGTGACATCCTTGATCGAGTCAACCTAGAAGGTTGTTAGCAGCTTGGACCTCGTTATACTAGATCCATGGCTCTACTGACCAGCGCAACAAGCTTGGTGCCGTCTTTCTTGATCCACTTCTCTTTGAAGGCCTTGCCCTGACCCAACTTGGTTACAGTCTTGTCGCCAATTGTCGTCTCGAGATCCTGAAGGGTAAGGCCGTCCAGGGCCTTGCGAACGGCCTCAAAGACGCGCGCCTCGTGGCTGCCATGGGCAACAATCTCCTCCGCCTCTGGTTCCAGCAAAGCCTCCTCGCGCTCGACTTGTTCATATGTAACCATCGACCGGGAGGCGAGACGGTCAAGGGCGGCTTTGATTGCCTCGAAAGTGACCTGAGGGAAGGCTTCGGCCGAGGAAATTGGGTCGGCCTTGTCCAGGGCCTGGAGGATCTGTGAAGTGAGATCCCCCGTCGAATTGTTATACGCCGAAGCCATGTTGCGACTCTTGCTCGAAAATGTATATCGCGATGGTCAGTGTTGACTCAGAGCAAAGAGAATCGCGGGGCTCTGATGTTCCGACCTAAGACCCACTTGCTAGTAACGACAGTTTTAGGCGGGGTAGGGGTCAGTCTATTATCCGCATAAATATTCAGTAATTGAAGTCAGATCACATTGTCGAGGCGTGGAATCCCCATGTTGCCTCAAGACAAAAGGATCTCATATCCAAGTAGATTAACTTGCTCCTAAGTGCATATAAACTGTGTTCCAGAGAGGGAGCAGCGGCACAGTATTGAGAGGTCGTGTGACTCGACAAAACAACGGAGATATCATTGTGGTGAGTGATGTGGAAGAAACGGATGCAATACGGACTGCAGATGCACTTAACAACCGCTCAGCATAGATGTTTGCATGATGAATCTCATCTTTTTTGTTATTTGAACCTGTGTAGCTGTTTGTGATGCTTTCAGCTCAAGTATAACCTTGAGTGTTAGGGTAAGATTGGTGACACATTGTTCACTTGCTCAAAAAATTGAGTAGCAAACGCATGTCCTCACCAGCTGAACTCAAACTGTATCATGCAACTGATATTGATGCTAATGTTTGCCTTAGCAGCGAAATGTACGTGGCTCTTTTTTTGGGTTTTATGCCATGATTACTCTCTCTTGGGATCCATGTCTCAATGAACTCTGGGACAGAAGCCAAAGCAGGTGGATCTTCGGGTACAACACCCGGTCACACCACGCAAACGAGCTCATCTATGTGATATTGTAAGTTGCTTTGCACCATTGAGCTTGTAACCAAAACTGCTGGAGAATCCAATTTGAGATGCTTGTAACCTGCTACACACGGATGTTCATATATCTTCTACTCGAAACGAGGGCTAATTGTTCAGTCTGGTCATAAAAGACAAGTAAGAGATTGCGGTTCGAGCCGATTCGCCGAGCATATACACCCTCCTTACCTTCTACCATGGTGCGCATAATCTAACACAATAATAGTTATACACAATACACTGTCAAGTGGCGAGCAAATCAGAGAGTAGTGACTTTAAATGTTACTGTTGGAAGAAAAAAACAAGTGTAAACTTATCAAGCCAAGTTGCCAAATCCCGGCTCTCGTGCCTCTCGCATATTTATGAATTTAACGACAGGGAAGCAAGACAAAATCGCATATCTTGAAATATGTGAGTTTGACTCCCCAACTGTCTTATTTTGTGCCTACATGAACCCCTCAACTGTGCATTTGACGAGTAGGTAACCTGGTAAGGGTTTAACTATCTATTGATCTTATACTATATCCCAGGGAGACGGCCGAGTTGGACCTCGACAAACAGGTAGGTACTTCCAATTGCAGTTGCCTCGGTTATTATGGAAGAGGCGGTATACTGGTATGCAATATATGATCTTAAGGGGCGTGGCAATACCCAAAAATTGATGGTAAACGAAGAGAAGAGTCGGCGTTGCGGAGCCGAAATCCATTGATTAGAAATGTATAAGCCGTGTATATATGTACCGGAATGATTCCGCGCCCCTTCAGTGAAAACAACATCTTCATAATATGTCGTCCCATGAACCGTTGCGCGCTGCCACCCAAACGCCAAAAAACCGACTACCTGGCAACATACCCAAGTATGGCCGGAGTCATATGGAGGTATCGTGTCATGTACAGAACCGTGATGTTATGCATCTTCAAGTCTAGACGTTCCTCTAATCCTGCGCAACGGTTTGCTGCGATTTCGTTAGCACGTCAGCGTGACAAAAGATGCATGAGAAGATAATGGTGCAGACCTACCGCCAACCAGTCCATGCCTTCTGTGATGCCCGTGCCTTCCACAGCACTGCAAGCCATGATACTCCAGTTCCTATCCCTTAATTCACCAAGCCTGAGAGCTTGAGAGATATCTGCAGCGCCCTTAGCACCAGGCTGATCCTGCTTATTTGCAAACACTAAGAGGGCGGCATCTTTGAGCTCCTCCTCATTCAACATGGCAGCCAATTCGTCCGCAGCCGTCTGCAGCCGCTCGATATCGGTGGAATCGACGACAAAGATGACTGCCGCAGTGTTGGCATAGTAGCATCTCCAGTAGGGCCTGATGCTAGTTTGCCCTCCGAGATCCCATACGTTAAAGTTAAGGTTCTTGTATGTCACGGACTCGACATTGAACCCAATGGTGGGGATCGTTGTCACTACTTCGCCAATCTGTATGTCGTGTTAGAATGTGCCATGTCGCAGAGAAAAAAAGGGGGAATCGTACTTTGAGCCTATAGAGAAGCGTCGTCTTGCCAGCATTGTCCTAAAAAGGGAGAAAACGTGGTCAGCTTAGTGGCCAGAGATACTTCCTAGGGAGCTTTTGCTCACCAGACCGAGGATGAGAATCCGAATTTCCTTCTTGGACCAGAACAAGCTGGACAGCCAAGAGATACTTTGGCCCATTTTTTCGAAGCTGTGGTTGGAGGAAAAAAGTTGAAGTTGTTGTTCGACTCAAGCCGACCGCAAAGGTAAGGCGAGCAGAAGGAATCGTAGGCTAGGCCGATCCACCCACGATGAGGGAACCCCGAAAGTACGCGGTGGCCTCAAAAGACAGGTGGCAACAAGGGGCAAAAAGAATCGCAAGGCGTGTTCGCCGAATTTTAAAACACTCCAGACTTCGGTCTGTATCGATGGTCTTTGCAGAGCAGAGTCTCTGTCGCGGTTCGTCCCAGAGGCCTCCCCGGTCCCAGTTCTCAGAGCAGTTGAGCCCCCTGACCTCGCAAGCGCGCGTTGGCCTGCTTTCGCCGGCGGCGTTCGATTGGCGGCCGCGCCGGGGGCGGGCACCCGACCTTGCCAGTCGATAAGCCACAATGAAACAGCCACGAAAATCCTCTTAGTCACGTGATTCAGCCACAGTCGGATTTCGCACCCTAGGGACCGATTTTCTGACGCCCACACCAAATATTCCAATCCCACCTTGAGGAACCATCACCATATCGACAACATCTCGGTTCTCGCGACAACAAACCGTTAAAATGCCGGTACGTAACGCCTAAAAGTTTCGTTCGCGCTCTTTGTCATTCTGATCTTCGATCATCTTCGCAAATATCTCTGTCACCGCAGCACTTGAAGTTTTAGAGAGAGCGCCAGGGGTCCGCTTGATTGCGTTCGGAAGCTGACTTTACGATTCCAAAACACAGAGCCACAAGACTTTCCGTATCAAGCAGAAGCTGGCCAAGGCCCAGAAGCAGAACCGGCCCATTCCTCAATGGATCCGGCTCCGCACCGGCAACACCATTAGGTATGAAGTCATGACGGCCTCGATGAGATCGAAAGCTCTCGACGCTCCACAGAACTCCCCCTGGGCACCCAATGTTCACGTCCGAGTCGCATGCAATGTGTAGAATGCTAATACGCATGAAAACAGGTACAATGCCAAGCGGAGGCATTGGCGCAAGACCCGCCTCGGCCTCTAAATACTCATTCTCTTTCCTCCTCATTCGACCCCACGAGCGAATCTCGATCTTCCCATGGCTATTCCTACTACTCTTGGCCTCGGCGGTCCATCTCTCAGTCAAGAATATCTAGTCGTATCCTTCCCTTCCCTGGTCGCCGTTTCATACCATGAAGGAAAAGGCGGGGCCAGATTATCTTGGACGGCAGGACAAGTATCTTCGGTCCAAGTAAGGAAGACGGGAATAGGTGTATAGTGAGATGGAGGTGTAAGGCGGAGGAGTAGGACAATGATTTTCCGGACTTCTTTCGGGCTGGGCATCTCATTCTCACTTGGCTGGAAAATCAAGAGGGGAACTCGTTCACACATTAACGGAGTATGCCATGGTATTTAGGGTCCGGGGAAAATGGAATGAGAGAAGGCATTTGATGTCTTTGCGCCTAATTGTTACTAACTCATTCTCCTGTGAAGCTCATGTTTGACGCATCAGATGTGTAGCTTTCCAACCTGTGGCTCGCAGGGAGCTTGCGGTCAAACCAATAACATTCCACACCTAGGTCGAAGTGATCTGCAACATCTTAAAGAAGGGAGAACAAGGGAAATAGGGGCGGTTTTCAGGAGCGGAGGGCACGCTATCACTGGTTGCTGGATACTAAACTGGTGCGAGCTGAGGACTGCGCCGCCGCAGTTTGGCTCCTGACATTACAATGAACAGTTTTTCAGGCTACTGTTTGGCTTGCTGCTTGGAAAACTTTCTAAAAGTACACTCATCCAAGATGCTGTGTCTGCTGGTCAAGTATTAGGAGCATGGTAGGCTGGCAATCAGACTGAGGTATCACCATTACTATCGGGGCTGAAGCTAGGGCTCACATGGCCAGATCCTCGAAAACAACTTTGCGGTAGGTCAACACTGAAGTTTGTGTCTGACCTGCTCCACTCCCAGGCTCAACAAACTTGGTCCTCGCTTGACGTTTCAAACCGTAACCGTCCCTCATCCTTGACGGCTAACTGGCTTCGGAGAAACCTCAATCGTGATCCGTGATAGTATAAAATCAGTGCAGAATCAATCATGAAACCCCCGTAAACGCCTGAAGAACACCATGACGTGATGACGGGTGGAGGTCATGTGGGTATCAGGTACCAGACATGCTCACCAAAGCTGTCTGCTATTCCCGGTTGAAGGGATTCAAAATAGATTGTCCTTAACGATCTTCCGCCCACTCATTCTCACGACGGATCTGCTCCTCTTCTTCAGGCGTGAAATCGTTGGTGATATTAAAAGTCTTGCGGATCTCCTCAGGAGACTTTCCCTTGATCATGTTCGCAACAGTCTTGCAACCAACATCAAGGAGAGGCTTGATATCGAGGTAATTGGCAGCCTTGAGTGGAGAATATTAACTACTGTCGGTAGCAATTGTAACATAAAGGGAAAGACGCACCAAAATGATCTCGAACAGCATTTCTTGATCTACCTGCATGAATTTCTGATCCCATTCATCGATGTCGGTGGTCTTTTTCCGACTGTCATTGTCATCATCGGCAGTTTGGGGAGCATCGTTGCGATGATGCTCACACCACTCGATGACTTTGCGCAAAACCGGATCATTGACGTTGGGGATTGGAATTGGTGTTCCCATGACGGCATCATCACCAAGGTCTTCAATCAAGTTTTTGATAAGCATCGACCGCTCGGCAACGACGCGATCTGGAGTCCTGGATTAGTCACAGTCAAGCACCGAAGGGCGGGTAGAGGAGAGAGCATACCGACTTCGATTTGGGAGTTTTCGTTGCTGAGAAGGATAACCTTCTGGGTGCTTTTGTCGGCCATTTTTTAATTAAGGAAGATCGGTAAATCGGTGAATAACCTGGATGTTTAGGAAACGGCAGCGTCCTAGAATAATGGCTGGATGTGTTTGTAGATGGTAAAGTCTGTCTTCACGTTGTCAGGTCGCTGGTGAGAATAAATGCACGAGGCACTGGCGCTTCACGGAATGTCACTGGACAGCCAATATGATGAAGGCAGCGGGGAAAGTTTGAGGCGCCGTCATCAGCTGGTGGGGAGGAGCTTACGAATAAGTAGTGGAATGGCACCTTCCAACAAGTTTGCCACTTCAGAATTTTGTATCAAAAGATAGTTGGGACGGTGTGTAGATCGAACAGCGACACGGCTTGGATTTATATGAGATGACAGAAGACCCTAAATGATGCTTGAACTCCTGTTTCTTTTGTTGGTATGGATCGTGACCGTTCTTTAGCACCTGCGCTGCCTGGCACAGGTCTGTTGCTGCCTCACAGCGGAGTGCTTCAGCCTGGTTAGGAGCGGCAGGCAGTCGCCTCAAAGGTGCACGAGCCAAGGTGCACATACTACTTGAAGATGGGTCTATGGAGCTGTTTTGCCGGTCGTTATCAGCTGTGGACAGCTGGCATTGGGCCGCTAATAGGCAATGACCATCCTTGCATGGACCAAGCTGGGCAGGCGGGCTTTCTAGCTTCAGACTTGTGCGTGTATGGAAGGCCTCCACCCAAAACAGGTGGTACACCGAGCGCCGGCCATTATTGGGCTGACCTTGAGGACAGGCCCGAGAAAGTAGGGCTTGGAATCACAAGGGTGAGCTTGGTGAAGGAGTAGCTGCGGAAAATCACTGGTTCTGCAAATATCTAGATGACTACATGACTCTATAAAACCAGGATTCGAAAGTCATGGGAGCTACAGGTAGGCAGGGTTACATATTTCCAAAAATCTTGCACTCAATCTTGGGTAGTTCTTCGCAGTTCCGATGCTCCTCATGCCACACTAGCAGGTCACCGACTTCAGCATGGCGACCCAACTCCCACCAGCCTGGAGCTGACGATTTCATTCCCCGCTGTGTAATTTCGAATGAATACAGACTATCACGGGTAGTAATCACATAGGAACTACCTGCAGCGTGCCTAATACCTCAGACTAGCATCATTCTCACTCTTGCCCAATGACGAATTTCTTGCACATACCTATTAACAGCATAAACCGTCGGTCAGATAAAGGTATACAAGGCATTGATTATGTTTCTAGCACTTCCATCTTCCGAATGTGACTTGGTAGGGTCGAGATGGATGGGAGATGACCAGACCAGACGACCAAGCTGGTCATTAAAATGCCCAACCAAAACTTCTCCCTATTGTCATCTTGTTACGTTACAAGCCATACCCCGCAGTAAATTACATGCACAAAAGATGTGGGGATCGGCTCATTTTAGCAACAGAGCCAATGCAAGCTGTCAAGCAGCTGGACCCTGTCGCGAACAAGGAGGTCGACTGTAGAACAAACACGTCGGCCACTGCCATCGCGGCACCTCTCCAACAGTCCTGAGATTTGCTCCAGGAGATTTCCCACCCATTCTTGTTCCATTTTCTTCTTTTACCGCATGAACCCACTTTTCTGATCATGACATACGTCCCCCTGGGCGCTGGCCGTTTGCTGTGCAAGTTTTCAACCACGCTTTCGCCTCGGTGTTGCCCCTGAGTGCTTGAGTGACCAAGCAACTCGGAGAGCCCTTCAGAGCGCTCCAAACCAACATACGGATGCTTCGGGCTTGTGGCAGTATGAACTTGCTAACGGAGCAGACATTTAAAATTCTAAAATGTGGAGGAGAATATATCTCTGCCTGATTCTAGTTCGGTTGTGGTTCGCTCTCTCGCCGAGCTATCTGCATCCCGATGAGAACTTCCAGGGACCAGAAGTGATTGCTGGTATGTTACCGATCCCATGTTTCCTGTTCTTCATCCGGGGCGCATCTCTCAGAGCGCGCTTTGGCGACTCGAATACTGAAAACCTTCCCATTGATGATGCGCACCCCGGACTTCGCCAGCTGTCGTGCGGTCCGACTCAGGGTATCAGTGGAAGCTTTCTGACGAGAGTGATCGCATAGGAGAGATCTTCAATTATCCTGTCCGGAGGACCTGGGAATTCACAAGCGACCACCCGATTCGGAGCGTGTTTCCGCTATGGCCGGTTTACGGGCTGCCGATGTTGTTGCTGCGATGGTTGTGGGGTAGTGACGGCGAAGTGCCCCCCATCGCGGTCTTCTGGGCGCTGCGGGTGCTTATGTTTATCGTGGGGTTTGTGCTGGAGGATTGGGCGATTCATGAGCTGGTCCAGCCGCAGCGCCAGAGGCGCATTGCAGTCCTTTTAGTAGCGTCTTCCTACGTCACATGGACATACCAAACCCATACCTTTTCGAACTCGATAGAGACCCTGGTTGTGGCATGGAGCTTGGTTTTGATCGAGCGAGTTGTCGCGAGTCAGGTAAGTGTCCACAAAGTCATTTCAAGTGTTAGTGAACAAGAATATTGCTAACTGGCTGCAGCAGGAACGCTCGTATCTTGCTTCTGCGGTGCTTGGGATAGTTTCTGTTTTCGGCGTCTTCAACAGGATAACGTTTCCAGCTTTCCTTCTGATCCCTGGACTGCGGCTCCTCCCTTATTACTGGAAAAAGTATGGAACAGTCAGCTCTTCTTCGCTAAGCATTCATGCTAACCAATAGTAGCCCCCTGTCGTTTGCCGTTATTGCAGCAACTGGGCTCTTTACGACTGCACTTGCAGTCGCTCTCGACACTGCGTTCTACACGCCTCATGCTATTACCTGGTTTGACGTTTTGCGGAAGCCAGTTCTGACGCCCTTAAACAACGTTCTGTACAACATTGATCCAGAAAATTTGGCCAAACATGGTCTACACCCCTGGTACCAGCACATCCTCGTCAACCTGCCACAGCTCCTGGGCCCCGCAGTCCTTCTTCTCTTCCTACGACCAAAGTTGACGCTACGACTCTGGTCCGCGATATCTGGAATCGTGGTGCTTTCTTTGTCACAACACCAAGAGGCTCGGTTCCTGCTACCTACGGTCCCCCTAATTCTCTCATCAGTCAGGTTGCCCCGCGGCGAGAAAGTGTTGCGCTTTTGGGTGACAGCATGGATACTCTTTAACGCTGTGCTTGGGACACTTATGGGTATGTACCATCAAGGGGGGATCATTCCGGCCCAGGTTTTTATGAGCAAACAGCCAGATGCCACGAACGCGATCTGGTGGAAGACCTACATGCCCCCCATCTGGTTGTTGAACGGAAAAAACGAGGTGCTGCGCACGCAGGATGTCATGGGAATGAAAGGCGAACTGCTTCTCCAGGAGCTGGAAAAGATTGCTACATGTGATACACCAGCGGATAGGAGAAACTTAGAGTACCTGAAGGAGAAGAACGGCACGTACCTGGTGGCGCCTTTGTCGGCGACGTGGTTGGACCGCTACCTTCCAAACAAAGGTGTGAACGGGCTACGTTTTCACGAAGTTTGGAGGTATCGGCAACATCTGAATCTGGATGACTTAAATTTTGCTGAAGATGGCGTTTGGAATACCCTTTCTAGAGTTATTGGGAGGAGAGGTCTTGCTATTTGGCGCGTTACGAAAAGCTGCTCCGGTGTGAAGGGCAGATAAAACGGTGATGTCTATAGGGAGGCAATCTGATTTTTGCGTAGTACTGAATGAACGCAACTTCCCAAACAAACCGTGAATTCGGGCAGCAATCTGTGTTGAGTATGATTATAACGGTAAGAAGGCAGAGTTAGATCGGGCCATCATGGTATGGTGGCCGAAGAGGTCACCGTCTGGAATATCACAGAACTGTGGCCCCGCAAAATAATAAATAGAATATAACCTCTTATCTCTCCCAGCTCACAAATTCGATGACAGCCCAACAATTATACCCTTACGTAACTCGATGAAAGTAGGTGAAATTTCTTCAAGATATTGTGAAGAATTGTTTCAAAGTTGTGACCATCCAGACAGGCCTCCTGAGATGGGTTTACGAGGTACCAGGCCGCTGGACCTGAGAGATAAGGGCTCTCACACAGTTGGAATGAGAGCTGTGGTCACCACTTGAGTACACGACTATTTGTATCGCTGACTGGAGAACTTTTTCGACCGGATAGTCCTACCTGGGATCTATCTACGTCTTATATATCTTTGTGGCTTCCTTTGCTCTCCCCTCCGCAGTGGCATAGACTGTTGAGGATCAATAATATCCTTGGGTGCTGAGGATCAATGCCTCTTGGCATTGAGGAACGCTTCTTGGGTTTGGTCACAACATCTGTTGCTCTTGGTTGGCTGCGTGGGACCCACTCTTCCAGATCGAGCCCTTGGTCATGACAATGATGCATTCCAGTTACTCCAGTACTCCAGGAGTGTACCTATTAGACCAGAGATGTGGGCCCACAGTGTTGTGACATGCGGACGGTGATCTCTCGGTCACCATATCGGGGTGCCGCCCTGCCATAACAGCCCAGCTCTGGCTCCCGTAGCTTGCCAGCCGGTACCCGCATATACCGTGATCCAGGTCGGTAATCGGCAGGCCCCACCTCCGCCTCTCCCGAGAAATTTGGCCTTGGACCACGCCGTGCACTGGATAACATCCCGTTCGCTCTCCAATCAATTGAAGCTTGAAAGGTCAACAGTCTTCCCACCCCTTGGTCTGCTCGACGAACACCTTTCAGTCGCATCAGTCAACATGGGCGGGCTTAATCTCGAGGTCTTCAAAGTATGTACGCAACAAGGCTAAGCTTTAACGGAGAAGCTCTGACTGTGTCATGCCTCTAGTTCGGCCTCTATGTCATGTTCCCTATCGGGATCATGTACTATTTTGGCACGAATCTTGACGAGCGCTTCGCGGTCACCAATTTCTGGCCCAAGCCGGAGAATGCCAACAAGGTCCCGACCGATCGCGACGAGATCAAGGCAGAGCTTGAGAGGTTACGCGCCAGAAGGCTGTATCTTCGCGAGAAGCGGCTCGAGGCCGAGGCAAGAGCCGCTGCACAGCAGCCGCAACAACAGCAGGCGGATGACAACTAGGGTGGAAATCTTCCTAGAGCGGTTCTAGACCAGTCTCGGTTTCAAACTAGCGGCATGCGATCGTCGATCGTTTTAGGGGTGATTATTAAGAGCTAAAGGTTGAGGGAGTGGGAATGATACACGGTTGACTGGCGTTAAGGAATTTTTTTTGTGAAACACTCTCGTCTCCTCGACGCCATCGACGACCAGGACGGTACGCGTCATGGCTTGTACTCGCAGTGTACAAATACATGTCTATAAGGGCCGGTCTCTACATCTAAATATTGATACATGTACAATATATGCTTATACATATAACAGTTCATCCACAGCTTATTATAGGGAGAAGCCAGCTATGAGTCGAGATATTCCTCTATCTTGTCCCACTCTTCATCGCTGATGGCCCCCCTCGTCACGTTTGAATAGATAGCCTGAACATCGGGGAGGGATCTGATGTCCCTGAGCAACTTCCTAAACTCGACCTGGGCTTCGGATGCATCCAGCTTAGCCATCGTGTCCTCGTTTGGCTGCCAGATAATGTCGGACTCGAGGACCTTCAGGCCAAACTTCGACGCAATGGTCTTGCAGAGGTGCATCGTCTCCGTAGGTTCTGTCCAAACAACAATATTGCCATCTTCATCGTTCCCGAGATCCTCCGCACCGGCCTCGATCGCATCGTCCATAATTTGGTCGACATCGATACCCTTGTCGTTCTTCTCAAAAACCACACGCCCACGGCGGGTGAAAAAGAACTTGGAAGCGCTCGCAGAGCCATTCCTCTTCTTGACCATAGAGTTCAGCTCCTGCAGCACATAGAGCTTGCTCTCAGTTTCCACCTCCACGATTAAGGCGAGAGATGGGGGCATTACAGCCTCGAAAGTCAAGCTCTCCAGTGCTTTGCCTTCGGATGACTTGCCCTGACCACGGGCGATAGCAGCCTCAATTCTGTCCTTGGGGACGCCAGCCTTCTTGGCAGCGGCAATAGCTGTGGCTAGCTGGGGGTTGAAGTTGGGGTCGGGGCCATAGACTTTTTACAAGGAACAAGAAGCGTGTAAGTCCTTCACGAGCCTGATGAAGCGGGGCAGACGGAAGACGGCGTACGCTTTGAGTAGAGGGTGATGTTTTTGGCGAACAGATTGCGGGTGGCATTCTTCTTAGCATCGTTGACAGCCTTGTCATGGCGAATCTTGCTCCATTTGTTGTGGCCGGCCTGGAGTGTTGGGCTGGAAACGAAAGTACGGCGGCACCGGGCGCAGACCGACCGCGACGGCGGTGCTGGCCTGGCCAGGGGAACGAGGGCGCGCGCAAAGGAAGCCATTGCGATAGACGATATTAGCTGTTTACGAGCTTAAAGACATTTAAGGGAAATATCCGCAAACAAAAGACAAACGAATGGGATGAAAGAATCGAGATGAAGCAGGTAGCTGTCCCCAATCCTCCATTGCAGCTGCTCCACGGCCGGGGTGACGGACAAAAGCCTCGACGAGGCTCGGCGAAGGTTTAATTTTGTGGATCCCGACGGCCAAGACAATCGTGAGAAGGCTGCGGGGGTTGAGCGGCAGGATTGGTCATAGCTTGATCGACGTGGGGCTCCATCATCGAACGGTCATTGGCTGGCGCACCCCAAACATCGAAGCACACGATGAACCGCTACGGCCCGCTGGACGAGGTGGCGCCCCTTCTGATCGTGAACCAAACCTTGGACTTCCCCTTAAACAACAGATACGCCGCCTACAGACAGTGTCCAGCGACAAGCGACAAAGCGTCGATACGTCCTGCAAGACAACGATAGCATCACTTTCGATTCAATGGACTCGACGGCCGGCACCGAAGAGTCCAGCGCCGCTGCAAATGGCGGGACCCCACGTACCTCCACAGCAGCCGCTGCTGCGGCGACATCCCACCCGGAGTTCGACGTCAACCAGCTCCAGGGCCTACCGACAGAGCAGCAGGAACTGGTACTCCTGAACTTTGTATCGACCCTGAGCAAACATGTTCTTAGCCTTGAACCGGATGACTGCACGGCGCAGCAGTTCTACCTCAAGAAGGAAATCTTCAAGCTCATCAACCTTCCGTCCCCAGCCCCGACGCGGGTCATACGGAACACGTTGGGAAGATGCCTGGCGCACATATTTGGCAATGGCGATCGCAAACTACTCTTCGAGACGGTTAATGACTTGGCTAATATCATCTCGAGCGGCAAGCCGAAGAGCGAAAGTGAGAGCCGGATACGGCACGCCGCTGTGACTTGCTTGGGTGATGTTTATGCTGCCGCCGGCGACAGCGCTATCAACCTGCACCAGCTCGCCTCCTCAGCATTGTTGAAGCTCCTCAAGTCTTCCTCCAGTAATGCTGGTCTCCGTGCATCTATTTTCACGGCGCTTGGCAAGATGGTCAAGATGCTGGGCCCTAGCCTAGACGAAAGCATCGCCAGGGACATTTGGAAGCAAGGACGGAGCTATGCTACCAGCGACAAGGGGTCGTTGGTTATTATTGCAGCATGCCGTTGCTTGCGATGGCTCGTACATGCTACCCCTTACTTCCAGACATCCCATGACTTCGATAAACTACAAACTTGCGTCTTTAAGGTCTTCGACTCGCCCTCCTCGCAAGTGCGTTCGGCAGCCGCGGACTGCTTCGCAGAAGCATTGGTACGAGTATATTCAGAATCCCCCGTAATCGAAGCGCCTGTGGCCATGCTCAAGCGATCGAAATCCAAGGCGGCAAAGCGACAGTCGGTGCAGGCAGGTTCGTTGCAAGATGACGAAGACCTTCCTTCGCGCCCAGGAAGTCCTGCTCCTGGCAAAAAGTCCCAAATCTTGACCTTGCCGCTGGTCGACATGCTCAAGACCCTATCGACACAATATGTGCGCATGTCTACCACCAACAGGTCTCGGGCAGCCATCGCTGTTTGCTATGGAAGTATGTTCCGTATGCTGGGAGAGCGGACGATTGAGGCCAATTACACACGCATCGTTGAGCACCTAACCGTGGAGATCTTGAGTCATAGCAACATTGCAAATAACCGCTACCGTTTGTTGATTTCTCGGCGGATGGTCGAGATCATTGTTCACGATATCATTGGCAAGAGGATCCTGGGAGAGTCAGGCCAGATTAATGCGGCAAAGGCCCTGATCAACGATGTGCTCAAGAACTACCCGCAGGTACTCAAGGAAAAGCCTGAGCCTAGCAAGCAAACGCTGGTCGTGGCCCTTGGTGCCCTATCATCCTTGATCAAAACCCTCGGTTCGGCTACCAACAACTTTGCTGATGCTTGTCGCGATGGCCTCTTGCAGGTTCTCCAGCACCCAAGCTATACGGTTCAGGTGTATGCCTCGGCGTGTCTTAAGACATTTGTGCTGGCGTGTCCCCAGCAGCTTCTACCTTGTCTTTCGATTTGCATGAACAGCCTCAGCCGAGAGTTGGGTCAGCTTGGAACGGGTCGAAGTTCTCCCCGACGGTGTATCGGACTTGCCCATGGTCTCGCTGCCGGCCTTAGCGCAAGCCCTCACCGGCCACTCTATGGGTCGGTAGATATCAACAGCAGGGTGCTGAGCATGTCCACCAATTTGCTCAAGTCTAGCGGGAGCTCCGAACTGCGCGTGGCGAGTACTCAGATTCAGGTTGCTTGGATCCTGATCGGTGGCCTCATGTCACTAGGGCCGAATTTTGTTAAGATTCATCTGTCACAGCTCCTTCTCCTCTGGAAAAATGCTCTTCCCAAAGTCCTCGCAAAGGACAGCTCCATCCATAGGAACTATCTGAACGCTTCTTTTCTGACGCATGTTCGGGAGTGCGCTCTGAGCTCAATCCTGGCCTTCCTGGAATACAATAGCCGTCTCCTGACGGTTGACGTCTGCAAACGGATAGCTACCATGTTGCAGAACACAACCGCCTTTTTGAAAACGCTCCCGTCCAAGAAAACTGCAGACGATATCAACGAGCGTTTGACGCCGTCCTTGCAGCTTCAGGACCTGGAGGTCATGGTGCAACGCAGAGTTCTGCAATGCTACACCAAACTTATTAATATCAGCCCCCCTGGTGGCACTGAGGCACTCCTGCAGTCTAATCTCCTGACATTGGCCATTTCACTATTTGCAGACCCTGACAACTATACACCGAGTTCTCTGAGCACTTCAATCGCAAACTCCGCCGGCACCTTTGAGTCCATTTGGGACATTGGGGACAATTCTGGGTTCGGAGTAACAGGGTTAGTTCGGGGTTTTAATGTTAGGCCACTTCCAGGGCAGCATGAAGGCAATGGTGACCGCTCAGTTTCTGGCAAAGAGGAGCCCGAAGAGGAAATCTCACGTTTGCTGCTTTCACCGATCTGCGGTACCCTCGAGCACGATGCGTCCATCCTCTATGTCGATAACGGAAATATTCCCAGTCTTCCTGATCCCGCCGCTACCGAGGTAGTTAATCTGGCAATTCAGCTGTTTGCTTTTGTCTTCCCTCTCACGCCGCCCAAAGTCCAGGAGAGTGTGCTGGAGCAGGTCACAACGTTTATGGCAGCTGGATCACTACAGCGCGATCTTGGCCGTAAGGCTGCCATCAACGTCAATGTCGCCACGGCTCTTCTATCCATCCTGCGGGTGGCTGTGAAGGAAACCAAGTCCCCTCCGGGCGATGTGACCAATGCAGCTGTTGAGAAGCTCATCCAGGAGTTGCTCCGTGACTTTGTCCTGGACCGGGACCCCTACGTTCGCAGCATCGCCTACGAAGCTCTCGCTCGGCTCTGCAGCACTTGCGGAAATGCCTTCACAAACCAAGAAATCAAATACCTTGTCGACACAATCGTGGTTAATCGCGAGCCCAGTGCAAGGGCAGGCTGTGCTATGGCTTTGGGGACCATCCAGGCCAAGATTGGCAGCATGGCAGCTACGTTCCATATGAAGACCATTCTCAACATTCTCATGTCGCTTTGCAATGATCCTCATCCCACTGTCCACTATTGGGCTCTCGAAGCTATTGCACGGGTTGCTGACGCTGCCGGGCTGAGCTTTGCGAACTACGTCTCGGCAACGCTTGGGATGCTGGCCAATCTTTACTTCTCCGAGACTCATAATCCCGAAGTGGCATTACCTGCCACAATGAACGTGGAGGTTGAGTCGTCAACTTCTGCCGCAATAGCTCGCTGTGTGGACTCCCTGATCAATGTCCTGGGGCCAGATCTCCAAGACTCTACAAAGTCACGAGAGCTCATCTTCACTCTCGTTGGATACTTCCAACAAGAGGAGGACACTGAGGTGCAAAAAGCCAGCCTTATCTGTCTGGAGCACCTTTCCCTCTATGCTCCGGGTTTCGTGCACTTCGTCGAGTATGTGAAGACCCTTCAGCGATTCCTGAGCTCAGAGCACATCATTTTGCGGGATGTTGCTGTTGATGGTCTACACAATTTGATGAAGCGGAACCCTTACGATGTGATACAGGCAGCAGACAAGGGTTTTGAGGAGCAGCTCTGGCTGGTTCTCGACTCCGATCCTAGCCACGACGGCATGCGCAACACAATCCGGAATTGGATGCGGTCTACTTGCCTTACCAACACAGCTGAGTGGCTGGCACGCTTCCAGCATGTGCTAAAGATGACTAGACCAAAGGAAGCGGTAAAGGAGGTCGTTAAAACGAATCAAGCCAGCTCCGGGGCGATCGACCTCCGCGACGAGGAAGTGGCCGGCTTTGCTGCTGCGTCCAGCGGCGCCAAGGACGAAAAGGACACCCCGCATCGTTCTGAGGTTGAACCGTTGAGATGGCAGGTTTCCACTTTTGTGATGGACTGCCTGAACGACATCTTTATGCTTGTCAACAAAGATGTTGCTACCCACGGCGACTCACAGGCTCAGATGGCCTTGCAGACCAAGATTGCCGATGTCGTCAGGATGGCTTTCTCGGCATCTACCGCAGGCGTGATTGAGCAAAGAATTTGGGGCCTAAAGATCATCGGCGCGGTCTTAAAGATGTTTGGCAATACTCCGGACCCCGATTTTGAAGAGGCCATGCTGCTTGAACAGTACCAGGCCCAGATCAGCTCTGCGCTGACACCTGCGTTTGCGGCCGATTCCTCGCCTGAACTTGCCGCTGAAGCAGTCAATGTCTGCGCAACTTTCATCGCGACAGGCATTGTCACAGATGTCGACAGAATGGGCAGGATTCTCAAAACTTTAGTCGGCTCGCTGGAGAACTTTGCTTCAGAGGATGAGAATGCTGGCATTGGCGAACTGAAAGGATTGAGTTCGAACGCCCGGGTCATGGTCAAGATGGCCATATTCAGCGCATGGGCAGAACTCCAGGTTGCCAGCTCAGAGCAGAAGTATCTCCAAGATGTGCTCAAACCACACATCGGCAAGCTGACGCCGTTATGGCTAGAGTCACTGCGTGAATTTGCCCGGTTGCGTTTCGAACCAGACATTTCCATGACCTTGGGCCCTCCATCCATGTCGGGTAGCCTGGACACGATCTATGCGGCCCTGAACAGGGAGACACAACTCAAGTTCTACCAGGACTCCTGGCTCAAACTCGTCGATGCCATTGCCAGCCTCATCGAGCAGGATAGCGAGTTCGTATTTGATGCACTTGACGGGAAGGAGGTCACTGGACCCAATGCCAATGGAAGCACAAAGGGAGCTGATATAAACTACCGTGACGAACCAGTTGCTTTTTTCTTTGTGCTGTTTGGCATCGCCTTCGAGGCACTTGCGACGAAGTCCGATCAAAACGAGAGTTTGGCGACTCAGGAGCAGACGCTCGAGATTCTCAATGCACTTAAGAAAATCTTGCACCCGCATGTATCAGGCCAGGCGATTTACCGTGAGGCCGTCTTCTCCGAGACGATGGACCTCCTTGACCGCCTTGTGCTGACTGAAGGTCTTGATGTCCAGACGGTCATTGTCGAGATTGCCAGGGCGCTCTGTCTCGCTCACCCGGCTGCTAGAAAGCATGGCGACGCCGAGACCGGCGAGCTTACTGAAGACATCGAGCAGCTTTTCGAGCTCACTCGTATCATTGTCCTGGTCCTGGCCGGTCTGATTCCAAATCTTAGTGAAAACTCACAGCCTGTCCGCCAGCACACGACCGAGGAGGCGATCGTACTCATCAAGACGGCTCTCAACGCTCTGGTCGACGCTGCCGAGGTTTTCCCTTCCATCATCCGGGCCGATCTCTATGCCTGCATCATTCATATCTTTGCCACGATCCTTGCCAACCCAACATGCCAGGAGGTTATCGTACCACAAACCCTGCCGACCTTTAAGCGCTTCATCACGGGCATGTCCAACTCCCGACAGGCAGGGTCTGAGGAACAAGGCGTCCCCCAGACCGACGTGCAACTGCTGGGTTGCTTGCGCAGGTTCCTGTCGATCTATCTTCATGCGCAGAAGCGTGAGGAGCCCACATCCCTCACATGCGTCAAGAACTGTCTTCTGGCATGCACGATCCTGTTCACTGCCGGACCCAACTACCTGCCTGCATCAGAACCGCTTGTTGAGCGATTTCTCGACGAGCTTCTTGACTGCTTGACTGACCGGATGGTATGGTTTTATCTCGTCTTCTCCTCAAAAGCAGCGCGTTGCTAACATAGGCAATCCAGACCGCCAAAATGGCAGCGAACTGTGCCCGCTCCCTGCTCTTACCCCAGTCTCCGACCGCAGCCGATCAATCCATCGCACGCTACCTCATCCCTCGCATGATCGCTTTCGCGACCAACACTGACCCCGAAGACCCCGAATCAGCTCGCTCCCTCGTCGCGCAGACCCTCACGGCCTACGTCGCGACCGTGTCTGCGGAGCGTGCCCCCTTCGCCATGGCGCTCGTCCTCCCCACCTTGCTCGCCCGCGCTGCAGGTGAGCGCAAGAACAGCGATGGCATTGGGGAGAGCAATGTTGTGGAGGTGTACCGCGAGACGAGCGCGCGGCTACTGGAGCTGGCGTCGGCGCACCAGGGAGCCTTCCGTGGCGTTGTGGGAAGCATGGGAGAGGCGCAGAGGGCGTTCTTGGAAGAGGTTATTCGGGCTGGAAGACAGGCTGAGGCTGCTTCTGGGGCGAATGTGGCTAGAGACGTGCCGGAAAGGCCGACTATTGCGCTTAAGATGGACTTTGGGGGTTGAGATAGAGTGGAACATGGGGCATCACGGCGACCTGGGGGGAGATGGATCGGAGTAGGGCCCATTGCTGGATGTATGGTTGTTCTATAGAGTTTGGAATATTAAACAGGATGTGTATATATAGAGGATAAGAGGTATATATAAGCTTTTCGTTGGCTCCATGCAGCAGTCAACCCATGGATTGCAATCATGGTTTCAAACCTGGTGAGAACACTTCTCCCTCAGCTGTAATATCGGGCCTGCCCAGATCATGCTTCTTCATTAGCTCCTGGGCCTCACGGGCTTGCCGGGCATGGTCCTCAGCCTCCTTCTGCCGTTGGTGCCGCCTGTAGGTGGCATACCGTAGCGTGAAGAGGGCTGAGACAGCCATGAAGATGATGCCCAGCACCGAGCGGCGAATCAGGATCCAGCGCAGCTGTTCAATGTTGGATTTCGCATCACTGTTGAGCATAACGCTGATTTTGTAGTTAACTTGTTGAATCTGGTCGAGTCATAAGGGGTTAGTACAACAGAGGGGCCAGCAAGAGCCGAAAAGCACGGTCGCAAAAGTTACCTTGCTCTCCATCGCCTTCTGCTCCTCGCGAACTGCCATGCGCCGGTCGTTGAACATGCCACGCACGCTGTCGTTGAGGGTCTGCAGCTCTTGGTTAAGGCGCTGGGCCAGGATGTCGACCTCGTGCTGCAACATGGTGCGCTGCTGTCGCAGCTGCTCGTCGGCCAGCCGCCGGTTGTTGCGTACCTCGGCACTCAGCTCACTGCAGGCCGCCCGGAATAAGTAGGTCTCATTCTCCATATCCGCTTTGGACACCAGTCCCCTCTGCGCCATGTCCAGGTTGGAGGCCAGGATCCCGCGGATCGCCTTCATTACGATAATCGCCTGTTCCTGTGTGAAGCCTCCCCCTGTGAGCTGCTTAACTAAGGTGTAGGAGTCGAAGTGGTGTACGTATGGTCGTGGCGTCAAGTGTGGCTTGCGGACGGGAACGAGATTGTTCGTTCCTGCAGGGTTGTAGTATGTGGAGTCGTCGACAGGAGACTCAGACGATGAGGTTGAAGATGACGAAGATTGTGATACTGACGACGCAGAGCTGCCGTCGGGGGGAGGACCCATGTCAAGGATCTCGTCCATAGGAGATCCTTTCGGGCCCTGAGCTATTGCGGCAATGTCTTGCTGAGGAGTGGTCTCGATGACCTCGGGGGAGTCGGCAGTGAGCGGAGAGGTCGAAGAGAGGGGGTTTTGCTCGGTGCTTTTCGCTGTGCTCGCCGCCTTGGGGACGTCATGTGTCCCTTGCTGATCCTTTGCAGCATCGCTTGGGGCTTGCTTAGGGGGAGGAGGGGGTTTGGGCTGCAATGATTCGGGCTCTATGGCCTTGCCGGCGCGCTTGGGAAAGGAGGCCTGCCTCCTCTCGTGCGATGCCTGGAAAGGAGCGACATGATGGCAGCAAAACGGAGATGGTGAGAAGTGCGGCGGCGTTGGGCGTGGTCTTCGAGTAGCTAGTGTCGCGAGGGGGCCCCAAGGGGCCTCCAGCGAAGCAGCGACGTCGGTCCAGCGGCCTGTTCTTCCTCTTCCTCTTCCTGCGCGGAACAGGTTCGGATACAGGAAGGTCAGGCGGCTTATTGCCATGGCCGGGGCTTAGAAGGCAGCGTACGTGCCGCGCAGTGCTTCACATGCCGTTGTGCGTCGAGATTCGGGGAAGGGAGAGCGGGTGTTTTGGTTGGTGGATGGATGAAAGGAGTGGGATGGAGGGACACCTGCCCGAGGACTAAAGCTGCGTTCCACTCAATCAAGGGACCTGATGTAGGATCCAGAACCGCGGGTCGGGTTCAGGCGCAACGCCCGCTGCTGGTTGTTCAAATGTCCAATGTCCCGCATCTGGCCGCTGGCGGATCCAGCCGGCTTGGCAGGCGCGGCAATCTTGATAGTTGGTGGGGCAGCCAAAATGAGGGGCCTTTCTTATGCTTTTATCCGGAAACTAGGAATGACTCAGCTCATCCATATTGCATGTATGTATTAAGGAGAAATTTTGGGCAGTTCGGCAGACCGGGTTGGGATAGTCAAAAGCCCAGCACTGAGGCACCGACTCAATGTGACACTCCGAGCCGGTATTTCGTTGTGTTCCCCGAATCTCCTCGCGTCACCTTTTATTTGGCTCCCGCAAGAGAGACGAGATTGTGCGCCCTGCCGTCATTCTCTTCGCCGTCGCGTCCAGCTGCTGCTCATTACATGCGGAATCGGGCCAGCTGCCCAGCTCCGAAAGGGGCAGTATCGATCACCGTACAAAAAGCGCTACTATACTGTATGTAAGAATCCTTCCGGCCAATCAGAATCCTGCTTTCGACCACACCAGCCAGCGCAAGCTGGCCGTTGGCCCATCCCTGCTGCTTTGGTCTTTGCTCGTCTGCTGGGCAATGGAGCTCGGTGATGGGCAGCTTTGACCAGTGACCTCCCGCGAGAGAATTGCGCAAGCCCAGCCCTTTTTGCCTCTGCCCGTTGACCTGCAGCTGCGCATCGTAATGTGTCTGACGTTGGAGATAGGTTAAAAAGCCTGGTCACACAAACCCATAATTACTTACACCTTTCCAGAGTCTCTAGGCTCTTGAGTGCTATATACCTCACCCACCGACTTCGTATCCTGCGTCCAACCGTCAGATTCCCTGTTTCTGCCAATTTCTGAGCACGTCTTCCCCTCGAGGGCGCTGGGAAAACGTGCGCTTGCTTGATTCGGCCTCCCAGGAGAAGCCCGTGCCGTCGTTCGCCTCTGCTACTTCCTAGACAGTCGCGAATGACTCTTTTGTCGATCCCCTGACCCAAACCCAATCCTTACCCGACACGATATTGAAGATCGAAGTTTCGTCCTTGGAATTTTTTTCTAGGAGATTCTTTCAGATTTACTTCCGAGTTCCAAGCGCTGTCGCCAAATACTGAGAGCGCGCATACGGATCGCGCAAGCCTGTCCACCAGGGTCTGGCTGACGTTTTGAGTATCATCCAGGCCAGCAAACGCATTACACATTACTGCTAGGTGAGGATCTCCCGTAACCACGGCTCGAGATTGCCCATGTCATGACATCTTACGATCGCGTAGCTTTCATCGCAACCCAATTGCTTCCCAATTTTGCCGCCTTCATACCTACTTATTCCCTCCCCGCAATATCCCAAGTCTCAGTCCTGATCCTGACCTCTCATACTCGTTTGTCACATTCTGCACATTCATCCATTCCCATCCCCGTCCCCATCACCGCGGTTGTAGTCTGGGGCTCACACTTTGCAGACGTGAGATCGTGGGTTCTGATTCTCATTGTCCTTCTGACATCTGCTGCGGATGTCCTCCCCCGACGAGTATGGTGCGTGGGAGTCACTTGAGCCAAGCGGGCTCATCTCACGGTTACACAGACAGCACTCAGACTGACTGACCGCTCGTGGTGATATCCAGATGCCAAAGCCAACGACCCACCGCTCATTGAGCGGTTTTCGACGATAAAGTCGTACACCACGACGCAGGCTACCTACCCCAAACTCCGTGTTTTCTACCGGCGACATCAGCAGGCAAATTGCCTACCTACCTCGCCAGCGCCTATCCCTCTCCTGGTCTTCATTCATGGCCTTGGAGGATCTGTCGCCCAGTTTCATGCTCTGCTCACCAGCCTCACTCCGATAGCCTCGTGTCTCGCCGTGGACCTCCCGGGCTGTGGTCTCTCCGATTTTGAGCCCAAGGACTGGGAGTCCTATTCGACCGATGCACTGATCGAGCTTCTCGAAACAGTCATCGAAGACCACCGAGAGGTGGCAGCAGGCCAAGGGGTGATCCTGATCGGCCATAGTATGGGCGCCTCTCTTGCTGCCTTGCTAGCCAATCCAAGAAAACCTGTGACCGAGTTACACAAACACGTCCTCGGCCTTGTGGGCATCTGCCCAAGCGCCATGCAGCTGACCCCCATTCAGTTGGCCGTCTTGCGCGCACTGCTCTGGATTCCTGGCTTCATTTTCGACCTGTGGCGAGCATGGGACAGACGCGGCGGGCTCGAAAGCCCCAGCGTGCATCGTTTCGTTGGGGCCAATGCCGACGCCGAGTCGAAGCGCCTCCAATGCATGTACAATCACCAGAGCAAGACCGCTGTCTGGCGGCGCATGGCCTGGGGCGCGCTGCCCAAGTCCGTAAGAGCTGGAGCGACTCCGAGCGGTATGCCCTCGCTGGATGTATGGGCAGGCCTCGACATGCCTGTGTTCTTGGTAGGGGGCGAGGACGATGTGGTTACCCCTGTGACCGAGATCGATAAAATCGCCAGCCGTTTGCAGTCGACCACCTCTGCAGAGGGCGATGAGTCGACCAGCGAATTTGTCGGACAGAGCGAAGAGCAACCACAAGAACAGGCGCAAGCAAAGACACAGGATACCGGGCTGGCGAACGGTATCCCTCCATTGCCGTCTCACCCAAAAAAGGTTGTGGTTACCACGAAGCTGCCCAAGCCAGCCGGCCACGGCTTGCTGTACAGTCCAGCCACAGCACCTATCCTCTCTGGTCTTATCTCCGACTTTCTGTCCGCCCATGTCACTGGCAGGCTCTCCCTAGGCTGGCAGCTGCAGTACCTATGCAAGGACGGCAAGTGGGACGTGAAGAATCTGGAGAAGTGGCGCAACGTTGCCCCCGTCTCTGCACCCATCGGCGGCGTGTTCCGGGCGATAAAGACGCTCCGTGAGGTCGACGATGAGCACTGCCCGCGTGTCTTTGTGCAGCGCTGGGGAAATGTGATCAAGGACATCGTCGACATCTCACACGACAACCCGGTCTATGATCCGAGCGGCCTCGAGGCCGGCGGCATTCATTACCACAAGTACCCGACCGTGTCCAAAGTGCCGCCTAGCGAGTCTGAGATCCGTGGCTTCGTCGATGTTGTTGATAAGATCCGCGCCGAGCAGAAGGTGCGCGCTAAGATAGAGGGCTGGAAGGACGGGTACGCGGTCGGCGTGCACTGCCATTATGGTTTCAACCGCACCGGCTTCCTGATTGCCTGCTACCTCGTCGAGCGGTGCGGGTTCACCGCTAAGGAGGCCATTGAAGCATTTGCTAAGGCCAGGCCCAACGGGATCAGGCACGAGCATTTCAAGGATCGCCTGTACGTGCGATACTCGGGGGTAAAGAATGGGTCTTGATCTCCCAATTTCCCTTAGTGTTTTCTCAGCTTGCGTCTCTACATCTTTTATCACTGCCTGGCTTCTCTTTTTGAGCGCGTTTGCGATATAGATGGGAGGCTTGGCGGACTGGTTTTCTGAAGGTTTGGGTTCACTGGCATTAGATGGTTGGGTCGCCGGATGGTTATACCACAGCTGCTTTCCCACTCGTTGCTCTATACTTTTAGTAACTGCGTTTTGATTTAGATAGATACCAAGATATGCTACCTATGTTCTCTCGCCGACTTCGTTCCCTCCTTCCTATTATGTGGCGTAGGTACCAAGCGCGTGTCCCAGTGTAGACCTTGCACTAACCAGCCTCTCGTTCATCTCAACCTCGGTACAACACTCGCTTTGGTAAACCAAGACTCTGTGATGATAAGAAAAGAAATACAAAAGGAAAAGCAAAGTATTTCTCGTGAGAAGAGGAGCGAGTAAGGCCACACTTTTGAGATATCTACTTATATAAGTCTGATCATGGATGGCTCCACTTCTTATCTTATCAAGCAGCCTTATCACAAGTCCAGCACCACGTATTCCCTGCTACAAGGGGCCAAAAACGACGTCATGTGGCATCTTCCCTGCCGCTGATTGGGTGCCTTGAGGGATCGGAGGCAAGGTGCAGCTTAAGGGTTCACCACGACCGCTGGTTTACGAGTCAAGGACTTAACCTATACTTCCCAACACTTCGGACGGATTCTCACAGGCCACAGACGGCCACAGAGACCTACCTACCTACTACATAGCTCAACACACAACGCGCGCCGTCTCGAGTCTCGAGTCGCGAGTCTCCTGCTCCCTACACTCGTCCCAAAACCGACAGTCCCACCAGTCCTCCGTGAAGCTGAAAGTACTTCCCAGCCCGACGGGCTCAAAGACTTCAATCAGACCTACTGAGCTAGCAAAGTCAAAGTCATCGGCTGCGATGGTGAGCAGGCCTTCCAATGAGCCTATTGGGACAGCTGCCCCCGACTATTGCCATCAAAACTGACCACACATGTGCAACACTACAGTCCCCGAGCTCGGAGCGTACGCCGCTCCTGGCGGACGCCCAGCCGCGCACGTCCGAAGACTCGACCCGCCGTGCGGAAGAAGAAGATGCCGCCCTTCACGGCCAGACACTCCCTCCTGCCCCTCGATCGCGCGGTCTGGTCATGCGCGAACTGATCCTCTTCATCTGGGCGCTGGCTGCAACTGCCGGTGCCATCATCCTCGCCGTGATTGTCCAGCATCGGGACTCGACGACACCTTCAGCTCCCCTCGCACCCGGCTCTCCCTCGGCCGGCGAGCCCTACAAGAAGAATGGTTCCAAGAGCCAAAAACGCAATCTTATTTTCATGGTCTCGGACGGAATGGGTCCTGCGTCGCTCTCGCTGACTCGATCCTTCCGGCAATACACTTCCTCACTGCCCTACGACGACACGCTGACACTTGACAAGCACTTCTGGGGCACTTCGCGCACGCGCTCGACCAATAGCTGGGTAACTGACTCGGCCGCCGGCGCCACAGCCTTCTCCTGTGGCCGCAAGAGCTACAACGGTGCCATCGCGATGCTGCCTGGCCACAAGCCTTGTGGAACCGTACTTGAGGCTGCAAAGCGGCGGGGTATGCGACAGGCCTGGTTGTTACGACTGATGTTACAGATGCTACCCCTGCCTGCTTCGCTGCCCATGTTGACTATCGCCTGCAGCAGGACGAGATTGCTCTGCACGAAATCGGCGAGGGTGTGCTGGGTCGTGTAGTCGACGTGATCCTGGGCGGCGGACGTTGCCATTTCCTCAGCAACCAGACACAGGGCAGCTGCAGGCAGGATAGTATTGATGTCATTTCAATCGGCCAGAAAAGGCATGGGTGGACATACGCCGGCGACCGGGCCGCGTTCGACCAGCTCGCGCAGGGCAAGAACGCGACTCTTCCGCTGATCGGCCTGTTCGCTCAGACCGACGTTCCCTTCGAGATTGACCGTCGTCACATGACCGATATCTATCCCAGCCTGAGTGAGATGGCGGCCACGGCACTGACAGCGCTTGAGGAGGCTACTAAGGACAGTGATAAGGGCTTCTTCCTCATGATTGAGGGCAGTAGGATCGATCATGCGGGCCATATCAATGACCCTGCCGCTCAGGTCAGGGAGGTCTTGGAGTACGATAAAACATTCAAACTTGTGCTGGACTTCCTTGAGAAGTCCGACACAGAGGGCATTCTGGTTGCCACGAGCGACCACGAGACTGGAGGCCTGGCTACTGCGTGGCGTATGTAATTTCTCCATTGAAACTCCATGGAACATATTGGCTAACCCCCTGATAACAGAGGCCCCCGACGAACTCCCCGTCTACAACTGGCATCCCTCAGTCCTGGCCCGTGCCAACGCCTCCGCAGAGTACCTCTCCTTCCTCCTGCGCGACCACATCCTAGCCTCTCCCTCTGACCAAGAATCTCTTATGTCGTGGATCAACACCCACCTTGTCACCAAGTACCTTGGCATCACCGACGCCCTGGAAACTGAGCTCAGCGCTCTTGCTTCGAACCCCCTCGCTGCCCCATCCATCTTCGCTCGCATGGTCAGCACCCGCGCCCGTGTCGGGTGGAGTACCCACGGCCATAGCGCCGTGGATGTAAACATCTACTCGTCTGGTGGCCCCGCGGTTGAGAAGCTCAGGGGAAATGTGGAAAACACGGATATCGGCCAGTTCTTGATTGATTACCTAGGTGTGGATGTGGATCAGATTACGAAGGAGTTAAGGGAGAAGATGGGAATTGAAGAGAAGGAAGAAGAGGTTACCGTAATGGACAAAGAGTGGGAGAAGGAGGATAAACAGGTGACGGGTGGGCATCCTGTCGAGTGGCTTAAGAATGTTATTGACTTGTGAGCGTAAGCGGGTTTGGGCGATAGGATTAGGTTACGGTTTGGGATCAGGAGCATGCTTGGGCGTTAGTAGTTCGTGTGTGAAGCCTGTGACATTGACATGGGTCTGTAAACTCGGGCATTGGCTTGGTTTGCTTGCTTGTAATTGCATTCCGATCATGATAGTGGCATGTCAACAATAGTCTCCATACCATCTGGTGTGGAGCTCCTTTGGACTCTGATGATTTTTTTTTTTTGCTTGCACCCGACGTCTCGCTTTTTGTGCCGGTAAAACTGTACTTGGAAGAAGGCATCGTGATATTTTAGAGTACATGTTCATAGTGATATTGACTCGGTAGTTGGATGTGACTTGGCCTACCCAGAAGGGTGGGTCGGACGGCCGCAGTGACATCAATCAGCCTTTGCTTACTTCAATGGGCTCTGAAGCTGCCCCCTTTTTGTAAGCTAGTCATGGTGCCACCTCGGCACCAGCTACTGCTATGTGTAAGCCCTTTTGATGAACTGCAGTAAACATGGTTGGATCTCGAAATCTCCGGATATTACTTGCAACAGCTAGATACCTCACTAGCCTTCATGGCGTCATAGAAGTTAACCATAACCATACCTCCAAGGAGAGTGGCCTTCTTGAGCATTGTATCGATGTCAGTCATCTCCCTTGACTCAGTATGCTGTGCAAGTCCTCTGCGATAAGTTTCACAAAGTGACCCATTTCCGCCAACACCTCTAACGCCTTGCTGAGCTCCCTAGTGAGAGAAATGCAGTTTAATGCATCCGCTGCGCCAAGTAACAGACGGATTTCTGGGTCTGGGGGTACGAAGGGCGCCCTCCTCATGGTTACCAATGTCTCGTCACAAGGCTCCATGAAGATGTAACTAGGAAGCCACCAGAACTGTGTTCGGTTATCGAGATAGTCTGGTGCGAACACCTGGCACAAGATGGGATCACCGGGCGGACTTCACGCAACTGTTCCCAGCAGCTCATATGCAGCATCGGATACGAGAACGACAATTAAGATGGACTCAGCTTGTAGTGCCAAAGCAAGGTGCTTGATAAATAGACTGTTGACATTGGAGTTTTGTATTTTGTGCCTTTGCCCCTGGCTTTGCGCTATTCACACTCTCTCTGGATCATCTGCAAGCTTTCTTCCTATTAGTTATCTTCAACACCATACTCACTGCGCGCAATGATGTTTCTTACATGTTCGGCCTTCCAAGCCCATCTGACCAGTACAACCCCCAAAGCGCGAGGCAAACTTGGTTGATATAGGCAAACTGGGCTGGATACCACGAGGGCCGCCAGCACGGGTTGCAAGTAATGGGAGATGTCCGCATGTTTTTTTTCGATTTTCAACTGTTGACATGGTAATGGTGATTTCCATATAGAATTTCTTCAAACACTTGCTCATCATCTCAGGAGGATCGCCGACAAAGAAGCTTGAATCTTGAAAGAGTGTCTTGGCACGTCCCTATCCAGCCAGTGCTCTTGTGGGAGCTACTTGATCTTTAGGGCGTAGTATATATAACAGACATACTGGGATAGATTCCCAAGCATTTGCAACACTTATGCCAGCCTAGTACCTGAACCAGCGAAATTGGAGGGGAGCCATAATCCTGTAAGACCAGTGACAGTTCAAGAATGCGGTGCCGTTTCATGGAAGGAGGGATAGGCTTCCCCGGATTCCAATATGCAGAGTTTCGACTGATGAAGAATATCTTTCAAGGCTTAACCGATCTGTGCATCAAGCTCACGGAACGCTTGCTCATTTGCATTTGGCCAATGGTCAACTCTAAGATCTCTGTGAAATTCAAAGTATATCTTTAGTTCATACCTCATGGCGCGAATATCAGCAGTTTCTGCGCACCTGTATCGGCTTTAATCCTGCAGCATATGATGAATGTCAAGTAAAACTTGCGCAGCAAAGACAGCGGAGAAGGACAATGGCTTCCCATTATTTAGATCGGATCACACAACGAAAACTAACACAGTTTGTTGGGCTTTAGCTCCTCCAAAAAGGCTGAAAGTATACCGTTGGCACTGATATTTCTTTCAAAACGGAAAATTCTTTAGGTTGGCGACAAGAACCTTGTAAGCATGCACTGTCGCCCACTCCGTCAAGCACATGCGACCTTGAGAGTAACAGTTTGTGACACCCTTAACTCTCAGTCATTTGAAGTTTTCACAATGATCTCGCATGGCGCAGTCAAGCTGCCGAGTAAGTGTGAAGCCGTTGATGCTGAGTGATGTTAACGATGGGACGTTTGAAATGAAAAATGTCAATTTCGTCGATGGAATGGTTGCGCAATGGAGGGTATTAAGCGCAGGAGGACGTCCCTCCTGGGAATCGATAGTGCGGATACCCTCCGTAAGCATAGCAATAACCACGCTTAGCAGTTCTTTAGAATCCACATTCCTGAAACCAGGCCTTGAGCTTCTCTAGCAGAGGGCGAAAGAAGCGGGAGCTTAGTATTGGAAAGATAGGAGGGCAGATGGTGAGTAAGTTATGCAGTCTACAAAAGAATCAGATCTTTGATCAACAACAATAAGATCACGAGAGATGCAGAACTTGGGCAGAGCGCTCGATAGAAGTAACTTTGAGCGAGCGTCAAGGTGTCTGAAGGAGAACTATCTTGCTTTTGTGGCTCTTGTTTGGGGGCTATCTCAGTCCAAGCTAGTATATAGGAATTTATGGAGAGGAAGAGCGAATCCTCCAATGCTCTTTGCCATTTGAACAAGCACATGAGGGGGTATGAAGTCGTCTTAAGCTGCCAGCTCTTGGGCACTCAAACGACACATTTTTAGAGGAAACACCGGCTTGGTATGTGTTCAAATTGTGATATAGGCTTGGGAAACTGTCCGCTGATCATGATCAGAGGATAGAAATTGTGGATGTTGCGTGGTAGACTAGGCAACCTCGTGGTATATTTTCACTGGTGTCGAAACACGTTTATCTGTAGAATATATCGTGCAGATAGGCTCTTCGCAGCATGCACTGGTCTACTGTATCCTTAAAGCAGTTGGCAAGCTGCAATAGGTATTCTTTTTGGCCTATCGGAATCAGCGCCGGGTTACATAGCAACACTACACCACTACCTTATAAAGCATGATGACCAAAACAAGTACTGTTAAAGGATAACGTTTGAATTTGAACTGATCAGAGAGGAGAGATACCCGGGACTTCATTCCTACCTATGAAGAGACTGCCATCTTTCCAACACATTCTGAAATTCCTCAAAGTATCCCCTGAACCGATCCTTGAACGCTTTCGACACTTCTTTCTTTGCTTGTTCCGAGAATTTGTGCAGCTGCTGTTCAAGAGTGATAAAGAGTCGCTTGTGCGATCCATGTGGTTGCTCATCCAGTCTCTGGGCAAACTGTAGGAGGCCCTCAGGTGTCAAAACCGAAGGGCCACGGATTAGTAGACGTTTGAGCTGTGGTAGAGTCGCAAGTGGCTGAAGGAATGAGTCGTCAATCTTCGGGCTTGTAAAACAAAAATGTTCCAAAACGCGGCCCGTCTTGCATATTTGTTCAATGGTCCCAAGAGTAAGAGGCTCGTCGATGTCCAGCTCATGCAAGTTAGACCACTTCCTGATGGCGCCGACGAGAGCAGCACAGCTAGCATCATTAACCGGAAGGTTGTCTAGAGGAGGATGAGATCTTATTATCACCTCTTGAAGGTCTGGCTGGCGGGCCAGTGAGGCGTACAGCTCCGGCTGTGAGCTTTTTCTCCAGCTGACTGTGAGAGATTTTAGACGAAACCTTGCCCCTGACAAAACTTCCATGATTAAGAGTGGGCTACCAGGAAAATATTCCAGGTGTAAGCGTTTCAAGGAGATACATCGCTGAAGCCAACGAACGACTTCATTGAAGACCTGCTCATTGTCATTTTTCCACGAATCGCTCGTCGTGAGGGCACAATTACGAGTTGCCGAAATCAACAGCGTCTCCAAGGCAACGCATTCACGAAGCTCATTCAATGCTAAGAGTCCGGTTTGTTCAATATCGGAGAGCTTCAACTCCTTGAGGCTTTGTGCATGTAGTGCCAGAGCCTTGAAACTTTCACGTCCAATGTTGTTTCCATCATCAAGGAACAGCCGAAAGGATTCTGCATTTGCGTGTCAGCCCAACTTTGCACGGTTGTCCATTCAAAGAGGACAACATACCTAATGTATTCGGCTTGAGGGCTTTCATGAATGAAGCGAGTTTCTCGTCGTTGCATGGAGTTCCTCGGTGATAACCAATATCTCTGTATTAAGAGATTACAGAGAGTGCTGTTAGCCACAAAATGACAGCAAAGAAAGACACAAAGGCGAAACAGGGCTGGGGTGGATAGATGATCTTCGATCTCTGGATAATTAGTGAACGTACAATTTCTTGAGGCCCGGGCAACACTCGCAGAGAATATGGGCAAACTCGTCACTGGCCCATTGTCCAACCATACCAACATAGGTCAAACGAGGAAGGCTGGAGAGCAAAGTAGGTAAAGTCACTGGCGGCGAGGCAGAATGCGATCCATACAGATACCAGACAGCAGGCGTCGCTCCCTCAGGACCGGAACTGCCACGCATTCCAGATGTAATGATAGTAATGGCATCATCGACTATTTTTTCATAGCCAAGATTAGTCTGTCTGGATGCGTCTAGTCTCTCAAGTGGAGGACCAAAAAAGCGTGCCCTGAGTGTAGGGATAACATCGCCATCATCACAATCCTCTTGTGTTAGACCAATAATGAGCCGCTGTAATGGTTGAAGAACGATAGTTGTGATCCAGCTGTGGTAGGGATAGAAAGTCTGGCCGAGACAGGATGACAAAAGGGTATGCCAAAAACATATGGCCTTGCTATCAACTGGGTTCGCTGAGGGCAATAAGCATGGTGCCAAGCTATCGATTCCATACAGAAGCTGCAAGGCGATTTTGCTTATGCCCTTCTCAGTTTGACCAAGCATGAAAAGACTACTGTAATCTTTTTGAATAGTGAGCTCTTGAACTATTAGTAACCATATTTCCGGAGGGAACACTGGTTTAGCGGTTGTTGACATCATGTCGGGTTTTGCTGTGTTTGTCTTGGATAGAGTTGGCAATATGAAAAGAGTAGCCAGCAGGTACTTATCGAGCTAAACAAGTAACAACAATTGTAAGTCGCGAAAATGGAAGACCAAGTCAAAGAGGGAACGGACTAATTACCTCGGGTCCTTACTGACCAGTGTGCACTCACTGGTTGGGGGTTCTGAACTTACTTGCTGGATGAGTGCCCTGACGTGGATTGTACGGTGGTGCCAAGGTCCCAATGATCCTACGTTGGAGGACGTCGGGCCTCTCTGAACACAACATCACAATCTTGTGTTTTCCCCCCCGCTGATTTATACTTTCTAGTGCTGTGTATATATTGGACTATGCCTTTCGGTGGGTAAATGAGGCTGTGCTAGGCAGCGGATGCTTTAGGGTCCTGTTTTCTAGGCAAAGACCCGATTTAAATGCATTTGTGGGGTGATTACGCTGAATGAACTTGAATCTCGATGGGCAGATGGTGGGAACAACCTATGTGGGACTGTAAGTCCAATTAAGTATCTTTATGTAAAATTACCTGCTGTGTTGGTAGATTAGCAGTTTCATTGGTTGAAGGAGTTAGATACAGCAAGTATGTTACGCTTCAAGCCAAACTACAGGTAAGTGGATAAGCCGCCTGTTACAAAGCATAATACAATTACTGAATCAAACCAACCATCAATTACTCACCTCGGGATGGTGTCTTCGTTAAGCAGTTCATCTCAATCACTGACTACAGCCCACATTCCTACCAAACAAACCCGACGGGGCGGGGAGCACCTGGCGTTAGTTTCTGACCGCATACGCCAAGCAAAAACTATTCGGGGATTATTCTCTGAGAACTGGACCAACGAAAACAGTGACATCTGTCACACGGTGCCTCTTGGATCGGTAATCCGTACAAGGTACTTCATTAGTGGCCTCTCGGTAGCATCGAAGCCAGACTACGTGACGCCACAACTCGCATCAGCATGGTCATCCTGAACTTCACCCTGAGCGAAGAAGGGGTCGCAGTGCTCCATGATGCCCTCGCCTGCCTGTTCAAGTTCAGTGACGACGTCTGCTTGGAGGCCAGACGAGACAAGGTGTGTCGGCATGCCACTGGGCTACTGCTTTGAATGAGAACATCAGACGCTAATCTTGTAGTTAACATTGACCACTCTAAACATCTCGAAGTCGGCATATGTTTGCTTCTCATTTGCTGCAAACCGTTTCTTTGCACGGTATAATTTTGAGGGCAGTCCTCAGCATAAGGATCGCTTTTTTTGTCAACTCTATATTCGGGTCAGTAACTCAGTATCTCTTTGTAACGCTTGATCACCACTTTGTTTCTAACTTGCTCTTTCAGTCTCTCCTTACCATATTTCGGGCCCGCCATAATAGTGGCGATCAGTCTCGAGAGAAAAACTCGGCGATTGAAAGCTGTGATGTGGCAATCGATGACGGCCTTGGTAGGAAAAGCCGTCTCGTTGCGAGAGTATCTTTCAGAAATGGTACGCATGGCAACCTTAGTGTCTTTGTGGGCTGTTCTGCTTATAATTCCTAGGTATCACCGCATCTCACTCCCTTCCGTTCGAGGTCAAACCGCCCATGCACGCCAAATTCAATCCAGACGAGGCCTGTAATAGATGGGCGATATCCTCCCGGACCCTACGCCAACTCATGGACCATTTTGGTCCGGGCATAGAGTTGCTTGACATTAACACGGACAACGACACTCGAGTTGTCAACTTTACATGCTTCACCGAGAAGGTACAAAAACGTGGCGCTGTCAACAACGAAGGTATTGCCCCAAAACCGTCCTGTATTTCCGCAGAACTCCCTCCGAAGCTGACCGTGAGCAAACGCTGTAGAGGTCCTCAAGAAGCCCCTCCACACTAACATTGCGGTCGAGATGGATGAGTTTGACCACGTCAATGTTGAAGACAAGCTTCACATTATCATTAGCGTCAAAGATTTTCGTGCAATTTTGCAGCACGCCCAGCTGATCAGCGGGGAGCTGACAACATGTTACTCCAATCCGGGACGTCCCATGAAGCTTTCCTACAGCGCTGATGGCATTGTATGCGAATTCATCTTGATGACTGTCGGAGAAAAGGACGCTCTCAGTCAGAAACATAAGAATCTGCGAGCGAACACGGCATCTAAGATTCCTCGACCAGAGCTCGACGCGTCATCCCATCGTGCCAGTTCTGTTGCCAACAGTAGCCATCAGAATTCCCATGAGGTCGCATCGGCGCCGGTAGCTACCCCAACCTCTATGCCAGCACCCCCTCAACTGAGGACATCAGCTAGGCCCCGAAACTCAGCTTTCGAAATCCGGCCTCAGCCGATTCCCCCACACTCTGCTGCTACAGCCCAGTCTGAGTCACTATTTGTCTCCCAAGGCGACGAGGATGAGCAGTGGGAGCCTGTCAATCCCGAGGGGGAAGATGAAGAGAACGCAAGGCTTGAATGGAATGCCACTAACGACCCGGTACTGCCCATCTATGGCCCCTCCTGGTCTAAACAGAAGATGCTAATAACGTGTTTCCAGAATCCTTCATCTCTGCGTATTGGCAGTTACTTGAGCAGGTCAGCAGATCCTCAAGAAATGGCCTCCGATATTCTTGAACCTGGGCTCGAGCCGACGCAGCGGCTTTCTCAGGTATGTCATATCCAAATCCATCAAAATTGAAAACTCCGCTGTCTGACAGAATAAGGTCCGGAGGTTTGGTTTATTTTCGCCTTAATCTTGCCCCACAATGGCACGACTGCCAATCTTGCACGAATGGCGACTTCTGGCTTCGGATTGCTATAACATTATTCAGGCTTTCTTTTCGAAAGAGACCCAGCTTGTTGCACAACCGGCACTGATCATACCAATCTCCATGCCCTGTTCGCAGTGGAGCGCCTTCGAGGCGATCAGGTTCCGCTGCCCCTTCTCTCCTGAAGTATTTTGCCTTATTGGCCCACAGTTTCCATGTTCACCCCAACCCCAGGCCAACAGATCGCCGTCATCTGTCAGTGCCATTGTGTGCTCACTACCCACAGCAATGTGTTCCACACGGCCAAGGCCACTTCGCGAAAGCTGTCCATGATCGTCTCTTCCCCAGCTCAGCAACGTTCCATCGTCCTTTAGCACAAACACTGAGCCCCAACCAGCGCCAACTTCCTTCCAGCCCTTCACATTCAGAGGAGCTTGAGTGCGAATCCCCCACTTATCTGCGCCGAGGATCATCAACTCCCCGGTTTCCGATGAACCAAAAAGGCACGTGAACTCGCGACCGCAGACGGCCTTGACTACTTTGAAGTTTACCCCATCAATGCGCCGTGGAGACTGCACTGCGGCAACAACTGGACTTCCGAGTTGCCCTTTTCGCCCTTGCCCCCAACCCCAGACCTCACCAGTGCTCAGTACAGCAACGACATGCCCCATGCATGCCGCTAGGTCCACGATTTGTGTACCGGGTGGGGGAAAATTGGGGATCAGAGTTGGTTCTATCGTTTGCGTTAAACCTGGCCCCAATCCCAGTTCGCCTTTATCGCCAGACCCAAAGGAGTAGACTTGAGTACTGCCGCGAGCTGCCCGTATGGATTCGCCCTCCTCTGCCGAAACGACCACCACACTTGCTGCCCAGGTAGCAGCAACATGGTTCACCTTTGTGCGTTTGGGCAAGGGGCTCAGGTCAACAGGGCGGAACTCCGGTCTCAGATCGCCGTTTACATCTTGGTTGATCCTCCCACACGCGCCAGTTGTGGCGTCTCCGGTCCACAAGAGTTCACCAGATGAGAGGAGAAGGAGCGTATGGTTGCCCCCTGCAACGATCCGTTTGGGTCTGTGGAGGGGATTTGTACTACCACTGATGGAGGACGGAAGAATGACAGGCTGCGGGGTGCTTACGTCGTTTTTGTGACCGATACCGAGTTGGCCTGAGCCATTAGAACCAAAAGATTGAAGCAGGAACATTGCCGATGCTTGCGCCTGTTGATATCTATTACTTGTATGCAGGGACTCGGTTATGGGCTGAAGTCGTTGTAAAGGTCAGCGTGTAAGACGACTCTGCGGAAAGGCATGAAGTTGCCCTGCTGCGCAAACATCTTGATTCTTTGGTTGGCCGTGTGCTGTGTGGTATAGACTTGAGGAAAACCATATGTGCATCACACTGTAAAGTATACTGTAAGGCCGAAGGACCTGAGTGGGGCATCCAGTTAGACCCCACTTTCCCGCAGAGCCCTTAAAACCCCATCCGAAAAATTTCTGCCCGCTTCCACTCAACCTCAGCTCAGCACAACACACACCATTGCGCCCCTCTGCCTGCCAGTTGAGAGGGGGATCGCCAATGTTTGTGTGACGATGTGATCTCAATTACGACTCAATTGCCCTTATAAACTCTCTTTGACTGCGACGAAATGGCGTCGACGATTAGCTCCGCGCCGTTTCCAGGCGCCGAAAACTTTGTGATTGGCATCATCGGCATGGGCGACATGGGCAAAATGTATGCCCGTCGATTGAGCAGTGCCGGGTGGAGGTAATTAGTCAATACCAGTTTCCTCTGATATGCTGCCGGACGTCGACTCCTCAGTCATGCACACGTGGTGCCTGATGAGCGACTGCCGTTGCTGACCCAACAAGTCTTCCAGAGACTTTGCATGTGGTAAGTTGCACATCATTTCAGTTCTTGTACAGCTCACCCCTTTGTCGAATGATGACTTGAGCGCATTTGGCTAGAGTATCGTTTGCAGCACGGCCGGACAGCCATTCTGGCCCCGGTCGCTGCTGTGGGCTTTCCATGATGAAAAACCTCAGCTACCTTACTTTCCTTTGTCTGAAGACACGATCACAACATCCCTTAGACCAAGACTGTTTTAGTATTTGGAACATGCCGCTGACTTTAGCGCAGATACGTCAATGAATTTTTGCGCCACACACAACCGTAGGTGCTGATTCTGTTTGCGCGGTCTAGGATCCTGGCCTGCGACAGAGAGGAAAAGTACGAGGACCTGGTTAAGGAGTTTGCCCACCATGTATGCCATTGTGTCCTCTCTGATCTCCGCTGGGAACCAGTGCTGAGATCGTGTGTGTAGCCTAATATACAAATTCTCCGCAACGGTCATCTTGTGTCCCGGGCAAGCAACTATATCATTTATAGTGTTGAAGCCGCGGTCATCGGCCAGGTTGTTGCCGAATATGGTCCTTGTGCGTCCATCTTGACATGCCAGTTCCATTCCCATCCAGAATGACCAGTATTTCTTACCATGATGCTTGTTATTCCAGCGACCCGTCTCGGCGCCATTGTAGGCGGGCAGACATCTTGTAAAGATCCAGAGATTCGCGCTTTTGAGGAACACCTGCCCAGCGACGTCGACATCGTCTCCTGCCACTCTCTACATGGCCCCAATGTCGACCCTCGTGGCCAGCCTCTGGTGCTCATCAAGCACCGCGCATCCGACGAATCCTTTGCCAAAGTTGAGGCGGTTCTCCGCTCCCTCGGCTCCAAACATGTCTATCTGTCTGCTAAGGAGCACGATCGCATCACGGCCGATACCCAGGCCGTCACCCACGCGGCCTTCCTGAGCATGGGCAAGGCCTGGCATGCAACCAAACAATTCCCCTGGGAGAGTAGTCGTTATGTAGGTGGTATCGAGAATGTCAAAATCAACCTGATGCTGCGCATCTACTCCCAGAAATGGCACGTCTACGCTGGCCTGGCCATCCTCAATCCCGAGGCTCACAAGCAGATCAACCAGTTCGCCAAGTCAACCACCGAACTTTTTTACCTCATGCTCGAGGGTCGCCGCGAGGAATTGCGCGCCCGCGTTTACGCCGCTAAAGAGCGAGTTTTTGGACGTGACGATAACCCCAAGTGGGGCCCGAAACCCCTACTTCCTGAAGGAGTCGTCGACCGCTTCAGCCTATCCAAGAACAATGCCCACGGCCCATCCATCCCTAACAACCACCTCAGCCTGCTCGCCATGGTCGACTGCTGGAGTGCGTTGGGCATCGTACCGTACGACCACATGATCTGCTCAACTCCACTTTTCCGGCTCTGGCTCGGCGTGACCGAGCACCTCTTCCGCACGCCGGGACTACTGGATGAGTCGATCCGTGTAGGCATCGAGGACACGACGTACCGGCGGGATGACTTGCAGTTCACCATTGCCGCTTGTGGCTGGGCGGAGTGTGTTGCTTTGGGCCAGTTTGAGACGTGGAGAGAGCGGTTCTGTGTCACACAGAAGTTCTTTGAGCCACGGTTTGCAGAAGCGATTCAGGTCGGTCAGGCGATGATTAAAGCTGTTTTGGAAGCGGATAAGGAAGATGAGGTGGTGGAGAAGGAATAAGGAGTTATGCAAACTTGTGTTTCTGTTGCTCTTGGACTGTTATCTGACAGTTAGGTTATCAAGTTGTTGCTCACGATATTCTAACAAATTCCGCGCTTTTTTCGGAGCTCCATGTCTCGCTATCAAAACTTAAGCACACTTGCCGGAGCCTTCACCATGCATGATTTCTGCTGTTAGAGGATTTGATGATTCCTGATGGGAGCATCCATCTGTACCTACATACTATTTCTCTTCCGCAAGACTAGTTGACCAATACCCCGTAGATATTATCACATACCTTAGATACCGGCTAGGTAGGGCCTTGATTTTTACCGTAGTCAACTCCAAAAGACTTGACAATAACAGCGTCGCCTCTATGCCTAGATACTTGGGGCATTAGACATCCCAACCCTCATGCATACCAGCACCAAACAGCTGGTGCAATGTAACATCTCATTCTATGGCTTCACTGTACATAACCGTCACGATTCCTCGCATTGATCAGGCTTGTTAATTCCTCGTTCTTCCATACAACGTTATAACCGAGATACAGGAAAAACCTCAGCTCTCCGTCGTATAGAAGTTGCAGTGCCGCAGTTACAACTGGAAGATATCACTAATTGATTAATACTATCAGCTCCTATCCCCCCTGTCTCTCCCTCACACCTTACTCATTTGGCATGGTTTCCAGGCAAGATAAATAATTTCTCGTTTATTCTTCTTGACACTCGGAACGAGCGCTGTGTTGTTTCGCTTAACGAAGCAAATATCTTATCTCTGTTTCAACAGTTCAGCCGGCAGTCTTTTGGCGGTGTCGTTTCGGACGCAATGCTGCGTAACCGCCACAACTACCATACGCAAAAAAAAAGGCCATGATAAGGTCCCGTCTCGCTTCTCGGCTTTGACAGATCAAGGGGATGACGACTTGATGATTGCTCAAACCACCAGGGATACCATCTCACACATTTCTTTATGGCCAAGGATATCAAATTTACCTCAAACGCGCAATGTACGAGAATTGGATTAGGTACCTAGTCTGCTTCCTGGGAAAGCTGGCAGGTTGCGTTGTAGGTTAACCATCTGTCAGCTGGGTATTTTGCAAACCTCGTTGATAACCAGTGGGCAAGGACAACGGTAAGCAGCCATAACAGGCACGAAGAAAAAAGCCAGAAAAATACCAAGTACAAAGTCCGACAAAGATTAACGAAATAGTAGAAAAACGCATCAGCCAGAATGAGACCCGCATGCTGTCATAACATCGCTCGCAGCTTCTCCAGATGTTCCAAGCATATAAAACCGACAAGCAAACTAACGCGATACGCCTAGTCTCCACGCCGTCCGGAAAGAACCTAACCCTTGATTCCCATGGACTCGCCCCCTTCAATGTTCTTTTACTTTTTTTTCTGCAGTTTTTTTTTCCTCTAGAACATCTGTCCCTGATCTCTATCCCTGACGAAAAGCGAGACAAAATGTAGGAAGGAGATGTCTACTCTGTGATGTTGATCTTGGACATCCTGCGAGACATGCTGCGAAAGCGTTAGTTTTCTGTCTATGGTGAGAATTGAACATAATTGACTGCAACTTACAAGTCATAAAAGGCAAACTGATTCGGGGTGCTGCCATATTCATAGACGAAACGGCTCGCAAGATAGCTCCCAAAGATGGCACGCAGGTAAGTATCAGGAACGCGTTGGATAATGGTGTCCAAGCCGATCTTGTCGATCAACAGCTTGGGCAGGGCATCAGCAAGGACTGCACGGCGGACCTTCTGGTTCTCCCAGAGGTCAGAGTGCTGCAGCTGTTCATCGAGCGACGTAATCGCATGAGACAGCTTGTCGGAGATGATAGATCGGGGCACACCAGTCTGTTCATGCTCACGCCAGATAGCCTCAAACTCCAAGCGTGCATTCTCCTGAATCTTCTCTTGCACAGCCTTGACATATGCCTTATAAAACTCTGGAACATTGCCACGTGCATCGTGGCACATATTCTCCACGAAGCCTTTATCATCAAAGCTGAGAGCCGCCAAAACTTCAAGTGAAGAGCTCGTGACACCGCCCTTGTTGGTGCTTGCATCCTTGAAGACGATGCAGCCAGCCTCCTCAAGGCGGATCTTGGCATCCTGGGTAATAAAAAGGTTGGCACCCTCAACAATGTAAGGAATTGTGGCCCTGCCATCCTTAATGATCTTGTTCACCGACATGAGATCGATCGATTCAGGACGACCACCGCAGGGAACAAACATGTCAGTCATGCCGCTATCGCGGAGGTGGAAGGTGTTCCGGAAGGCGGTGCCGTTGCTGACGACCTCACCGCTGGGGAGAGTAACATTAGTATCCTCGCACAAAACACGGTAGCCATCCTTTGACAGTTTAGAGAGATCAAAATGCGAGATCATCTGGCGTTTCTTAGCAAGCCGGTAGAGCTCCTCCTTATCAATGCCGTTGGGGTCAACAAGAACGCCGGAGCCGTCGACAATGGCCGTGTACTTCTCATTGCTGAGCAGGATCTCATTGCTGCCAAGGTCACCATCCGGGCCGCCAGTCTGCATCTTCTTGATGGTAGATGGATCCAGATTCAGCTTGCGGTAAATGCCCTTGACGTACTCGCGGACCGACAAAGTGGTCATGCCGTAGGTGTCATGAGGGATACCACCCAACCTTGGCGATTTGCCAGTGAAAAATGACTTCCACCAAGGTGCGCCCCGAGCCCGAGCATGTTCGGTGGCCCAGTCAACCAAATCAGCCGTGTTCTCATCGGGACCCATGAAAAGGATTTCCTGCTTGCCATAGAGGTCGACGATAGGATTCTTGATACCAGGGGTCTGAGCTGGAAGGAGTAAATCAAGGATGCTGTCTATGTACTTCTCAAACGCTTCGCGAGCCTTGTCCTGAGACTTGGGGTCCAGGAGAATGACACCCTTGGAACCGCCTTCAGGAATGTCCTTGTTCTTCCTCTGCTGAGTACTGGCGAGGTTGTAGTTCTCGTCGAACAGGTTCCGAGCGTTGATAGCATAGGCTTCCTTGCTGCGGGACTTGACGATACGGATACCGCCACGAGCAATGTCCTTGAAGCGGAGATGGAAGCCACGGGACTCGGCTGTAATGACAAAGAACATGCCGTACAGGCGGTGAGGGTACTCAATCTCGGGTAAGAAGGAAGGGTCCAGACGGAAGCTGAGAGCAACCTTCGTGGGCGTGAAGTAGTTGGTCTTGAGGACCGCATTGTTGAAGACGCGGAAAGCAGTCATGACCATCTCGTCATGCTCATTAGAGACATCCTTGGTGATCTTCTCCTTAAGCTTCTCGTCCGAGAGCACCTCGACAGCAGGGGTCGGGGCAATGGAGTGGCGGTCGAACTCGGGACCAACCCTGAGATGAACGCTGGCGAAGGATGCATACAAAGCGCGGATGAGGCCGGGGTAAGAGCTGATGATCTGAGCGATGTAATCGGGAGTGAATGTCTCGGTGCGCAGACGTTTCTTCATCCTCGACAGAATCTCGGCGTGGCCATTGTTCTTCGGGTCGAGGACCTGCATCAGCGAAGCGTACTCGGACCCAAGACGGTTCAAGAAGTGCTGAACGAAAACCCAAACACAGTGAGCGTAGATCGTCTCCTGCAGGCTGAGCTCACCGGCAGCAAATAGCTCGTGAAACTTGGGCTGTGGCAGGCAGTAGAGAAGGGAAACCTCCTTGGTGATCTGGTGAATCGATTCATCGATCGGGGGGTATTTGCTGCTGTCAAGGTTCGCAGCGGGACGCAGGTAGATGCTCATGACCGTGATACCGTTGGAGAACTGCTCAACGTATTTACGTGAGCTGGTCACTCCATAGTAGTGGTACAAATCGCTCAGGGCGCTGAACATGCCCCTTGCAGTCCGGGCGCGGAAGGCGATAACCAGCCGCTTTTCTTGCGATCCTTCGATATCGTACACCTCAATGACAGGACCGGTCCTACTAACAGCTGTCTCGATGATGTCCTTGTAGATTTGCTTGGTGTTCTTGGTGGCCTTGGCCAAGAACATGCGGTCACTGATCACTTCGAGGCGAGTCTCCTTAGGATCGGCATTCGGCTCAACGAACTGGCACTGGTAGACGAAATAGCAGCGCAGGGCAGCCTTGGAATCTGGATGGCCAATGACGACCGGCGAACGGAAGGTCTCAACGCGAAACCGCTTGGACGGATCGGAGCCATCCAAATACTTGGCCTCAAGACGATGCTCGTAGCGGGGACCGCTCATAGCGGAAATACCAGGCTCGCTCGTGTCAATGTAAATGGCATGGTCTGAAGCTTCCATGTCAAGACGAATCTCATGCCGCTTGTCCTCGCGTGAGAAGGCCGCCAACTTGGCAGCATAGAGCGACATGATGTGGTTGGCAATGACATCCGGGTTTTCTGCCTGGAAGTAGACATCGTCGATGCCGAGCTCATTGTAAAACCAAGAAATCTGGTTATCGACGAGCGACTCGGGAATCCAACCATGCTTCATAATGGCTTCCCTGACTACGCTGTAGTTAGGATCTGCTAGTCAGGAGACGAAGGATCGAAAACCGACTAACCTTGCTTCATTTGCTCCTGCTTACCCTTAAACTCGGGAGCAATGTAGCCAACTGTTGCGGAACGCAGCACACGGTGGCCATTACCGTTCACCTTTGACATGCTGGGATAGCCGATATGAGTAGGCTGGGGCGAAGGGTGTCTTCCTGGCTCATCCTCCTTGACCTTCTGAACCAGCGGGTTCGCGACCGCGACACCTGACGGTGAATCCATGATGGTCTCCTCAGATGAGGTGAAAGGGTCCACGTATTCGGGGAAGCTGGACACATCCAAGTCAGTATTTATGGTTAATCCAGATACTCGTCGGCCACCGCCCACAGGGCTCAAAGCAGGTGGTTGGATGGCAATGCCTGCCATGGTGCTATAATGATTGAGTCGCCACTCAACGATAACAAAACAATGACGACACGAAAGAATCATATAAAGTATGCTCTGTGGGACAAAAGAACTAGAGAGCTGGGAGCGAAGGGTAGTGTGTCTCAGCCCTATAAGTAGGGCGAGCAACCACAGGAGTCGGCAGGAGCGGGAACGTGGTCTTAACCAAGTGCCATTGCTGCATGAGAGTGCAGATGGCCATGACAGGGTTGTCACTTGACAGCCGACACGATGGTGATCTAGTCTGTTACCCTGACAAGATGACGGGACCCAGCGGATCGGGCTGGAGGATGTGAGCCATGAGCCATAGCGGGCCCCAGTATGGCGGCAGACAACCCCTAGCAGAAGCCGACAAACCCGATCGACCGGCCATGGCACCGTGCAGGAAAAGTGTGATACAAACAAGATCACAGCTGACAGATGCCAGCCTTCGGAGAGGGCCAATTAGGTGAAGGACATCTGGGGCACGATTCGGCGGTGTTTGATCCAGAATACCAGAGATCCAAAGATCCGTCTGGCCATCCGTTCACCGCTCCCCTGGCTGTGTTGCGCTTATTCCTTGCTCTGAGCTATGGTGGGGCCCCTGCTGTCGGCTCAAGAGATAAGAGAGACAAAGATAAGACGGTAACGTCGCGGCTGACCCTCCTATATTTGGGATTGTGCGGTTGTGTAATGTAGGTTGAGAAAGTTTCAGAAAATTGATCTGACGTACCCTTTGTTGGCTGGGGTTCCAGTGTGTGAAGATACCCGGTTGATTTAACTGCCTTCAATGGCTTAGTGAGTCGCTGGTATCACGGTGTTCTGCTCGGCAGCTGTTGTCAAAAAAGAGGTTAATTTCCCCGAATCAAACCGATGTTTGCACGGAAAGCCACAGGCTGTGAGCAAGACGGCACAGTTCGGCTGGATGTGGTATGGCCAGCGTGTGAAGCATACGCGACGGCGATGCAACGAGATAAGGTTGGTCGGTGGACCGCCCAGGAGTCTCGTCGTCGCGCCACGCAATACACAAAAAGGTCGAGGAAGACAGCAGACGGGATGATCCGGAAGGACAATGCGTTCGAGACGTCTTGTTTCTGAGGAAATGCGGGGTTGATGGGCAAACGAGATCAGTAATGGGCCGTACTCACTATGTGATGAACGCGACGGTGAGGTTGAAGGCTGTTGGCAAGTTATTGGGGAGAAGAATTCAGTCAGGCTTGCTGATGGAAAAAAAGAGTCAGCTCAAGTTGCTTCAAGTTTTAACCTTTGGGGCTGGCCGCATTGGCCAACTTGGGCAGTCAAGTGAAAACAACGGCAAGAACGATCCAATATCGATTTTGATACGCCCTTAGGAGCTCCTGATGGAACTGCTGGTGAAGATTCTGTGTTTTCATCAACAATTCGGACGGGAGTCCACAACCGCTTGGCTGTGTCCTATGTCAATCTGGCGCCATCCCTTTGTGTCTTGTTATTTGAACACCAGCCATTGGCCAACGGTGCCTGCAACGACACAGGAGTCGAGAACCGATCCTGTCACATCTGCAAGCAATTTGGCGCAGTCACTAACTCCTTTGGCAAGCAACTTCGTGTTGCTGCTCGAAGGCTGATGGCAGGACAAAACAGGGATAAGGGAGACACAAGGTCTCCTACGGTGGATGTTGGTGCCGTCCGGTGGAGTATAGACGGCCAAGCAACAGATCGAGGTACGTACCGAGGCCAGCCGCAAGCAATCGACGTCACTCGGCTTGGCCTCCGGCAGAGGAACCGAGCGGGTACCTTACCTTGCTGCAAGCGATGAAATGTCGCACGGGGAAGATAAGGCAGTCCCTTCGCGGTTTGGATGCGAGAGACTGATAAGGCGTCTGACAGGAAGCCCGCTCGGCGCGGACACAGAAGTTCTGGGAGTTGGAATTGTCTGGCCTGTCGAGGCTGAAGTGCGACGTGTTGTTGGTGATGGTCAAGCAATCAATCGGGATTGACTTGACTTATTTGATAGCAGCAAAGATGAAATGCACACACATCAGCGGCGGGCATGGCTTTGGGAACGCCACCCATTTATATACTCGAGAAGTGTTCATCTTCTTTTGCTTGTACCTCCTAAACCATGACGGGTGTTCTGGAGAATTCTCCATGTCTTCAGGGACTGGTACCGTACCGCCGTCTCCGCCATCCCTTTGCGCTTCCCAAGCGGTGTCGCGAGCACCATGATGACATTGTGCGGCGTTTTGAAGAACGGATTTGGTTGGCCACTAGCCAGATCGGGCAGTTAGGGGTTTCTGCTGATTGGGTCACAAGACGTGTACCTGAACGCTCAACAAAACGCCCCCCTGTACAGTTACGTACCTGAGCTGGATCCGCACTGCCACGCACTGCCGCCCTCTCCGACGGTTCTCACTTGACCGAGCGGCTATTCGAGGTTCTCGGAAGATTAGGTACTTAGGAAGCAACAACAAGTACCAGTCGATGCGAAGAAGCAGTGTACACTCGAGAATGATGTGTGTCCAGAAGGTGTGACGATGTAGTTAATTTGTCCAATACTGTAAACTTTGTATGAGCTCTACGGGTATGGTCCGTTTTATCTTGCGGCCAGTGCTCCGAGGTTAATGGTAGGTATGCACAGAGTATCGTGTAGTTGTCAAATGAGGTACCTCAGATACTCCTGGTTACCTCTGAACGGGAGGAAGAGCTAGACTCAGGTTTGGAATTTTTTTTTTCTGGGATTTGACGTATCTCAGGAATGTACCGTATACCGTACTTTCTGAGAGGTCTCCAAACGCACATCCAGGGTCAGATGTCACCTGTTTACATGATTTTTAGGCAATCCATGCATCTAGTCCACGAGACATCCAAGATTGTTCATATCTTGTTGGATCTCTTCCAAGTACCTCTGAGATTGTGGGGCAATGGAAACTGGTTAACGATGGCTTGGCTGTCAGGAACATGAGGAACCATTCACACATTCTGGAAACAGGCTGGATGATTTACCTAGCATGACAAATTTCTTGGCGTCGTGGTCTCTCTTGGGCACACCGAGTCCCTCCCTCTACGGTGAGAGTTTTGACCCATTTCCAAGGGGCTGGATTGATATTAGGTAGTACTATCGATATTCAAAAGGTAAAACCATCGAAAACTTTGACGACGGAAAATATAGATCTTTGGAAGGCTTTTTTCAACCAAATAAGACACCCCGGCTGATTGTTATAGAAGCAATTGTTAGAAAGTCAAAGGTCAAAAAGCCGACAGTTATGCCGAGTCCAATCGATCAAGCCTTTTGTGCGTCTCATTTCGACTCTCCATGATCTCCAAAGATTATGCTAAATGTCCGTTTACATGACATGAGAAGCAATGCGTTGAATCAGATTTCTCCTCTTTTCTGGAGGGTTACGGTGCTGACTTGCACAACCAGATGCGAGCGGAAGTTGAGCATTTTACAGCACCTGTCACGCATTCGAGGATCCAATTGCCAGCAACTCTTTTTCCACCATGCAATAAAAAACTGGCATCGTCATTAACGAAGTTTCTCTCATCTGCACACCGATCAAACCAAAAAACAGCATTTCTGCAAACAACAGAAGGATGTCTCAGAGCGCAAGAGCTGGTCCCGTGACTGACTAATACGTAAAACGACGGGACTTGCCAGGCTGAGCCCAAGCTGTGGCTCCGCTCCGGCAGATCAGGTGGTCAGCAGCATGCCCCGCTATTTCCTTTACCCTAGGATTGCCGCAAGAGGCTGGCAGTGCATCTTAATCATGTAAAATAAGGGTAATGGAAATTCTGTCTGCAGCAACACTCATGCACAGCTTGTTCGTGATGTTGCACGGAATCGATTTTTTAGTCAACCGATGGAAGGTTCCCGGATTCTAGACACTCGTCAGCGGCAGGATTAGGTAAAATGGTTGCTGGAATAGGAGAGGGGCTCATCTCGCTGAAGTCCAGCAAATTCAGCTGACTCGGAGGTCGTGGAGCTCTTTCGAGGATCTGTGTAACATTGTAAGGTAACCCGTCAGTGTGGAGTTGGTACCTAACTTGCATGTACATACATGACGTTAGCGTAACGGTCAATACGGAGCAGGAAGCAGAGCGCTCGTGTATGGAGTGGAGTCCGGGGGTACGTACCGCCCGTGCCTGGCTTCGGCAGCCAAAGAACTCCGCATTTTCTCCACTATAACCGCTGTACTGCCGGCGGCACCGGCCGCTCGGGCTTCAAAAAGCACTTGGGAGCCAGACTCCCAGTTGGAAAGGGCGGCATGCCGGTCCCTGGTCCCCGGATACGTGGTGGCCCAGATGGGACACGCTAGGACGCGGAAAAAAAAACTTCTACCGTCCTCGTGCCGGCCCCCAGGCTCGAAGTTTGGACGAGACATGCTTCTAGCCTGGTCACGGGGTTCGACGATTGCCCAAAGAAACGGGCGTCCCCAGGGGCTCCAACAGACAGGCTGAAAGCTGCAGGGACAACTGCGAGCTCAGCTGCAAGTGCTCTGTCTGCCAAGGCCTTCCAGACCGTCTTGCTGCCCCACGTTTGTGCTTGCGGTGCCACGATTCGACCCCGGACAGAAAAAATTTGGGGCCTGGGAGAACGCCGGGAGTCAGCACCAGTTGTCAGGTTGACAACCACGTACCCACTGACTAGCACCGGAGGTTCAGCGTCCCGACAGCTCATACTCCAAAGATAATGCGCTGGATGGCAAATCCAGGCACACGGAGCGTTGTTTGTTCGTGGAATTTGCCCCAATTGATGACGCATGCCTGCCTACCTATGGATCCGTAGTGGCATACTTGTATGCCAAGGAAAGGTGATGACCTGTTTGTTGATATTTGCTGGCAGCTCAGGCACTAGTACGGACAGCATCAGTCGTTCCCAGTGATCCTCCCTCCAAATAGACAGACAGCTCGTACACAAAGCCCATCAACTACCAAGTACAGACGGGGACGGCCGCTTGATGAGGGCCAGATTGCGACACAGGGCCCATATTTCGACGCAATGCCGCCAGATGATGATGTTACGTACAACTTTGTGACAGTTTCCTTTGAAATGCATGTGTTGTTTGTACTGTGCAAGCGCGGATTGCCGCAAACAAGGACTGAGTCTCGGCACATGGATGCTGATTCACGAGCCAGGCGAAAGCTTGGTGTAGACTCGAGGGCCTAGTCCTACCTACCGAAGAGCGTCGATCAACTCGTCGGTGAAAACTTTTGTTTTCTCTCGACGGTTACTGGCGCGCCACGGAGGACAATTTTTTGGCGGCATCGCCAGCGTACGGATGCATATGAAGCATGGCTAGTGCGGTTTACCTTCCGCTTCAAGCAGCAAGCTCTGTGTTCTTTTGTTTCATTCCCGCCACCTTCTGACTTTGGGTGATAACGATGGATCGGGGGGGGTGCTCCGAGGGGACTTTCCTGGGTCCTCCCGAGCCGGTCCCAGATTCTGCGGCCTTGAAAGGCCGAAACTGGATCGCCGAGATCACGGAAAAGTTGCGTCAAAGTCTCAGGACCGAAAGGACTCCGAGCGGGCCGTGTCCGAAGTCCCCATCAGAGATACCGGATGGACCCAAGGTCCTCATTTCAAATAGCTACCCGAGAGAAGATGCGGATAGCTGGCGATGTAAGAAGGCATCGTGATATATTCCATGTGCTTGCTTGGTTTTTTCGGCGGCGTATTAATTCTGAAAACTGCGGTCTGTATGGAGGTTAGGTAAGCATTCTTCGGATGGTTTGATCGCGGAATGACCGAGGGCCACAAAATGTGAACTCCGCTGTGGATTTCCCGCTGAAAGCCGCTCCCGCTTCTTGGCACGCGTTCTGAGAGATGGAGGGGTAGTGTCTATAATGCGAATGCACCAACCTCATTGTCTATGGCCACACTTCAGCCATTGAATCCTGCAGAAGCATTCAATTGACTTAATATCCCACCAGGGTGAGCAACAAGGCATATAGCTAAGAGTCCAACGAAGCAGACATCAGAAGGTGTGGCATTTGCTAAGAGTTTCACTGGTTTTTCCCTGCTTTCTGCCGTGCTAGGCTACCCCGCCTGCCGTGCCAACACCATCTGAAATCCTCCACCAACATCGCACAAGCTAGAGTCATGGTCGTGAGCGCTGCTTCCGTCGCTGCCGACCCGAGACAGAGAGCTCGGGAGCTTGATCGGGATGATCCGCTCTCCTTTACACGCGGCGAGTTCGTCATCCCTTCCAAGTCACAGATCGCCAGCACACATCTACCTGATCCAGGTGCGACATACTCCCGGTCTCTCACAAATCGTGCCACTCGAAGTCCGTCCAGGTCAAATGGCCTGGGGCTTGCAGAGGAATAAAGACTAATGGCAGTATCTTGTGGCGTTAGTCTCTCCGGCTGTCGTGACCGGCGATGATCCCAACGACTCCAGCAAATGCATCTATCTCTGTGGGAACTCCTTAGGCCTGCAGCCCAAACGGACTCGTACTCGTATTGAGCAGTTCCTCGCAACATGGGCGACGCAGGGCGTCCAGGGACACTTCAAGCCCCTCAAGGGATCACCTCTTCCGACCTGGGTTAATGCCGATGAGCGTGCCGCCGAACTTGTTGCGCCAATTGTGGGCGCTTCCAAATCTGAGGTGGCCGTTATGCAGACTCTGACCACAAACATCCACTTGCTTATGTCTGCCTTCTATCGCCCTGACGTTAATGGGAAATTCAAGATCATCCTGGAGAGCAAGGCATTCCCCAGCGACCATGTAACATCCCCTACTCCATCTCTTCACCTTACCAACCGACAAGCTAACATAGGTGGACCAATAGTTTGCTGTAGAGACTCAGCTTCGTCACCATGGCCTTGATCCAGCGACGTCTATGGTGACCATATCCTCCAAGACTTCATCCGATAACGTTCTTACTACTGAGGAAATCCTGTCGGTCATTGAAGAGCATGCTTCGACAACCGCTCTCCTGCTTCTCCCTGGCATTCAGTACTATACTGGCCAGCTTTTTGATATCCCTACTATTACGGCATTTGCCCACAAGCACGGCATCTTCGTCATCTGGGACCTTGCTCATGCAGTCGGCAACGTACCCCTTTCTTTGCATGACTGGGATGTCGATGCGGCTGTATGGTGCAGTTACAAATACCTCAACAGCGGCCCGGGTTGTATCGGCGGGCTCTTTGTGCATTCGCGCAACAGCACAGTCACACGTCTCATCACGGACGAGAAACCCGAGGAGGGCTATGTCAACCGTCTGGCTGGCTGGTGGGGCAACGACAAAGCCACCCGCTTCATCATGGCCAACAAGTTCCACCCTGTCAGTGGTGCTGCCGGTTTCCAAATCAGCAACCCGAGCGTGCTTGACATCACCAGCCTGTGTGCCTCACTTGAGGTTTTCCATGCCGCTGGGGGGGTCGCGAAGCTGCGCGAGAAGTCTATTCTTTTGACGGGATTCCTTGAGGAGTTGCTTGACAGCATGTCTGAGGAGGATAAGGCACTGTTCCGCATCATTACCCCTCGCGATCCGAAGCAGAGGGGTGCCCAACTGAGCTTAATGTTGAAGCCAGGTCTTCTGGAGACGGTGATGCGTGAGCTGGAAGCCCGGGGGATCGTGGTTGATGAGCGCAAGCCAGACGTCATTCGTGTTGCTCCCGCGCCGTTATACAACACATTCGAAGACTGCGTCGATTTTGTTGAGGGGTTGGCGGCCGCCCTTGCTGTGAGCCGAAAGTAAGGTGGACTGCAAAAGGCACTTTAAACTAGAATATGACTGAACATAAAAGGTCTTCCGAATATTAGACATCGTGTTCTCTTAGACATGACTGCAAACTGTCACTACTTCTGGAGTCCTTTTTTTGGTCCCAGACTGGCGGTGGAAGCTGTGCCTACCAGTTGCGTTGCTTGCTGGAAGCCCCTTATTGGTCGGCCCGGCAACAACTCTATGTGCTGGCCTCACCGGCTGATCTCACCATCTCTCCCAACATTTTATATTAAACTTCACTTCAAGCCTTCAAGCAGTTAACAACATCATATGGGGAAAATCCAATGTTAAAAAAGCAAACTGTCTACCTGAATGCATCATTAGAAAGGTAAATAACATTGAGCTCTATAATGCTAATCGTTGTGTTGTTTGATTTTAGAAACCCAACACTCTGTCCTAACTCCTAGATCCAAGTTCCCTTAAATGCGGTGTTGAATGACAGCGCTAGACAGATAATTATCAGTATAAACAAACAGCTCAAAAAAAAAAAAAAACTGGTGACGAAAAAGGCAAAGGGGCAGGGAATGGCATCCCACGTCCATGACACGTCCTGGGAGCGATGGACGCGTCTCAAAATCTGGCCGCAGATGAGGACCTCACATCTTGGTTCTTGAGAGTGTCTCAACATATTGATCACCTTGTGCTACCATTTGTGTCTTCCGACTTTTCCTCTTGCTGGAGTACGCTTTGTTCTCTAAGAGATTTCACATTAGGTTCTCAAGCTGATGGTAGTTCATAGGCTTAATCCCTCAGCTATGACGAAGCCCAGAATACCATCGCAAGCCCAGGCCATGCAGGATCATCAGCTGCTTCAGCGTGTTTCCATAAGAGATCTTGTTGCTAGTAACGAAGGAACTAGCAGGCCAGGCAGATACCAAAAAATTGTAAATGTTTGCGCGAACGAGCAAGACAAGGCCTTGATTTTGCCTTTCCACTGCTCTACAGAACTAAGCGTTACGTGGAGGCCTCGTCCCTTAACTCAGACACTGACACCCCGGCAAAGTGCATCTGTGTCTGGCGCTCTGTCACATAAGCTCAAGTATCGGCAAGATGAGATATCCTTACTACGGTTGGCTCAAGAAGTTGGGTCCGCATAATCAGGATCCATTAATTTGTTCTGATGACCGCAACATGCTGTTCAGGCCTCTCCTCGAGAAGCTACAGAAATCTCGCGATCGGAAACTCCTGCAGTCGCAGATCGCTAAAATGATTATGTCTGATATCAAGGCTGCAAAAGTGGAAAGAAGTGTGTCCAGGATCTCTGTTTTCGGCGGAAAGTATCTCTCGGCGTCAAAAGTCTCAAGATAGGTTGTCTATCTTTCTCATTTACAGGCTCTTCGAATCGAACGCTTCATTTAAAGGCGATGTTGCCTGGGCGACACTACCCACTCTTCAACTCCTTGTAGGTATCCGATCATGCTGCTGTCAGTACTGACCAATCTGCTAGCAGCGGTAAACATTTGTCCATTAGTGAGGGAATTTACTATTCACAAGGGGCCCTCACAGACGAAGTGTTAGTCAGCTTGCTCAACGGTCTTGAGCCAAACACTTTAGGTAGGCTGTCGCTGCTGACAAGAGGTATATGTTCAAATACGGGTTACTAACGTATACACGTTTAGCAGAGAAGATTCGCATTCGCGGGTGGTCCAATATCAGGAAAAAGCATCCCGAGCATTAAATGATCATAATCTGAGCTTTTACAACCTTGCACTTGAGTTCAATCAGGAGAGTTTTCGGCTCTTGCACTAATTGGAGGGGCTTTTTTAGAACTAGATCCCTGAGCTTGGGAGGTATTGACAAAGTATATCAAAGAGTTTGGATGCAAGATCAGTAAGTCTTTTAATGTAATAGTCAAATGGCTTCGAAGCCGCAAACCCCTGATTCACCCGACGCTTACAAAGACTACGGACCTCATACTGCTCATGTTTGAAGTCTTGTACAAGCCCGATTTCGCCCTAAGCAGCGTATCCCTGACCATCCCAAAACCTCCAAGAGAATCCATAGGCTGTTGTCCCATCAAACATCTCTCGAGTCTTTGGGGATGCACCTCATGTGCCTACTTCAAGATCCGAGCATGCGTTGAATCTTCCTGGATACTCTTCACCGCTACCCCAAGCTGTATATCTTAGACGTCAATGAACCTTTTACGTTGATTAAGGTTGAGGAGGCACCGAGACAATCGATGACCTAGAAGTCCTCACCCTGTACAGCGAGCATATTGATAACTCGTTCATTGTTCCCCTGACGAAGCTTCAGGGATTCAAATTCTTCAACTTCATCAGCACTAAAAGTTTCAGGATTTGACATCTTGCGCTATCTGGACGATATTCAGCAGCACCCAGCCAAATAGCAATAGGGATTATGGATCGAAACGACGGAGATGCAATTTGTTACTGGGAGCAAGAATGCTTTTCCTCATAAGGATGAGGCAAAGAATAATGGTATTGTTCGGTCTCGCTATGGAGGATCATTAAAATTGAGTAAATTCGCCCATCAAATGTCTAGCTTCTATCTATGGGCAACGTCTGACTCTTAGATTGACTTTAACAGGAAGACGCTGGGAGGATACGTATTGCTAAGGAGCACAATCCTGACTCTTACCGCTCATTGAGAATATATATTCATTGAGACATGGGTAGAAAGGTGGGCAGATATACTTCTATCTTGGTCAAGTGCATGTCTGCTGTTGATGCTGAGTGCAGCCAAACTAACAACTAATCTGCACCTACCTGCCCATCACGTATGATATGACCTTGAGCATCTACTAATGAACGCTGAACATTTTCACGAAACAAATCTTTACTTTGAAGCATGGCGTCATAAAATCAGAGCAAGGAGGTTCAGCAGACTCCCAAACAATTACCACTAAAGAGATGGTGGAAGATGGCACACGATCGTTCGGATGCATCGCCTATCGGGCCACCTCTTTTTGATGGAGCTAAGGAAAGAAAGGTTTAGCAATCTCTCGTTCTCTCCTTGTTCTATGAGCACAGTGTTCTGTGTAATGACAGTTTCTTAGAAAAAGAGGACCTGTCCTGGTGATCCGTCGTTGCTTTGCGTCTGGCCCAGACACTCTATCCATACTGCTTGTGGCTCGAACTCCTGTGATGGAACGATCCAATTTGCACCTTGGGTCGAGTATATCAGTAACAAAAAACTTCTTTTCCAGTCCACCCTTGAGTCAGCTGGAAAACGAAGCTCAAATGGTGGTCTTGACAATCAGACCGTTGGTTGGAGAAATTTTGATCTTATCATGACAGAGAGATGCACTGCTGCGAGAGATGAGTACACGCGGACAATGATACACTCTATATCAGCACATCTGCTTCAAAACTGGCTGATCGGTCTCTCTAGCTGCAACGGGGTGATTGAGTTCCGTTGAAGAGTTTAAAAACCTACGTTCGGAAGCGCCAACCCAGGCAAATATACAAAGGGACGATGAAATGGCTTCGTAATTGCCATTCGTTCGGATTTCTCGATACAAGTCTCAAGAGGCGATTCTGCTGCTGGCAGGAGTTTTCTCGAAAACGGACATCAGCGTCAATCTGGCAAGGGTTTCCCAGAGCCTGACTGTTTCTATTGTAGTCTGGCACATCAGTCACCCATCCAATCTTCTAGAATGACGCAAAACTTTCGGTACTCGAGGAGATTGTGCGGGGTGGCCGCGTCGCACTCGTCAACACGCTTGTCAGCCTGCCTGAACTCAGGTAACTAACCACAGAGGAGCGCTTTATCGTCAAGGAAATGTTATAAATGAGTCGGTTAGCGCCTGGGTTACAGCATCTTGAGACAGCTGGGCTTATTCGCGGCACCTTTACTCCTTTGTGTAATGGGCATGCGAAAGCAGAGACGGCTTAGCTTTTTCGACATCTCAATCGTGATTAGCGCCGGTTTACACAACTTCCTTCGTAAACTACACACGAGGACCCGGATGGTGAGTACCAGGGCTTGCAGATGAACAATTCGTTTCAGCACCCAACCTATCCTCTGTTCGATTCAGCGGTTGGTCGGATTGGAGAGAAGTACGTCACTTTGATCGTGAGAAGTTTACAGCCTCTGACATCGGCTGTACTCATGTTAACTACTTATCTCTAGAACTCCAGATATAGTACAGCAATGACGCGCGGTTGGGTACTCAGGGAGATTAGGGGGAGGTGGGAGCAAGGGACAAGATTGAAGGGACATTGTTTGGAAAAATATTTCAGCATGGGACCAATGTTGCCTTCAAAGATCTCCAAAGGGAGACCAGGGATATTGAACCCCATGCGAGAGGAGTCACTGAATCGAAGGCGTTTAATACCTGGCCAGCCTAGTTGCGGGACGCTATCGTGTCTGGCCAAGGATTTGACAAACTTCCGATCCTAGATTAGCTTCCTGAAATTCTTGCATGGAGAGGACGATGTGTGTGACGACAACCAACATGCGTTCTTTCTACAAGAGCGAAGACTCAGCTGAAGTCAGTCCTCGTTACGGCAGCAGGATTTTGCCCTCGCAAGGAACGTTGACGGTCACTTCGGCAAGTTCGTCACTCAGCCAATGCACAGGCAGAGATCGTCCATTAATCTGTTCCCAGCCAATCGAGTAGTTTTATGCTAAGACCATCCCTAGGCGCCATGCCGCGTGTGGTTTCGTTGCCTCCATGACCGTAAAAGCCCTCGTAAACCCCGCCGGGAAGAACCTCTTGTGAAATGAGGTTATCATCTGCCACCCATGTGTCGTGACGAAGTAGGCTGCAATTGTATTCACTAGCTCGGATGGGCGCTAGGCAATCGCAGACAAATAGCAGACCTTTCCCTAAGACCGCCTGAGATGCTCCAGAACACAGAAAAATTGCCCCGATGACCGTTGCTCGTCGTTTAAACCTCCGTCGTGACCTTCGCCTTGGCGTTGGTAACCTTCACGCCTAATTGCTTCGCCCGAGTGATGATGTCGATCCGCTTCCTCGACGAAACGTTGTGGGCGATCCTGTAAAGAAGTTGATGTCAGCATTACCATGCAATCTCTGTGCCTTGTTTTGCGTTTGTCGCTCCGACGTCGTCCGCATCAACCTCGGCCTTGCTTAGAAGTTTCGGGCACAATTTTGACGTACTCAGCGGCGTAAGTCCGGTTGTGCATGAGGAGGAGCTCAACGTCCTTGACGTTGTGGACGAGGAAGGCCTTGTGGCCTGAGGGCATCATGTGCTTGGTCTTCTTGTTGGAGCCATAGCCGATCTAAACATGTGGAAAATTTGAGAATAAGGTGGTTAGTCCTTGTTTCTTCGTTCGGAAAATGTTGAGGTCCCCAAATCGATCTCTATCCGGTCGTTTTCTTGTTTTCTTGCACTCATTGAAACCAGCTTCACCCACAACCGTGATAGAGATCGATCCTTGAACCAAAGGAGTTCAGCCACGTACCGAGGGCATAGCAAGGTTGCCCTTGAACCGCCTCCGGACGCGGTTGTCGATACCCTTAGGCTTGCGCCATGCCGAGTCCAGGCACTTGAACCTGTCGCTCTGGTGGCGCATGAAGCGCTTGGTGCCTGCAGATTGAAAACAGCCCTGTCAACATCCGTGAACTCAATATTACACTAAATCGGTTCGAAAGCCTCTGGTCGACTCGAATGGCATGAAATTCGAGGCGTGCTGTTCGAGCAATCGACTGGGGGAAGAAACTGAATGATCGAGAAACATACGCTTCTTAACAATCGGGACGTGCTTCTTAGCGGCAACCATCTGTGCGGTAGAGTTAGAATTGAGTTTGCTATCTTCAACGAAAGGCTGTTGAAGCAATATGGCAGCACGTTACCTTGACGGTCTTGTTGTCGGGTGATGGTCAGAACTTTGGGCGTCGTCACGAACAACCTACCTTCGGAAAAGTTTCAGAAATTGGGACGAGGTGGTGGGCTTAGGGTTTTCGAAAACTGTTAAGGTGGACTGGTCTGTGCGCCCACACTTGGGGAGCCTTCGGGTTATCTTGGCAACAGGGGTCTTTTCCCGACGACCAACTTCGGGTGGGGTTCTCACCGCCCCACCTTGATAGGTGAACTTATCGATAAGAAGCATCGATCCTCGAAGTTTCCATGGTCAGGATTCACCATGGGGACACGATATGACCTTTTATCATCACTGCGTTTATCGGATAATCTGCTACTTTTGCAGCATAAATGGAACACACAGTATAACAAATTGGCATCTTCTTCAAGATCATCAGGTCGTGAGTTGCTCTATGCCACAAAGGGCGGCGCTCGACAGTATTCAGAGAACCCCGCTCCCTCCCTCCGAACGCTTTCAGTCTTTCCTATCTCGGGTGCCTTGGGTATGAAGTGGGCAGATGAGGGCTTATCCGGTGGTATACCTGGTTGGTCTCTTGAAAGCGAGATAACCAAGCAATGCCGGAAACGGGGAGGTGACACCTTTCAGGAGGTTGTTACGACGACGATGGTGATACAGCACCCAGCAATACAGCCCAGGGCCTGACCACTTCATTCGTCTCGACGATGAAATGACGAAAAGAGGGCCAGTATCAGCTTTCTGGTTGGATGAACAGCGCCGCATTGCTAACCTGGAAGAGCGCTGTCCTTTGAGCAGCCCTACACGCAAGGGCTTCGACGGGCTGATAACAGCGACTCATCCTCCCATCATTAGGACCAGAATGTGTCTGAGAAGATCCCCCTCACTGAATCTCGGATATATGCTTCATGATGCACCACTTCATTGCGTGGCGCACTGCGGGCCTCCACCATGTTCATCTTCATCTTCATCCTCCCACTCGCCGCCACTATAGCGCGGGTCACCCTGGTGAGCACCCATCTAAATCGCTCGTTAGCATTTCATTTACGATAAAATCCCAAAGGAGCAACAAACCAAGCGACTAACCTTTTCGATATCTGCATTCTCTTCATACTCGACATCATCAACCTCGTCAGCTGTGATAGGTTCGGCGGGAGGAGGAAGAATCTTCTGGAGTGCTTCATAATCGTTGTCCTCGGAAATCCAACCGTTCTCGGGGAATTGGATCTTCACGATCAGGTAAAGATCACCCTTGCCCTCGCCCCTCTTGTGGGGCATGCCCTCGCCGGGCACCTTAAGGACATCATTCGGCCGGAGGACCTTACCGCGGGGGTGTTTGATATGAATGCCCCGACCGTCAAGATGCTTCAGGACAACACGTGAAAACCCGCACAAAGCCTCCGCAAGAGTAATGTTGAGGTCAGCAGAGAGGTCATGGCCAATACGGGTAAAGCGGTCGTGAGGCTCCTCAACGAGATGGAAGATCAGGTCGCCTGGGGTTTGATCGGGGAACTGATCAGCTTCGCCTTGCAGGACGATACGCTCACCCTGCATGGAGCCGCGAGGTATGTAGAGCTCCAAAGCCTTGGTCTCCTTGACCGTGCGCTTGCCCTTGCACTTCTTGCAGCGGTCCTTCTCCTTGATATAGGTACCCGAACCTTGGCAGTGGTCGCAAGCAACAGTCTCTCTGCTCATGAGGTTGGGACCAATCTGGCGGAAAGCCTCCTGCAACCCGACACCACCGCAGCGCTGGCATCTCTCGGGCTTGGATTTCTCCTTATCCTTGGCGCCGCTGCCCTTGCATTGGGGGCAGACGACCTGTTTCTCAGCAGCGAACTTGACGGTTTTACCCTTATAGAGCTCCTCCAGGGTGACCTTGTAGGGCTGCTCCTCGTCCGGTCCACGTCTGGGCCGACCAGGGCCACCACGGGGCATGCCGCCCATGTGCATACCGAACATCTGCGAGAGAATGTCGTTCAGATCGACGCCGGCGCTGCTGCCGCTGCCCCTGGAGGGGTCAAAGGCAGCCATGCCATGAAGATCATACATCCGGCGTTTCTCTTCATCACTGAGGATTTCATATGCCTGTCCGATTGCCTTGAACTTGGCCTCAGACTCTGCCCGCTTTTCTTCGGGCACCTTATCGGGATGGTATTGCCTTGCCAACTTGGAAGCACAGCCGGGTCAGCTTTCTTATAAAATACCGTGCACGCGCGCCCTAAGGCCCGATGTGTTTAAGTAGGGTGCTCACGTTGCGATAGGCCTTCTTGATGTCGTTCGGACTGGCGGACTTGTCAACGCCAAGCAGCTCTGCATCGGCGAACTGGTGGTTAGCCTGAGGGTCGGTCGCATACTTGAGGAGAGGGGAGAGGGGTTTGGGATCGCACCATAAAGATCGACCTCGTCAGCGGCATCCATTTTTCGCAGAGTTTTAACAAATTGCCGACCAGCTGGGAAACAAAAGAGAGCAATGAGGATGTTTGAAAGGAAAAGACGCCGAAGGAAGCGATGGTGGTGGGGTGCCTGAATCTGGATTGCTGAGACTGTCCGGCGTTGTTGGAGTGGAAATTTCAGCGCAGACAGTTTTCGCCCCACCTTCGCAGAGGTAATGTGTACGCCAATTACTCAAGACAACAGCCACGAAATCAATCAATGAGGTCTTCTTATACAGCGTAATGCCAGTTTTAGGCGAAAGAAAGCGAAAATAAAGCACATGTGAGCACAAATTTATTGTGAAATTGCCATCCAGGCACTCCTCCAACAGATTGGAAGCCAACAAGCAGCGTGTCTTACAACTACCACAAGTACGATTCACGCGGTAACATACAGTCATCTTATCGCTCAGCCGCCCCACAAGCCTTCCTATCAAGGCAGTCCTCTTTGGCCGGGTCAGAGCGGGTGAGAGGTAAGACCGGACCTGCTTGACACTTGACGCACCATCGTACTGTGGCGTCGCAGTGCCACAACTCCATTTTTCGCGAGCAATATCTACATAGGTCCTACTGTGGCTCAGCCGTTTTCTCCTGCCAAACGTCCCCCCGAGCCGCAACAACCAAGGTTCAAGGCCTTTTGCAGATGGCACATTGAAGGCTTGCCTGATATTCTGATACTCGGGCGAAATGAACCAGATTAGCCCAAGAAGCGGGCACGTGCTCCTGCGACGGGCGGTTCCTTGCGCGTGGGCTGGAAAGCTCTTTAGAACTTCATCTGCCCAGCGCCTGCAATGCTTCTCTTGCGCTTCAGCGCAACGGATTGCAGACCGTCAAGTGCGAGAAGATAGGTTCAAGCTCCCGGACAGCCCATGCCGCACCCGGTTTGCCCCATCCCCCACGGGATATCTGCACTTGGGCTCCTTGAGGACAGCCCTGTTCAACTATCTTCTCGACCGGGCGACAGGCGGCCAGTTCATTCTGCGCATTGAAGACACGGATCAAGTAAGATGAGCACTGGCAGGAGAATAGATGAAAGAAAGGAAGAGAATTGGACGCTCATGACCCTGTATCTACATAGACTCGTCTGGTGCCAGATGCTGAAGAAAAACTGTATGAAGATCTGAAATGGGCCGGTCTGTCGTGGGATGAAGGTGAGCAGAAGACATGAGCGCGTCCATATACCCTCGCTACCTCGCGCATACAGCATCTGCTACTCTATTCATGCATCGTATCATGTCGCTCACACCGTCTCAGGTCCTGACATTCAGGGACCATATGGCCCTTACAGACAAGTAAGCTCGGATCCTGCTATAAGTCATGCATGATCCGTTCAAGGCAAGCTAACCACCCGTCGTAGTCCGAAAGGCTTCCTCTCCACGCCGAGCATGCCAATAAGCTTGTTCGTGAGGGCAAGGCCTATCGCTGCTTCTGCTCGCCTGAGGCACTGGAGGAGCACAAGCGGCAAGTCCATGAGCTCGGTCAGCCAACTCTGTACCCCGGGACATGCCGCAACATCCCCCTGGAGGAGTCCGACCGCCGAGCTGCTGCAGGCGAGCGGTATGCTGTCCGCTTTAAGAGTTCAGAGACACCTGTCATGATCCACGATATTATCTACAACCGGTTTCGAAAGAAGGATCCCGAGGATGACTACGTTATCCTGAAACGCGACGGCTTCCCGACATACCACTTTGCTAATGTCGTTGATGATCGGCATATGAAGATCACTCATGTCATCCGCGGGGCGGTAAGTAGGAGGAGAATCAATGTGCCAACTCGTTGAACCTGGAAACATTTCGACTGATAATTGCCTAAGGAATGGCTCATCTCAACACCCAAACACGTCGAGCTGTATAGCGCCTTTGGCTGGGAGCCGCCTAAATTTGCACACCTCGGCCTGCTCGTGGACCAAAACAGACAAAAGCTTAGCAAACGAGACAACTCTGCCAACATGGCCTGGTACAAGGAAAGCCGGATCCTGCCCGTTGCTCTCCTTAATTTTGCCGCCCAGTTGGGTTGGCGCGGTAAAGGTCCTCAGGGGAACGTCATGGACCTACAGGAGATGGTAGCCAATGTAAGTGTTTTCGGTCCATTGTACCCTACCTCTTTCTATAACCCTTCCTGACCTACGTCCCATCCAGTTCAACTTGCAATTCACCAAAGGCGACATCATCGTTTCCCTCCAAAAACTTCCCCACCTCCAAGACAAACATCTTGCTCGTCTAGCCCCTGAGGACCGAAAAGTCTCCCCTGCGCCACAATTCCAGACCCATGTTCTTGCGCCCATCAAATCAGCCATCGCCGCAATTGAAGAGTCCCGTCGCCACTCTCTACCTACCATCCCGAGCTCCATCCCGGCCTCCTCGCTCGGTGAGCCGCTGCAGACACCACGCATCCTCTCTTCACCGTTCGAGGCTGACCTTGTCCGCGGCCTGTTGGGCACCCGGCTCAATCTGGACGACCCAACTGCACGGTTCTCTGAGGCTGTGGCCAAGCTCAAGTACTTTATCTGGCAGATTCCATTGGATGTGCTTGTTGCCCGGCTGAAGGAGCTTGAGCTCGGCAGTCGCTTGCCTGTGTCGGAATCAGAGCCGGTGCCTGTGAAGGCGTGTGATGATAAGGAGAAGTTGGTTGAGGCGATCGGATATATGCTGGAGAAAGTTTCGGCTGTGGATGAGGGAAGTTGGACGAGAGAGGGTCTAGATAAACTGTTGAAGGATGTCCTCATCGGAGATGGCCGGATGGCAGGCATCTATGCCGGTGTGGTTGACGACATTCAGAAGTTGGTATTCAAGCTGATGCGGTGGGCGCTGGTTGCATCAGAACCAGGCCTGCCCATTCCGCATACAATGCATGTTCTTGGGAGAGAGCAGACTCTCCAGCGCTTGGGGGTCGCGAAGAGTGTTGTGGAGGAGGTCGTTAACATTCCTGAGGGTCACGAGGACGAGATGACAGAGCAATGAATGCTCCAACCACAGTCAAGTGTACCAATAATGTAGAGATCTTGTGTGACTTTAGACAATGCCATGTATTGTAGGATACCATGCCATGCCAATACCACTCCAAAGGGTTTTCATGTGTCCCATAGCGCCATTCCGCGCCCTCTGCAGAAGCAACTAGATCGACTCAGTCCCCCAACCCTTGTAACAACTCCCAAATGATTCATTTCCCTTCCTGAACCCCAGAACAGCTATGTCAACCAACCATCAACCCATAAGACTCGTTCACACCTCACCCTGGCCAAATATCTGCACCTTCACTTCAGCGGCCAAGAGTCCGGCACGCTCCTTAGCCGCAATCTGTCCAACATCTTGTACCGCTTTCTCAATCGACTGATCAACCGCCTTCGGACCATTCGTGTTAACCCCGCCCAATGATGAGCTGCTGCCCAAGTAGTGGTAATGTAGCATGCCCTTGCCCATGCGCGACACGTTGACCGCGATCTCCTGTAAGCGCTGCCCAACATCGTCCATGTTGCTGCTGGAGTAGTCACGGTTTGAGAGTAGCGGGTTCTGCGCCAGCGTCTGCACCCAGTACTTGTTCCACAACAAGTCCAGCAGGCGTGTGTCGAGCGTGCTCTTGAAGTGCTCGACCTCGAGGCGATAGTACTTGTTTGCATGAGCGCCGTAATCCATGGTTTTGCTGAGCGGGACAGTCGTGCTGGCACCGGCCGGCCCGGAGCCACCAGTAGTGCTGCCCGACTGGTCGGGAGGAGTGTACCAGTCCGGGTATGTGCGGAAGGCACCGATCTCGACTTTGTTGGCGCTGACAGTGCGATTTGGGTCGATGACGACGGCGACCATGGGGCCCTGGAGCTGCTGCAGCTTTTGGGTCTCGACGTCGATGCCTGAGAGCCAGCAGCCGTAACCTGGATGGGAGTGGTACCAACCAACGATATTCTCAAGGCGACTCTCCTTGCGGCACAGGTCCAGGTAATTAACAAGGTATTCATCGGCCTCGCCCTGGGCATTAACGCGCGTCTCTGTTCCTTCGACTGGCAGTCGGAATGCATCGGTCACCACGATCGTCGTGCCGTCTACATAGCCCTGCATCATGCCCATCACCTCTATTGAACCCCCTTCCCTGGCATGCATCACCATCTTGGTGAGCGCCACGGAGCTAACGCGCACTGTCTTGAAGTATGTGGGATCCTGGTCCCATGGCCGCTTCACGTTGATATCTTTCTGGGAATTCGGATCATAGTTATAGAGGGCATCACGCTGGCGATCAACCAACTTATCGGTGATTGGAAGCTCTGTGGGATTGTAAGCCATTGGTTAGCGACTGAATCAGTATTATTTTTGCTACAGGCCAACTCTGTGAAGATTGCTCGGAGGAGGGAGAAAGGTGAAAAAGTATCACACGTGGGGCCTGATTACCCATTATTTTGGTGTTGACAGCAGCGAAATGATCTGCCGCAAAAGAGATTAAAGGCGAAGAAGTGAAGGTAAAGTTGTAGGTCTTCGAAACAGCGGGCTGCCTGGTGATGGAGGGGTCGAGTAGTAGCCCAGGGCTGGGGAGCTGCGATAAGATAAGAACCCTGGTCAAGCTACCATCAAGGTGCTCTATTATGACACAAGAGACTCCAAACATGCTGAGCCTCTTCTCTACGAAACAAACACATCATATCAGGTGAAGTACCGTTCAAGGACTTAATGAATATTTTATGCAGGCAGGAGGTGCGTAGTAAATCTATGTAGTTGATGATTAGTTACATACATACGATGGTTTTACCCCTAGCTAATTGATGTTACAGTACGGATTAACGTATCGGCAGTTGTGTCTTTTTTTGGTCATGGAAGAAGTCAACCACGATGCGAAGATGTCCCAGTCGCTCCTGAGAGATACTGTCCTCCAACCATAATCGCTATCTCCCAATCTACTTCAACTTCAATTGAAGCCCATGTGTTTTACATGTCATGGAGACCATTCGGGTCTCCTTAGTCCGTCTATTACCAAAACAATATGCTATGTATCCTCCCAGGGGACAAAGGGGACAAGTAATATAAGATAAGAAAACAAGAAGAGAAAATGCAAACATTATCGTGACATCTTTACCCTCGTCTCCGACTTAGTCTCCTCACAAGTCCAAGTGACTGCTGATCGCCCTCTTCAGTCTCTTCTTCACCTCCAGGTACGTCAGCTCCGACGTTATTGCTAGTGCGTATCACACTTCCCTCTCTGTCGATGAGCCGGCTCGTGAAAGCATGAAATCTCTCCCTAAGGCCCCCGCCTGGGCCTGTGCCGCCAGCGCTGTCCGAAGTACCCCTACGCCTTTGCATTCTGTCTGCTGATCGATTTCCCCCAAAGCCCTCATCATCGCTCAGGTAGCCGATTTGCCTCGGTGAAGACGAGAGAACAGGGACTCCACTGCTGCTGCCCGGTCTGCTGCTTGGTCTGCTACGAGAAGAGAAGAACAGTCCCTCGCCGCTGCTTTCTTGCTGATGCTGCTGGCGTCCACCTCCAAAGGCTCTTGACCATCCGCTTGATGTTGGTCGGAGCAAGCTGAATCCGCTGCCATTGCCGCCGCTGCTTCGGTTATTGTTGTTGCTGCTGGTGCCTGACTCGGGCGATCCCGTGAGGGACGGCGCCATCAAAAAACTGGGGATGGCCCCTGTCGCTTGCGAAGTGACCGAAACATGGGCGGTATGTTGCTGTGATTGCTGCTGTTGCTGGGCAGGGTACTGAGTGATGGATTGCTGAGAGCGCATGGATGAGGCTACACTAGAGCTGCGACTAGACGACGGCACAGGGACGGACGTGGTATGCGAGCGTCGAATCGACTGGGGCGGCGAACGCGAGAAGTCAACAGGAGAGGGCCCGTAGATCGAGGATGAGTCATCACCACTGGCCTCGCGCGCCTCAGATGAGGTCGGGGTAGCCAGAAGCACCGAATTGCTGGCGAGTTCGCGCATCTTCGACTGCTGTGTGGTATTGGGCCGGTGCTTGGAGAACTTATTACCAATGATGGCACCTGTGTGGCTGATCAGTGCCTTGATGACCCGGCTCTTGAGAGCTAGTGCCAAGTCGAGGTTGGACCATGTTTTGTTGCGCCACTCAATGGTCGGCAGACGGAAGACAAAGTCGTGAACATCCTCAAAATTCCGCTCGCCCTTGCCCTTGTAACTCAAGCAGAGAACAACCGAGGGCATCTTAATATAGGCGAAGGTCATGTAATTCGATGCGCGGTCCATCATCATAGAAAGATCATCCGACTGCTTTGGCTTATCGAGGTCGGTGGTCCTGTGACGCAGGATGAAGCGAGAGCCCTTCTTTGACTCGCTGGCGATGGAAACAGCATCTTTTATGGACGTGGAGGTTGCCGACCTTCCAACGCCAGGCTGAGAAGTGCTCATGCGAAGAGAATCAAATGAGCGCTTCTTGCTAATGGCGGCCTTGAAACCTGTACCAACTCTCAGGAGTCGGAATGATGTACCTTCCCCTGAATGAACGCTCAGTGCCTGCTGCTTGAGAGACGTTTCGTCTGGGTCAGATGTCAGGGTTGGGCGAAGACGAAGCTCTAGGGACCCAGCCCGTGTCGAGAACGCATCATCATCGTGATCCTGGAGGTAGTGGACAGACTCTGCGAGCGAGTCATCATCGGCCTCAGTTTCTTCGTCGCCGGATGGCGAGTGCTTGATAATTAGCGGCGACTCATTCTTGCCTGGGACTTTCCCGCCATCCGTGCCTGGAAAGATGTACTCGAAGAGCTTCTTCCCAACCTCGCGCTCCAGCTGAACCTTAAGCGGGTAGAGGTTCACCTCGAAATGATCCATCACCGGGATGCCAGCAATCGCTTCAAGCATGTTCCAGTAGACCCGGATCATGGGCTGAGACCCTGTGTCAAAGGCAGTCATGTCGTCCGTGTACGGTGCGATCATAGCCGGATAGATGGCGTTGTCGAGCAGGTTAAAGCCAAGGATCTTGCCCACCTGGACCAGGTTAATGTGCGACCCGTCAGAATTGTCGACGCGGTTGTACTCCACGTTCTTGAGCTGAAGTTCGACGAGGGGCTCGTTATTATCACGAAGCAGCCGCCAGACAATCTCCTTGGCCATAATACTCCATTTCAACATGGCACTGCTGGTCCTGTTGTCATACTTCCGCTGCGACGTCGTAATGGCCTTCATCAGGAAGAACAGCTCATCCTCGCACGCAGCGAGATCGCGCTCAAGCACCAGCCTGTCCTTCCAGCCTTTTTTATCCAGATTCTTGGAATGGACCTGGAAGTGTGTCTTGATCTCTTCAAGCTGCCGGACGCGCTCCTGGAGCTTGATGACCATTTCGGGCGCGCCGCGGAGGTCGCTGAAGTCACTTGCGAGCATGATCTTCTCCAGCCTCTCGTTCCGTGTCTTCTCGAGCGGCTCACTATACATAAGCAGGTCCAGGACAATGATGTAGATGGCATAGTACTGCTGAGAGTTGCACATGGCATGCGCCTTCGGAAAGATGACCCACAGATTGTCCGTTCTGCTCTCGTCGCTGTCCAACAAGGGGACACCTCCGTTCTCGCTGGTGTTGATCTCGTCGTTGTACTTGAGACGGAGGGTGTTGAACTTGTCGTACCGGAGCATAGCCGACGTCTTCTGCACCACGCGCTTGAAGCCGAACGGGTCCGACTCGAAGTCAAACATGACTTCCATCGGGACCCAAGGTGGCCAAGCTGAGCCGACAGGAGCACCGTACGTGTTTCCAGAGTACATGGATACGAGCTGTGTCGAGAACCACTTTTGATGGGTCACGAAGAATTGCGTGCTGTCCATGTTAACTAGGAAACGGCGCTGGACGAGACCGCTGACCTCGTCGAACATCCTACTCTTGTCCAACACGTCGACGACCTTGAGCTCCATGCCTTTGGACGCGCAGAGGACCACATGCTTCTTGTTCTTGTCGCTCTGGAGCTGAATCTGAGGAGCGATCAGGCGGACGTGATAGCTGTTTTGAGTCGTGAACTCGTCCGCAATACCGGCCGACAAATCAACCATGGCTGGATTGTTCGCAACAACATCGTCGTCGTCAGGGGCAACAAACTTCCGGCTGTCCTGCAGGATCCTGCGAATACGGTCCTCAAGGTCTTTCTCCGCATCCTGGTTTGAACCACTTCCGTCCAACGTGCTACCAGTCCCAGATGCAACACTGGAGCCGCCATTCTTGATCGCGTTGGACTTTGCCTGCTGTTGTTCTTCCACGAGATCCAAGATGAACTTGACCGCTGGCCGGGACATGTAGTAGACGAAACCTCTCCGCTGACCGACCTGGTGAATGTAGCGCAGGATGATGTTCCGCAAGGTGTTGTTCCACTTGAGCTGTAGGTTGTGCACGACGAAACGGTTCTTGAAGTCGCTCGCAAACTCAGCGACAGCGGAAGTTTCCAAACTTCCTCGGAAGCTCGAGGAGGACGATCCGTTCAGCCCAGCCGAGCTGCAAGAGGCGGCGTCATTGTTACACGAGCCTGAGCCAACCCTCAGTTTTGTCAGCATGCTTTCCAGAAAGGTCTTCTTGTCCTTGAGGACGCTCGTGTGGTGGCTAAGAAGCTCGCTCTCGGCTCTGAGGTCTTCCTCGCCGCGAGCAATGCGCAGATCGATCTCGCCCAGTGTCCGGTCGTGTGCTGCCATTTGCTCCTCCAGTTGCTCCAAGCGTCGACGGATGAGCTGGCTCTGAACTATCCTAGGATCATCATCATGGCTCATGACACAGAAATGAGTCGGCTCTTGGCCGAACGGGCTGGTCCGATCCGGATCGCCATCGATGATGCCGTTGATATCAGTCTGCCGGAAGTAAGTAACACGAGGGGCGAAAGCGAGGGGGAGAATCTTGGTATCAGGGTTTGGCTCAGTCGGCAGGATCCAGTCCAACTCCACAAAATCATCCATGTCGATCCAGGTCAGGTCGTTGTCTGGAACGGTGAAGCGAGACAGATCAGTGCCATCTCCTTCCTGGTCTGTGATGAACGTCGAGAGGGACTGCCTCATCACTGCGTCCGCTGTGGTACCCCTGATGCTGGCCGAAATGGCCCGAACATCCGCTGACACGAGGTCCAGCTGTCCTGCGTGTATCTTCATGCCAGTCGTACGAACTTGAGTCTTGCGCCCTCGGTCCCTGGTGTTGAACTCCTCCCGTCTCTGGTGCAAATCCAGGATCGCGCTATCAAACCGGACCTTGATACCAGTAGCCGAGATAGAGTTCTCGGAGTAGTCTTCGGCATCCTTGTGCTTGTAGATATGGCTGAGGAACAACGGCGCCAAGCAGACGTTGTACTTGATGGTGGCGAGATGTCTCCCAAACTTCTTGCTGTTCTTTTCGCGGCCGGGCCAGAGGGTACCTTGCCGAATCGGGAGAGAAGAGAGCGGGCCAGAGAAGAGAGACCACCAAGAGAAAAAGTGCGTGAACAAGCGGGGCGTGAGATGGGCGGTATTGTAGCTGCGCGATGGCTCGGAGTTGGACCCCGTCCAATCTCGGTCAGCAGGGGCGAGGACAGCCAGCGACAAATGGATGTGCTGACTGCGGAAGCCACGGAAGGCATCGTACGGCAGGCCGTCCTGTTGTGGTCTTGCGTATTCCGGGTTCTTGAGCACAATCTCGTAATGAGGCTTGAACTCAAAACTCCTCGTGCCGTTCTCGATTGCCCTCTCAAATACTAAGCCAGCCAACCACTGCACCTTGCCAGACAGCTTCATGACAACCTTTTTGAAGGCCGCCCCGGACCTGAAGCTGTCATTGCTTGCAATGCTCTCGTCCTCGCCGCGTTGCCGGCGGACTTCACGAACCTGCTGGCTGTAGTCGGGAACAGCAAGGACATACTCGCCACTGTCAACGGTCATGAAGCGCTTCGGGTCGTCCTCGGTCCAGATGTTCCATCGTACATCGCCTCGCCAGCACATCAAGAACCCAGCACCATTGCCGGTTACCTGGTAGGGGTCTCGTGAGCCTTTTAATGCCAGGTGAACATCGCCATCGCCCCGCCAAGCCACACGGATACGCGAATGGAAGTTCAGCCGGATTTTGTCCCAGAAGCCGACTTTCTCCGAAGGATCTAGCTGTGGCTTCGTCATGGACTCGATAGCCATCATCATGTCTTGGATAGCGGGCTGGTACGATGGACCCCAGGTGATGCGAGTCGGGTTGGCAGTGTGAATGTCCACGTTCATGTCCGAGAAGGTCTTGACAGGGCCAATGGTACGGCGCACCTCGATAGCGAAGCCTCCCTCGTTAGGGGACAACCCGTCGAGATCACGTGGTGGGATGATTGGAACTCTAATCTTCCGTGTCGACTCCAGACCGCGGTACTCCTCAGCGATGACAAAGTCCGTAGATAGTGCCAAAGCCGGGAGCCGGGCAGACTGCTCGGATTTCGTGGCAGGCACATGGAGGAATGGCAAAGGATAATCGCGAAGCGATATCCTCGCTTCACCCATGTTGACTTGGAGGTTCATAGGAATGAGGAGCGTGTACTTCATATCCTTGGGCATCCCCTTCCCCACCTTATGCAGGAAGTCGGGAAGCTCCTTCAAGGGGAAGGACGGCTTGTCGATGACAATGTGCAGGTCGTTGATCAGCGTCGACATGAGCGCCGGTCGCTGTGGCACCTCGAGGATCTTCTCGCTATCTTCCAGGTCATCTGGAATCTCATTGATGCCCCAGAACTGGGCATAGTGTTCCTTCGCTGCTGCTTTCGACATCTCATAGGCGCGATCTATCCGTTGCTTCCAGCTCTTAGCATTGTGCAAGTCAAGCTGATGTCTCGCTTCAGCGATCGAGATGCGTGCCTTGCCGCTGAGCCCATGGGCACCGGCTTCGGGATCGTATCGGGGAATACGGCCACGCATATAGATTGTACTGAACGATCGCCGCCTGCCGTCCGCGCTGCGGCTCCGGACGTGGGGATCGCCTGGCATGGAAGACTCTCCATGGGGAGCTGTAGAACGAGCGCGTGACTTGGTAGACCCTCTCTTCGCCTCCTCCTCATGAATCTTTTTGACCTTGAGCCGGAAGGCTTCTTCACGAGCCTGACGCTGCATCATCTCGACCAGACCGGTACGGTAGATCACGCCGAGCTTCCATTCGAAGGCGCCGTCTTCGAGCTCAAAAAGCAGATTCTTGGCACGCAGCGAGACCTTCGGGACCTTCTTGGGCGGCTCAGGCCCCTTATCCAGGATATACTCATTGGTCCCTGTCTTGAACCTGTGATGAAGTTGCTGGACAGACTTGAACGTGTTCACGAAGTTGTCAGTGACCTTGTAAATGATCAGATCGTGCGGCACGGCCAGGCGAATCGTCTCGGTGACCACGTCGAACATGCGCTCTTCGCGAACACCTCCACCAGCATAGCGATGGCGTGACTCCCGGTAGTCTGCCCGCAGATTCTTCACGCTCACTAATTTGGCCCAAACTCTACGCATCCGCGGAGCTTCTGCATACAGTCGGACCAACTTGGCTTGAAGGAATGGTGGTGCCCAACGATGACGGCCGGCTTCCAGGTTGTAGACATGGAACATCATCGGCGGATCCGACGGCATCTCCGCTTTGATTTGGATGAGTGTTGACCTAAAATCGACCGTGACCAGCTCGGGTACAGCCCTCCACGACTCGATATCACTCGGAGAGGGATAGTTGCCGCTTGACGGGGGAGAAAGGTGGCCGATGATACGTCGCTGAGGTGAGAGAGGAGAAGTAGGGGAGGTAGGTGGTGTCATTAGGTCGACCGTAGGCTTTCTCCTCCTCAAAAAGGCGTTCTGCAAAGTCGCAATGGCCACGCCGACGGCATAATGACGATACAAAGAATACTGTACGAGAAGGCTTCGAAGGTAGGTGTAAACATGGAACAAGGGGCCCTGATTATCGCTCAACGTCGCAAGGGTGACATCAAGCTTGGGAATGCTGATGAATGGCTCAAACTCCCACTTTTCGGATGACTCGATCATGAAGGCCTCCAGGCCTCTGACCATGAAAGTCAAACGGCGCCCGTCGCCCTCGTGGTGATATTTCTTCTTTGGTGAAGAGCCGGAGTAGGCGGCTAACAGATCAGATTCAGGCGACATCATGCCACGACTGCTCGCCCTGCGACGGGAATGGGAGGGACGTCTCTGCAGGCCGTCAAATCGCTGCGCCTGGTAGTCGGCGGACCAAGACTCGAGCTGTACGGCCACGCCTCTCTGCTCTTCGGAGATATCTTTATCCACGCCGGCTACCTCAAAGCTGCAATCAGAGCACTGCAGATGGAAGTGCAGCAACCACGATGGGAGTCCACGCAAGAAGTTGGATTGTTTGGGAGCCGGAGGGGTGAAGGGGTGCTTGTCAGGCTCAACGACGTTCGGCCTCATTTGTTGGACGATCTGGCGCAAGCCATTTCGGATCTCTGCCTGGATCATCTTAACGGTGAAAGTCTGTAGGTTGCCACTGGCCACCACATGGAGGTTTGGAGAAGCGCTCAGCTGGACTTTAAGGTCAAAGCTCTCCGTCTGCAAAAGATCAAAACGAGTTCCCGTGCAGGTCTGGTAGTACAGGTTATGAGTTTGAAGCCGCATGGTAGCTGCCAAAGAATAATGAAGCTCCTCAACGGCAGAGTGGAATGATTCCATGTCCAGGGACACGGACGAGATAGAGGAGATAATCAAGTCGAAGTCCTCAGAATCGGACGAAGGCTGAACTGGAGGGAGCGTTATCCTCAGCACAGGCTCGTGCATCGAGAACTTTATATTTGCTTTGGGTAAGAGACGTGAAATTAGCATATGTTTTTGCTCGTGTTGCTGAGCCTTTGGTGGCCGGGGCTTGCGCTGGAGCATTGCCATCAAAAGAGGAAGATGGCGAGGGTCAAGATCGACAGACGGCGAGGTAACAACGGAGTTGGCAAACAGGATGTTTGCATTTCGTTGCTCTGCCGTCCCTTCGTTGGCCAGCTCAACGGTCTTCGAGGGCAAGGTAGTCCTGGCAGTCGTGGTGGCCATGGGGATGTACATGATGCGTTCGGGTTTGCCGTGACCGTCGTCCAAACCGACTGATATTGACAAGGCAGCTGCTAGGGCTTCGTGGGCGATATCGTTGGAAGTGAAGTACATCCTGTGAGCAGGGGATTTTGGGTCTAGACGGTGCAGGTCAATGCCAACTTCCTTCATTGATGCCGTAAGGAGGACAGGAGAGCCGGCTGGCTTGACGCTCTCGATCTTCTTGGTGAAGCCGATGAAGCTGATGGCAAACTGGACTTCCTTGATCCCACGAAGAATAGAGCTGACGAACTCTTTGGAGTCGGACACCGTCTGCATCAACGCATGATTGGTGCTGCTGCCGGGGGCGTCAACCTCCTGGATAATGCGATCAATGGTCACATGTTCGGCAGGGCCGAGCTCGACAGACTGCTGGCTAGGGCGCGGTCGAATCTTCCTGTACTGGGACAGACTGTGGAGAACATCATCGTAGGGAATGTGCAGCCGACCAATCTTGAGAGCAATGGCAGCATCGCGTAGGCCATCGAGGGCTTCGTACAAATATCCGTGGATATTCAGGGTCGCGCTGTCGATGATTTCAAGGGGTTCCCTTCCATCGGCAGTGAAGAGCACACTTCGGAGGGTCACGATCCATTCGGCCTGCTGAGCCTCGCGCAACTTGCGGGCGCGCCCCTGCAGGAAGAAGCGCGCGCGATCTACCGTCTTGCGACGAGTGTCGATTGCGATGGTGAAGCTACCCATCTGCAAGCTGCCGACACCGGCAAGGGCGACAGTCGAGTTTGTGGCCACAAGATCCACCATGCGCAACCAATTCACCTTCCTGTGGATGCGCTTGAGGCGCTCCTTGATGTTGGTCAAGCGCTCCCACGTCTTGCTTCGTTCCTCCGGAGCCGCATCGCGCTGGATCTTGGGCGTGGTCTTCGGGGTCGTCGGCCGCACAGGGGCCGGAGTTGGCACGTCAGAATCGGAGTCGAGCCCATCTTCAGCTGCAATTGCCCTCGCTCTGGCCTTTTCCAGCTCTGCCAGGTCCAGCGACACGGAGAGCTCATCAACGACGATGCTCAGCCAGGTGGGCTGGGCAAAGGTTGGCCGATGTAGGTTGAGCCCCAAGCCACGGATCTCGATGCGAACGCCATCGCGCGGGGAATAGGCTATGCGACGGAGCGAGAAGTATCCGATGCGCTGGATAGACAGACCGGTGGTTATGCGAACGACGGCGAACAGGACGAAGGACAACAGGTACAGCAGGACCAGGACGCCGAGAAAGAAGGTCGGGTCAAGGAGGGCCATCTCGACGGAGCTTCGCCAGCGCAGCGGCCGCGGCAGGTCACTTCAGCACATGGACCACCTAAGAGACTCAGGGAGGAGGTCAGGCACGAAATATAATATATATATATATATATATATATATATATATTCTGCATGGAGACAGCGAACAACTTGGAAAAGACATGGATGGCCCATGGGTTGATGGGCTGATGAAGGGAGGGGGGGGGAGGGTAATAATAGCTACCAGCCAGCGAGAAAATCGAAGAAAACGTACCCATTCGCCCCAAAAGCCAGCACCAACGCCCCGGCGCAGGGCGAGTATGCGAACCAATTCCACGTCGAAAATCGAGACCTCAGCTACCGGGGAGCCTGGAAAGGCGCGCTAAGGATCCCAGGTCTTTCTGGTCTGGTAGGCAATGCAAGGTAGACTGCACTCCGTAGCTTTGGCTGTCGATGTCTTCAAAGGCGCTGCATGCTGGACCGCGCCATCGGCGTCGTCGCGTTGCTGGCTGTCTCGGATGCTCGGATTCTCGGGGCGCAGTGGTGTGCTGTGGACGTGTGGACGTGTGGACGTGTGGTGTTATTCCGGAGCTGGCTCGGTGGAAAGACACCGGTTGAATACGCTCCGTTCGGATCTGAGACCCGTGTGTGGACGACGGGAGCGGCTTGCAGCAGAAGGTCGCAGATTCGCGGGTTCACTGACTCGCAGCCGCGTAGAGAGAAGACTGTGTACCCTAGTGCACTTATAGGGCTTGTGGCTCAATCTAAACCAGCACCCAGTGTCTGGCGCAGTTGCAGAATGCAAACCCGGGCCCGGGCAGTCTTACCAACAGCAGTCCCGTCTGACGGTCTGCCGCTGTAGAGGCTAAGGTAGATCGAGAAAGCTCAGAGCTGTGCCGTGAACTCGGCAACCTTGAAACCTCTGGGAAGACCTGATGAAGGAGCCCAAGGATCCAGTGTCACGATGAGCGGGAACCTAGAGGTGGGCCTCTGCTGCGAACCGCCACGAATCTACAGGGCGCTAGAACGTGCAAGTCAAAAGCCCTAAAACCCAACAAGGAAGCACCAAAAAAGGGCCAGCTTGGACCCTTTTTGGGGATTTTGGAGGGTGCCCAGGGGCGCTCTCGGATCACGGGAGGGGCGGGGGCAGCAACTTGAATGGGATTAGGATATTGGGAGATGGGACGGAAGATCCAATATGGATGGAAACGGGGGAAGACGCAAAAACCATTTCGCTTTCGCCACGGAGCGTCCAGGGGAAATTGGCGAGCAGCACCGTGGATCTGTGGACATGGACCACGACGGATTCGATCAGGAGTCCAGTACCACAGCACCCTGTGTCCGGCGGATGGAGTCGACTTTGATAGCTCTGGACCCTCTCCTAAGTCGTTTCTCCCGTTCTGGTGGGCAGCGGCCAGTGGCCTGTCTCTCAGGAGCCCAGGGTCCTGGCGTATGCTCTCCGCCCAGGGGGGGGGAGGGGGACGGCCTTGTAATCTTTCTGCCGCATGACACCGCCTTTAGACAACTCGGTGCGACAACCTAAGCCTCCCACCCCTGAGAGCAACGTTAAACTGCTTTCGGCAAAGCTGGCCAACGGGTGGGAGATCGCGGGTGGCGGGTCGAAGCCAAGAAGAGCCAACCCAAAGCCAGCCAAGCTAGCCCGTTAAGTTGACATGGTTCCGACTCCTCGGGACTTTTCTCTGCTTGTGTTCCTGATGATGGCAGATTGCTGCGTGCCATACAGGCATTCATCTTGCAGATATGTCGATCCTGAGAACAAAAAAAAAAGGGGAGAAGGGGGGGGAAAGCGCTGTCGCCATGATAACTACGTAATACTATTTTCTCTCCTTAGTGCACTTTGTGAAAGAGAATCGTATCGGCAGAAAACCCACAATGTTCCAATACCCGACTGGGCCAAAAACAAGGAGTCAGGTCTACAATCAGCTCTTCTGGTTCTTTCTTTTTATTGAAGCAGACTGGGTCCAAACAACCCATCTGATGGAACCTTGTGAAGAGCTTAGGTGGGGTCCTCCGCATTCCAGATCCCCAGACATAATCAGCAGAAAGAGGATAAGATCCACGGATAGCCACGCATGCCGCAGACTTGTACAAAATATCCGCATTGATTTGTCAAAGATGCGCTATTAATCGCCGCAGAGTGCCAGAGCCCAGCGGTCGAGCCTGGTGATATCCACGAGTGAGTGGGTTTCGGGTCGCGACACGAGCAGCAGACCTCCAGGCTTCACGGGAGATATCCATAATGCAAGCCCAGTGACCACCGATGTGCCTACCTCAATTATGACCCCGGATCAAGCCTAGGGTTAGCTGTTAGCTGTTTGTACCTGCTTGTTGTTCCAGTGTTTAAGCTGCCGTATATCTTCCTTGTCCGCTGGCCACTGGGTATGCCATAAAGGACCCTTAGGAACCCCTTTTCAAGTTACGCTCCTCGAAGTCACGCATCCCGGAATAGATTGCCAGGCACCTAAGCTACAGAATATTCTTGCATAGAGATAATAAGTTGGCTCAACGGTTGGCGAGCGACGATGACAACCCAGACAAGATGCAACCCCATATACGTACCCGATGACTTACATTGGATACATTGGGCCTTTGTACTCCACACAACACGTATACACTACATCCAACTAACATGAGATTCTGCCTGAACATATGATATATCTACATAGTGCAATGCAGAGCCGTCGCAAACATCATAATTGCGCAGGGATAATTGAGATTTTTGATAGTGCAATCCAGAATAATGTTAAGCCTCACTTACTTTGAGCTTCAGTTGGGGTGCTAGCTCCAGCGTTCTCCTTTTCCTTCTTTTCGGACTCGCGGAGTTCTTTGATGCGGTCGTCAATGAGAGCGATATCAGCATCTATCCGGAGAATCCTCTCCTCGAGGATTTTCTCATACTCCTGGTCTGACAGCCAGGTAATGGGACTCCATTTCGACCAAAAGCCGCCCTTTTCTGATGAAGGGGGTGACTTGGCTCTCCTAGCAATCCGCCAGTTGTCAACGACCTGGCCACCCGCGCCCAGCATTGTGAAGACTAGAGCTCCAGGTAGGATATTTCGTGGCCCCCCTGTGCAGCCGTCAGCATGCTGTGATCAGGCCAACTGGGGAACAAATGGCACTTACTCAGCATGCCGCCCAGTGTTCCTGCAACACCACCTCCTATACTGCTGGCTATGACTTTGTCTCTTGGACTGCAATCCTCATCGTGCGCAAGCTGGGTCAGGGTTACCGCCCGGGCCGCTAGAGCGCGTAAGCACAGGGAAACACCACATGATGAGCAGACAGAAACCCGATCTCCATGAAACCTACCAGTGAAACTAGTTCCCAGGGTAAACCATTGGACTCCGGAGATGAGGGAGAAGAAGACAGGAGGTGCCGACCGAATGATGCCGGCTGCAGCTCCCACAAACAAGCCACATGCACCTGGTAGAGAGTTAAGATAGAGAAAACACGGCTGGCCTATTGCCTCAAACTCGCGCAAGGATCCATACCAACAGTACCGCCAGTCTTGAGGGAAGATAGGAGAATATCCTTTACTTCTGGCGAGAATCCAGCATTTTTCTTGGTTAACTCTGTCTGCGGCGCCTGAGACTGGGCTGAAGATTGTTCTATGGCTGAGGGTTCTGGCCGGCGAGCGGTCTCGGGATCGGGACTGGGCAGCACAACGCGCTTCATGATGGCATAGATCAAGGGCCTAGAAATACCCCCGCCCCCAAAAGACTTTCTGAATATCTTCCCTTTTCTTTGTCTTTGATTGAATCGAGACCGATGGCACAGGAGAACAGCAGAAGATCCTGATCCCTCAAAGTGCCAGGGCGACCAGACAGGCTGCTTGCTCTAGGAATTGAGTAACCGGGTAATTGGGAACCTAGAAGAGAAAAGACCTTAGACCCTGGCGCAGAGTCGATTCAACATGGGCAAACTGTGTCGACAAAGCCTCACCACATACCCTGAACACCATCACCCCGTGATTTCAAGGGCCAAGGGGGCATGCAGCCAAGTGCAGAGAGGGGTTAGAGAGCGTGCAGTTTGTTCAGTTTGTCTGCCGCCAAGGTTTGCGCTCCCGACTTTCGATTCTCGAAGGGCTGACAGGTGCAAGAGCCATGCACAATGCCGGCCCCATCTCGTGGCGCTAATCCCTATCGGGATTAGCGTTAACCAAGGCCCGCCCAGTGCGCCCACGCCTTTGCCGAGATAAAAAAAAATGTCAACCCTGATTCCTCAATCGAACCTCACCTATAATAATTTTTTGCTTCCGCCGCAACCCCAAAATCACGTTCTGGGAGGGCACCGCTCTGCCGCAAAGTTACGCACCTTTGCACTTTTCCACCGCCCACGATTTGTCTCCGCTTGCTCAGCAATCCGGAGCGACCGACGATTCCATCTCTATCTTCGCCCACAGCGAGCCCATCAACCCAATCGATCCTTCTAACCGGACCCTGATCATCCGGTCAACGACTGATTATCACTGCGTGCTTCGGTGCTACATCGTAGCGCGCCGCCCCTCGATCGAAAACCCGCAATCATGGGTGAGCAAGCCCGACGACCCCTCCCCGCCGCCGCCGCCCGACTGCCGCGGGGCACCCGGGTCCTTCTGATCAATTGCTAACGCTGACCGACTCTTGATGTGCAGCGCCCAAGAAGAAGGAAGTCCAGAAGCTGTCTCTGGGCGACTTCTTGAATGACACCTGTTCGTGTCCTTCCCCTCGATGCCAAGCACATCCCCGCGTTGCCCGCGCTACCCCTCGTGTCCCGTATCCCCTTGTCTCCCCGTCCCTCCCGAGTCGTCCCTCTTCCTGGCCAACGCCTTTATGCCCGACGCATGCTTGTATATGTCTACTGACATCGATGCGTGATAGCCTTTGGCGGCTCCTGGGCCGATGAAGTCGAGGACACTTTTGGTAAGCATTGCCCCTCCCGAGTGTCATCTGTATGCTGATCGTCCCCCATAGCTACCGGTATTACCCTGCGATTCTCGATATCAAGTTCAGCTCAAGTAGATGTAGGTCCATGATACTGACTGCACATATGTAGGCACCGGTACTCAGCCCCTTCCGCCCCCGGAGCGAAAGACTACGTACGGCACCAGCAATGACCGCGGTATGTCACATGCCGGATTGGCCCTCCGACCGTCAGCTGCACCAGGCACTAACCTTTTATTGCTACCAGGCTTCCACTCCCTTCGCGACAACCTCCCCCAGAAGCTCCCTGAGAGGCCGCCTTTCACTGCCCACCTCGGCAACCTGTCCTATGAGGCCACTAGCGATGCCATCACCGAGTTTTTCAAGGACTGCAAGGTCGTGAGCGTCCGCATCATTACGGATCATGAGCACAACCGCCCCAAGGGCTTCGCCTATGCTGAGTTTGCCGATGTCGAGGGTCTCAAGACCGCTCTTACCCGTGATGGCATGGTACTTGAGGGCCGCCCCATCCGGGTTAAAGTCGCCGATCCTCGTAGGTCATCCCGAAGAATCCATCTGCAGTTCAAGTCGCTCGGAAACAAGAACTGACGACTCTTGCCTTTCAGCGAGGGGCGGTTTCTCTAACAGGACTGAGGTTGCCCGTGAGCTTGACTGGAGCCAGCGCCGTGGCCCCCTGACTGATCTCCCTCCCCCTCCTCCCCGTGGTGGCGAGCGCAGGCGCGACTTTTTCAACGACGATGGGAAGGTTCGGGATTTCAATAACTGGGAGCGTCGCGGCCCTTTGTCGCCTGTCCCTCAGCCTGAACGCTCTCTGTCTCGTGATGGTTCTCGCTCCCGGAATATGGACCGCAGGGCTTCCCCTGCCGCTTGGGGCCCTGGCGATCGTCATGAGGGTTCTCGTCCTCCGCGCCGCGAGTTTTCCGATCGCCCTGAACGCCAGCCAACTGCTGCTGAGAGGGACACCAACTGGCGCCAGAGCATGCGTCCCGATCCCCCCAAGCAGTCTTCTGGCGAGTCTACTCAGGCTCCCAACTCACCTGCTCCTTCGGCCTCTCAGCCCGCTACCCGTCCGAAGTTGAACCTCGCTCCCCGTACTGTTTCGGCTGAGAACAAGGATACCACGGCTCCTGCTCCTGCCGCCAGCTCCAAGCCCAACCCTTTCGGTGGGGCCCGCCCGATTGATACCGCCGCTCGCGAACGTGAAATCGAGGAGAGGCGCGCGAGGGAAAAGAGGGAAGCTGAGGAGAGGGCCCGCCAGGAGAGGCTTGCCCGGGAAGCTGCTGCTAAGGAAGCTGCTGAGAAGGCTGCTGCTGAGGCTGCTGCTAAGGCCAATGGCGCTCAGGAGGCTGCGACCACCGAGGCCAAGGAATCGCCTAAGGAGAGTGAAGCTACCCCTTCCCCTGCGCCTGCCCCTGCGGAGCATAAGATTCCTATCCGGTCGCGCGAACCCAGGGATCCTCCTAAGTCGCGGGCGACGGAGGTTTCTAACTGGCGGCAGCCGGCTCCCGACCGTGCTCCGTCTCGTGGTGGCCACTCTGGTCCTGGTCCTCGTCGTGGCGGTCCCCGTGGCCCGCGCAACGAGGGCCGTGGTGGTCGCCCTAACGGTAATGCTGCACCTCAATCTCCTAGTGTTGAGCAGGCTCCCTCCACGCCCATTGTTGACGAGGAGGGCTGGACTACTGTCCCGGGCAAAAGCCGCCGTGGGCAGAGCAACCGCCCGATTGCTTCCTGAGCGTGTATGAGCAGCGCTAGTTTTACGCTCTTTTGCGCCTCAACTGGGAGTGATTGGGCCCTCGTCGAGTTGGGACCGAGCTTTGCCCTCGACTTCAATATACCCCTCTCCTCACGACTTCTGATGCTCGTTCCGCTACTCAGCATGCTTCTAATCTGTCATTGGCTTGGATAGCCCGGCATCAGCGCTATCAGGCAGACAGCAAAGCTCAAAGTCTCCGCTCTCCCTTAAATAACCTCTGGCAAGATCATCGATTGTCATTTTGACGGGCTTAACCGGAGTTTGCTGCCTATGACAACTTGGTCGATCGGCCCTTTTTTTTTGATGTGTTTTTCTTTGCGTGATTAGTCAGCCAAGAAGCCTAGATGCCCGGTAGGGAGCGGCTGGCCAACAGACTGAGCGATCTCTCCCAGTTGATCTTCTCTTTTCATACCCCCAGAAAAAGTATGCATGCTCGCGATTCCTTGATCATGACGTTATGCACGGAAATGCGGCACGGATTACTCGAGTTCAACCAAACAAAGAGACGAAGAGTTCGCTACCCTACAGGGGTGGCTAGCCAAAATGATAATGGACGTGGGCTTCTTTCTATTGCCGATGGGGAGGGTGTTTCTTTTTGTTTCATTTACTTAGTATTCCGCTGATATGGGCAACATATTGACTCTGGAGGGGGAAGGAGGAGAATATTCACATAGATAGGGCGGGCGGAAAAATGGGAATCGGTTTCCCCTTTAGCACCATGTGGACGCTTCGTTCCCGCCTCCATTGACTGCGTTTTGTTTTCTCGAGGTTTTTCATCGTCGTTTTTATCTTGGGAGGCCTCCCTTGCTGCTTAACTCCATGACTCTGATGCCCGAATGGTTTTATGGCAACCATATAGCTAGATGATGATATGTCATCCTGGAGTTGGCAGGGCTCGGAAGCTTGCAAAGCTTCGGGTAGGCTTTGTGGGTGGTATGTGGTCTTTACTCCGCTTAGAAGAGGGATAGCAAAATGAAATGGCAGTGCATATTCAGAACTTTGAATGACCACACGAGCGTCTCGGTCGTAGTAGCGACAAGCTCCGTTAACCATGTCTTTCTAATCCGCATGCCAATTGAGTTCTAAGGCAAGCTGTATCTGCCTAGGTTTATATACCGAAATCATTGTATGTACTCACGCAGCCTGTTTATTGCTCTACATGCGTCTCCTGTTCTCAATTGAAACCAATAGCTCACCTCTTGAGCGTCTTTTGCTTCTGCGCATCCGTCGCCACATTCCGACCCTCCACCAACAACCCCTTGCGCTTCCGAACGCTGTCCATATACCGCTTAGCCACATTCTCCCTGTCTCCATACTCGCCTAAATCCTCAAGGTCGTCTTCAGTGAAGGGTACCCAGAAAGGATCCTCATCAAGGATCTCGAACCCAGCAAAGATCAGTTGCGGCTGCGCCGCGCCTGACGTACGCTTGCGCATCTCGTCGGCGAAACCGAAGGACTCGGCGACGGGGAGCAAGGCTTGGATGGTGAAGAAGGGTGTACCTTCGTTCATGGCTTCGGATTGAACGCGGCCGCGGCGTCGGGTGAGGACGTCGTAGACGCGGCCTAGGACTTCGGCTGTTGAGGGGGGATGGCTGGTCAGTTACTGTTGAAACACAATGGAGGTAGTTTAGGGGTATGTTAAAGGGAGAACGTACTAGCTGCTTGGATTTCACAAGAGTACATGGCTAGCATGAGACGAGGCGACCAGTCGAGGAAGCCCTTGTGGATAGACTGCTGGACTGTCTTGATCACCTCACCAGTCAGACGGCCGAGACGGTCGCGAGCAGATGGCGCGTCGTCGTCCTCAGCATCAGCAGACGTGGTCGCTGGTGTAACGGACACATCCTCGACGAACACTGCTATGCCCTGTACAGGCTCGTGACACAACGGGCCCTGGTTTGTCGCGAGCTGGAAGCCGTACGTGATCTTGTCGCTGAAATGGTGCGGGCTGAGGGCTTCCTTGCCCACGGGGCGGCTATCGTGCTCCTTGGTTGGGGCAAATGCCTTCGGGAAGAATTGCCCCTTAGTGGCGTCGATGAGGATGTTGGGGCCGTTGCGGCGGGGACCAAAGGAGATAATTTTGTCCACGATACCCTTCCAGTTTTCGAGTTTGTCTTTGGTGTTGTCAAAGAGAGACTGAAGCTCCTTGCTAAGACTTTCAGCGGAAAGGATCTTGCGGGTCTTTGTTGGTTCGTCATCAGCCTCTGCCGACTCGTCTTGTGCTGCTCCATTTTCTGTGGTTGGCCCAGGGGTAGGCGAGTCCTCGCCTGCTGCCTGCCGTGCCTCAGCTGCTTTGCGATCGGTGTAAAGTTGTTTAAGGGCAGCCGCGTTCTTGACCATAAAATCAGTGACATCGCGAGGAAGAGGCCTGACTCGCAGTTTGACGGTCACTTGTTTCGAGCTTGTCACACCAAGGACAACACCACGGCCCAATTCCTTGTTGGCTGGGGGGCGCATCTCTTCAGCACGGACAATGGTTTCCCTGTAGGGGACGATGGGAGCTCCGGCTTGAATTTCGCATCTGGCGAACCGCTCACGAAGATCGGTCAGACAGCGTTCCAGATGCAGTTCACCAGCCGTCAGCAGAACGTGCTCACCGGTGGCGAAGTGCTCGTACTCTGCACATGGGTCGCTGTGGACGAGAAGATGAAGACCGTGAATCATCTTGTCCAGATCGGCTGGGTTTACGGGTTCCAGAGCCACGCGAACAATCGGGCGGCCGTGGAGATGCGCAATGCCAGCCAAATTGATAGCCCCTTCCAGCTGGCTGCAAAGAGTGCCAGACTTTAAGATACCGCTGTCTTCCAGGCCGCGGATGCCAAAGACAACGCCAGCTGGGACAGAGTCGAGGGCCTCGAGATTCCGGCCCATCAGCATGTAAAGTGCCTGGACCTTGACCTTCTTGGGCACCGGCTCGGTGTAAGGCTGAGCGGGGTTGAACTTTGGCGGCAGGACATAGATCTCGTCACCAACTGACAGCGTGCCAGAATAAATTCTCGCAAAACCGATCAGGTGCTCTGACTCAGCCGGCTTCTCAACCTCCTCGGGCGCAGTCTGGTCTAAGGATGCGGTCGCAAAAGCTGCGGTCAGGGAATCCATATCATCCTCATTGCTTGCGTTAGCTGTTGCGCGGGCAGCTTCTTCGCGCTTCTTCCTTGCCAATTCTCTAGCTTCTTCGGCACTCATAGGCCCACGGCGCTTGTTCTCCGGCAGATCGCTTTCCTTGACCGATACCATCTTGCTCACGTATGCCACCACGGGATCCGAAGACGACTTTTTGAATGAGACCACAGCATCCCTCACGTTAGGGTCAATGTAGTCGGCTCCAGGGACGTCTTCCAACAGGTCTGGGAATCTCTCAGCTTGTGAGGCCTTTGGAGAGGGAAGCGATTCCACAACAGAGACCAACACAGCCACTGAGACAGGTAACCAGGACGAGAAGACTGTTTGAAGAAGAAGTTTTGGATCCCGGGAACGAAGAACATGTGGGGGAATTGTGATGTTCAGGGACTTTGTGATTTTCTCAAGGAGAGCAGGATCTCCCTTCCCATTATCAATGCCGACAGTGGCCTGGTAAACGGCCCATATCTGCTCAAGCACGAGTTGGACAAAGATGGGCTTCAACGCCCTACCCTTCAAATGCTTGCGGCCGAGGACCTTTTTCGTCTTGGGATCCAGATAATAGTCACCCCACAGGACCTTTTCCAGAAGATGCCGCTTGATGCCCAACTTCTTCTCATACAGGGTAGCGAACTGCCGAACAGTGAAAGCCCAGCCGTCAATGGCACTCCCAAAGATGACATTATTCTTCTCTGGAGCAAAGTAAATCTCCTCATCGTCTTTCTCTTGAAATTGGAGCTCCCCTGTGTCTGGCTGCTGATCGGCCAGCTGCGCCTCTTTGGCGGCCGCCGCCGCCATACGAGCCTCCATACGCTCCCGCCAGTTCAGGTCCTCTTCCATGCGCTCACCCTGGTAGAAACTTCCCAGAACAGCGTTGACTTGCTCCAGCAGCTTGGTAAGATGAACAAAGGCCTCGCTGGGGCTCATCTTCAGTTCTGTAATTAGGCGGTCAATCTTGTTAATCAAGAGCAATGGTTTGATTTTCTCCGTCCATGTTTGTCTCAACACAGTGACCGTCTGGCTGCACACGCCCTCCACAGCATCCACCAGAACCAACGCACCATCACAGAGACGGGATGCTGTTGAGACTTCACTGCTGAAATCAATGTGGCCAGGGGAGTCGATAAGGTTGATCAGATATTCTTTTGGCTCAGGGGCAGCATCTGGACTTGGTCTCCTTAACATGGAAAAGTAGAGTGAGATGGCTGACGACTCCATGGTGATACCCCTGAGCTGCTCGTCCGGCCTTGAGTCGAGGTAGCGGATCTTGCCCGCCATTTTAGGGGAAATGATGCCATTTGTGGCAATGAGGGCATCAGTCAAAGACGTTTTGCCGTGGTCCTGCGTTGAGTTGTGAGTGGTGATGCTCCTGGCAGAAGGGAAAGGGGACAATCATACCACATGAGCCAAGATGCAAATCTGGAACCATTGTTAGCCACATAGCAGATGACGGTGAATCAAATGCAGAGAGACATGAGAAGAGATAGACTTTTGTGGAAACGTACATTTCTCACATCATCCGCATTTTGCTGGAGCTTTGCCAGCTTTTCTGGGTTGATAACCGGCATATCCTCAAATTTTTTTTTGGCCTCAAACTCAAAGATGACCGATCTAATAGGTGAGCTTGTTTGGCGTTGTTCCTTAAGATTTGTCTCAGCAATATAAACTCTCCCAGTTTGCTTCTAACGAGACCCCAGCCGCAGGTAAACACCTGACCACGCAACTGTCTGAACAGCAGGGCACTGTCAAGGTCTGACTAACACCGGCGAGACAAGGATGGAAAGTGGGATCTTGGGTTGGCGGGGTCGTTTCGAAGATCTTCGCTATTTGGGATATTGTGATAAGCTGCAGGGCAATGTTCCACTTCGCAAGCTTGAAGGGAAGAAGTCCAATATATGGAGGACCGCTTAATTGGAGCACAGTTCAAGATATATATGGTTATCACATCATCTTATGTTGAATCTCGCCGCTTTGTAGCCCGTCCTGTGCTATGTCTGCCATGCAGCAACCCGGGGGTTTCGCCCGCCAGCCGCGATGATTTATGCATTTATCCATTGAAGTTACTGTAAGCGGTGCTCACAAAACCAACCCTAAACCGATCCAGCCGCCATCCAAAATTCACCTCTGGGCTTTCCACCCCTCGACCACAAAAATCAGGCCCCACAGACCACCGACTAAAGCATTTCCGTTCCGGATCTTTTGCGGCGCCCACGACGACAAAAGAACGCCACAAGCTCCCTATAGACCCTACCCCATTTGTCCCCCGCGTCCCCCCTCCCTCGAGCCGAGTCGCTGACCTGCGTTACCTGTCTCCGGAGACCGATCCATCATGAGCAGCTATCAGAACGGCGTGGCGCCTGCTCGCGCCATCGAGGACGATTCGGATGTCGAGGAGGAGGCCCTCGTCGCTGACTACAAGGAGCAAGTCCAATATGAAGGCGTGGATGAGCTGGACCAGGCTGCTCTTGCCCAGCAGGCCGACGACCTCCAGGCCCAGCTAGTCGCGGCTGCTCAGCCGCTCGACTTCCAGGCTAGCCTCGAGACCAAGTTCCGGAGCTACGACAACTACTGCGGCCTGTTCCACTACATTCTGAACTCGGAGAGCGGGCCCGTCGACATCGAGCCGCCGACGGTGAGTTCATCCCGACGCGGTGCTGTTTTTTGGGGGGCTGTATCTGGGGGCTGACAACGGGTGTGTGCTAGTACTACTGGGCTTGGGATGTCATCGATGAGTTCATCTACCAGTTTAACACCTTCTCCTCCTACCGGTTGCGTATTGCGCGCCAAGGTGGCCCTGAGGAAGAGGTTCAGATCCTGCGAGAGAACCCCAACACCTGGGGCTGCTATAGCGTGCTCAATGTTCTCTACTCGCTTATCCAGAAGTCCCAGATCACCGAGCAGCTGGCTGCTATGAGGAGGGGTGAAGACCCCATGGCCGTCGCCGGCCCCTACGGGTCCCGCAACCTCTACCGCATGCTCGGCTATTTCTCAATCATCGGCCTGCTCCGCGTCCACTGCCTGCTCGGTGACTTTAGCCTGGCTCTGAAGACCCTCGATGACATTGAACTGAATAAGAAGGCTATGTTCGCTCGTGTTATGGCGGCCCACTTTACCACCTACTACTACGTGGGCTTCTCCTACATGATGATGCGCCGCTATGCCGACGCCATCCGCATGTTCAGCCACATTCTGGTCTACGTTTCTCGCACCAAGAACTTCCAGAAAAACTCTCAGTATGATTCGATCAGCAAGAAGAACGATCAAATGCTCGCTCTGATCGCCATGTGCGTTGCCTTCCACCCGACTCGTCTGGATGACACCATCCACACCGCTCTGCGCGAGAAGTACGGTGAGCAGCTGCTGAAGCTGCAGCGCGGTGGTCCCGAGTCGCTCCCTGTTTTCGAGGAGCTCTTCCGCCTGTCTTGCCCCAAGTTTATTTCTCCTGTTCCTCCGGACTTTGATCACCCTGAAGCCAACGTCGACCCCATTGAACACCACCTGTCCATCTTTATGGAGGAGGTCAAGACCAATATGTGGAGCCCGACTGTCAAGTCGTACCTGAAGCTCTACACAACCATGGATCTGAAGAAGCTCGCTGGCTTTCTTGACGTCAATCCGGAGGAGCTGCGCTCTATGCTTCTTGTTGGCAAGCAGCGGACCAAGCAGCTGCGCTGGACTGACGGCAGCCTTCTAGAGGGAGAGCTGGTTAATATCAGCGACCTTGACTATGCTCTCCAGGGTGTAAGTGATGTTCCACAAGCAGTTTTCAACCTTGCGTAACTGTGCTAACCAGTTTGTTTTAGGATATCATCCACATCTCTGAGGCTAAGATGGGTCGTAAGCTGGTTGACTGGTATCTCCGCAACCTTGCGCGCACGTACGCGTGAGCATATCAGAGGCGACCACTAGAACAACAGCTTGGGTGCTGTTTGCAATGCTGAGCAAAACAGATAGGGTATTTAACTCCTTTTCGGCTCAGCACATATGACCTGAGGACCCAATGCCTCAGGATCATGCAGATCCCCTTCACAACATTGAGATCAAACATCAGATGGACTTTAGGACATCGTTTAATCAAACGACGGGGACAATGGTCATGGTTTGCGGAAAGGAAGAGCCTGTCATGTGGGATGCCTACAGAGGAATTCAAGTGGAGACATTCAGTTCCAGGGACAAACGGGATATGGAGAATCATGACGTGCCGGGGCTCCAAAGGTCGCATGTATTCAGGGACTAGTGGGCTTTCAACCGGGACGGGAAAAGAGGACCGGAAGGTACGGATTCGTATGGACGGTAGTGGTTTTCGATGGCGCGTTTTTGGCGTTCAAAGAGAGGAAATCCGGCGATATTCACGTTGGATGCCACAGTGTTCTCCTATCTTGTCATAGTCGATGAGGTTCTGTTAAGGTTGCGTCGCCCACCCCACCACGATGGAAGTCGTAGCAAAACTTTGCCACTCTTGTGGTTGTCACAGCAGAAATATCGCGGCTACAACATATAGTTTCCGACATGGACATGATTTTGCCCCTCAGCAACACTGTGTGGTTTGTGTTAGCGGGGAGATTTTTGGAAATGTCTGTCGATCTCCACAAGTGGGCGACCTAATGAAAGAGAGGCCTCCGACTGCAGACGGTGGCCAATTTGGCTGCATTTCCACGCTGCGGGTTCCGGCACCCATCGAAAAGACTGACGTTTCATCCAGCCCCATGCTGCATGCGGCTTTGCGTGGCTGCATCGTTTTGCCGTAATGCTACCTTACACTAGCGCCGGGCCGGTGAGACCGCCACTGCTTTGGCAGCAGCAAGCAAATCGAAGTCTTTCTCTTTGCCCGTCAGTATGTGGAGGTACTTTAGGTATGTGCCGGCAGGAGGGAATCGGTCTCCACGATTCCGCTTTGGCAGATAATTGGTTGGGACAGTGCTTTGATGCTCAATGGATAGGCGGGGAATGAATTTTTGATGCACATAATCAGAAACTCGGAGAGAACCGTGACGATAGTAAGTGTTGATACGCGACAACCCGCCTACGGTTCGCGATGTGCTCCGAAGTCGGTTCCAGATCTTTGATTGGCAATCCCACGGGGTTCCTGACGAATGGAAAGCTGTCAGTGATGAAGGTTAGTGGTGAGATGGGATATGGGGATATGGTGAGCTGACAACGCAGGTGGAAGCTGCTCGCCTATCTGAGTTCCCATGTAAACGAAGTGCAAGCCGATTCTTCTAGGTATACTGAAGCATATACGGATCCCATAGACGAGCTCTGGTTGAGGCCGAGTAAACTCAAAATCCACTGGAGCCGAAGCATTTCTCGTAACAGTACACACTTTTTATTGTTTGTAATTTCATGCCAACATCCAAGAGAGCAGGTAACTACCTAGGCATTCAGGTTGAATCACCATTTAAGTGAACACTACACTACGTACTTCCAAGAGTTGTGAAGCAGTTGTGAAGTCCGTCATAAAAAACGTGGGCCAAGAAGTTGAACCCTGGTAAAATGTGGTGTTTTGCTGTTATAGAACTCTTGCGAAGGTCAAGTTAGTTGGCAGGGATTTAAGGTGTCATCCGCCCACTTGCCAAGCCGACCGAAAAAAATGCAAGCGTGTGAGTGACCGCAGCCAGGATGTGGATGAACCGCAACCTCTCTCACCACTGCATGTTACAGCAACTGATGGACGGTACCACTCCAGGCCTTCGGCGTATTATTTCTAGCTCCCGCCCACCTTGCAGCCTCCAGGCGCCTGGCTCTCTCTGACCTTGGTTCCATCTCAAGACTTGTCACAGTCTCAAGGCCGTCTGTTTGGGCTCTAGAGTAAGGCAGTCACGAAGCATTGACGTGTTGTGCTTGTACTGTTTCGTCATCTGAACTCATATCGGATTATCACTCTAGGCCACTCTTACACCTGCCTATCCTTATGTTGTCTACCTACTTAAGTTGACGACAGCCTCACCTTCTATTGCAAACAGCGAGAACCTGGACTTTGTGTGCCCCAGCGCTCCAGCTGCCAAGCGCTCCATCTGAGCTTCCATCCCTTCTTTCCAGGTTGTGCGTTGTGCAAGTAGCCCCACTAGGACTACCTGCTCCTTCCTTCCACAGCAACACTGCATCTACTTCCTGAATCACAACCAGAAAAGTATCGTGATACTCCACCGAGCCATCGTCGCACACACCGACAACCATCATCACCACCAAGTCTCAACGACCCGCCTCGACTGCCTCCCGCTTGAACAACAACATCTGGATTGCAGTCGCCTGCAGCGTATCCTTCATCTTCAGCATTTTAAAGAACTCCATCCCTCAAGGGGAAGCTCAGCGACCCTCTTTCATCGGCTCCATTGCAACAGCATTTCCTGACAACACCACAACCCTGTCGACCATTGATGCCAACATCTTTTCGATAGACTTGAGTGGCCTTGGCAAGAAAGGCCATATCAAATACTTCCATAGATCATCCTCCTCTAACACACACGAGTTCGATAAGGACCGGAGCCTACGATGGCTGAGAACGGCAACCATGTGGCCCGACTAGCACCCCCTGCAACCTCGCCCGCCGAGAGTCCGACCCACGACGTGTCGCCGGGCACGAAGGTGTCCTCAGGGTCGACCGCGGTCGACTATTTCTCGATCAAGCCAACTGCCAACGGCGGCCAATCCCGGACCTCTCCCGATGCGAGTACGATTACCATTACCTTATCCTCCACGCTGCAAGAAAGCCAGGAAAACAGTTCGCGGAAGTCGTCAAACGACAGCGGCCTCCCTCAGAATGGCGCGAAGCGGGTTTCAGGAATGTCGGTTACCTTCAGGCAGCCTCGTAATCCGTCGCTGCCCCAGGGCAACCCCCGGAAGACTGATAATCGGCGGCTTCGTGAATCTTCTCCCTCTCCTGTGAGGTAAGCATTAAATGAATATTTCGTCTTGTTTATCTTCTCGATGGCCGTCTTCTTTTGACCCCTACACCACTATGCCCTTTGGCTGCCCTCCGCCAAGGCCCACGAAGTCCAAATCAAATATCGAATGACGGATAGCTGGACTGCAGTTTTTTCATACTCGGCCTGCTTCTAAGAGGATAACTTAGATTGAAACTCAATAATGGGAGCCGTTTCCATGAGTTTTCTCACAAGTTACCCTCTGGTTTGTCCGTTGAGTCTAGCATCTAAACCGCCGGGAAGCGAGTGCGCCAGTCATAATCGTGCAATGTGGAAGACAGAGAGTCTCGCAACGAAGACGTGACATTACTGAGTTGCTGGCCGTCAGTCATGCGCAAGCATCTCCATGGAGACTGTCAGGTGGCAGAGGCGGGTATTTCGGTCTCCTGATCCTCGTCACGCCACATCGACACACAACACCCTCTATCGGCACGGCTTTGTTGTCTTATCCTCCTGCTCCATGAGAAACGGATGCTAGAAGCTGCCTGGGCTTGGACCGGAAAGCATTTGCATCTCAGTGGGTTGTTGATAGCGGCTAAGTCGCCGGCTTGATCCTCAGCATGAACGGCCGAGTCGGCAGTTGGCCTAAACGACCCTTTTGTCGCTGCGAGGTGCTCCACTGCGGAAGCTTGCAACCCCGCAACCCCCCACCCATAAGACTAATGGACCGCTCTCCAGGATCTGGCGTGAAGCAGGTGTCATGCTTCCAGTCCACACACACCACCTCAAGTTTGCGCCAATAGACTCACAGGGGCGACAAGTGTCTCTATCCTTGATCGAGCGTTGGTGGCTGTGCTGTTGAGGACGGGTCGCTGCCCGGGTTGATGCAGCACATTTGGGAAGATCTCGTCTGCAAATCGACGATTCCCATTTCATCCGGTGAACTTAACTTAGCTCGGGAACGAAAGTTTATCTGCCTATTCTGATTGCTGGGTATCTGACGATTGGGGAAATTCCCTCGGGTCCCGTGGTCTTCCCTTACTTCCACTCCCTTATCTTATCAACATAAGCATCTGTGCTGCCCATCCCCAGCAGTTGTTCATGTTGCCGTCATCCTCTACTGTTTTCTGTACAATTGCATTCTTGAAATTAGTTTCAACACCCAACAATCCAGAACCATGACCACGCTAACAGAACCGCCGCCTGTTGTACCGCACAGATTTGAACAGCATGTCGGTTTTGACAACCTCCCGGTCGGGGAGGCGACCAAGAACAATCCCTCCTCTTTTACTCTTCAAGCAAGACACCAGGGTTACCATCCTACGCGCCGGTCACGCACCTTCATGATCGGAGTGGACGAGCATGCCTATTCTGATTATGCGCTGGTCTGGCTGCTTACCAACATGGTAGACGATGGCGACGAGGTAGTATGTGTGAGGGTGATTGAGACCCCATTCCGGCCGGGGGAGAGGAACTACCAAGAGGAGGCGAAGAAGCTTTTGGAGCAGATTCAGTCCAAGAATGAGCTTAACAGGGCGATTAGCATCATCCTAGAGTACTCCGTCGGCAAACTGCATGACACCTTCCAGCAACTGGTAAGTTCCAGGGCTCTCTGAGAAATTCATCTCGAGAAATTAGTACTGACGCTGTTTCTTTGGCAGCTCCTGATTTACAACCCTTCGATGCTTGTGGTTGGAACTAAAGGACGGTCGTTGGGAGGATTCCAGGGGTTGGTGAATTCACGGAACTCATTCTCGAAGTACTGCCTTCAATACAGTCCCATACCTGTCGTGGTCGTTAGACCCGACGAAAAACGGATGAAGAAGAAGGAAAAGCGGGCGCAAGACCCCAACCGGCAAAGCTACGCGGCTATGCTTGCGTACAACCAGGGCAAGCACGAGGCAGACAGCGAGACGAGCAGCCTTTACGAATTCGAAAAGAATATTTCTGCGGACGAGGAGGCGCATCAAGTTGCCGCAGCGATAGGGCTCCCTGCGCGATTTGATCCGACCATCAAGCCATACCGGCCGCGCAGTACCAGTCGGCCCCGTAGATCATCGCCGTCGCCCCTCGCATCCTCCAAGCCTTCGCCCAGGGCCACGTCGATTTCGCCCCCTCCGGCACCGCTTGTGGCAGACAGTGGAGATGAAGACAGCGGGGACGACGAAGACGAGTTTGAGGTTATGTCGGGAGACCAGCTCTTGGCTAGAGGCCGGAGCAAGGCTGCAGCCCGCGAGAAGGAAAAGGAAGAGCAGAAGAAGAAACGACTCCACGATATGGAGGTTGGCGAGGCTGCTGCCTTGCTGCAGTCGGGCAAGTCGCGGCAACAGCTGGATGAGGATGACGACGATGACGACTCGCAGGAACGGACAAGCGGCGATGCTACCACGACATCAAAGTCTTAGTTGGATGTATCACCACCATTGAGGCGACTCGTTACTGAGTCATCCCGGAAGGAACCCTGCTTTGTTCGTGACCTGAGCTGAGTCAGCGTGTAGTACCCTCGAGTAGGAGAGGTATGTTTGAAGGGCATTTACTTTATTCCTCGTTAACATTAAGGGGAGCTATTAGGGCGCTTAGGAGGAAAGTACTGCGTGGACTTGGTCTTCCGGGTATAAAGCTTTGGAACGGGGGGTTCTGCTTGCCACAGGGATACCATTATATGGGTTTGGGGCTGGGGAAAACAAGCAAGGTGAACAGATTCCATGTATTTGGTCTCTCTTCCCTTCCCTTGTTATTCTCTCTCCGTCAGCAAGTGTACAGTATGGTGTTCATTGATTGACTGACCGGCACTCTTCATCCGTACCGAGCGATGGTTTACCGTTTATGGATCCGGTAGACTAATATCTACCTACCTGCAATTAACAAAATTATACAACTACCTTGATACAGATCTCAACTTTGTGAACCGGCTGTTGCGCAGAACATGTACGGGTATAGGTGATAGCCGGATACAGGTCCTCCGTCTCAATGTTTCAAGGCCCCCCGTGTTGTGCCGCGCATCTGGTAATGGGTGATGAGCGTGCGACCGAGTTTCGAAGTGGGGTCTGGGCCAGTTATGTCATTGGACAGGGCACTTTTTGATCACCAAAGCCGCTGGCCCAGATCAGCGCTGCGGGCTGCTGCAGGCTACAGAGATGCCTCAGAAGGTGAGACATGTCACATGTGTTTGACATTTACGCTAGCGCGGGAAAGGTGTGTCCGAGTCTGGAGCGTGGGGTCACCTTCCCGTTGGATCGTGATCGCGTCGACTCACCGTCCGGTCCCCACAGCTGCTGTGCGGCGCGGTGGGTGCAGCCTGCGCAGCCTGGCTGGGCCTGGAGCGGGCAGCAGCAGGAGCCGGCCGGGGAAGGGGAGAGAAGGGGCCCTGGTTGGGCTAAGTGCATCAGTAAAGTTGGACCGTGCAACACGCATCGTCCAGTTGGACACGGGCCAATCAAGGGCCCGATCCAAACCCACTCCCATTGACCGACCCTGGAGCTGCCCTGGTTTTGGGGTCTTGGACCGTCGAACCACGGAATTCTCTCCTCGTAACTCGTACAACGGGCAAAGGAACTTGGAAGGAGGACAAATATTGTACGCCATTCCGTGCTTGTCCAGGAATTCATATCGATGGCAATGCTTTTCTTTCGCTTGTGCAAGTGACGATTTGCCTTTACTGGTTACGTACGGATACCTTAGCTCGACCGGGCTGGTGCTGTGTATAATGCTTTCACCAGAAGAACACAAGAGAGTGCTGCGACCATCCGATCTGACGTCCTACTGCTTCTCTGCCGCCACGACCGCGACGTTTGCTTTGCTTACGGTCACTTCTTTGCCAGTTTTTGACGACCTTGTTCAGCAATGACACACTTCGACCCAGACGTCGAGGACTTCTCGTCCGCATCCTCCTCATCTGGCTTCTGTGGCCCCGGAACATCCTGCTCCTCATCCGGCTCCCCCTCTCTCTTTACTGCCCTTTTTTCTCTTAGCCCTGTCCTGCTCACCTTCACCATCGTCGCCTCACTCGCATCCTCTCGCTTGTTCCCTTACCTGGCAACGACCCTCAACAGCCAAAATGCGACAACCAAACTCGCGGGCGGCGGCATCGCCCTCGACGATGGCCACGGCCATCTCCTGCCCACATCAGCACCGCCCTCCTTACGCCAGGCCCATGCCGAGCTGGCGGCAAAGTCGCCTGCGCGAAGACTGCGCGCCGCAGCGTTTTCCTCCCTCCTAGGGCTGTCGGCCGTGCTGGCCGAGCTGATTCTCGCTGAAGTACTGGATGTGGATGGGGCGGTGTTGGGCCCGCATGCGAGGGGCGTTGCGTTGCGGTTTACCGTCCCGGCATTGTTATTGCTGCTGGTTGGGGTTGTGCCGTTGCTGGAAGCGCAGAGCGTGCTTGCTTCGAGGGGTTGGAGGTTTGGTCGGGACGGGAGGGGCAGGCTGGTTTCGCGGGGGGCGTGGATCGCTTTGGGAGGGGTTTTCGCGGCGTGGTTGGTCGCTTTTTGGTATATTGGACGGGCAGTAAGTCGATGGTTTGGCGGCTTAGTCGGGGATATTGGGGATGAGGAGCTGTGGAGAGTTGTTGGGGCGGCGAGTGCCGCCGCTAGGGAGGGGACGGGGTTTGTTGATACGTCGGCTATGACGATTGGAAGGGCGGCAGGGTTTAGGGGTGGTGCTTCTGGTAGAGCAGAAGGGGGGTTCTCGAGGGGTTGTTTGGAGAGGATTGGGGTCATTGGGATCGCGTTGATGGCGTTGTTATCAGGGTTTGCCAGTGTCTCGAGCCCATGGCACACGTTCGTCGACAGCCGCGCGTATCGCAAACGGCCGGTCACCGATGCTGATATCGCGAGAAAGCAGGCTGGTTTGGACGCTACAAGCGAGTTGCTGATGACGAAGAAGCACCGTCTACGATCGCTGCAGAGGAAGGCCGACGCCTTTGGGGGAGGTGCAGCGCACGGCGAAACACCCAATGGTTCTAGCGGATTCATGGGCAAGGTCGTCGGGTCGCTCAAGAACATGGTCGGCAGTGGCGAAGCAGCCGAAATCCGTGCCCTCCAAATGGAGATCTCGGGCCTTGAAGCCATGGAATCCAACCTTGCCGCTTCTCTCGCGATTCTCAAGTCCCAACAAGCCGCCCACGCTCGCGATGGTACCCCTCTCGGCCGACTGCTCGCCATCCCACAGTACGCCTTCGCCAGTTACTGCGTCTATCGTATCCTTGCGACCCTCCTCACAACCCTCAAGCGCGCTTACTACCCTGCTGCGGCGTTCTCCTCTTCTGACCCCATCAACCGCTTTCTTGGCTTGCTTGCCCGTCACTGGGACCCAAAACTGGACCAACTCGCGTGGGCGCGAACAATCTCCTTCCTCTTGTCAGGCGTGATCCTCGCCGCCAGCGCCAACTCTGTGGTCCAAACCTTCCGACTCTTTGCCAAGTGGGCACCGGGACTCCTCTACCAAGCTCAGGCAAATCTCCCCTTACTAGTCGCACAGGTCGCAGCAACCTATGTCATAAGCTCAGCGCTACTGCTGCGCAGCAGTTTACCGCACGAAGTCGGTCGCTCTGTAAGCGACGCGCTGTCCAGCCCACTTCAGCCGGCATTTGTAGACCGGTGGTTCGAAGCGTGGTTCTTGCTGGCCAGCGCGACCACGCTGGCGGGGATATGGTTAGGGAGGAAGTTCACGCGCGGATCGGCGACATCATCATTGTTGTGGGACGAGTGGGATGAGTTTGCTGGGGAAGAGATGGGCATCGGGCAGAAGAGGTCGTGATATTTATTTTTTTTTTCCCACGAGGCTTGGGACAACGGGGTTTTGGGGGTATTTTGGTGATTTCGAGCTCCGGGATTGGTTTTGCATTCGACACATGTGATGATTTGCTTGAGTTTGCTGGCTGCTTGAAAGCATGGTGGCCTCGTGGTCAAGCTCATATGCTGTACATTGTTTTCCTATGTTATTGTAATACGTTCTATCTCTACGACACTGGGATTAAGGTTCTGGTTTAAAAGGGGCAAGCAGTTGATCATGTAGTTAGCCCGCTTGCCCATGAGATACCCCCTAGACTTTCATCCAATCCGACACCTACGCAACGCAATACGTACATAGTCTGTCGATAAACGCTTCATGAATAAATGAGCTGCATCAATTTTTGCTATTGTTGACTTCACATGCGTGTCTATCACGTTCGTTGCTCTGTTATTTAGCAGAAAATGTCAAACCAACAACCACGTGTTTATGTGTTAACAAACAGGCACGAAAAGACCTGCTTAGCACCCCTTCGCCCTGTGGCTGTCTGGAGTTGCGCTCCAACGACCGCGGTGCCCACTATGATGTCTGCCGCTGGGCCCTGCTCACTGGCCTAGACCTCCTGCTGCAGGGCTCCGCCGTGGTAACTGAGGAAGGCACCCAAAGTTTGAATCGAAGCAGTACATTTTTTTTTTGGAAGAGAGAGGGAGGGAGGGAGGAGAGAGAGAGAAACTGACAGACTTTCACGCAGGCTCGACAACGTCATGGCAGAATTTAACCAAGCCATGACCGACAAAGTCCACTCCCGGGAACGCACCCAACAATCTTCCCATGACAACATCATTAAAGCTGTACTCTGAGTCCACGAAAGCCACGATGAGTTGTCCAAAAAGACAATGGAGCAACGCCGCAAAATCCTTGAAAAAAAAAAAGGTCAAGCCGGCCAAGGGAGGAGTCAAGCGGAAGTGGATTCCCGACAATGACCCCTTTCCCAATGACGATCGGGACAACTACAACCGCAGTGATAACAGCGATGAGGACGATGACGACGACAAAAGGCCGGACAAGAGGTCTCGAAAAATCGCCCAGTACTCGAGCGGCATGCTCTGGATTTCAACCATTCATCCGGACATGCCGTTACCGTCGGTCGATCTGAACTGTCAATAAAGAGTCGGACAGGATCCCGAAGGTCAAGCCCTTGCCCTTGCCACCAATCAAGAACAATTCTCCGTTATCATCGGCTCTGTCGTCGTCGGCTCCGGCCCCGTTCCTCAAATTGAGTCTTTCGAGTACGAAACCCTCATGGAGGAGATCCCGCCATTCCCCGGGGTACTTGTCGCTCCCGCCAAAACTCCAAAGGCAAAACGAGAACTTGTCCTCGTTTTACACAATGATCCTCTCCTCATTGCTCAAAATCGAGGCCCAGCAATTCAACCACGTCCTCCTTCCCCTGGTTGAAAGCTTGCCTTTTCTGGGACCATCGGGGCTGCCAAACGTTTGATGAATGGGATCCTGCCAACGAGGTCATCCTCCACGGGATGACTCTGTGCAATAGCTCGCAGTTTCCGCTGATCTCGTTCTTGCTATCCGGTTCGCCGACATTCTTGCCGTCGCCATTGCCCTTGCCGCTACCCTTTTCGCCACCGCTCGAGGACGTAGGCGAGTATCTCTTCTGTTATGGCGGGTGTACATGTAACGACATTAACAACAGCAAGAGTGAAAACGAAAGCAAAAATGACAACGGTGTCGTCCTGGAGTGGCTGTTCATACTCTCGGCCATGCACCCCTAGGGCATTGCTAATTGCTTGAGGGAGCTGGATTCACAGGAGCACACGCCTGACTTGCGTCTCCGTAGAGGTTAGAACGCAATATCTTCGTATATCTTCGTCGGGACTTTTATGTTACGGGGGTTCATGGGATCGGATGGATCAGATTGTCGGGCACATCGGCTTTGATCAAATACACAGGTTTAGCAGGTTCAAGATGCGGACTACAACGACTAGGTGCTCATTTTCATTCAGTGAACACTCAATGGCCGGATGGTAAGAAATGGTCAATAATTGGGAATAGCCATTAGTCATAGGTACCAGCTAGGTATGGATTTAGCAGCAGCATTCTGATACAGGTAACAGAGGTTTGATTTATTGTCGCGTCCGTGGAGAGTCTGATGATGAAAGTGACGTCGTTGGATTCAAGTTTCGCTTGCCCAATCACCAGTGACACTCCCTCCCCCCGCCGCAGCTGCTGCGACCTCACTGGTGGTGGGGCGCCATGTGGCACAACAACCCAATCAAAAGCGACACAGGGGCTCGGACAGGGGCTCTCCTCAAACGCGAGCGCTGTTTCGTTTCAAGTGAGCCCCTGCCCCTGTGCTGCGCCATTGTGGTGGGTTATAGCTGTTGCTGTCCAGTGTCTACCCTCCCCCCCCAAGAAAAAAACACACACAAAATAGGCTGCTGCAACATCAGTGACCAGAGAGCGAGAGAATGCCAGCCAACGGATTGAAATGGTTTGTCCCAAATGCCACCATAAGGCAAACGCAGTATCCTGTCTCGGCCATCGCTTGTGTTCCCATTGACCTGATGTTGAAACGCGGAATCTGTAAGGTGCGCATCTTGGAAACATGTGGTGACGGCTTCGCTGCGAACAGAGTGTGTTTGTCACTGGAGAACAGCCAGAAGCCTACTTTCCTGACCCTCTCGACTGCCCTAGTCTACTTGTGCCTACGCACGGATGATCCGTCGCTTGTTTCCTTGTCCTCTTGATGACCGTCGAGAGCCCGAATTTGGTGTTATAGCGAGTGCCGTGGTTCCAGCCCTATTGCTATTGCTACCCTTATCAATGACAACCTAGGGACTAGATGTCCTATTGTTGTTGATGTTGCATCTTCTTTATTACTATCTTTTCTTTCTTTCTCCCCAAATTCTAACTCCCAAGTTGGACGGTACTTCCAGTTTTTTCTTTTCGGGCCCTTGTCCTGCCATTACTCGAAGCTGTGCTTCGTTCAATTCTCCGTTTGTCGGCCTTTCTCGACCCTGTTTGCAGTGTACCGCTCCCGTCTTCTCTCCTTTCAACGAAAAGAGGGAGCTTTGCGTAACCGCTTGCCTGGTTGCCTGTCTGTTTACCAACCCATCCTCTTGGTACAAGGCCAACTGCAAGACCGACTTTTGAATCTTCCAATACTCTCTCGGTCTCAGTAGAAGGACCGAACATTGATACCCACTTCTTGAGCCTGCTGTTTTTTTTTTAAAAAAAAATCCGGTCCATATCATTTAGATTCTCTTTCTTCGCAGCAACATTCTGAAAGCCGTCATAGATTGATGATAACACTACTCCCTGGGCAACCAGTTTTCATTCTTTCCAGATATTGAAGATCACTTCACGCGATAGCAGCCAACCCACTCCCTTCTTTCAGCCGCATTGACTGTCAGGTCGGTCGCGCGGTGGGACGACCCTCTCCGTCGTCCCGTTCGATCGGATCGCCTTCAGCGTGGTTCTCTGACGCAGATCACGTATCGCTTGTCCGCACCAACAGGAAAAGGTCGATCCACTAGAACGTCAAAGCAGCAATAATTTCTACGCAGTCGTTAGAGTTGCTCTGAGTTTGAGCGTGGAGGCTGAAAAAAGCTTCGAAGAGTGAGCGAGCAAAGGCCAGTCGACCGTTCGTGTCACCTGGAAAGCCCAGCAAAACCTGGTCTTCCGGCACTGCACCTCTTAACTATCGTGCGATTGCTCTGCTCAACCAACTTTAGCTATCTTTTCCAGAAGTTAAGATGGACGGTAACGGCAGGACGTTGTCATTATGGTGGCTATGGACGCTGTTCATGATGGCCACCACCTCCCTGGCCGTCTCTCTCAAGTCTGCCCAGGAGATCGACTTGACCGGTTTGCCCTTCGCTTGCCGCCTGGCCTACATTGCCAATATCGAAGGTTGCACTACTTCCGACTTCGCGAACGAAAATACGTGTTCGCAGACATGCGTTCGGGCCTTGCTTCGCGTCCAGGCCACCATCCAGTCGGTCTGCAACACTGTCGACGTCCCCGAGGCAACCGTGCTGGGCCAAGTATTGAAGGGGAATATCTTGGGCGTCTTGTGCACACCCAGAGGTGCGCTTCCCACGAAGCCGAAAGAAACCCCGTGCTCGACTTCCCTAGACGATAACCCAACCCCTATCTCTTCTATTACCAGTATTACCCCTAGCATCCTCCTGCCTGTTATCTCAAGTAGGCCGGTGCTCACGCTTACCATCACCATAGTCCGTCCGTCAACGACGACCACTATAGCCCCAGTGATTTCGGAAACGCTGAGTACAGTGACGCGGACTACCGCATCAACCACTACGACTATATCGTCGTCGTCGACGACGACGACGACGACGACGACGATTACGACCTCAGAAACTCCGAGTTCTGTCGAGACCTCCGGCTCCACGATGTCGACGAGCGAGTCTGAGACGTCCACGTCAACGACTAGCGAGACAGCCAGACCGACGCGGCTCTCTGGCGGTGGCGGCAGTCCCTTTGACCTTCCCTTCACAAGCGACTCGAGCCGAGTGTTAACTAGCTGGGTTCTGGTGATATTCACATCGCTGGCGTGGATGCTAATAGGTTTGTGAGGAGGTTGGAATTGTTGGAGTCGGGGGGGGGGGAAAGGAAGGGAAGGAAGGGAGGGTTATGTTTGTGGAAAGACAGAGTTTAATCACTCGCATGCTGGAGGGCTAGGATGATTTGCTATGATACCCCACGTATGGTTGAGAAGATATTGGATGGGAAGGGCAACTAGATCCAATGAACTCTGACTGACCCTTGGTTCGGAATTTAAGCTGTAGAAGGGATGGGATGGTAATGGGTGATGATTCCACTAGGCGAAAGGAAGTTCTGCTTCTGGGGATTCGGATTCGTAATGAGGATAATGATACCACTCTGTTATGCTCCTGAGTTGCTATTCTGAGTTCTCACTGCCCGCTCTAGCACATGCCATGGTGGACGAGGACATAAGGCTTATTTAAAAAAAATAATAAAAAAAGACCTCCAGGTAAACAAACGACGTATATAATATCATTGACATGCGATAATGACTAGAACCACCGCTGAATAAGAGAACCCTGACATTGAGAAACTTTCTTCCAAACCCTCCTTCTCACCATGACCTTCGGCCTCTTCTTCCCTATTATCCTATATGGAACCTTATCCATATTCAAGCATCACATCACTCCTCTAAGCCGTAGAAGCCCACAGATCCCTGAGCTGAATAATGCCCGGGATGCTCGCCAATAAGCCAACCGTCAACTCACTCACCAGCGGCTTCTCGCTGCCCCAGTGCACGGTGAGCGGCGCCCACGCCAGCTGGCGCGCCGTGTTCTTCGCCCAGCGAGAGCGGGCCTCGGCCGTCTTGGGCGCGTTCGGGCCAAGCCGCTCGGCGGCCAGGCGGCCCAGCTCGATGCCCACGTAAGCACCCCACAACCGTGCGCTCCAGATGTAGGCCTTGCCAACCTGCGGCGGTCTCATGGGCAGGATACCACGCTGGCCCAGGTAGGCGGCGTTCTCGAGAGCCTGAAAGGCTACGCAGAGGATCAGGCGCAGGGATTCGAGGAGGGTGGCGGCCTTGCTGGGCTTGGGCTCGTCGTTCTTCTCGGAGGAGGACGAGCAAAGAGCCTTCTTAACCAGCCCCTTGGCCCAGAAATACATGCCGATCAGCGCCCACAGGCGCAAGATCATGCGTGCCTCGCTCAGCATCGACGACAGGTTGGCCAGGCACTTGGACAGGGTCAGAGCACGGGTAGCCAGGGCAGTCGACCCGCCCGCGGCACCCTTGCCCACGCCGACGGCCGAGGCAGGGGAGGAGAAAACAACAGTCGTGCCCCGCGGCAAGGCCGCCACCAGAGCGATCCACTCGCGCGCCGACCGCCGCAGGGCTGACTGCGACAGCTTATCGAGGGCTGCCGAGGCAAATTTTGAGGTGTAGCAGAGGAAGAGCATTACTGTGTCGATGCCAGCGGGCGTCGAGAGGCATTTGTCCAGGCGAGCGAGGAAGCTGTCGAAATTGCTGGGCAGAGACTTGATGAGGGCCGAGAGCGGGACGGACTGTTTCTTGGATGTTGACGACGGGGTCAGCGCGCTGGAAGAAGAAGAGGACTGCTGCTGCTGCTGCTGCTGCTGCTGCTGCTGCTGCTGCTGCTGCTGCTGCTGTTGCGGTTTCTCGGTGGTTGTCGAGGGAACCTCGGCTGGGGCTGGGGCTGGGGCCGCATCAGCTGCAAGCTGGGCCGTCTCGGGGGCTGACGTCGCTGCTGCGTTGGTCATGATGTGTATGTGTAGAGGATAACTAAGTATCTGTCTATTGACAAGGTCGGTGGTGTCACTGGTGCGGTGTGGTCGGATATACAATATGCTCGAACAGAGACGGGAGTCGATGGCGTTGTCACTCGTCAGTCAGAGTGGCTTGTCGGCGATCGGCGTTTGGGTGGATGGGATGGGATGGGATGGATGTGTGTATATGGGGGGGATGATTGGCGGGAAAATCGAGCGGGGCCGGCGAGCTGGGGGGATGGCTGTTTATTTTTTTTATTTTTTTTTTTTGTTGTCGTCTTCCCTCTTCGCTCTCTCTGCTGTTGGGTGCTAGGTACCTAGGTGCTGGGTTCCTCGGGTCTTGGAATGCGGACGGGGCCTGGAATTATACACCCGGTAATGTAAAAAAGGCGCGTCCAGCGTGGCATGCTAAGACAAGCAAAATCGAGCCAAAGCGATGCCCCAGAGGAAACGGCTGAACGGCTAGCGCAGGCGATCCTCCGCATCAAATCTTACGCCTAGGTCCTGGGGATTGGGGACCCGGGGACCTTTCTCGACTGATGTCTAAGGCCTGCGAGCCACCGGCGACGGACACGCGGCACTCCCAAAAGCCCTGACTCCACTCTGTGCCCGTCCTAGGTGTGCTGTGGAACCTGGAAACGTTTTACTTCACTCTTACAGTCGCTGCTGCTGGGCCGAGTTCACATTCCGGGGTGCGGCTTTCTACGAAGCGCCAAGACGCTCGGCGCCGCCTTACTGTGTACCTCGGTCCGCGGGGCGGCAGTGAATGGAAAGTGCAGAGCAGTGTGGGGTTGCAGCAGCGGCTGGGTTGGGTTGGGGTTATTTGTGGCATCCATGATCTCCCCCTCCTTCCCATCATCGTCATCATCATCATCAACGATTCGTCATTCTCCCAACCAGTAAAGAATCCATCACCACAAGGCTTCGAAATGGAAGCAAGTCATCCCCTGTAAATTATTCACGTTTTCATTGCGTAGATTATAACACCTTAAAAATACCATGTATCCAAGACTTATCACTTAGAATTGTCCCAAATTCCCCCCTCAGTCGAGAACTTGATCTCCATCGTCTCCCAACCCTTCCTCCTCCTTAGCCTTACCTCGCCCGGCCCTCCTGGCCCCCATTTCCACCTCCTCACGCCCGCCCCAGGATATGGGGTCAACATCTCCGGGACGGTAACGTCTTCGACCTCAAAGGCCAGGGCAACGGCACCTACAAAGCCGATAATCTCAATAGCGGCAAACATCCTTCCCGGACACAAATGCTTGCCCCCTCCAAAGGGGAACATCGCGCCCTTCTGCTTCTTCTCCTCGGCCGGCGACAATCCCAGCCACCGCTCGGGCCGAAACTCGTGCGCATCGGCGCCCCAGATGTCGTCGTTCAGGTGTGACACGCCGACCGTCCAAAGCGCCACTGCGCCCTTCTTCAGGAGATACTCTTGTCCGTCGGCGTCGCGCAACACTGTATCTTCGATCACGAACCGGGTGCCCTGGCCGTCGTTGTACAGCCGAAGGATTTCCTGCCAGCAGGCGTTGAGGAATGGTTGTTCCTGAAGCCGGGAGTAGTCGATCGTGGCGGTGTTGTTGTCGATCGTGGTCACAGAGAGGACTTCGGTGCGGATGCGTTCAACGACGTCTGGACGGGAGAAAATGCTGACAAAGGTCCAGATCATCGTTGGCGTTGTGTTGGTTACGGAGGCCCAGGCAACATCGAACTCGGTTGCGGCTAGGTCCTCGGAGGGTGTGCCAGTCGCACGCTTGGTCGCTGCGCGGTTCCTGACATACGCTGAGACATCTTCGCCCTCGTCGAGCCGGTTGAGGTAGAAGGGTGCCAGCACTTTTTGGATCTCATCGCGAGCAGCGAGCGCCTTTCGGGCAAAGAGCTTTGGCGCAAGACCCAGAGCAATGAGGAAGATCTTCTTATCGAACTCCCTTTTTTTTTAAAAAAAAAAAGTGTCTCGTCAGCAGGTTGATCTCCCCCTCTCTTTCAGGACATGAGCTATCCCGTACGTACCAGATGCTACGATGCACCTCCACACTCAGGGGATTCTTCTCCCCATACAGTGCCCGCATAATAACTCTCGAAAGCATATCCGTCAACCACCCCTCCACATCCCCAATCCTGACCCCTTTCTCCCCCGTCACAGCATTCAACTCCCTCGCAATACCCCCTAGCCCTACAGCTGCGATCTCTCTCAGGGACTCACCCGAGAGCCCGGCCGCTAGCGGCTTCGATACGGTAGCCAACCACTTCGGGTCGGCAAACTTGGCGCTCTCTCGCTGGGGCACACCTATCACATTAATGAAGAAATGCCGGATGAACACTTCGAACGAGAGGGTCTTGCTGCGCTGGGCGGCTGCGATGAGGGCAGGCGAGTTGATCACGTAGATCTTGTAGTTGAGCACGGGGAGTGTGCAAATGGGTAGCCGGTATTTCTTGCTGTCATGATCGCACCGCGGTCAGTGTGTGCTGCTAAACACCCTGGAGCCAGATATAGTTCTGAGCCAAATGGCACGTACAACAACCGCTGATAGTACCCAGAAGCCTCGGTCGCAATGGAGATAATATGCCCGATCAACGGGATCTTGGGCTTGATCACGGGCGGCTCCCGTGGGTCATAGGCCGGGGAGATTAGATGCCTGACCAGAACGGCCAGGGGAATGGCGACCACGATCGTGAGCATCCATTGCGCTTGTGAAGGCGACAGCGCGGGATCCATCCCTATTACTGATCAAAGTTTATCGAAGGGGCTGTTTTATCCTCGTACTGATGGCACTAACAGTCAATACCCTACCAGCAGCGAGCCTGAGTTTTTCAACTGGGGGTTCGTCGTCTTTTTTAAAAAGAAACGGCTGCAAGGGGTTGAGCTGCATGCTGACAGCGATAGTGCAGGCAAGCAATTTGCATCGTGGCTGCGCCATTCAGCTCGTCGGAGAAACCAGTCGCATTATGTTGACCTGCTTGTTGGCTTACTTAAACCAAGCGGTTGGCGATTGTATGGATGGAACTTGTGCTTGCATCGGGACCAGACATTGAGAACGTTTGCAGCCAATCCTACGCAGCATTAAGCAGCATGATCCTTTCATGGGCAGATTATACTGTCATGATGATCCTTCTAACTAAACATAGGCAGGAGTTAGATCAGAAAACCTACACATGAAATCCTCCTCCAAGGTATGATTGAACCAAGGACCGCGTAATTCCGGCATACCCGAGCATCATCAGTCAGATTCCAGCCCTTTCAATCCAACCGGGGCCCACCCGGATTGTCAGGTCAAAAAGACTGTACATCCTCTGAAGATAGAGATTCCATGCTTGTTGGCCCGTCCATTGCGCCGAGCCATCAGAGTCTCCTCGCGCTGTCCCACACACTGTCGCTCACCCTCGCCGGGATTTTTCTGCCCCTCAACCGCTGGTCAATCAGCCACATGCCCACAACAAACTCATCCCTCGCCAAAGCGCCGCTCCGGCTGCGATCCACGAGGTCCCACACTTCAGCAAGCTCTTCCCTAGGCAGCTGCGATCGGTTCCACAGCTCACGGACGACGACATTGGCAACCATCTGCGATTCCAAGGTGCCTTCGGGCGCCCGACTAGCCTCAATCTGAGCTTGTGTGATCGCCTCCTCTCGGGCCGTAACCCGATTAGCGCCCCAGAGTCTTGTATGTGGCGCGCCATTCTGCGCAGTGTCCTCGTCGTCCTCTTCCTGAGCAAGAACACGCGCGACAAGATCGGGGGGTATGTTGTCTATGTGTTGGAACGCCCACCCCTTCCGCAGGAAGTATCCGCGGTTGCTTGCCCAGACCGCCTCGTAGCGACGGCGCTGCTCAGGAGTGATCTCGTCTTGCCAGCGTCGCCGCGATCCCTCGTGATGTGCGTGGCGGCGATTGCTGCGTGTTAGCCGGTCCCGGGCACGGCGCAGGCGCGAATCCTCATCGGAGGAGTCCGAGCACTCTGGCCTGCGAAGTGTCGGAAGCAGGCCAGTGCGTTGCAGCTGCTGGCGGTTGGGAGACCGGCTGCCACCTGTCGTCTCGGCCCGCAGACTGTCGGCGGTACGTTGAGGGCGGAGTGGAAGGTGATGATGGTCAATGGTATGAAGTGTCTGCCTGAAGGGACCGCCAGTGGACGCCGGGAACAGCTGGGTGGGTCTCGCCTTGGATATGAGCTCGCGGGTTTCCAACCGCGCTGGACGCGGGACTCTTTCTGCCGAGGGTTCTTGAGCTTGCTCGGGGACTGCTTGGGTTGGGGAAGACACCAGATATGGGGGGTTCTGGACAACTCCGGCAGCCGGACGCTGGGAGTCGTTGAGCCTTGCAGCCGCCATTGGGGGAGACAGTGAGGCGTCCAGATCTAGGATGTTTTCGTTGGGACCGTCTTCGCTGTCCCCAACAGCGAGATTGAAAGCATGTGGGAAGTTGTCCTCAGAGGTTACCTTGGCTTGGCAACCAACTTCTTCCGGCAGCATTGTGGATGTCCTTGATGTTCGCGGAACAGGAGGTGGGATCCGTGGCGTATTCACAAGCTTCAGCTTGGTCGAGTTACGTGTATCTGTTGAGGGAGATTGGCTTATATTTGCAGGTAGCGTGCTGTTTTGCTTGACCTCAAACAATGACACCAGCGTAGTCGTAGGCAAGATGGAAGTCGTATCGAGCGCAGTTCTGTCTGCAATGCAATCACCCACAGCAGCATCCATTGCTCCCATAGTTGATGCGACGCTGTCACCGTCCTGCCCCCTCGTTGAAAACGCCGCCGTTATGCTGCTGGGCACACTGGGCTGAGGACTGGTGGCACGGACAGGTGACGGCGACCTGCTTACAGCCAAGGTCGCAGCGAGCAATGCTGACTGCTTAACGCCATCAGGACCGCTGATTCTGGAGACAGACGCACCAGGACTCCTGACGGAATCAGATCCGTCCTGAGCTTTCACGACATCGCTACTCCTCTCGGGCACATGTGGCCCGACATCACCTGTGGCCAGGGCGCTCCATCCTGCACAGGAGTTCGGCCTGGTGGGCAGAGCTACAGATTGTGACGCAGAGGACGTATGCACTGCCTGGGTTGCGGCTAACAGAGCAGAGCCATCCAGGGCATTCTTCTTCCCACTTCCAGTTCTCTCAACGGCTGCTCCAGGAGTCGTTCCCGCCACTCCTGCGGGCTTAGGCTTCTGTGCCAGCTTTTGCCCTGCGATTGGCTTCACGGGAACAGGGGTGACGGAAGCATTGGGAGCAACAACAGTGATTGGAGAAGTCGAGATCGGTGCCCACGATGTAGGCCTCTGGCGGTTCTGAAAGGCAAGGGTAGCACCTTGCAGAGCGGCCGAGATGGCGGGATTGGTCGCATTGGAGGGAGGACTAGACGAAGAGAGGGGATTTGGTGGCATATGATGGGAGGATAGAGGAGGGATAGCTTTCAAGGACGGAGAGCAGGACAAAGGTAGGCGGCGAGTTTTGTTTAGGTAATTCGGCGACTCTCACGCTAGCGAGCCGGATCAGAATGAATGCGATGCTGGTTACAGGGCTCTTCAGAGACTCCTCGTGCGATTTGTCTTTCCTTATGATGAAGGGTGACGCTTAACTAATGTGCTGTGACAAGTTGAAGGTTAAGAAAGTCGTGTTGCATTCACACCGATTGTCTGTTACCGCTTTTGGATCTTGGTTTCCCGCCTTCTCTCTCTATCTCTATCTCTCTTCTCTCTCTCTCTCTCTCTCTCTCTCGCTCTCGCTCTCGAGTTCATCAACGTGCCCCACACGTCCACTTCACATTCGTATGGCCGTTGCTGTTGAAAGTGAAAGTCATGGAAGGGACCTGACGACGTTATGGTCCTCCTTTGAATGAATTGGTTGAAGAAAGGACCGGGACCAGGCCTTGCAGATTACACCTGTCGAGAATCCACCCCCAACCGTATCTGTTGGTTGACTGGCTGCCTCGATGTCGAGTGCTCTGCAGCTGCTAGGAGACAGCAATGCCGCTGCGCTGGAACCCCACTGGCGACAGCTCGGTGGAGTCTGCCTGTTGAGCCAAGCCGTTAGCGCCGAGCCAAGAAAGCGTAGCTCATGTATCCTCTGTTAAGAAAGTAGCCAGCAGCCACGTACGGATATAGAGTAATTGGAAAACAGTTCACTAACAGCTCCGGGCTGATGCTACCTCGGCTTTTTTCAGCTGAGCTTGGCACCCCGCCAGGCAGCGGACGCAGCGGCAGATCCACAAACTACGGCAACAACTGGATGATGGACCCTTCGTGTTGGGACAGATAACAACCTCTGGATGCAACCAGGTAACAAGTTGGAGTCTTGAGGATTTCACAATTGATTATCTGGCCTTGGGCAACCCAATTCGTAGTTTATATGATTAGGTCAATAGCTTTGTCGTGTTTGTGTGAGCCAAGAACCGGGTCAGACGGACAATCAAACGGCAGGGAGCTCCACAAACTGTTATCGCTGATGACAATTTCCGAGGTTAAAGAGTGAAGATGGTAGAAGAAGATGTTTTTATTTATCATCACGACCTCATAAATCAGAGACACAAAGCCATCAAATCCCTCAGAACGCCGGTCCTTCCTCCAAAGAGATCTGAGGATCCCATACCAGGGAGAGATACCGATACCTGATCCTTCTGTCCTCGCCTATGTCGAGGAAAGCCCTTTCACGCAAGACCATAGGTCTCATAAGCGAGACAGACGGAAGACGATCCTCCTCTCCATGCTCGCTCCTGGTCATATGCCACCATCCGTTTACCAATCCAGATTCCTAGGAACAAGAAGGAAACAAACACATAGCCAATACATCAGCAGAACATACAACAAAAGGACCTGCTAGCAGCGAGGTCGGTAGAACAGGAAGCTGAACGAGCCAGGAGGAGGAGGACAAAACACCCAGTGTTAGTCCCTCGCTCCGGAATGAAAGGGAAGAGAATAAGCAAGGTAGGTTGGGGACGTCGAGCAGGAAGGTGACATAACGTCGACAAAAGAAACGCCGAGGGAGGGAAAAGATAGACATACCATGGCCCCTCCTCCCCCCCCCTTTTGCAGCATATTCCCGTCATCAATACCAATGAAGAGAGCGATCCATACAGATAACTCACTCAACCCGTCATAATTCATCACGTGGCCCATCGGACTCAAAGCGCGTCTTCATCTGTCCACTCCGATCCCCCGGATTTGCTCCCATCCGGCCCACCGGCAGCACCAGCCTGTGCCTGAGCCTGAGCAGGCGGGGGGATGCCCCGTCCACGCTGCTTCACCATGATGATCTGTTGATGCTGATTCCTCCGCGCTGCTCTCAGCTTAGCGAAATACATGTCCGACGCATCCGGCTCAGGAGCCGAATCGTCGTCATACGTTTCCCAGTTCTCCGAGCCCGTAACAACAGTCGAAGAGCTGGAAATGTTCGACATCTGTCTGCTTGAGCCCGAGGAGGTGGATGATGCGGATGACTCTGTCGCGCCTACTGTCTGGGCCCTGGGCCTGGTGCTGGCAGAAAACGACGAGGGAGCATGATGGTAGTAGCTCGCGTTGGACTCGGGCCGCGAGTTTTCCTGCAGCGAGTACCGATCAGTGTCGCCACCATACGGATCCTCAGGCTCAACCTGGCGGACAATGCTAGCGCCCAGAACAGTACGATAATGGTTAACCGGGGCATCCAGATCAGGAGCGGGCAGGAGCTCGCGCATCTTGGGAGGGGCTGCGCCGACAGCCCGCAGAAGTCCGTTGACCGACCGGATGCTACCCGTGTCGGTGCCCCGGGACTCGGGCCGAGGGCGCTCGGGAGAGTTGTTGCCGTGCTTGAGGTTCGAAAGTGGGACCCGGGCAGGGAGGCGCGTCGGGCTGCCCTGCTTGTTAGCGATCGTCGTCCGGAAGGGGAGTCCTTGTGTCGACCTGACCGAAGATGTCGCTGAAGCGATGGGCGTCTTGGCTCCCGCTGGTTTTGTGATGGGCTGCTGCTTGTTACCTGTGATGTGACCGACACTCTTGGCCCTGTTCAGGCCGCTCGCTGCCGCCGACGGAGTTTTAGAACCGGCGCCAGGAGTCTGGTTCGGACCAGGAGTCCTCGATCTTGGCCCAGGACCCGGCTTAGGCTCTTCGGCTTCCAGAATATCAAGGTACCGTTCGCCATGGACCAGGAAGGGCCGCCCGTACTCGTCCTCCCACTGCTCTAGCACCTTGCGCAGCTCGGCAGTGACCTTGGGGAGTTCCTTTGCAATTCGCTTGCGCATCTTCTCTTCACGCAGAAGCTTGCCTGGGTCGCGCTTTTCGCCCTTCTGCCCGCGTGACATCAGGCGCGAAGCATCCTGGCTGGCGGCTTCCAACTCTTCCTTATCGCGAAGCAGACCCTTGTGCTTCTCGATCAGGCTCAGACACGGGGCGCGTTGTTCCTTCAAATGCTCCAAGCGCTCGATTTCGCGCTCATGTGCCTCAAGAAGCGCGTCGCTGTAGACATCCGAGAAAGCTGGGGTAAACTCGAGCATCTCATCCTCCGAGAAGAATAAGGCATCCCAGAGCTCCTGCAGTTTCGTCCGAGCGTCCTCGACAAAGATATGGAGATTCTGCCGCTTGAGCTCATTAAGCCTAGCAAGCTCATCCTCGAACTCGTTTATCTGCCGCAGACCACAACCACGGTTGTTGTTGAGGAACGCCTTGCGCTCTTCCTCATCAACCTCAAGCTTCTCCCAGAGAGCCTCAACCTGGCTCTTGAGGGTTTGGAGCCGCCTTTCGCGGTTCTTCTTTTCTTCCACCAGTTTATCCCTCTTTGAGCACAAGCGGGCGATGTCGGACTCAAGCAGCCCCAGTTGCTCAGGCGAGTCACGGTAGAACTTGAGGATAGCAGGGTCGGTTTGCGATTGTGGTATACCCAGCTCTGCCCAAAGGTCAATGATGTTGGTAGCGACCTCTCTGACCGTCTCGCAGCGGCGAGTGTACTCCTCATAGACGCGAGCAAACTCTGCATCCAGCTGGTTGACATAGTTTTCTGAGAGATCGAAGTTCAAGGGAATTGACTGATTCGGGGCTGTGGGTGGGAGCTTCAGCTTGACAAAGCCCGGTTCGAGATGTGACGAGTACGACTCAAGGGTCTCGGCCACCTCTGCGACAAAATATCAGCCTTACACTCCGACAATTGGTGTCATCATCTCCAAGTAAACCTACTTCTGACCTCCTCGAAGCGCTCTCGATACACGTCTCTGATTTGCGCATGTTTCTCCCGAAGGAATTTCAGGCACCTATTCAGGGGATAGGTAACCTGGAGGTCCGGGTCATCGTCGCGCCGGCGCAGCCTATTATCCTCGAGAGACGACTTCATAAGCCGAATGGCATGGATTAACTTGTTCGCCTCATCGACCAGGTCCTTCTTCTCGGCCGCGACCAGCCGGACTTGGTTCTGCAGCGCATCGGATAAAGCTGCAAAGAGCTGTTGTCGACATGGTCAGCATGGAGCGACACAAACCTTGCGCACGGCAGGCAAAGCCAAAAAAAAAAAAAAGGTATCTTGCCTTGGCTTCGCGGGCCTCGCGCTCCTGAGGCGAAACTCCGATCTCGTCGAACAAGCCGTGCAGCTGGCCAATTATTGTATTAACCTGCTGGGACAGGTAGCTGGTATCCATCGTGATAAAAGCGCGGTCGCGCAACGGCAGCACGATGAGCAGACGAGGGGGCTGTGCGATGATAGCGTCGCAAGGTGTTTCGCTTGCGAAGCGACGACGACACTAGCGATGCTCCAGGCGTTTGACGTGTCTGCTTCTCAGAGGGGAAGCGCGGAGTTCGAGCCGGGAGCGGGGTGTATCATCCAGCACAATGACGTGCAGCTGGGTCTGCAGCTAGGAGTCGTGCGTTGTTAGGGGATAGGAGCCGCTTTTTTGGGGGGTGGAGGGGGATCAGCGAATCGCTACGAGGGGAGGGGTCTGTCGCAAGTGGAAGGGCATGTCGAGGGAGACACAACAACGTCGCCGTCACAAGCGCTCCAGTGTCTTGGTCGACGCCGACACGCCGATGTTGCGGTTTTCGCGCTTTGGATTGAGCAGTAGACGACGAAACAAAGAAAGGGAAGAGAAGGGTGGGCTATCGATCGAGATAAAGCTGCAAACAGTGGTCGGCGTGGTGTGGTTTGTTGCCATCAAGAGCCTCTGGATCTGCGCTAGGCTTGGGTTTTTGCGCCCGGCCGTCTCTACGGCAACGGCGCCAGTTCCTGCGGTTTAATTCCCCCGTTAGTGCACACACGGCGGGGCAGCGCGCTGCCTCCATCTTTCTGCCCCACCTTTGAAACCCAGTGATATTCGACGGTAATTTCTGGGGTCATTGGAACAGTGCTTGAAAAATTTTTTCCGAAAAAAATTAAAACTGGGTGATATAGAGTCTGTCTAACAATACTTCAGGTGTACAAACAATGTACCTTTTTTCTGTAGTTTTCGAACTTTGCAGTAAATTCCCTTCTTTTTGTTTACTGAGTAATGCGTTCATCCCACATTGATGCTGCCCAGAGTTTGAGGGTCCCAGGCTCGCGCATGAAACAGGCCCACACAGCCCCAGAGGCGAGTGGAGCGCGCGGGAACGGATGGATCTATCTGATCTCAGCTCAGCCTGTCTGGCCTTTCTGGAGCCCCCCAGTCAAGCCACATCCAATCATGCCTCGATCCCGATGCCTCTCAATCTTCAAACCGAAACTTAAGCGAACATTCGCAGCATGTCTACAGCCATTGATTAAACACTGCCGAGCTGCGGGTGTCTGAGTCAAAACAAACGTCTCGAGGCTGGTCCTCGCGCGCGGAAGGAACATCATACAAGTACATGGGATCAAGACTGTTGTTTACCCAGATCCGGAGAGGGGCTACGGGAATGTTCGGCTTCAAAGAGATAAGGAGTGGCAGGCAAGCAAAAGAGGCGAACAGAAAGACGACGTATCTGAAGGAAGATGTCATCTGTCGATAAAAAAAAAGGATCAAGGATCAGCGGGTACATAAACGTTGACCAGATATCTGGTGTTTACAGTTTTACCTGCCACCTAGGTAGGTATGTCCGCCCTGCTCCGGCCCCTCCATGACGCCATCAGCTTGACCGAGGAAGCAACTAGAGCAAGGGCCCAAATGTTTGATCTTAATGCCCTTAGTTTCCTGCAAGGTGAGTGGCCAGAGTCCAAAGAGCCACTCGGTTTGTGCCTCATACCTGCATTCCCGGTTGCCCCGTGGACTGCTGACGGACGATGCACTGCCCGGCCGGCTTGCTGCATAGGACATAGGCCATTGTGTTTACAGTTAACGCCATCGAGTACAACACTAACCGGGAACGGGCAGCATCTGTTTTTGTGTTTATTGTTGTCCGGCCGTGTCTGAAAGGACCGTGGCAAAGAAGAACGGAACACGAACCGGGAATTGGAGAATAGGAAGCTTGAATCGTCCGTCCTTTTTGCTGTTGTGGGAGGACAACACTTCCAGGAAAGTGATGGAGTTGAATATTGCTTGCCACTCCAGAGTCCTGCGGCAAGAGAGGTATTCGCAACGAGGAGAATAAGGCTCCGTAACTTCATGAGTTGAAGGCAGCGCATGCACTAGCCTATCTCTCAAACGACCCTTGGGCATGTCCGACTAGGCCGGCGGCAATCCGGAGAGGTCAGTTTCCGACTGAGTGCCCCGTCTGTATGCAGCATTCCCGCTAGGTGCTGTAGTCGACGACCAGCTTGTCATCGAAGTAATCTAGAAGCAGCGCATCATCAGATTGATCAGGGTTGGCATCGGCATATCATGATAGGTCTCTGCTAGCCTGAAGGATGTGTGAATGGGAAACTGCCTAATTGTCAGGAAGTGTGGTTGTTAGTCTGGTCCAGATCACCGTTTTCTTTGGAACATTGAATCCGGCATTAACCGCACAGGCATGTGAAGAAGCTTTCATGGTGTTCACGATGGCTGGGGAAGAAGGGCTAAGGAGACAAGCGGGGGATCTTCATGGACAACACCTCTCTTGACTTTCTGCACATCCTTCATTCCCCATCCGGCTGATCGGTGAGACAGGACGTTTTTTTTTGGGGGGGGGGGGGGGACAGAGACTAGCAAAGGGAAGAGTCTAGTTCCCAAGGAAGTATCCTAGTACCCAGATCCCATGGACCAGCAAGACTTTAAGACCCGCAACGACAAACACCTACAGACCTTTATGCGACAAGTCTAAGGTCGTGCTCGACATCCACTTCCATAATTACCTACCGGTAGGCAGTTTTACAGCAGGCAGGTCTTATGTGTAACCCTTCTTCCCTTCCACGGACCATAGCCCATCCGGCCCCTCATGATCGACGACTTGTCGAATCCCGCAACAGGGGTATTAATGCCAAGTTGCCCGTGCGGACAGAATGCACCACCATAGCAACACCGTCCCGTTCCCTTGATATCGAGATCTGGGGAAAATGATGTTGCGCATGTATGCTTGTTCCCGTCTGAAGTTTTTAGTGGCAGAATTGAGAGCCACCCGTTTATGTTCCCGTCCCTCCACTACGCAGTTTCTCGGGTAGAACAGGGGCTACGAATGCGAGCGCTTGCCGCTTTTTTTTCTCTCTTCCAGGAAGACCATCCTGATTGCTTCTTTCCTGTCTAGGAAGGAAAAGAACCGAAAAGAGAGATATTGTGGTCTCTATACTATAAGAGCCTGTTGCACGGATCGTATAGAGTCGGTCCTGTTTCTTTCAACCGCCTTACTCGGACGAGTCTCCGAATGTCTGTGATTTGGAAACAGACAAAACGCGAATTACCTTCATATTCTGATCAATTTCCCCAGATTTTCTCCTGTAGTCTCTTTGTGGATCTGGGCGTGGATAATTCCATTGCATGAAGCCCAGTCCTTGACCGAACATCTCCATCTGGATCTGTTTGATCTGCCACTGTGACAACCAACCAATGTAGCTTACCAAGCGATGCTGATCTAGAATATCTCTAGAAGGTTTGATATGACTACGGCTTGTTTCTTAGACGGTAAATCAGGCTTGGAGCCTTCTCCAAGGCGAATGGCCGTCTCCCTTTTTGCAACCAGATATGCCTGGGCTAGATTCGCTACCTCGCTGGTGTTGCAGCCATATTACCAAGCCAAGCTCATACTCAGCACACACATATTGAGATATTGATCGGGAACTTAACTGCTCTTTTGTGTGGCTAACCCGTGTTCAGATCTAACAACTAGGACATACCTCTATTTAACAGTAACTTCACCGCCTTGGGTGGTTGAGTCAGTCAGCTTTAATATGACAATCCCGTAGTCTTTTAACGTCACGAAGGTTGCGAAAGCCCGAGCACATTCTCCTAGTCACAGAGAAAGTCGAAGCTAATGGCTGAAGTGAGATGTGCTTTGCTCAATGCCGGCCAATATCCGGCTGCCGTCCGGGGACTCTCACCTGGCACTTAGCGTAGAGAAACACCAACATGCGAGTCTCTTGATGCACGACCTAGATTTAACCGGTTGGCAATCAGCATGCGCGCAAGTCACATCCAAGAGTCTTCTCAAGAGACTGAGGCTCCTTACGGGATCGACATGTAAAAGCCCTGCTGGAATAGTTCTGGGCTCACAATTCCCGGCCTAGTCACCGAATTACCGGCTCTCCGACTGGGTGAGCAGTCGAATGAAATTGGTGAATCCCAGTTTGGGATCTCTCCACTTCGTTGGGTGTGTAACGATCTCTTTCCCGGTCTCAGGTCGAGGAGGTGATGTCGTCTCTCTCATATGTTCTTCCATATCTTTTTGCTCTCCGACGTCTAATCCATCTCTCTCGTTCCTGGTCTTGTTAACAAATCCCCTTCTTCGGACTTAAAACCTGAACATACCCGATGTAAGATGACTTCCAGTCGTATATACGGTCTTTTGTAGATGAGACAACACCACACCTCGTCCCTCTGCGTCATGGATGCTTTCACAATATTGGCCCATCCCGCTTTGTCGGGCTCCTCAGTCCTCCATGCTTTTGCCCTTTTTGTCAATTTCTTCTTTCCGGCCCTTGCACTCATTGTTGTGGGCCTCCGGGTAGCCGGCCGAGTTGTTGCAGGGCAGTTTGCCATTGACGACTGGCTCGTCGGTATTGCTATGCTTCTGTCTCTAGCACAGACTGTCGTTAGCTTCTTCTGTATGTCCCTATCCAAATGCTAAACCTGATGCATAACCTGTAGACTAACTGCTCATATGAACAGTTATCAAGACCAACTTCATTGGCATCCCCCCTGAAAAAGTGCCCCCCCATGACCCAACTCAGGGGCTAATATGGCTCTACGCGGTTCAAATTCTCTACCAGCCAATTCTATCTCTGGTCAAGTCCTCTGCCCTAATATTCCTATCGCGCTTATTTGGGCAAAAGGAATGGGTACGACGTACACTCGTGTGGTTCAACGCCGTCAATATCGCGCACATGGTTGGCACTCTCTTTGCCGTGGTGCTCCAATGCTTGCCAATCCCCTTCAACTGGGACCCGACCACCACCAACGGCCGGTGCGTCGATCGTCGAGTGTTGTACACCTCAACGGCTGTGTTCAACATACTTACAGATTTTGTCATCCTTGGAGTACCTTTGTACATCTTTTCGAGGCTGAGAATCCCGAGACGCACGAAAATCGCACTTTCTGTTATCTTTCTTCTCGGATTTTTGTAAGTTTTCCTCCCAGCAGCCCCTCTCCATCCACCCTTGAGTCATTGCCTGACAGCTACAGTGTCACAATAACCTCTATTATCCGCCTTCTGCTCTTGATTCAGGGCCTCTTCGCTCTGTCCATCTTTCCCAGGGCCATGATGGACGGCAACATCGGGTTCGTCACTTCGGTCATCGAGACCAACCTTGCGCTGATCACGGCCTCTGCCCCTGCCCTGCGGCCCATCTTCCGCTCTCGGGCAAATGGCGGGTGGTTTGCCACGGCCCGCAGCATGGCGGTCAGCCGTAAGACGGTATCTGACGAAAGCGACGAGGTTGAAAAGGGACTGAGGAAGATCAGAAGTCGGAAGTCTATTGATGCGAATGGCCCACCTCCTGTTGTTGGCAGTGGTGTAGGCGGGAAATTTGGTAGAGGCGGCCGACGAGGAGGCAGAAGCATGCGCAACAACCCTCTCTTCTCCCGGCGCAACAAGATGGAATGGAAGCCAAGCGGCTTCCGTGGCGACAATAAAATCAGAGGCGTCCGCAACCGGCACATCATCCGCGTGAGAACCGACCTCGTTACCCCGTTGCAGGGGCCAGCCCCCCCATCGCCTCGTACAAGTGAAGAGCCGCTCACGCGAACAAGGAGCAACACGAACGGCGGTGTGACAATCCGTGTCAGCGACATCCAGCGGGAGATAGACGGTATTGTAAATGATATTGCCTCTGCTGGGGCGGGGTCCTACACAGGGTTATTCTCATCATCAGCATCGTCGTCGTCGTTATCATCGTCACTGTCCCCTGTGATATCACGCCCCATATTGACTCCGGGAACGACGATAAGATCAACGCCCACAAGCCCTCGTGTTGGCCTAGCTCCGCTGCTGCCTTTTCCCCCTCCTCCGGTCCCTCCTCCAAGCGGGGGCCTCCCTGCCAGGCCAAGTACCAGCGGGAGCATGAAGGGCAGCAGAACTGTCGTGCTGGAGCAACATTACAGCGCAAGCATCTACCCAGACGACCAAGACAACGAGAACACCAGGCCCAGGAAAAGTGAAGAGATTCGGAAGTCACGATATGGAGATGAAAGGAGGTATGGTGTTGTTACACCTCGGGGGACGACGCCGATTCAAAGAGGTTGGGAGGTGGATGGAAGGCCATTTTAAGAGGCACGAATTGAGACATTCGTTAGATGTTGGCGTTCACGGGAGGGGGGGGGGGTAGCTTTCATTGCTGGACGGTGTGGATGCCAAGGTAAGTACTTTGAAAGGTTAAGAGAGGTGATAAGGTTGCCAGGGTTAATGCTAATTCCAACGGGCTCGTGCCAACGGGCTCGTGCCAACGGGCTCGTTGAGGACGACGGATGACCCAGGATGACCAAAGCACCTCTTTCTTGTCTATATCTGTAAAATTAGTCCGACGATGAATGCGAATGGACTGTTTTTTTTTGTCCTTTCTGCAGCATGGCAGCATGTTCACTGTGCAGATTCTAGAGACAACTCAGGTTCTTCAAAAGCAAAAATCAAGACTCGTCTATTCTTTTACCATATCACGACATCAGAGTATAAGTTTTGATGAAACCGAAGCTGAGCAGACCCGGCCACGGGGAGATGGCGATCAGGGACGCAGCCCTTCAAGCCGCAATAACACAACCTACCAATAATGGTAGGTAGGCAGGCAGGTTGGTACGGTACTGGTGCTCTCATAGGTCTCCATTCTCCATACCCTCAGCGTAAAAAAATTACTCCATTTCGAGGAGACACGCCATGTCGCTACCAGAAGCTAGTGGCGGCCGATGCACAGTGCAGCTTCCAGCCACTCATCAGAGCCAGCCGCCTGGAAGCGAGGAGACGAAGTCTTCTGGAAAGACTCCAGTTCTCCAGTTCCAGCCGGTCAGGGACCTGTCTTTCTGGGATAAAGTCTCAACTCTCAGCTGGCCCGTCGGTGGTCACCGAGGATGGATCCACTCTAAAAGAGGAAATTGTTAAGGGTGTTCATGCCATGGAGCAACCCTCAAGGTGTGTTGATGCCACTGCGATGCTGTAGCTGTGGCTTAGCTGTGGCTGTGGCTATGGCTATGGCTGTGGCTGTTGTTGACAAGTCAAGTCGTGTCATTGTCGACGGCAAGTTCGGCATGCTCTTGACCTTGACCCTATCTCATTGTTTCACACACGCACAGGGGGCACAGCAAAATACAACAGGCCGCTAGGATACTGGGTATTACAGAACACCCCCTTCTTTTCTTTCTGTTTCTTCCCTTCCGGACAGGCCCGACACGAAGCAGTAACGACCCTTGCTGAGAAAACCTTTTCTGCTTAGCCTGTGAGAGTCCGGGGACCAAGCAACCGGGCGGCATCGGCGTTTCAGTGCAGAAAGGGAAGGCCGAGGGACGACACACGCGAAGCACGGCAGCTGGGTCTCGGACAGTAGCAGCAGCGAACGGAGGGCAGCCGGAAGCCGGGCAGGTGGGGGTGAGTGGATGTGTGGATTCGGTTCTGGAGAAAAACCGTAGAGTGTGGAGGTTGGGGACCCGTTGGATGGTCGAGCCTTTTTTTTTCTTTCAGCACCGATGGATCCCCAGCTTTTTTTCAGGGAAACACTGCGGGAGTGGAGTCTTATGTGTTGGTCGAATCTGGAAGGCCGGAATCTGCGTTGAGAGGGTTTTCAGAGGTGGCAGAGTGGGAGTCATGTTCGCAGAAGGCAGGTCCATTGTTTGTGCGATAAGGGCCGTACGACAGCGAGCTGAAAGGAAGATGGCCGTTTTATGGGGAGATGGGATCTTGACAAACCTTAGGTACCTGGTAGGTGGTAGGTACCTTAAGTATCTGATGATTGAATCACAGAATGTGTTGTTCTCAGACGGATCGCGCCGAAGATAAGGCTTCCTTGCTTTATCCGTCCGGTGATCCAACGACGCGGGCAGACAGACCCGAGATCTGATCAGGACAAGAAAAAAAAAAAAAATCTTGATCCCGATCCTGCTCACACTAATTACCATCGCATTTCCCACAAATTATTCCGGGCCATCATCTGCTCCGTTGCTCTGCCACCCCTCTGCTCTGCCGCTCTACCGCCCTCCTATCGGATGTGGATGCTTGCTTATCAGTTGGTGTGTCGCACGGCAAACTAAACCCCCTCCCCCCTCCCCCACGAAGCTGTTGTGTTTGGCCATGGCCTACCCGGTTAGAGGGACCAACTACGTCACCGGGGCCTTGGACGGTTGCGGATGTTGCGCCCGAACCTCTCCGTTTAGGACGCAGTGCAAAGTCACGATGTGCATGTGCTCAACGGTCGCGAGTGTGCATTGGTCTCCCCGAAGAAAACTCAAGTACTTTCTTGCCCTGTTTTAGTGTCGCTCCTTCGCATAGCATGACTGTGTCGGATATAAGTACAAGCAGGCACAATAAGGTAGCTGCCTGATGAATAGGTGACGGGATGGTACGTACCTACGTCGCACCCGCAGCCAGATACAGGTGTCGCTTGGATCGATTCAAATGCGTATGAGTGCCCAGATCATCATGGATGTCCTTGGCGATCGGCACTGCAAGCCGAAATCAGTGAAATCTGGTGTGGTGTGGTGTAGTGTGGTGTGGTGTGGTAGCGTCCAGTGCCTCCCCCAAATGCCCACCCTCCAGCCCTCTCCGGACATGTGGTGTAGCGCATCACAGCCCGCGGGCTGCCTTATCTCGTGCCAGCGCCTATCTGAGTCTCACCCCTGATCCACTGATTTCCGCGCCCTATCGGGCTGTTGTCACAGTGATATAAAAAGTGCAGGATGCGCCTCATCTGATTCCAGTTGCCGTATTTCCTCATGATGCTCGTTTTCGCTGCCTTGAAGTCATCCTCACCGACCGACACCAACTGACTTGGTCAAACATCGAGCAGTGGACAGGTCCGCCCCAGAGTCACAGCGGAGCCCAACCTGGAACCTCTCATTTCTTCCCTCTTTTGGAGCAGCAGCCCTTGCACGCCAAGCCCAACCCCCGTCAATTTGACAGCAGCGCTCCGCGGTCTCAGCAGCCGAGTGACGACATCGCACCGCGCACCCTTCCACTCAACTTTCTCTCACGTGTCGGATCCGCGGTGATCGTATCCATCAGAGCGGATACCTTCCTGGTTTGTTCTGTGCAACGGGTTGCGAATTTGCCAACTGCATCCAGCCCGCAGCCCGCAGCCTGCTCACTTACAAATAACCACTTTCTTTTCGTGGAAAGCCCGACAACAAGCCGGCAACAAACTTATAGCCCAACCAGCGCTCCTGTCCACGCTGTTGCAAACTGGAAGACGACCTTCGGGTGCGCCAATTGGACGCGACGCCAGCTCTTAAGAACAACGCTCCAACTGGAACAGTTGAGAAGTTGATGATCCACGGCGGCCCGAGTGAACAGGGCGGTGGACCTGTAGTGGGTCATCTTTTACGTACTGAAATTCTTGCGGGGGACGCGAAACACCGACCTGCTACACTGCAAAACCTGTGAGAAAACGGAGAGACAGACGAAGAGAAGAGAGTCCTCCTGATCAGTGAGAGAGGCTACCCTCGCGCGCCGTAACCGCCATTCGTCCATTCGATCCGCACACCAACCATCCATGACCCGCGGGGGCTTGCAGCGTCCAACCTCTGCTTGCGCCTGCACATACCCGAATTGGTACCCAGTACCCAGTACGGGTACCCGTCTGCGTCTCCGAACGAAGCTGGTCCTTGGGGTGTGACTCCTTGGGAGCGCACAAATCCACTTTCGTCCCCGCCGTTTAATAAGTAATCCGTTGTATCGGTAGTGCGCTTTGCTAGTGGCCAGTGGTCAGGTATTTTTATATGCCTTGTGCTGCCGTTAACCCGTTGCCGCGAACATGATGACCGCACGCTCCTATCTCGTCTCTCGACACTCCTCCCACGCCTCTCCCCCCCCCCACGCGCACGCACATACGCAAACACAAACACAGCCTCGTGCCCGCCAGTCCGAGTCACAACGCTCACAACGGCAGCAACCTCCTCTCCGTCCCAGCTTGCCCGCGGCTTTTGTCTCTCCCCCACATACGACTGTCCCAAGACATGACGATCGACCTGTCGCCATTGACCAGAGTATTAGCCCCAACAACACCAGCAGCCATCCCAACAGCACCGACACCATGGCGCCCCGCGAGTCTGTAGTGCCCGCCCCCGCGATGCCCGTCCAGATTCCCACAAAGAAGGGCTCCCGGGACGGCTTGGCACATGCCCCCCATCATCATCATCATCATTATCATTATCATCATCATCATCATCATCACAAACCGCACCGCCGGTATGTCGACCACGACCACAACTTCGCAGCCCGCCACCGTCGTCCGAGAGATGTCGTTTCACCCGACTCCATCCCGCCTTCTGTGGCCGCCTTGCTGGCCGTTACGAGCATCCCTCCTCCGAAGTCTGCTCGGGGCGTGCGCCAGACGAAGGCCGACAAGCGCATGACGGTCGATTCCATCATTGAGCGCGCCCAGGAATCCGAAAAGGAGCTCAGCCGCAAGCTCAGCAAGAGCCCTCTGGACATCCTGCTGACCCCTCCGGAGGACCTCGAGCCCGACGATGCGTCCGTTACCGACAGCACGCCTGGCTCTCTGTCAACTCGTGCTGTCTCGCTTGAGTCTATCCCCTCGCTCTGCACCTCCTTTACCCCTGAGACCATGTCTTCCCTGGAGAGCCCGCGCACTCCCGTGGAGCGCAGGCGCCGAGTTCAGCCAAAGCGTCGCTCCCTGGAGCCCGTCTCGTCCCCTCCTGGCGAACCGGAGTGCCATCCGCTCTACTTGCCCGAGGATGACATCGAGGAGTTGAACCTCAGCCTCCCTGCCGAGCGCAGGGATGACGAAGCTACTGAGAAGAAGCCATCCCGGCTGACGTTCAAACCCCTTAAGTCAGCCCTGAAGTCAAACCTGACTGCCTCGCTGCGCGCGCTGAAGCAGGCTGCCCGCACAGTCTCGACGCTAAACTTCTCATCCATCCCTCCAGACGACTTCATCACCCGGTCTCTCCTCACCATGGACAATAAGGTTCCTTACACCGACGAGCGTAGGCCGCCCCTGCTCGAGGAGGAACCGACGGCTGCCCTGCGACGCTACCTTAATCCCACGTCGAGCGCGCGTTTCGAGAAAGCCCCCTCGCTCGCTTCCGGCCCGGCGCTGCGCACGTTTACAGCTTCTATTCAGATGCAGACTTACCGCGTTCAGCGTGCTCCTGCCTCCTCAACACCCGGCCAGTCGTCGTCTCTGCCATCCGTCGGCCCCGCTTCAGCTGCTACCCAGGCCGCCGCCCAAGTTTCTCAGCCGAAGCCTTCCGCTGTTCACTATCCCATGCCCGGCCCCCGCCAGCGCGAGGTGCGCGAGAACCCAGACTTCATCCGCATTGCTGTCATGGAAATGGCCATGCGTCGCAACGGCAAGCTCGACGAGAACCGCCCGGGTCGTGCCCGCTGGGCCCTGCCGCCACGCAAGCCCAGCACCAAGCCCTACGAGATTGGGCCGGATGGGGTTCCCACTCGGTGGGTGCCTATCAGTTGCTACACGTGAGCAATAGTCTACCTATTCTACAGCAGGGAATTGATGGCTTGGGGCAATTTGGGCAATTGGGACTTAACGGCAACCGCCGTAGCGCCAGCGAGAATCGACGAAGGAGGACGAGCGAGCCTGACGAGCCCACCTGAAGCAAGCTTGGCAACCTTGATGGATACCCCGGGGTTATCTGGACAAACAATTAACATTGCTGAAGAGGGAGATCCACCCGAATCGGGAAGGCCGCAAAACTGATGGGGAAAAGGGGAACAAGTGGACTCGAAAGTATTTCACCCCTTGTTTACCGTCCCGACGATATCACCTCCCTTTTCGATTCTCTGGCAGCATTAGATCTGGACACCTGGCACTTCGAAAAGCGTCGGTCTTCCATGGGGGTGGTGTGATTTTTTTTTTTTTCCTTCCCCAGCACTCTCTTTCGTTATGTGCCTCGGTCTTACCTGCCCCAGTTTTTTTTCTGGAGGAGCCACAGAAAAGCCTGTTCTCTTGGACTGCAGTGCCCAACGATTGGACCTTGGCACACGGCGCTGGGAAAAAAAATCTTGGGGTTGTGCCGTGTATCGGTCGGGTGTTCGCTCGCCCACGCGACCTTTTGTGTCGGCTCTGGGTCCCACGCGGGATAGGTGGGGTTGCGCTTCTGGTGCGCACCAACGCCCGCCCGACTGATGAGGGGATACTTGCTGGATAAGAAAGCTCCTTCTGTCCAACCCAGCTTCAACCCCTCTTGTCTTTTGCATTCCAGACTTCCTCGGCACTTGTTACGCTTGCTCTTGGGAGAACAGAGACGCTGATTTAAGCGTCTATTCCCGCATTTCATACGTACGGCATGCATTGCGTTGCACCATATGGCATTTGGTGTAAGAAAACATGTATCTGCCGTGGACGTTTGGGAGGTTCAAGATTCTTTTGTCTTCGTTGGACATCTTTTTGGACGCAATTCTACGACTTTTAACTGGCTGAAATCTTTATTGGAGTGTTGGGACGGAACGGGATGCGGGGCGCATGAATGAACGTTTCCTGTTCAATACCTTTTGCTCGCTTTTTTTTTTGTTTCCCTAGCACTTTACACTATACCCCGTTTTAGGTTATTGCTATTTTTTTTTTTGCGCTAACTGGTGGTTGGGCATCCTCCCTACTTTGCCAGTACCCAGTGTCAATTTCTTTCCTGTTTTTGTCCCCCTCCCTTTTTCAGTTTGTTGTGGGGGTTGCACACTTCACACACAGTTGCATGAAAACTTTCTTCCAATGGGGTAGCTGGTTGGGAACACGAAACAGGAAAGGGCCGGCATTGTGTTTGCATCCCATTGCATTGCATGTTTTTTCCCTCCTTTTTTGCATGTCTTTCCTTGACGCTACACTACTGCAGGAGGGGAGGAGTCGAGCGACGGTAGTATCAGGTCATATGTTGATACCCCTCATCAGTCCTTATCAGTCAGCATCACCACTACAGCATAAGTTGGTCTGAAAGCTAGCATCAAGTGTTTTACGGCGCAAAGGGAGGACGGGTTCGTTGGGAGAGCGTATATAGCATACAGATACAGCAGCATAGGTGGAGTTTACTTAGGTTTGACTTAAAAAGAAGGGGAATGCATAGAGCTTTCCGGAGTTTTCAAACCGCACTTGATCAGTATCTTGCATTACCGGTGTGAAAAGAGGGAGGGGGGGAGGGAAGTGTTTAGAATGTATGAAGAATAGATGGACGATGTTCATCCACCCACCCTAGGATTGACACCTCTCTGAAAAGAGAAACTTAGTTCTCAAAACCCAAGTTCACAGTTGAACCCCCCGGAATTCCGTCATGTTGTGCAACTGCAAATGCGGGACGTCATGATCGGCATTCATCTGCGAGATCGGTTCCGCCGGCTTGGGAAGCGGGACGGATTGATCAATCGAGACGAGATCGAGATGGAGATTGTGTGTTGATCCTAGGACTTTATCTCACTGGTTCAATTCCACAGGTCCTTGCATGAGGACAAGATACGACGCAAGGTGGTGGCATCATTGTGTTCGAGAAAATCGTTATTGAGGCCGTGTAACATCGTCAGACACGGAGTAAAGAAAAATGGCGTAATGGCGAACCGAGGAATAGGTATAATGAACAGGGACTATATTCAATTCAACCACCAGTCTTCAAAACTCGGCCAGGACAATCCTCACAGTTATATGATGATTGCATACAGCCCATCCATGATAACATCAAGCAAATAGCCCTTGTTTGAGTGAAACAACAGACAGGATAAGAAAAACCAAAACTATCCACACATTTACTCTCACATTCCCGTCCCAATTTTCTATTTCGTAGCTTTTCTTTTTATTTCTTCCCAACTCATCAATTACTCCTCACCCTCCTCCTCAGCGCCGCTAGATTCCCCCTCCTCTTGACCTTGATCCTCAAGTGCCTTCCCCGTTGCAGCCGCCTTAGCTCTAGCCCATTCCTGCGCCTTAGCGGACACCTTCTCCCTGCTCTTCGCATCGCCAAACTTCTCCTCCCACTGCGCCCACCGTCTGAACCAAGCCTTAGCCTGCCTGGGCCGCAGGCCCTTAACTTTGGTCCCACGCTCGAACAAGTCACGAATAACCGACGGATCGGCCGGGTTCTTCGCAACCGACGATGCCGACGTCTCGAGATCGAGCAGCTGGTTCCACAGGTCGAACCGCTTGGGGTAGGTAGCGAGAAGCTTTTCGAAGAGGGTACGGCCCTGCTCGCGATCGCCGTTGGGCGAGCGGAATTCGAGCGCGGCAAATTTGGGCAGCAGATAGAGGTAAGTGTCCTTGGTGTTACCGAGGACCTGGGTCGCGCGCTTGAGTAGGGCGCGTGCCTGCTCCGGCTTGTTGGATTTGGTGTGCAGGAAGTGCGCGTAATTGTACCAGACGTGAGGGGCTTCGGAGCCGTATTTCTTGACGATCTTCTCGAAGAGGTCTTCAGCTTCCTGAAGTATGGGGTTAGCAATAAATCTTGAAGGCGACTTTCACGAAAGATAGACTCACCTTGTACTTGCCCGACTGGATGTAGATGCTCGCCAGCCGTTCGTGGACCTCCCGGTCGTCGTTATACGTGCACGCACGCTTGAAGACCTCCTGGACTGTCTCGTCCGTGCCATAGGCGACCTCCAGGTTGAGGTAGGCAATCCAGACATTAAGCTTCTCGGTCTCCTCTCGGATATTGATGGTCTTAAGGGCACGCTCGGCGATCTGTCTGGCACTAGAAAGGTCATTAACCTGCATCTGTGAGGCCATGTAGGCAATCCACAGCTCGGATGAGTCGGGTTGGCCGAGAAGGAGACGCTCGAAGTCACTCGCAGTTTGCGGCCCGTTAACATCGAGCTCGGCCGTCTTGTCGACGATGCCTTGAGGCTCGCGCCGCTTTTTAGCCTTTTTGCTTGGGACTTCCGCGACATCCGCATTGCCATGGTCGTCGGCATCCAGGTTGGCAGCTGCCCAGTCGAAACCACCAGCTTCAAGCCCAATCAAGCCCTCCTCAGGAGCTTCCGTCATCTCAATATCGCTGTCCTTTTCCTCGTCAGACTCGTCATCACTTTCACCGACGACAAGGGCGCCGCCAATGTCGCTCATCTCCTCATCCGAGTCGCTGTCAGCCCCGCCGTTGAGAGCTGCGCCAGCATCCGAGTCGCTATCGACATCCACATCATCCTCGTCGCCGTCTTTGAAATAGGATGGCTTTAAGCCAAGGTTAATCCGCTTGTTCTCGACGTCGACCTTCAGGACACGGGCCTTCACACGGTCGCCTTCATTGTACAGAGTCCTGGCGTCTTGAACCATCCTGTCGGCCATCTCGCTGCGGTGGCAGAGACCAGACAAACGGTCCGAGCCGTCAATGTCGATGAAGGCACCAAACTCCTCCACCTTACGGACCTTACCAGTGACCGTCTGGCCTTCCTTTAGATCCGAAATGGTAATCGGAGGAACGTAATCCTTCTCAACTACAGACTGCTTCAGGCTCATCTCGATACGGCCATCCGCAAGTGAGATGATGCGGCCCTTCACCAATTGATCAACTTGGAAATGTTCCTTCCAATCCTTGAGGTAGGAATCTGAGAGATTCTTGATCTTGACCAGGGCAACGACATCGCCGCCGAGGTTGACGAACAGACCCTTGTCAGATACGTTCTTGACGAAACCACGGATGATGTCGCCAACTTGAAGCTTTGTGTTTTTGGTAATCTCCCGATCCTTTATTGGCAGGGACGAGTTGAGCACTCTTGACGGCCTCATTGAGAGCCTCAGCTTCTTGTTGCTCTTATCCACCTCGACAACGGCGACGCGCACAATTTCGAACTTGGAGTGCGACAAAGGGTTGGCCTCATCGTAGTCATCAGCCAGGTCAGGAAGATGAACAGGCCCGGCCACGGACTCGCTGAGCTTGACAATAACCTGGCGGTCGTTGATCTTGGTGACCTTAGCAGGCAGGACCATACCCTGCTCGATCATGTCCCAGGTGAGTTCATGGGAAGCACCCGGTGTCCGAGCCGATAGGTCGACTCTGCTTTTCTCCTTGTCTACGGAGAGTACCCGAACCTTGAGCGCACAGCCGATAGGAAAGCTCCTTTCCAGATTGGCCAATTTGGACAAATCATTGGAGGCTTCCATGGCACTGATTCTGCCACGGACGTTGGGAGACAGGTTGACCCACAGATAGTTGGAAGCAACATTATTAACGAAGGCGAGGTGGGTAGAACCGACTTCGATCTTCTCGAGAGATAGAGGCTCAGGGAGACTTGGTGCTTGGACATCACTGGGTTTTGCAGAAAGTTCTAGGACCGCATGGCTGGAGCGGTGAGTGATGGGCAGGAACCGGTGATTGCGGGCATCGTGGATGCCGAGGACGCGGACGTCGATAATATCTTTTGGCTTAAAGCGCTTGAGTGGCCTTCTTGGATCAGGGATATCCTCCCACTTATCAAAGATCTGAGACACATCGATACGTCCCTGGATGTTGTCTGCGATTTCGACATTAAGCTGTGTCTCCTTGACTGCCCTGACCCTGGCCTTCGTCAGCTTGCCAATGGTAAGGTCAGCCATGGTCGTCACGGTTTCATCTAAGGGGTTGACGGCCTGGTCGGCGGGCTTTTCTGGCTTCTTCGATTCCTGATCAGCAGCCGATGGAATCGCAACCACCAAGCGACCAAGCTCCTTGTCGATCGATGTGATCTTAACAAGGAGAGACTGGTACTTGTGAAGCCCAAAGTTGGGTTTGTCGTGCCAGTCCTGTGGCATTAGTGACTTGGGAAGGAGGGCCGTCAGCTTGCTGCCGAACTGCACAAAGGCAGCTGAAGCAGTAATATTCCGGACGAAGCCGGGCACCTGCTCCCCAAGACGTGCATCATCGACAGTGGAGATGAGCTTGCCCTCTTTGCCGGCCTGGACAAGACTAGGCTTGTGCGACAAAATAATGGACCGACGTCCTTCGTTCTTCTCAAGGACAACCAGTTCGGTGAGGGTTTGGTTAACGTGGATGCGCTTGAGCGCTGCCTGGGTTTTATTGACCGACTTGTCCGTTAGATGACCTACAGGAAGAATGGCCTTCAATGAACTGTCAATCAGCTCAACGAAGACGTCATCCTCGGTCTTCTGCGTGACTTTTGCAGACACCACATCGCCAACCTGGAGCTTCTTCAGGGCGAGCTGCTTCTCTAGACCAAAGGCAGAAGGATCCTTGCACGAGACGATCAGCCTAGCAACTTCAGGATCGAAGCTGAGAACATAGATGCTGACGGTCTGGCCAACACGGAAGTGCTCCTTGGGATCGTGAATGTAGGCTTCACTCATCTCAGATACAGGGAGGAAGCCGCGCAGCTGCCCGTAGAACTGCACAATGGCACCGTGTTGCAGGACAGCAACAATTGTGCCAAAAGCTTGCATGCCGACAGCCAATTCATCATACGACTTGATTGCTGGGGCATCAGAGTTGACCAGCGTTTTCTTGAGCGTCAACCGTACTTGATGCCTGGCTGGGTTGGTCGACAGAACGCGGGCCTTAACTTTCATGCCCTCTCTGAACTTCTTCTCGGGGTGCTGCAGGTGGACATCAGAAACATGCATCTCAGGTACCAGGCCCGAGATGCCCTCCGCAATCTTGACGATAAGACCACCAAAACCTTGCGTATTAACCACGAGTTTCTCCACCTGACCAGAGACCACAGCTCCAATGGGAATGTCTTCAATGCGTAGGAAGGGCTGTTCAAGGACGCTCTTCTCCAGGGAAAGGAGATAGACGCCATCAAACGAGTTGTACCCAACCACACGGCCCGGATGAACTGAACCAATCTTATACGGGCCGCTGTTCTCAAACAGCGTGTCAATCTTGCCGTCCTTGACTCTAGAAATGTGAACAAAGCCCGACACGCCTTCTACGCCAACGTTAACGTAGAGACCGATACCAGGCTCAACCCGTTCCACCCTGCACTCTTGGATAATTGCCGAGTGGGCAAGGACATCTGTCGGCAGAACTTCCTGTCCATCCTTTGTAGTGGTCTTCGGTTTAAGTGAGAGCACATGCGGCAATAAGGAGATACCCAGCTTTGGCTTGTTCGCGGTCGGGAAGTTGCAGATGACTCTGGCCTTAACGCGAGAGCCCACCTTGTATTGGTTAACCAGATCAGCGCCGTCGGGCCCAGATCCTGAGTGAACGATGTCCGCGGTCACATCCAAGTGGCCCATAACCTTGCCAACCAGGCCATGTGTATGAACTTCAGACACCAGCACTTCGGCAGCAGTACCTGGAAGGAAGGTATCGATAGTGGTAGCCTCAGCTGGGAAGTGCTTGGGGTTGCCTAGCCGGTCCACGAGAGTGGAGAGTTGGACAACCTTGCCGCTAGCAGCCTTGCCTGTCACTATGCAGAGCAGAACAGAGCCCGGCTGTACGGTCTCTTCAGGAATGCTGGGGTCAAGCTGCTTGCGTGGTAAGAACCCCTTGAGCTGGGAGTCTGAGATGCCAATATCCATCACAAAACCGTGGTCCTCGACACTGACAACAGACGCCATGAGCGTGCTGTTCAGAACAATGTCTTGCTCGGACAGGCCGCTATTCGCGTGCGCAGGGTAGAGCGACAGCTCAATGTGACGCCTGGTCTTCCCGGCGACAGACTCGTCTATTGTCGACACGACATAGGCACGCACATATTGGCCGAGATGGACGAATAGATTAATGTCGATGTCGTCAAGGTTATTCTCATCCCCTGATTCTTCCCCATCGCCTTTCTCGCCATTCGCCTGCAGCGCCTGCAGCCGTTGTGTCAAAGACTCGGAGATGGCAGTGATGGGAACGTGGCCAATCAGGTTATTCGGGAGCGCAACGGCAATCTCGAGGGGGCTGATACCACAAATGGTACCAAGGACTAATGAGCCCTTGACTAGGCGCTGTAAAAGTTTAGCTGGCAAGATTTCATGTGGAAGCGCCCGGAGACAACGGGGCGTGTAGGGTTTCAGTGTCATACCTTGAAGTTCAAGCTCTCAATCTTGACCGAATCCTCGTCTTTGGATTTTGTCGCAGGCTCTTCTATCTTTGATTTGCGCTTCTTCTTGGACCTAGCAGCCGTGTCCTCCTTACCGCCCTTCTTTGCTTCCTCGAACAGCACATCCTTCTTCGCCTGGATCGAGATCTGCTTCTGCTCGAGGGGCGTCAAGACGCTGCCGCCGCCACGTGGGAACAAAGGCTCCTCATCCTTGAGAACAGTGACTACTGGCGTTGTAATTGGCTTCGCAACCGCCGGGGTCTTGAGTTGCTTTGCATCCTTATTGCTGTCAATTTTCGTGTCCTTCGTGGTCTCGCCCGACTTCGCACGCTTCGATTTGGAAGCAGAGGAGCCATCGGGGCCCTCCTTTCTCTTCAGCGAACCCATGGTTTGAAAATATGGTATTTTGTTGCAGCAATTGAGGAGCAATCTACTCGAGATGTCTCCTCAGCGTAACTCGCTGCCGCAGCTCAAGAGTGTCGAAGTACTGCTGCTGCGACTGCCGCTAAAGTGAAGCTTTCCCACAAAAATTTCTGGCGGTCTTCAATCTGAACATGCACGATAACGATAAGATGTCTGCGTGGGCCCCACCGCAACCACCAAGTTGGAAGGCGGTCAGAGAGGGGTCCCTGAGATCCACTTTGCATGCTCCCCAAGGTCAGGGGGGTCTTTGCGTCCGCCGATCACTGAACCCAATCACAGGATACAATGACGTCTGCCTCGGGACATCGACATGGGCTCAAGCAGCACGAGAGCATGGCTGGATAAAGACACTATACAATACATTATTTTCCATCACTTGCGCTGCGGGAGCGCGCGCTGCAGTTAGGTCAGAATCTGCAGTTTTGGAGCAAATGAATATCATTTTCAGAAGCAAAAAAGGATGGAAGATATACGCAGTTGATATGCGACACGGAGATAACACAGAGAAGGATCAGAAAATCATGATTCCGAGCAGAGTATATTGTGCAGCGTCTTATCTTGCCCAAGCACATGTCACTTTCCCCTCTCGACGCTTGGGGAAACTGTTGGGGCCATTGGCGGGGCGAGCACAGTCTCATTAGCAAAAAGACATAAGCGGTCTCATTCCCGCTCCCACAACGAAGCGCCACGAAAGACACACACGCTCTAACACAAGGCAGCTAGCTGCCTGGACTCTAAACCAGTCACTGGCTGCCCACGCGACCAAGGACCACGCGCCGAGAAGCTTCTGAAATAGCCCGCTGTCAGTGCTCGATGTTCGCCATGGGTTCCCGCAAACGGGCCAAGCAAAACCCTACGGCGGAATCGAGCACGCCGCACCTATCGCCCGCCATGTCGTCGCTGGCGTCGCTGTCGGCCAAAGCCGCGTCAAAGTCATCGAAACTCCAAACTCCTGCCACAGAAGAACCTCCTGCGACGCCGACAACCGCCACTCCATCAGTGCCAGGCACACCGCGATCTTCAAAAGCGGTAGCCAGCAATGGCGATGCTACGCCTTCTGCGAAACAGGCATGCAACATCCAACCTCCTAGCTTTCCTTCCTCTACCAAACCTCTGCAGCAGAAGAGCTGACCTGCCGGTAGGTCCAAAAAGCACGAAGCTGGTATGGATCATGGCCCCGGGTACCCAAATCTTCAGCATCAACACAACTGGCGCGAGAAACGATCATGGGCGGCACCGCGAACCCGGCGGGGGTCGCCGACTTCAGTCGGCTTGAGTCAAAGAAAACCCCCGATAGCATGAGTATTGTCGATGACGCAACGTCGCCCACCACAACATTGTCAAAGGCGCCAAAAGAAGGGGGTAGCGTAGGGAAAGCAAGAATAGAGCAGCATTCTAGGGATTCTTCAGCCCCATCTGTAGCCGAGGCTGTGGTGAACCACGAAAATGAAGCAAAAGCCGAAAATGGGGTTACACAGCTGGTCAGCAACAATGACGACCTCCCGAAGACCAGTCCTCCTGCGGATCAACAACAGCCGACCGAATCACCCGCCGAAGCTCAACCGACCAGCATCGTTGAACCTGCACCGCAAAAGCCAGCTTCCGGCTGGTTCTCATGGCTGGGCTGGTCGTCGAATCCAGAAACTACTGCGTCGAAGCATGAGCCGGTCTCTGAGCCTTCTACACAGAATATTGGGGACCCCGCTGTTGTTGGCGCGAACTCTTCACAAACCGCAGCCCCTGAAGCCAATAAGGCTGAGCAATGCACCGTGCAGGCTACATCGCAGCTCGAGCGGAGGGATGAAACCCCTTCCCAAGTCTCTCCTCAAGATCATTCCCAAGCCCCAGAACAGGAGTCAACACCAATGGCTCCCAAAAGTTCATGGTTTTGGTCTTGGTCGTATAGTTACTGGGCTGCCCCTACGCCCTCCGCTACATCAGCACAAGCAGAACAGTCGCCAGGGACCGAACAATCACAGGACACAAAACAGCCACAGACTGTTGTTCCCCTTTTGTCTCCCCAGGAGCAACCCAAAGATAGAGTTGTCGAGGAGCATTCCACTGCTAAACCCAGCTCAGAGACACCTGCTCCGCGATCTAGGTCGGGAACCACATGGGCCTTCTGGTCTCGCGATACAGGCTCTGGGTTAAAGAAGGGAGCTGTTCAGCGAGGTGAACAAGGTCAACTGGCTGTTATGGGAGAGAGTTCAGAAACACATCCCAGGATAGTCAACTCTGTGGATGTCAAGGGGAATGAGGCTCCGGTGAAAGAACCTACACTGAAGGCCGGCCAGAAGGATCAGCAAAAGGACCAGAAGAAGGAACAAAAGAAAGACCAACATAAGGACCAACAGAAAGATCAGCAGCAGGCGAAGGTTGATGCTTCTGCTCCCTCACAAGACGTTCCTAAGCCAGCCACCCGGGAAACATTTAAGTCAAGCAACAAACGTGGCCGTGTGCAGTCAACGGAGGCTGTCCCTGATGCCTCTATCCCCGTTCCTCCCAGCCCTCCGAAACCGGATGCTGCAGCCCAGTCTGTGTCTTCCAAGGCTCCTTCAATTTCTATAAAGCCAGCCCCGCCGAATCTTCTCCTACCGTCGTTTACTAGCACGTATCGGCTCAAGGAGAGCCCTTCTATTTTGAAGCAAATTGCTCGATTGGTGCTGAGAACACAGAGTTCCTCGCAGAGGCATGTTTTCATTACCAATAACCCTCCCAAGATCAAGAAAGCTCTGGCTATCGGCGTCCATGGCCTGTTCCCTGCCCAGTATTTGCGTGCCATGCTGGGGCAGCCGACAGGCACCTCGATCAAATTTGCCAATAACTGTGCTGATGCCATCAGGAGGTGGGTCGATAGCCACGGCTGCAGCGACTGCGAAATCGAGAAGATCGCCCTAGAAGGGGAGGGTAAGATTGGTGAACGTGTGACAAATCTGTGGAAACTCTTGATGAACTGGGTAGACCTTATACGTCAGGCCGATCTGGTCATCTTTGCGTGCCATTCTCAGGGCGTCCCTGTTAGCATGATGCTACTCGCGAAGCTGATTGAGTTGGGCATAGTGAAGACAGCTAGAGTGGGTGTGTGTGCAATGGGTAAGCATCCTTGGTTCTTTTTACCCATGACAGGCATTATATCTTGCTGACGGACGATTAGCTGGTGTGTCGTTGGGTCCCTTCCCTGACTACCGGTCAAGTGTTGGCAGGCTTATGGGTTCAGCTGCTGAGCTCTGGGAGTTTTCTGACCCTAACAGTGAAGTCTCGAAGCGCTTGGAGTCAGCTGTCAAGATCGTGCTTGCGTATGGGGCTCGTGTCACATATATTGGCAGTATGGATGACCAGCTGGTTCCATTGGAGGTATGCCGAGGGTCGGGGAAATCTGTAAAAGAGAACAACTCTAACAGTATTTCGTCCAGTCTGCCATCTATGCGCCTGCCCATCATCCATATATATTCCGCGCAGTTTTCATTGACGGCCGGATCCATGCCCCTGATTTGTTGGTCTTCCTTCCCAACTCTGAAAAACGACCATAACTCGTTTTAACTAACTTGCAAAAGTATCGCCCACTTAGTCGGCTTCGCCCTTAAACTCCGGAACCTCGGTGTTTCTGACCACGGCCTAATCCGCGAGCTCTCAGCCCCGCTGGCTGGCAGCCTGTACTCAGGAGAGGGCCACTCGCGGCTCTACGAAGACCCGCAGCTGTACGATCTGGCAGTAGCGCACGCGCTCGAGACGACCGATATCAGCGGCGGCTCCCCTCCTTGCGAGTTTCGTCCGCGCGCCCCGGGCGGTCTGTCGAACCCGAACCCGTACCATCTGCCGTGGATCATGCGCGGCCTGCTCGAGGAGGAGTTCGTCAAGACCGAGCTGGCAACTGAGATGCGCGAACTCGTCCAGCAGTTTGACGACTGGAAGCCTGTTACTAAGGCATTGAAGGACGTCAAGTACCGGCTGGAGGCCGTCAGATCGAAACTGTGAACACACCTTCTAGCGTTAACCTGTGGGATTAACTTGTCTTCTGCTTGTTAGAATGAGGTTTGCAGGACCGTTGAGTGGACAAGGTACGTGTCTTTTTTTTGTGTAAACCGGATTTCACTTCTGCATTACCTGGCGTCTGGCGGAAGGTATATTTGATTTCTCTCCTCAGCTACGGTGTTGGAGCGTTGATGGCGCTTGGTGTGTGGTTCTTGGGCCATCATGGGTACCTAGAGGTAGACATCTAAGCGTATTGTATCTAGGTAGGACAAGAACAGTTAAGCCGCGCAGCAAATGGAGCTCTTATTTTATTAGAGAGCAACGTGTACATAAGCAAGGGAGAATGTGGTTCGGAAGTAATACATGTCTAATCTTATTGCCTTCATTCTTCTTCAAACCCATAGACCGTGCCCATATGTATCCCTAATCAAGAACATTCCCCCTGTATCCGTGGGTAAGAATCTACTTAGGATGTATGCATTGCCTGCCCCATGGCGGACCTGCAGAATACCTTCTACATCCGTCGACTCTAGCTCCAAGGATCGTGCGCATCATCTATACATAACCCAAAGTAGTCTGTACACATACAATATCAAAATTACGCATTGATCACGGATCACCCTCTCCTCTCCTGTTTTCACACACACACACACACACACACACACACACACGCACGCACGCACGCACACACGCCACCCCTCTTACCCCAGTCAACCGATCCTTTCACTGCCTGCCAAGCTTCCACTGCCAAATGATCTCCTGTATCTGCTCCCACGACATCTTAGTCGTGGTAATACCATGGGCGGTAGCCTCGTGCAGCACGACCGTAGGAGCGCCACTACCCTTCCCAGGGTTTTCAACCAACCCGCCAACCACCATGCGAGCGACACGACGCAAGTCCTCAACGGTCAGAGCATTGATGCGGCGTGTCATCTCACGCACAGGGATCTTGCGGCCATGGACCTGGACCTGGCGGCCGAGATCCTCCAGCTCAACCATGCGGCTCTCTAGGTTCATCAACAGACTGCTGCGCAACTGGTTTTTCGCGCGGGCCACCTCGATCGGGTTCAGCGCCGCGTAGCCCGTATCGACTGTCAACGCGTGCAGCTCACGGCACATGACCTGCAGCATGGACGCCGTGCGGCCAGGGTAGCACGACGCAGCTATACCAAAGAGGCCCGAGTCTGTGTACGAGTGGTTGAATGCCACACACGACTCGACCCAGCCGTGCTGGTTCAGCACGTTGGTGTAGAGCCGTGAGTACATGCCCTTGCCGGGCCCGCCGGCTGAGAAGGAGCCACCACCACCAAGAAGGGTCTGGAGCGTGGCCAGGGCGTAGATGTCATCGGATGAAATGGGGAGGCCCTCAAAGGCGAGCTGGATGTGGGTGAAGGTCGGGAGATTGGGGTTAGTCGGCGGCGGCTGTGGGGGGAGGGAGAGGAAGCCTCCCGTGTAATGGGCCGGACGGCTGAGGTCTTCAGGAGTAAGAGGCGTAATAGAGGTAGGCCGGGAAGATCTGGGAGAAAGATTTTTGAGGAAAGGTATTTTGGACAGAATGCCGGAGGATTGTGACGAATCTGTTGAAAATGAGTCGAAAGATGTGGTTGATGAGTCACTAGCTTGGGAGCTGAGCGACGTTTCGGATCCTGTTCTCGGGAGTTGAGGTTGTGATGGCTCCATATCACCAAAGTACTTTTGAGCTAGCTCGACAGCCTGCTCATGCGGCACACCAGCAAATGCCACCACGATGCGCTCTGGTTTGTAGAAGGTCTCCCTGTATGCCTGGATGACATCGCGGTTTATCTCACCCAACCTCTCTTGGGGGCATAGCAAGGGGTTTCCGAGAGTATTGTCCTTGAAGGCGGCAGTGTGAAGGAGCTCGGGTAGGATCAGCTCCGGTTTAGCCCAGATCTCGCGGACCTCGTAATCGGCCGTCTCGAGCTGCTGCTCCAGCTCCTCATCAGTAAGCCTCGGATCGCGGATAGTCTCGGCCAGCAAGCCAACTGTGGTTGGAACGGCAGAGTTGAAGGTAGCTGCCTGGTACATCATAGATTCTCGGGACGACGCGCACTGAATGTTGCCGCCCAGCTTCTCAACAGTTTCGATCATTTCATCGGCAGTCCTCGATCCGGTCGATTTGAACGCTAGTCGATCCATGATGTGGCTAGCGCCCCGCAGTGACTCGTTCTCATAACGGGAGCCGGCATCGATGTAAACACCAACGCCGGCAAAGGCATCGGGAAGGTCCTCGGAGGCTACACGGACGCCGTTCGAAAGGGTAGTTATCTGGTCACGCTCTGTCGGCTCCTAAACCAGCAGTTAGAGTATGTGGCATGCAGGCAAGGAAACTCTCGGCTCTCAGGACAAAGCCGAAGGGGAGGAGAGGGGTTCATTGCTTGCCTTGGGAGGCTGGACAACCCGGATAGGAGGGGCACGAGACTTTGTGGCAAGCGACCTCCTGAGGATACCAGGCTCGACAAGAGAGCACGGCACGCGGGGCCGACTCAGCAGGAGCCTCGCTGGCCGACAAGTTCTGAGCATGGCGACGGCGGCAGTGGCAGCGGCAATGATAGTTGTCTGCCAGCGGGACCCAGTGCGATTGCGTCGTGGAAGCCGGGAACCGAGTAAATGGGCTTTTCGAAGTTTCTTTTGCCCCAGCGCGTACGCGTGCTGATTGAGGTTCGAGGACTGCAGGCGCCGTGACTGGGAGTCTCCAGCAGCCGACCTACTGGTCCAGCCGTCGATACTTTCGCATTTGCGTCGTGTTTACGCTTATCGATAAGAACCCCCCGGTTTTGTCTGTGCCTTCTCTTGGCGGACGTCGGGGCTCTGCAGCCCCAAACCCGGGCAGAGGTCGTGTTACATAATCAAGCACAGGGGTGGCGGAAACAGACGCAGCATCCGCAAGTCACCATCAAACATCGATCGGGAGCTGGAACCTCAAGATCGACATAGTTCATGGCAATGCAATTCTGAAGGCTGGACCAAGCGTGCACTTGTGTTTCGCGATGCTGCTTCGGCAGTTCCAGAAATCTTCAAGAGATAATGTACCCAAGTCTGCATGCTTTGTCACATTATTGCATTGCCGCATCGATGGCCATATCCAGCTTTGTAGCAAAGAAAGACCCGATGATGCTGGCTCGCTACATCACTGCAACAGTAAATAAGCTGTTTATGGAGAGGAAGGTATGCCTATGTGAAATGAGCGGATCGAATGCCAATCTACCAGTCTTAGTGCCTAGGTTTACCTGTCCGATTTTTCAATGAGTCGGGACTGCCCGTCATGGGAACGGTGGAATAGCCGCATGTTTCCCAACATTCACCTTTTCCTTTGTCCCAATGAGGCAAACTTCCAGACACCCGTTTTCTAGAAGGCATCGGCTGTTGTTTACTCACAGGAGGGAAGGAAATGGTGACTGAATGCATCAGGAATCAGAATCCAAGTCCGGATCGCCTGACCCCATCAGACCATCCCCCACGCCCACTACACCCAGCGTGTCGGTCCCAGCAATCAGCGTGTTCAGGTTTCAGGTTGCTTGCCTTCCCCCACTGTGCAAGTGACCGCAACAAGTGACCCCAATGCTCCCGGGCGCCCAGGAAGTCGCAGCAACCTGCGAACCCCGCCGAGTCACAAGCAAGGCGTCGGCCGTCTCCCCGACCACCACCAGTTACAAGCGCCGATTGACCTTGGAAGCCGAGCGCGCAGCCAGGTTGTCGAGATCAGGGCCGGATCCGTCATCGTCATCAAAGCGTTTGTTGCTTAAAGTGCAAAAACACCTGAGATACCTTCAGAGCACCTGGACCATCGTCGTCACTTGTGATCCGCTTTTGGGCTCTTCTTGCGTACATGCACAGTACACAGTACGCTTAATTACAACTCTTACTGCCTGTCATCTGTTCGCTCCGACCTGAACGCGACCCACTCCTCCAAGACATCCATTTCCAGTCTGTTTCCAGAGATATCCAGTGTCTCACCCCGTCTGCAGTCTAAAGCGGAATCACCGCCCAACTCGATCTGCTCGCCCGCCGTTGGCGACACACGCGCCGCTTGTCCCCGGACCACAGAGCGCCGGGACATCGACATCATATCCAAATTTTTTTTTGCTCACCCTTTACCTTCCCTTGGCACTTAGCTTAACTCTTGCCGCCCGGAATCAGAAACTTCGGGCCGATCCAAGAAACCAAGAGATTTCCAAGATCTCCGATCTCCTGGCACCACAGGACACAGGCCCGTTGCTTGACTTCCTTCCAAGTGCTATCGTTCTATCCCACCTGCGCAGTACGGCTTCGCAGTCTCACGGTCTCGGTCGTCGACTCCTCCGCTTCTCGTTGGTTCGTTGGCTGCTGCTGAGCGCCTTGGGCCCAGCCTCAACCTTCCAGACCGTTCGCTCGGGCACCGGCTGGCTGTAAACAGGTGCTCTCCCTAGACCCCTAACGGCGCGGGCGAATCAGAGCCAGTCGATTCTTCAGGCACTCGACCTGGCGCACTGCCGCAGACCGCATAGCTGCCCTTGTCAAAGGTCGCTAAACAAGCAAGCACGTCAGGTCCCCCTCTTAGGGACTTTGTTCTCCGTATATAGCCTGCTTCGTCAATGTTTACGCATTCTACGACCTCGCCCACGAATCCAGGGCCCAGCAACGCTGCTGTTTCGTCCGTATCTGCATCGCCGGTATCGACAACCCCCACCAGGACAAGTCGCCTCCGCGGCCTTAGCCTACTCCGAGACTACGCCCAATCACACCTTCTCTCTCGTGACGGGCACGGCTCCCATCACGCCCACGCCCACACCAACGGGCATACCCATTCCTCTGCTTCGACTTCCGCCCACTCTACCTCGCAGCCAACAGTCCTATCGGGTACCAGTTTGAGCACATCCGCAGCAGCTTCTACTAGCAACAATAGCCATACACACCCCTCATCGACCCGAGTTCGGCTCTCACAGTTTGTTCCTGCTCTGGCGCACCCGCTTGGGCAGTCGCCTTCGTCCGATCCAACGAGACACAATAGCTGCACCTCTCCGGAAAATATCAGGGCAACCGACTCTTCCGCTCTCCCGGTTCCTTCAATACCTCCCAGCCTAACGCCTGGAGGCTCTTCTGATACATCCTTTCCCCCAACAAGCTACGACAGTCGACCACAGGCCGAAACAATGTCAGGGACGACGTCAGGTACCACATCTTCATCAAATTCAACACCGGGGCCCAGCAACTTTGACCATTTACCCTCCATTCGATTTAGTGCTTTCATTGATCCTCGCTCGCCCCGGCCCTCTCTGAAGTTCAACCCCATCTCGAGAACCCTCCCAACCGGCAAAGAGGTCATCCGTGTGGGCAGGTATTCTGAAAAGGAGAATTATCCCCCTGTTGCCCCAAATCAACCCTCAGCAGCGCCCGTCGGTTTTAAAAGCAAGGTAGTTAGCCGGCGACACTGCGAGTTTTGGTTCGAGAATGGCAAGTGGTATATCAAGGACGTCAAGAGCAGCTCAGGGACATTCCTCAACCACATACGTCTAAGCCCCCCAGGCACCGAATCGAAGCCTTTCCCGGTAAACGATGGCGATATCGTCCAGCTAGGCATTGATTTTAAAGGAGGGGAGGAGGCCATATTCCGCTGTGTCAAGATGAGGCTGGAGTTGAACCGTGGTTGGCAGAACAAGCTCAACACCTTCAAGTACGTACCAACCAGTTTTTTCTGCTCTCCACTCCATGCTGACAGACTCCCAGTATGGAAACCCATAAGAGGCTGCGTAATTTGACTGGGAGTGGGTATTCCCAGGACTGCGCAATTTGCCTTAACAGCATCGCGGTAAGCTAGAACCTGAAGCGTGTTGAATGAGATGTGTATTAATATCATTCCCCTGCAGCCATGCCAAAGCCTCTTTGTTGCTCCATGTTCCCATACGTGGCATTACAAGTGTATCAAGACACTCTTGAGCGGTCCACAGTATCCGATCTTTATTTGCCCCAACTGTCGTGCTGCAGCCGATCTCGAGGCAGAGGTTGAAGACCCTGAAGATTGGGAAAAAGTAGAGGCTGAAGAGTTTGGCAAAAACGCCTTGCCTTCCAATGGAAACTCCGAGAACAACACCCCTGCTGCATCGAACCAACAGCCACAACAGAGGCAGCAGCCCGTTAGCCCGGAAGTCAACATGACTGACGCGCTACCGGTTCAGCAAAATGTTCAGACGAACGGCCATGCTTCAGAGAATTCGTCGACATCCATGCCTATACCTATCAACAGTTGCAGCGGCACGCGACGAACCCCATCTCCTGGTGGTGGTGATGGTGGAGGCCGCCTGGGTACGGCGAATGGCAACCATGAGGGTCCCATCACCCCGCGTAACGATGCTGGGCCGTGGGTATTTGATGGGCATGGCGAACGGAACAGACCAAACAGCATCGCTGCGGCTGTGCTGGCAGCTGCCGCCCGGAATCCTAGGCTTTTCTCACGAGAGAACCAGCAGTCATGACGTGTTGGAGGATATGCGCAGTGTTGCGTGACTTGAGGTTACACAGAAGATTGTGGAGAGAGTGGATTTGAGTTATGAAGAAGGGCTTGGATCCCAAAGACGATCTTGCACTCTTTCATGGGTATTCCCAGAGATCTGATCTGTTTCCCCTTCTTTTCATCATCATTCCACTCGCCCTTTTCCTCTGCTTTCTTTACCTCTTTATGGAGTTTCGTAGCCCTGCATCTCAACCCCCCACACACTCCCACACACTTACATAGGACAAGATCAATTGTTTTCCGGATCATTTTGGTGGGATGTTACTTAAGACATTCTGCGTGGTGATTGACAATACGCATCTCTTTGCTTTTGTCAAGTGCACTACACAACACTAGGCACATATGTCATTTGCTGGAGTTGAGGTGTTCTGGCGCGAAGAAGGATGGACGGTAGTTGGCGGTTTTTGACAGAAGGAGGGCGTCTGGCTTTTTCTGGTTGCATTTCTTTTGAGAGTCTTCCTGCTTTCGCATTCATTCCTTCATTTGGTGGTTTATTTATGTGCAGTTTCGGGCTTGCTTCAGTGCGCTAGCGAGGTTGGCAGCCGCTTTTTCTGGCTGCTAAATACCATTAGATTTAGGTCTACAAAGTTGTCTGTCCCCTGCTGTGGTCGGTGTGATGAATTTGTGTTTTTGACATGTCTTCCTGACTGCGCTGTTTCAGAGCATTGATGACTGGTGTGAAGCACCATAAGGCGTCCTGAATTTAGCCGAGTCTTGGATAATATGGACATGAAGTGAAATGGATGATCGCGACTGGTACTGTCCAGCAAAGGCAAAAGGAGAGATTTAGATCAGGAATCTTCATTCCCTAAGGACTAAGGACCTCACTTTCGTAGACTTGCCTCTTCGTTAAATGTACTTGAAGCTATGGTAGATGAATTTATATCTTCCCATTATGTGCCTGCCTACCTACAATATGGAGTTACTGACTTCAATACTCATGCCAGCACAATCCAAACAGCAGGTACAAGGTATCTTCTTATTTCTTGAACACAGTAGCCCCAAGCCTCTCGATCTCCCTACCCTCGGCCGTATTCCTGCCCGCAGCCTCAAGCAACCTGTTCCATGCCTCAGTATCCTTGAGTCTGACGGCCTCTTCGGCAGCCTTGACCCGCATCCCACATTTTTCATACATGGTGATGGTCTGGCCGGGTTCAAGGTTGGTGCACTTGGGTATGAAGGTAGCTGCTAGTCGAGGATTGCCAGCTTGCAAGACCTGGTTGAAAAACGGCTGCATTATCGGGGTTAGCTGGGCCAGGTAAAGCTGTGAAGGAGTAGTAATGGGGAGTTAACATACCTCCCAGCCGATAGGGCTCTTGCGCTGGCGGGATATCTCCTCAATCTCGTTCCAGTCGCGTTTGGCCACAAGCGCTTGTAGTCTGCATTGTGGAGGTTAGCCCCTGAACGAAGATCTACACGAGAACGACTACTTACCGAATCCACCAAGCCACCCTTTCTGGCACTTTGAACTCGCTCTGGATTTTCTTGGCTCTCCCATGATACCCAAGTTTAATCAGTTTGAACATGGTCTGGTTCACTGACAGACCCACAAAACTATCTGTCAAATCCCGTTCAAACGTCTCTTGCATACGTAATAGCATCTTCGCTTCCTTCAGAGCTCCGAGCTCAAATACATGTTCCTTCTGGTTGCCTTGCAGCAGGTTCGCTGCGAGGTCAAGCTTGTCGCTGGCAGTCCGGGTTTCTGGCTGTTGCAACGCTTCGCGAATGAACACCGAAGCACCGTCTAAACGACGGTCGTCCTGGTAATACAAATCTTTCAGGAGCGCAGTATCCTCGTTTCCATCGCCATCACTGTTGCGTGCTAGGGCCTCAACCATAGCGCTAGCAGTTGGTCGGCTGCTTACGACTCGGAAGAAGGAAGCCAGGGGTAATTTTCGCCTAAGCTGGTGGATGACAAAGTAGATCAAGTCCGTGTCGCCACTTTCGATGGCTTTATCTAGGGCAAGCTCATCCTCTTCCATGCTGAGTAGCAGCGGAACCTGACGTCCCGCACGTGGCTCATGATTCAAGAGTTCGGTGGCCAATCGTGTTCTTCCTTCCTCGTACGCTGTCCGGGCAATCACTTCAAAGGAGATGCCTGGCTTTCCGGATAACTTCTCGACGATCTTTCGGCAGATAGTATCATCATCCTCGGATCCGAGCCTCACTTTTGCTGAGGCCCAATGGACATGGATCTTATCTGTAGGTAGACGGAGATGGTCGGCAATACGTATAGCCAAGAGGTACTCATGACGATTCAGTAAGCGAGAGATGAGGCCTGATGGCGAAAGGCGCTGGTATTGCTCGTAGGAGAGTGGTAGGCCAACCTCGTAGAAACGGACTGCATTCAGGACACGCAGGGTTTCGCACATATCGACAAAGTCATCGCTGTTGTAGATGTCTAGAACGGACTTACCGAAAGAAGCCGCCTTGAGAAGCTGTTTTTGCCAGTGTATACTGAACTCCTGACCAGCAGCGCTCACGCATGTGTCCACAGCCTCAACAAGGTGAGGACGGATCAGCTGAATGTTGTCATCCGCTTTGGGGGATTTCATCTCTAGCTGTTCAACAGCATCAAGGAGAATGGACGCCGGTGAGTCAGCGCCTAGACCGAAGACTTCCTCGATGACATCAGGCACCTTCTGAAGGAAGTCGCATCTATCGTTGGCCAATATCCTAACCCCATCAAAGTCTGGAATGTTGTCAGGTGGGTACATCTAAAAGTAAGTCTCAAGAAACCACTGACCAGGAATAAGGTGAATCCGGCCACTGTCGTAGAAGAAGCGAGCCAGCGAACCACTGGGACCCACGAGATGGACCTCGTCGTCCCAGGCAATGACAACAGCATCATTGCCACACCATTCGAAGTAATTCGGAGCAATTTTCGACTTGGTGTCATGCTCACTTAAACGGGACTGAAAGTCGCTGGTGATGACATGAACCTTGCCAGTGGTTGTGTACAAGGCACAGAACCTGCCATTTGGAGAAACGGCGATGTGGCTGAAGGGGCCGATGTCTAAGAAGCGGTCCTCGCACTCGGAAGCATCGCATACGTAGATGGTCTGGTTGACACTTAGTAACACCTCGACTGACCGCGAGAGGGAGTAGGCCGGCGGTATGATGTTCCAGGAATAAACTCGCCCTTCGGGGGGTGAGGCGAGGAGCTTCGGGCGGGGCTCATCATAAGAAGAAACAGATACCAAGGCATTGTTGCCCAGCAGGGCTACCAAGCCATGAGAGTAGAATCGGCAGGACTTAACACCATGCTCCTCAGCACCATGACCGAGAGAGAACTGTGTGAACTCGCTTTGCAAGTCGAAGTAACATCTGACGGTGCCGTCGACCATAACAATCAGGAGCTTCTCATCTTCAGACCAACCAACTCCCTTTATGGGGCCCTGATCCCAGCTTATACGCCTGAGAAGCTTCCCCGAAAGGCTGCAGATGTCGATAGTTGGCCGGGAAGACCTTGAGGGTTGGTAAGCGACCAACTTCTCGTCATCGCGGTACAGCGCTGCGCAGTGTCCAAGCTGGTCAGAAGTGCCTCGAGGTTCAGAGACGGAAGTCCCTTGTGGCGGGCATCAGCGAAGCAAACCAAAGCAGATCAACTTACCAATGGCGCCGCCGTAAGGAGCACCGGTAACAATGTAGTTGTCCAGGTCAAAGTCCTGGTCGAAGACCTGGGTGTATAATTGGATCTTGCGGTAGAAGCGCTCACCGAGCTGTTCCCAGCTTGCTGTGGGATGAGCAGTATCCATGGTGCTTTGTCATTTCCCCATGCTTCTATGACTTTTTGAAAAAAAAAAGAGGTAAAGTTTTTACAACGGCAGTTGAGAGTGAATAAAGGGGACTGATGGCGGGACAAAGCTGGTGTCGAGATGCTTAAGTCTCGCGGGAGCCTGAGCTGAAGCTGCAAGGGTTGGGAAAGCCTGTATTGTTCACACTGTATACTGTCTCTGCTTGTGCAGACCCACTCTCCCAGCAGCTCCACTGCCGCCCGAACCACAGCTAACCGCGGGGTAGGACACTTACAGGGTACGTGCCCCTCCAAGCATGATAACCTCCTGTTCCAGTGCTTAGAAAAAGGCGAGCAACTTACCTACCTTACATAGCAACTGCAAGTTGCAGCATATCTGAGCCACGACGAGGGCATTTTCAACCTGCCTGCTGTTGGAGGTGGCTTTCTCCTACGAACTCTCACCTCTTTGTGCCCATCGCGCCAACAGGCAGACTCCAAACATGTCGGACTGGAAACAAGAATATCTTCAGGGCATCAGGAATGCCGAAAAGCAACACCACCCTATCGACCGTGAGCTCGTAACAGCTTGTTCGTTCCCCAGCTCATCCATCTTTGACCACAGGTGCCTCGGATAAGCAAACAGCCTGCCTGGGTCTTCGCTTACACAAGTCCACTGACGGCTCATCGCTAGATTCTCAGCTGGTTGACCGGATTGCAGTGTTGGAAGCTGAAAAAGCTGCCCTCCAAGCCCAAGTAGAGAGCGCAGCTGCATCGTCTCCTGCCACTGCTCCCGCACCTGCCCCAACCTCCTCCGGCAAGGTCTCGCCTGCACCGTCTGCGTCTCCTAATTCCAGTTCCGAGGAAGGCCAACTCATTGCGCGACTCCGTCTCGAGCTCGCGGAAGCCCTTCGGTCCAAGGGCCAGTTCCAGCACCGGCTGGAGATTGCCGAGCAGGAGCTCTCCCGCTTGCGTGCGAAGACAACTGCTGATTCGAAAACTATTCGCGAGCTGACCGCTGAGCGGAAAACTCTGACCATCAAACTCAGGGACAGGGAGGAAGAACTACGCGTGAAGACCAAGATGATCGCCGATGTCCAGGACGAACTAGCTGTGCTCAACATGCAACTCGATATGGTCGAGAAGCAGAGGGCAGAAAAGGAAGCTGAGAACAAGCAGCTCATCGACCGGTTCATGAAGCGAGTTGGCGAAGAGGCCGAAGCTTTAAATCTGGCAAACGAGCCCTTGTTCAACAGAACAAGGTGAGAATCAGAAAGAGATTCATATTTTGCTTCTTCATAACTCGCAGCAGGCATCGTCTGGTTAGACGGATGCCAAATGCTATAAAGGTGTTAAGGTACGTAACATACATCAGGCATAATACCGAACCCCTCACCTAACCCATTTTAAGCCCTGGATATGAAACACATAACATCTGGGTACTCGCATTTACAGCAGACCGCCTCCCTACCAATAATATGTCAGAAAATGTTCCCGTCGGCTTTAACCGCCTTAGCCAAAATCACATGCGCTAACCCATCAGAGGAGGAACTTCATTTCCTCGTTGAGATGCAGAACGTTCCCGGTGCAGCCGTCCAGCTGACATAGCCTTCTGGATATGTCAGGTGTTCGACCTCCAGTATGGTCGAAGCAACATCGTTCTCAGCGATCTTATTATCATGGACAAAGGTCTTGAGTGAAACGATCTTGCAGCCAACCTTCAGGTCCAAGAACATATTGACAAGATGGTCGTTGAGCTGGGAAGTGAACGCCTGGTTGTTCACGAGAACCACATCCGCCCGCTTGAGCGCCTCCAGTGTGGCCTCGTTCTTCCGGAAGTCACCGCGTTCCAAACGGACCTTGCCTGGCGCTAGACCCCATAGACGACAGCGAACCAAAAACTCTTTCTCCTGCGCATCGGCTAGGTTGCACGCGTTCTCCATCATCTCACAGCCCCAGCTCTCGCAACCCCTCTCAAGTGCAGCCTGAAGCGTAACATTGCCGACACCCGAACCGAGGTCGACAAATACCATGTCCGACGTCAGTCTGGTCCGGTCGAAAATGTCAGAAATGAAAGGATGGAGGAGTTCGCCATAAACGTTGTCACTGCCATTTTCATACTTGGCAAGCAACTCCACTTTGGGAGCCACGGTTCTGTCATAGACCTGATCAAGAATAAAGGCGACCAGTTCCCGAGGTACGAAACGCATCGAGTCGATGTTCTTGGCAAAAACGCCGGCCTTCTGAAGAGCCAGGACCCGCTTGTTGTAATCCTCGAGTGCAGCCTTAAAGCCGTTGCCGTCGTTTGTATTCTTGCTCTTTTCTAATCGACGGTAGATGCCGTTGTTAGGGTCCAGGAAGGGCTGCGCTTGTTCATCGGTGAGGTAACATGTCGCCACGAGCTCCACGACTTTCATAATATCGGCCGCTGCGTCAATCTTGTCCTTACCCCAGACAAGCTGGTATCTGAAGGAAACGATCAGCATGATTTCAACAGCCAACTTCAAGTAAGAGCGGCAGATAAGGCGTGTTCTTACTTTTCGAGGACATTCGCCCCAGGATATCGCAACTCCACGTCGACCTCATACCTCTCTAACCCCATCACTGGCACGCATTTATCCTGCAATGATGCGACCTCGACCGCGTGTATAAATTTCATCTCGTCTTGCTCTTCTTCAGCGGCTTCGGCATTTCCCAACCATAGCGCCGGGTGTCGCAATCGCCGGTCAGGGTCCTCGGTCTCTGTTCGTGCCCGCTTCCGCCGCCGGGTCGGGTCCAAACGATCGCGCCAGTCATCTTCCTCTGAATCAGAATCGGAGTCGCTAAACGCAGGGCTTTGTTTCACAGCTGCTGGCGATCGGCTCTTTCGCCCATTGGCACTTGCTATGGCAACCTTGCGCTTCTGACTCTTGGGCACCGCGGACTCTGGCGATGAGGAGCTATGCAGGCGCTTGACCGGTTTTGTAGTGGTTGCAGACGACGAAGCGGGGACATTGGATGGCTTAGACAATGGGCGCGGCGTGTTATTAGTGCTGGCTGGGAGTGATGACAATGAGGCTACCGACGTAGGTTTTGTCACGGGCTTCGACGCCGTTTTTTTCGGCGCAGGCTCGACTGCTTGGATAACCTTGCGCACTTCGGTCTTGACTTTGAATTTGGATTTTTGGTTAAATATACTCATTTTCTGCCGATATCCTTGCGCCTTTTGTAGTTATGTCACCTTGAGACGAATACAATTCTGTTTTAGGTGTGCGAGGAAGTCTGTCGGCTGCGCCGAGACGGATGATGTTGAGCCGGGGTGACGCGTGCCGTCGCGGTCAGCTCACTAATGCAAGCGAGGTGGGGGAGGGAACGATGGGAGTGAAAGAATGGTTCTTCCAAGGAGGAGGTTGAAGGGAATATGAATGAGTGTGAGGGAAAAACAACGCGAAACAAGATGTTGTTGCAGGGTAGAGAGCGAAAGATGAGGACAAGCAGCTGCGTGGGGTTGGGGCAGGAGGACCCTGTGATGGTCGAGGGAAGAGGTGATGCAGGGTCGTGATGAGGCGGACCAATCTTTTCCCCACTGGCACGCCTTGCAGCAATGCCCCGGCTGCCGCCCATCATTGGAGAAGCAGGACTATGTATGTGAAGTCACGTGCGTGCACTTTCACCCTGCAGATGCGCACGGATCGTGCCAAAAAAACTATATAAACTTCAAGACTCAGCCCAAATTTTGCTCCTGTTTTCTTCTTTTTTCCTCAGCTCTCTTTGCCTTTTGGCTTAGATCAAGTGTAGTATCTGTTCTTTTCAGTTTAATCTCTGAAACTGCTCTACGGAGCAGAATCGTGATTATACTAATTTTTGGCCCTCGGCGGACTTCCCTCTGGGCTTGCCCATGGTCGTCTGCCACAGTGTCCCTGGTATTACACTGCCTCCAGGCGACGCGACTTTGCTTTTTTCGTTGCAGTCTCGGGCTTGCTCGGGTTGTGAGGAAGAAAGCTCAAATTCCACCTACCATATTGTCAGGAATAGGTCCCCATTTTTCGGCCTGCCTGTGGAGTGCTGGATCACTGGAAGGCTCTTTTGGTCCCATCGTCCACGAATCACGATGCTCTGCGTTAAGGCGGTGCTGGATGCCAAGACGCTCTCTGGTCTTCGGCTGTAGCTGGCCCTCCTACCAACATGTCGATTTATCCTTAAAGGTGAAAATCTTCGAGCCAAAGGCTTCCATCCCCTGCATCTCCGTATTTTTCTCTTCAGGTTCCCGCTTCTCGACATCGGAAATGACGATGGAGCTACTACTCAATCGGAAGTAACCCAGAGGCAGACACATCTCGGTTCACTTGGACACCGCTTTCCTGTGACGCACCTCCGCCAATGGGCGAGTGACTCGCTCACCTGTACACTTTCACCATTTACTCTCTGTCCAATCCATCAGCCCAACTGGTCTCCATAATCAGCTGAATGTGATATCACTACCCAAGTCTTCATTACTGTCCCTTTTTACGAAGTTGTCTTTATGTGCATCTCCGTAGCACAAAACTACGTGAATGCCGAGTCTCATGGCGTCAAAAAGGAGGACAAGGGTCAATAAGCCCGTAGATGTCAAGGAGAGACAGGCAGATGTAAACCGAAAACTCCAACTCTATGGCATCATCCATGCTTTCAAGCACGGCAAAGTCCCGTCGGTTCGTTAAACTCCTTACTGCTCTTGGCTGGATTCTTTTACTGACCTGAAATAGAACGATCAAATTGATGTTGCCTTGAACAGCTTCCTCGAGTCGAAGCCACTTTCAAATCCATCCAAAAAGCTCTCGGAGGATGGTCAAACGCTGGTGGCCGATGTCAGGGAAGTTGTGAGACAAGCAAAGTATCTCTTACTGTCCAAGAATAATGGTAATCTGCTTCAGGACTTTATCTGGCAGACACAGCAATTCGACCCTACGGAGGTGGCTGTCCCTGAAGCGCCCCTGGACAAGGAAAGAAGCCGGCGGCATATGAATCAAGCCCTTGAAGGGCTACGGACTCTGGGTACCCTAATAATTTCTAACGGGCAGTTTCGAAAGCTCCGTATGTAGTCAAGTTTGGTCCATCACTGTCATATTGGTCTTCTAACACTCGGCAGTAAAGGATGCTTCAATACTTCTGCGCGACATCGCGGGTGACGCTGCAGTCAATGCCGCCACCCGGGTTAGACCTAAGACTGAAGACCTCGCTCAACTTGATGAGCCCGCAGAAGATAACACTTGGTATGATGTTCCCGGTATCAGCAAAGATGGTATCAAGAACAAGCTTCACCAGTTCTATAACGATAAAACCAAAGAAAAGGCGAAGGTAGCAACCCTAGAGAGTTTACCCACTACAACCTCCAATGTCTCCTTGGCTCCAGTCAGCCCGATGGCTCCAGTGCTCACAGAGGTAAAGGACTCCCAGGAGTCAAGAGGCAGCCGTGTAGAAGGAGCTGCGGGAAGTTCTGTGGTTTCTCGACTCGAAGACGCTGTTGAGCAACAGGGAAATGCAGATACTGAACAATATGCAAAGGCAAAGATGAAGGAGAAAAAAAGTGAGTACCGTGAGCGGATGAAGAAATATCTTGCAAGCAAGATGCCGCAGGAGCGGAGAGAACAGATTGTTTGGCGACTCAAGGTGAGTTAGTTCCGTTCTTCCAAGAAAGCAAACGCCAGCATTGCTATGGAGCCTAACCAAGATGACAGAAAATGATTATCGAGTGCCAGCAGCATCCCGATTATCAGCGGGCAATCCAGACCTTACTAGACCTCTCTAAAGAGTACGGTAACCATGCTCGTCGAATGGCAAAAGGAGGCTCCGAATCGTTAATGGATGCTCGTGCTGCCCTGTATCAAGCAGAGAGGGATCTCAAGGTAAGAACATATGACTATAGACTGAACAATCATGTCAATTGTTAACCTATTTCCAATAGCTCCTGATCGAGAGGTTTGCAAACGGCACTTCAACCGATGACTTGTGGGCGTCAATCAAGACTATTTACGAGGACGCCGAACAGGACCCTGAACTCAGGTATTGGTTCAAGGCAATGAACGATTACATCCGCCGGTGTCTCCAGGAGCAAGGCTATATTCTTGACGAAGACTCGAATACTGAGTGGGACCAATTGTACGAAGAGGGCAACTACCTTCTTCGCGACAAATACCGCGGGCACACAGATCGCATTGTCGACGAGGTCAAGTTCTTGCTCAGCCAGTTTGACGAAGATCCGCAAATCAAAGCTTTTGCTGCCTCTTTATCCAAGCTGTTCAACGATTTGGGCAACGATGAAAAGGGGAAGCCAACCTTTAAGCCCCGTCTGGTCAAGGATCTCACGGATGTGATTTTGCCATCCATTTTCGAGAAGGTGGCTTACATCCCGATCCCTCGAATTGAATACTCAGACCCTCATGTTGACGTCGTCATTGAGAATCTCGTCCTCGAAAGCGACAACTTCATGCCGAACGTTCTCGAGATTTCTAGTGAAAATTACTTGCGGTACGGTCGGAAGACCGTAACCAGCAGAAGTCGGCACTCGTTTGAAGTCAAGGTGTCAGGTATTCAAATGGACCTAAGGGATGTCAGCTACTACGTCAAACGCAAACAGGGGTTTCCATCAATGACAGATACAGGCGTGGCGAATATGCTACTGGCCGGCGACGGTCTGTCTTTCCGGATCAAGTTGGTATCAGCTGATGAGAAGGACGCACAATGTTTCTTCAAGATCGAGGAAGTGGAAGTGGATGTCGAGCACCTCAGGATAGAGCTCATTAAATCCAACCACAAGCTTCTCTTCAATATCTTCAAGCCTCTGATGCTGAAACTGCTGAAGCCTGGAGTACAAAGAGCTCTCGAGAAGACTATCAAGGACCAGGCCACACGTCTAGACAAACTCTTATTTGAGATCAAGCAGGAGGCCGATCGAGCGCTTGAGCAAGCCCGCGAAGACCCCAGGCATGTGCCCAACTTTTACAAGCGGTACATGACAGCCGCACAGAAGCGCATTCTCCAGAGCAAGAAAAAGCGCCGGAAGATTCTTACTGATAAAAAGGTGAATTATGCCATTACCCAGAAGGACAGCATCTTTCCCGACGTACATCTTCCAGGAGGAATCAGTGCCAAAGCAACCGAATACAAGGAATTAGCGCTGAGGGGAGACAGTTGGGAGAGCCCCATCTTCTCCGTCGGCAACGCTGCGAAAAGCCGGGATATTCCCCCTGCTCCAAAAGTAGTGCGGAAGCCACATGCTATCAGCAAGACGGCGGCTCTTAGTTTACGGGGTGGCAGCCCAGCCAGTCCGAATCAAGGAGTAGGTACACCTCAGGAAGACTGGTTATCAGCCAGCACTGCAAGTCAGAATATACTTTCCCCCTCTGCCCGCGCAATGTCCCAGAGGGAGAAGTTTGAGGGGAAGAGTCCCTGAGCGTCGAGGCCAGGTGTGGTCTGCTGTGGAGATTGCTGAGAACTGAAAGGTGGGATATCAAGAAGTTGAGAGACTTTTATGCCTAGTTCAGGGGGTACATGAAACTCCTATTAATCACAGGAGATCCTCCCAAGTTCAAACCTTGGGAAGGTTGCACCATGGCGTTCTTTTTTTTCTTTTTATTATATTCATAACCTGTAGATGCTTAATGCCAAAACCGAAATGGATTCATTACTGGCGCAATAATGCAATGTTCATCAAACTCGTTACATGACTGTTTAGATGTGCGATGCCATCAGTCAACATGTGAGGGTAGGGGTTCTGTTGAGAGGGCATGACGTCATAATCTGTCGGTGTGCTAAGATTTATTATAAGGGTTAGGGTTGCATTCGTATTGCTGCCTAAAGATCAGAAGCATGAAGGTCAAAGACGCTTTCCTCTTGAATAACAAGCCAAGAAAATATGTTTTGGACATCTCGGGAATCAATATAATTTGAATTCCCATCGTGAGTTTCTACAAGTTGGCATGACCGTAAATTTTGGGTGCTATACCTTCCATCAATTGATCACAGAACCTCCCGAGTTCGACCCCATCAACCATGAGCGCCACAAAGAAGAGGACGAAGTCTCCTGATCCGGAGGCAGTAGAAGAGGATGAAAAACAGTATGGCAATGGCCCGTTGACACTGGAAGAGTTAGATCAACAGTATGCTTTCTTCTCCCCACAATTCGCAAGGTCTGCCTTTGCTCACACGAAAGCAGATACCCCAACAGGCCACGAAATCACTCCAAAACATTCCTCTTCTCCGAACTCTACAAGTCCCTCTTCAACCCTCTCATTGAATGTAAACCCCATCCCCCTGGAGCCGCGACCACAGCCACGACGGCAGCAGCCAAGGGCCGTCCCGGCCGGCGCGGCGCGAACCCATCTAAGGTTTCGTATCACGAACAGCGGCGGCACATCATTGAGCGCTTCATGGCGCGATGGCGCGCAGACGTGGGCGACGACTTCTACCCGGCCATGCGCCTCATCCTGCCGGATAAGGATCGCGATCGCGGTGTGTATGGCCTGAAAGAGAGCGCCATTGGGCGACTGCTCGTCAAGGTCATGAAAATTGATCGCCATTCCGAGGATGGCTACGCACTGATGCATTGGAAGCTGCCTGGCGGTGCTGGGGGTTGGAAGTTTGGTGGCGGGGGAGGGGGCGGAGGAGGGGGAGGTGGTAACGGCAAGGGGGCTGGTACGGCCGGCGATTTCGCCGCGCGGTGTTATGAAATCGTTGGGAAGAGAGCCATGCGCACGGAGCCAGGGAATCTCACTATCGCAGATGTGAACGTGATGTTGGATCGGTTGGCGCGTGCGAATGGCGAGGCAGAGCAGCTGCCTATCTTCGAAGAGTTCTACCGGAGAATGAACGCAGAGGAGCTGATGTGGCTTGTGCGCATCATTCTCAAAGACATGAAGGTGGGCGCTACAGAGCGAACATTTTTCAACCTGTGGCACCCGGATGCTGAAGCGCTGTTCAGCGTGTCATCAAGCTTACGACGGGTCTGTTGGGAGCTCTATGACCCAGAATTTAGGTTAGAGCAAGAAGAAACAGGCGTAACGCTCATGTCCTGTTTCCAGCCGCAGCTGGCGCAATTCCAGATGCAAGGCTCGTTTGCCAAATTAGTGGCGAACTTGGGGGTCACTGAGGAGGAACCAGAGTTCTGGATTGAGGAGAAACTAGATGGCGAGCGAATGCAGATGCACATGATGGAGGATGAGAGCGTGCCAGGAGGATTCCGATTTGCCTTTTGGTCCCGTAAAGCAAAGGATTACACATATCTGTACGGGAACAGTTTGGAAGACGACAAATCGGCACTTACACGCCACTTGAAGAACGCGTTTCACCCGGGCGTCCGCAACCTGATCCTGGACGGTGAGATGATCACCTGGGATCCCGAAGTGGACAAGATCATGCCTTTTGGCACACTCAAGACGGCCGCTCTGGAGCAGCAAAAGAATCCCTTTGCTTCTGGTCCACGGCCCCTGTACCGGGTGTTCGACATTCTGTTGCTCAATGACAAGTCGTTAACAGACTACACTCTGGCTGACCGCCGTCGAGCTCTGGAGCGAGCTGTCAAAGGAGTTCCAAGGCGGTTAGAGATCCATCCTTACGAAAAGGCCACCTCGGCAGATGCTATCGAGCCGGCTCTGCGCAAGATCATTTCCGAATCATCGGAGGGTCTAGTCCTCAAGAACCCTCGATCGCGGTACCGCCTCAACAGCCGCAACAACGACTGGATCAAAGTCAAGCCCGAGTATATGTCTGAGCACGGCGAGTCTCTCGACTGCGTCATTATCGGTGGTTACTATGGGTCTGGACGGCGAGGTGGTACCTTGTCAAGCTTTCTTTGCGGTGTACGGGTTAGTGAGAACTTTACCAGGTCAGGTGCAGCCTCCAAAACGGAAAAGTGTCTCAGCTTCTGCAAGGTCGGTGGCGGCTTCAAGGGCGAAGACTATGCTGAGATCCGGCATCACACGGAGGGCAAGTGGAAGGACTGGGACCCCTCAAATCCGCCATCCGAGTACATCGAACTTGGCGGCGGCGAGCGGCTGCAGCACGAACGACCAGATGTCTGGATCCGGCCGAGCGAGTCCGTGGTTATCTCGATTAAAGCAGCTTCGTTTGGGCCCTCAGACCAGTTTGCAACAGGTTACACGCTGCGATTTCCGCGTTTCCGTGCCCTGCGCCTGGACAAGGCCTGGGACCAGGCTATGGATGTCGATGAATGTGACGCCATCCGCACCAAGGTTAAAGAAGAAGAGCAAGAACGCAAGGCTATGGAAATAGAAAATCGAAAGCGTCGGCCGACGAAACGCCAGAAACGCGAGATCGTTGTGGCTGGCACTGACCCCAACGCCTCTGCACCCCTTGAATTTGCTGTACCCTTAACCAACAAGCAGCTGTTCAAGGGCCTCGAATTTTGCGTGCTCTCTGAGGGTCTCAGGCCACGGAAGATTTCGAAGCCGGAGCTAGAGGAGCTTATCAAGAAACATGGAGGGACAATCAAGCAGAAAGTCGACCCAGCATCAGTCCGCGGGGGCGGCACGATCGTCTTGGCCGACAAGAACGTTGTGCGCGCAGCCAGCCTTAAGAAAGCCGGGGGTGTGGATATAGTTCGCCCCCGTTGGGTATTCGACTGCCTCGAGCGTACTGGCGGCGAAGGGTACCTGCTGCCCTTTGAAACAGACCGTCACTTGTTGCATGCCACTGAAGGCATGAAGCTTGTGGCTCGTGATAATACGGATGCATATGGCGATAGTTATGCGCGGGATGTGGGAATTGATGAGTTACGGGAGATATTGGATCGCATGAATCTTCCGGAGCGTTCGAAGGAATTCGATGCTGGGCTGTTTCTAGACCAGTTGGAGGAACATGGACATGGGCTGGAAGAGATGAGGAGCTTCCTGTTCAGGAGGTGTCGTGTCTATTTTGCTGTTGCAGAAGGAAAAGAAGGATCTGAGACCGAGGTGATAAGGTTGGGTTACTACATCCGGTTTGGAAACGGGGAGATCGTTGAGAGCATCAAAGACAGAAAAGACATAACGCATATGGTTGTTGTTGCCGGAAGCAAAGAACAAGAACGCATCGTGGCAGTAGATATGAGGTACAAAGTCAGTTCGTGGAGAGCTATCCCACGGATTGTTACACCCAAGTGGGTTGAGGATTGCTGGAAGGAGGGCACCGTGGTAGATGAAGAGGCTTACGCTCCTTGTTAATGATTTTATGGAGCGCTAAGGGAGGATTCGCCTGTGTTAGGCGTTTAATGAGATACCCTCATTGCGCATCCCCGTCATCCTGATGTAACAGGAACTTATCGTTCTCACTTTCCTCCATGACATCTCTATTTGCAAGCATGGCAAAAATAGCACCGTCATTACTATTAGCAACCCTACTTCCCAATAGTCAAGAATAACCTATCCCCAATATCTCCCAGACCTGGCTTCAGCATACCTCTATCCGTCAACTCCTCATCCACGCCCGCCAGCCAAATCTCGACACCCTCTGGCCACTCAGCGGCAACAGCCTTGACACCGGGAAGGGCACCCAAAACTGAAACAACTACGATGCGTTTCACTCCCCACTGGCGCAGCGTAGAGATTGCGGCAGCGCAGGTACCGCCCGTGGCAATGACGGGGTCTAGCACGATGGCCAGACTGGACACGGCAGCGCCCCCGGAGCCGGAGCCGGCGATGTGATTGGGTAGGTTATTGTAGTACTCCACGGGCTGGAGAGAGATGGGCTCGCGGTACAAGCCAAGGTGGTGCACCGGGACAGGATTAGGGAGGAGGGTCTGGATTGCTGGGAAATGTTAGCCACTTTGATCTTGAAAGGGGTACAGCAAGAGGGGCTTGCCTTCTACCATGCCCAGACCAGAACGAAGGATGGGAACCAGAGAGATGGCCTCAGGCTCGAGTTTAGCGGTCTGGAACTCGTAACCGAGAGGCGTTTTATCCTGGGAAAGGATGTTAGTCAACGTACCAAAGTAGGGAGAGCGAAAGAGGTCGAAATAGGTGGGAACTCACCATCGGCCCGGGCGTTGTGCCCAGGGACTTCCCCAAGGCCTCACAGCCAACAATCAGCGTGATCTCGTGTATTAAAGACTTCACATCGCGGGCTGATGTGCCCTGGGAACGCAGCTGGCTGAGCTTGGCAACCAAGCACGGGTGCTGAGAGATGTGGACATTCGAAGGGAGGTCGGCCATGTTGGTGATGATAGCTGATGTCGATCAAGCGAGAGACAGGCGACAGGCGTGTAAGCACCTAAGGTAAGTAAGATAAGGAGATAGGGAAGAGAAGTATGGATAAGCTACACTGCCGGGAAGAGCAGAGACGCGGCTTTCTTTTAAGTATCTAGCGGTATGGATTAGCCGTCCTGATGAAAGACACCGTGGACCTGGGCCAGAAAACTCAAAGGTGACGGTCACCGCCTGCAGAGCGTTGTGCAGCAACAGGAGCTTGATTCGCTGCTTCCGGGCTGCCCATGACTGCCATGCTTGCAAGTTGCCTTGCCCATGCTTCCTTGCTCTCTGGTTGGGGTGTCTAGGGCCCGGCTGAGACAAGGAACGCTTACCAACGAGAGATGGAGGCCGGAGCTTGGGGGATTGGAGAATGGAGAATGGCCGGACAAGAGGTCAGGTCACAGAACGACAACGAAGCACCTGCACACCTGCAATGGAACCTGGAAGCTCATCAGCAAGCTGCAGGTCCCGACCCTATCCACCCCAACCTTCCGTACCCGTGCCAGCATGCCCTGGCCTTAGGAAACGTTATGTGACCGTCCGCGGAAACCATCTTAGCAAATCGGGTCCCGACCTCTGCGCCATGCCCGCTTGCTGGCAAAGAACAGCTCAGGACTTTCTGTAAGCAACTGGACTACATCTGCCACTGTCCGCGTGACCGGTGCCCATGACAGTGTGCTAGAGGGGAAGGGCGGTGGATGCTGTGCTGCACTCTGCACAATCAGAACCCGCTCTCCGATAAGATAAGCCCTAGCCACCAGACCCACCATTTGGGCCCACCCTCGCCGATGCGTCCTAATCTGGCTCTTGGCAGGGACCCACCAATAAGTGGTGGCTCCACCCAAGCTCCGTCGATGACAACCTCGCTCAATGGCGAATTCAACAGTCAATTGAGTATAGTGACGAGGTTAGAAGATGCGTGTCAAACGTGTGCTGCATCCTCCGTGATGCAATGCGAGCTCTCTTAGCGCACAACACAGCCCATGACTACGCGACATGTCGCAGGATCGAAATTTTGAGCTGGGCTCACCCAGTCCTCGATACGACCCAGACGTTGGTCGGAGCTCAAGACAACACCTGAGCTATGACGCGCCCGCCGACTACAGTAATGTCGATGATGCCCTGGCTCCAGGAAGTCATCCAGATCCCCTCGACACGAGTGCCGCGCAGCGTCGCCCTTCACGCAGGCTGTCTTCTGCGGCTTTTCAGGGCGACTATGATGTCCCCGACTCGTATGTCAACATAGCCGAGAACATTGACGTTTCGCCCATCCAGAATCCCTATGAAGACTCTGTATACCAGCACCACAATCTGGAGCAGGTCAGGAGTCAGGAGCGCAGGTATTCTCGCGAGCAAAGTATTGCTCACCCAGAGCCGGAGGGGGCTCCGGAACCCAAGCACGAGGTGTCCCGGCGAACCACGCAGTTTTACACTGTCTCCTACTTGATCTTTTTTTCCATCCTTGGTACCCTCGCCCGACTCGGCCTGCAAGCCCTCACGAAATACCCCGGCACGCCCATCATCTTTCCCTCTATTTGGCCCAACTTCGCTGGCAGCTTAGTCATGGGCTTCCTCTCGGAAGACCGCATGCTCTTCCGTGGCGCCCAGGACGGAGACGCCGACTACCCCGCAAGCGACACCAGCTCAGCTGCAAAACGAGCCCATGCCGCCCGCAAGAAGACAATCCCTCTTTACATCGGCCTAGCGACCGGCTTCTGTGGCTCGTTTACCTCCTTTTCGGCCTTTATTCGCGATACCTTCCTTGCGCTCGCCAACGATCTCCCCCCCCACATTGCAACGCCCTCTCGTAACGGGGGCTACTCCTTCCTCGCGCTTCTTGCCGTCCCCATCACGACCATCTCCCTCTCCCTGGCTGGCCTCTTTGTGGGAGCACACCTCGCCATCGCTCTCTCCTACTTCCTCTCCCCCTCAGCTATCATCATCCTTCCCCCGCGCGCACGTACCCTCCTCGATCATGCCGCCGTCCCGCTGGGATGGGGCTGCTGGCTTGGAGCCGTGTTGATGTCGGCTCTACCACCAAACGGCCACGATGCCTGGCGCGGACAGGCTACGCTCGCACTGGTGTTTGCCCCGCTAGGGTGCTTGGTGCGGTTCTGGGCGAGTTTGAAGCTGAATGGCCGGTTTACGGCATTCCCTTTGGGAACATTTGTCGTGAATGTGGCTGGGACAGCGGTGCTCGCTGTTATGTGGGATCTGGAACACGTGAGGGCTGCTGTTGGGGAGGAGGTGATATCTTGCCAAGTGTTGGCGGGCGTGCAGGATGGGTTTTGTGGGTGTTTGACGACAGTGTCGACTTGGGTTGGAGAGTTGGCGGCTCTGAGGAGGAGGCATGCGTATGTGTATGGTGTGGCGAGTGTGCTCAGCGGGTTTGCGTTGATGGTTGCTATTGCTGGGGGGGTTAGGTGGAGTGCCATTTTTGAAGAAGGGTTGTGCAGCTAGGACAAGGTCGATCCGTCAACTTAATAAGTCCACATGTCGGTGAATGTGCAGTTACTGATCCTAGTGTAAATGCAAACTTCAGACTGAGCATACAAGCCTGTGTAACTTGAATAATATTGCGTATCCTACAAGCTGCTGTTTGTTTTCTCTTGCTAACAACCGCTTTTGTCTGGCTCGATACGAGCTACTCTCCTGAGCCTTTGGGCTTTCGATTCCTTTCGCTTTATGTCATCACTGGCTCTCTCTAATGATCGACTCCAGGCCCGATGATTTCGTTTCCTGGCCAACTCGGCATCGCCTTCTTCCCCAGGTCGCCCAACATGTCCTTACTGTCCCAGTTGTCTCGATCGCTTCTCCGTCATTTGTTTTTCCAAAACCTGCAACTGCATCATTTCTTCTTTCAGTATTTCTTGTAAGGTCTGCTTCCACCGAAAATATGCCATGGTGAACTGATTCCCAGTCGATCTCATCAATACGGTTGGGTACTCTTCTCCCTGCTTGTATTCACCCTTTAAGAATTCTCGGAACCAAAGTTGCAGATCCTTGTCTGGATAAGCGAGGGTTTCCTGCAAAGAGCAGACTTTCTGCAGTTGCATGGCGTGTTCTCGTTCTAAGGCAGAGTCATTTTCGTCTGCTGCTGCTGATGCTTCTGCCCGCCTCGGCTGCGAGACAACACTGCTGGGAAGATGGGTAGCGGTCAAGGAGTTCATCAGGTGTTGATCTGGGGGATGTTTTCTTTGCGCTGATGTTTGCAACCCTCCTGCGATAGAGGGGGGTATGCTGTTGTTTACAGGCGGAACCTGAATCCTGGATGAAGAATCATTTGCCTCCAAATCAGCCAGCTGGACAGACATTTCGAGCAATTGCGCTGAGTACCCAGTTGTTTCTTGGTCATTGTCAGCAATGTACTGGAAGAAGAGTCCGGGAGAAGGCCCAAGGCGATCGGTATTTTCAGCCGACACGGAAGCATTTCCATGGAGCTGAGTATTTTCTCGTTCATCTCGAGCAGTTGTCAAAGCAGGTTGGCTCATATTGGGTAATCCTGAAGTGTCTGTGAAAAGTGCATGCTGGATTTCCTAGATTCCAGGCTGGATCGGGTCAACAATAGTCACCGGGTCATTGTCTAGCACGTTTCCCTCTGTTCGCTGGTCCCCTAGGACATTGATATTTGTAGATTGCCCCGATCGCCGGTCGAATGATCGAGCTGGGCCCTCCTCTTCAGCATGACCCTCTAGAGCATTGTCATCTATGAACGGCCCTAATATGCGCTCCAGACTTCTGTCTAAGCTTTCTTCTCTGGTGTAACTCCCTAGGGCATTTAAAGTCGCAGATTGCTCCACGGACCAACTGGGCACTAGATCCAAGCTCTTTCCTTTGCTGTGATCCGCTGGAACATGGACGGTTGTAGATTGCCCGAGACTCTCCCCATCATGTGCATGATTCACTGAGACGTCAGTATTCGAAGTGCCTTCCAAAGGCTGATACAGAGATTGATCAGCGCTTTGTTGTGCGATAAGGTTCACTGGGGTGCTTATGTTTGTAGATGATTGGACTGGCCGATTCATCGGCGATTTTGGGCTTTCAACTCCTTCATGACTCAAATGAACCCCAGAAGCGTCCATATTTGCTGGTGACATTCTTGGCCTATCTTTCAGCAGCGCTAGCTTTAAGCTTTCTTCTCCTATCTGGCCCAAGTGACCCCCAAGTACGTCGATTCTTGTCTGTTGTTTTTGTAGCCGGTCTGTTGGCAATGGTATATTAAGTCTTTCTTGGCTTCTCTGGGCATTGATGCTTGCAACTTGTTCCATTGGCAACCTTGCTCGCAGTGGTAGATTTAGGCATTCCTGTTTTGACTGATCATTTGCGAATTCGTTCCTTGTAGGTTTCTCACTTTGACGATTTGTCCTGGTATTCACCACATGAGCTGCACCAATCCCCGGTCGAGGTATTCCTAAGATTGGCTGAAGAATAGGGGGCTTTGCAGGCATGACGGGAGTGGCAGGAGAGGCAGATATGGCCAACGATTCAGAGGTGCGGGCTTCTAAAAGATCTTCGCTGCTTGGTTTTCTGGTCAAGGACTTCTTTTTTCGCTTCCTGGTACTACCCGAAATGGTATGACGACGCTTCGTGCTGAGCTGTTGGTAATGAGGGGGAGGAAATGCGAAAAGGGATTGTCCTCGGGGTCTCACAACGTGTCGCCGCTGGTCTATAGCCTCACCAACGTCGAAGTCGATAAGCTTCCCCTGCTCCTCAATTATCCCTGGAAAAATTGGGGCCATGGCAGACCAGCTGACTGTCAAGCGGTATGGATTTTGGCGAACCATAAGGGGTAACTTCAGTTCCTTTTCAGATACGAGGGTCTCTTTGTACTCCCATACACCCTCCACCTTGAAAAAGGCGTTCCGACGGTCGAGAGAAAACTTGAAAAACCATGTTCCATGGCCAAGTGAGCCAATGCCGTAGATCGTCGAATTCAAGTAGTAGACGTCATGATACTTGCTTTCGTCAAGCGAACTAGCTTGAGAGTTGCTCCGTGAGACCAGGCGTAGTTCCACACAAACCCTTGCAGGTACCTCAATCTTGTACGGGCGTGGGCCTTTCTGGATTATTTAAGCATCAGAATAACGTTCCCGTTGACACCAGCATGGTGTTTGTTGCAGGGTCTCAGTTAAGGTCACAAAACACCAACCTGATCAAAGATGAGTTTTGGAGCCTCCGAGGGTTGGTTAGGCTTGTCTGTAGTCTTCCTGATATAGAGTGCACCACCATTTTCGAACCATCGCGAAACATCCTCCCTCCACGCTGATGATGAGAATGGCCTTTCCAATTGCATGGTTAAGACATTGTTCTGATTCTTAAGAGGTAGGCAGACTACAAGCTTGACTGACAATATACTAAAGATTATCGTGCGGAATGGAATATTGGAATACACACAAAATTAGCCACTTGCAGTTCACCTTCGAATACCGAATCCATCGGGCTTAAACCCCGATTCAATCGATCCTGCAGGCTTGGTCCTCGCGCCTTCCAACGGGATATCCCCCATGCTCTGCGTCCGCCAAAGGCAAGCAGAGCTGAGAGACAAACCATTTATGGAATGCCGGTTCGGGAGGACCAGCTGATGGCTTATGTGATCTCACCTTTCCTATTGCCCTAAACATTAGCACGGCTTGAAGTTTGACGGCAGCTTGTATTATTAGAGAGCTAATCCATCAAGGATGGGGTTGCCTGCCAGCCACTTGTTTCTGCTCTCCCTAAAATACCCACATTGATAATCAATCAGAATGACCGATAATCTAAAATACCTAGGTAGGCGGTGCGTAGATGCCACTGTCATGAAGTTATTAGTCATCGATTGTCCTAGGGGAATGGCTAGAATGAACAACACTCAAACCACTCAACAAACCACCTTGTGCATACAGAGTATTTCCATATGCCCTTCGGGATAGCAGAGCGGGACTTGACTTAAAGAGGAAGCTAATAACATGATACTCTGAACCAACTACGTACAATGTTGACTACGAGATCCATATAAGATTAGGATGACTCACACGACTTCCGCCATTAGGAGCACTGTTCACTTGAGCCGATAAAGAAGAGACATGATCGAAGCTGAAAACTTAGATATCAAAGACATCAAAAAGGTTACAAAGCATAGTAAAGGCTGGGAAATCGAAATGACGGAAAGAACAGACAAAAACAGGAACCGTTCCAAACACAGAAGAGGCGAAAAGTACAAGCAAGACAGGGCGTAATGTTGGAAAGCACAATTTATGAATATGTGGACCAAGTTAGCTATTGAGTTTGAGCCAAGACAGCAAGGTATAAACTACCTTAGTCATGGAAGAAAAGGGATGAGTGGCATGGTGGCAACAGTTTGAGGGCGTTTGGCTGTCGAGTCTTGTTTCAGTTGAACGGACGAACGGTTCAAGGTCCATGTAATGGATGGCCAGCAATACAGTCGTATAGTGTAAATTACAGTTATAGCGCTGGAATGTATGCAAGTATCGAGTCGGACAGGGGTTACTGAGCAATTGGTTTCGCCATGACTCACCCCACCTTCCAAAATATCTATGGGACCCTGTGCCCCGCGATCCGCTAACCTGGATGCGACTTGAGAAGTTGAGTTTGTGACGTGAAGTTTTGTTTGCTTTGGACCCCTCGCCAACACATTATACCTGTCCTAGAACAAGCACAGCACATCGGGTCTGACAGTCACAACAGTTCCAAGAGTCACACTCACTATGCCAGCACCTCGGAAACCTGCCCTCCCCCAGCCGGGGAAGGATAACATTCTCATTACCAGTGCTTTGCCCTACGTGAACAACGTTCCTCACCTGGGCAACATAATTGGCAGTGTTCTGGTACGCAACTCTCATCCTTTGTCCCCTCATATCTTCATATGGACCATGGACCTACTGGATGGGTGATGGGGACTTTCCCGTGCTTTCATTTACTTTTGGGCACCAAGATTCCCTCACGATCCAGTCCAGTGCTGTCATTCATGCTATTCATTTTCTCATACTTCCTCACTAGACTCACTCACTAACACTCCTTGACCCGTGTTTTAGTCTGCTGATGTGTTTGCCCGTTTCTGCCGGGCACGCAACCTGCCAACTATCTTCATCTGTGGCTCTGATGAGTATGGCACGGCGACTGAGACAAAAGCGCTTTCGGAGGGAGTGGACCCTGCCACATTGTGCGCCAAGTATCACGCGATCCACAAGGAGATTTACGACTGGTTCCGGATTGACTTTGATATTTTTGGCCGCACTCCTACCCCTGAGCACACCGAGATCGTCCAGAGTATCTTTGCCGGTCTGTGGAAGAACGGTTACATCGAGGAGCGTGAGACTACCCAGGCCTATTGCCCTACCCATGACTCCTTCTTGGCCGACCGCTATGTTGAGGGCGAGTGCAGCATCTGCCATGACAAGGGTGCTCGTGGTGACCAGGTTTGTCATTCGTTTGCTTGTTGCTTTCAGCCAGCCCAGTTATTGACGGCTTTGACAGTGCGACGCCTGTGGCAACCTCCTTGACCCCCTAGAGCCTGACTCTAATGGATCCGATGGCCATGAGGTCAGGGCCACGGGGTGGCTGATCAACCCCCGTTGCAAGCTTGACGGCACCACTCCTGAGAGGCGCAAGACCAAGCACCTTTACCTCCGTTTGGATGCTCTGCAGGAGGAGCTTCGGCCGTGGCTCGCCTCAGTCGAGAAAAACTGGAGCGCAAACTGCGTCGCCATCACCCACTCCTGGCTCGAAAAGGGCTTGAAGCCCCGTGGCATTACCCGTGATCTCAAATGGGGTGTTCCAAGTATGTTTTATAGCCTCTCGATTCAGAAAAATTGTTTACTGACCCTGGATTGTACAGTTCCCACTGGTCTGCCAGGCCTGAATGATGAAGACTATGCCAAGAAGGTGTTCTACGTCTGGTTCGATGCCTGCGGTATGTGTCTTGCCCTCATTGCTTTGATGTCTGAATACTAACTCGAATAGTTGGTTACCCTTCCATCACCAAGACCTTTACCGATGCCGGCAATCCCGAGGGTAAGAACTGGGAGAAGTGGTGGAAGAACCCTGATGAGGTTTCTCTCTACCAGTTCATGGGCAAGGACAATGTGCCGTAAGTATATATCTCAAGGTCAGAAACTTGGTAAGCCCATCTAACTGTGACCAGATTCCACAGCATCATCTTCCCTGCCTCGCAGATCGGCACCAGGGAAAACTGGACCAAGGTCAAGCACTTCTCCACAACCGAGTACCTGAACTATGAGGGTGGCAAGTTTAGCAAATCGAAGGGCGTTGGCGTGTTTGGCAACAATGCCCGGGACACCGGTATTGACGCCGACATCTGGCGCTACTACCTCCTTTCAAGGCGCCCTGAAACTAGCGACGCCGAGTTCAAGTGGGAGTACGTTTGGCTGCACTCCCTGCTTCCTTGGAGTCATATGCTAACTGTCGCAAAGAGAGTTCGTTGATGCGAACAACAACGATCTGCTGAAGAACCTAGGCAACCTGTGCCAGCGTGTGGTCAAGTTCTGCCAGGCCAGGTTTGAAGGCGTCATCCCCGAGTTTGATATTTCTGCATTCCCTGCTCTTGAGCAACACAGGCAGGAGGTCAACAAGCTGCTTCAGGAGTACATTACTCAGCTCAGGGGCCTGAAGCTGAGGGCAGGTTTGTCCACTGTCATGAGGTACGTTATCTGTACAATCTACCAGGAGAACTACATTGCCTAACATCGTCAACAGCATCTCTGCCCTTGGCAACAAGCTCCTGCAGGACAACAAACTGAGCAATCAACTCCTTGCTGAGGAGCCTGCCCGTTGCGCCGCTGTTATCGGATTGGCCCTTAACCACCTCCATCTTCTCGCTAATGTTCTCACTCCTTACATGCCTGCTAAGGCTCAGTCAATCCTCAGGCAAGTCGGCCTCAAGCCTGCTGAGGGTGAAGATCTAGTGCCGGTGTACATCCCCGACACTTGGGAAGCGAATACCCTGAAGGCAGGCCATACCATTGGCACCCCTGAGCTCCTTTTCTCCACAATTCCTGCCGCCAAGATTGAGGAGTGGCGTGATGCCTTCGGCGGCGAGGAGCTGCGCAAGCAGAAGGCTCTCGAGGCCGAAAAGGCCGCTGCTAAGAAGGCTGCCAGGGAGAAGGAGAAGGAGAAGAAGCGTCTCAAGAAGGAGAAGGCCGCCCAAGAGAAGGCCGCTCAAGAGGGCGCTGCCAAATCTGCCGAGGGCAAGCAGGAAGGGGCTCCTGCGCAGGCCACTGAGTTGCCGATCCGCTCAGCTCCGATAGATGGGCAAGCCAATTGAGATGTCTAACTGTTGTTCTTGTGATTTTGCAGTGTCAGTACGGCTGGCGAATGGGAAATTTGAGTCAATAGAGAGGGATCTTTGAGATACCTAGTCATGGTAGACTAGTTTCCGTGTGGCAGCGAGGATTCTGACTTTTGATAGCAAGGGAGTTCCAGTCATCGTGCTGTTATGCACTTTGAATTAGGATGAACCTAGGTGAATGTAAACCGGGTTGTGTCATTCCACCATAAATGGATAGGATCCCAGAAATACTTGATTCTCGAAGAAAGTTTAGTTATCCATATATCCTTAAACGCCTACCCAAAGCCTTTCCGTCATGGCATATATTACCAGACTATACGACAGTAATTGAACTAGCATCACTTCTTCCCTTTACTCCTCCCTCCCGACCCTCCGTTTAACCCAGGCTCATCATCCCCTTCGCCATCTATCCACACCACCACATTTGACGGCACTTTATCCCCCAACTCCTTAAAGAATGTCCTGATCTCCTCATCCGTGTACCTCAAGCTAAAGTGCATCAGAATGAAAGTCGTATTAGGCCACCGCCTGATGATCGGCTCCAGGTCCGCCCACAAAGTGTGCTTCGTCTTTTCCGCTTGCGCGCGATGCTCTTCCCTTAGGAAACTGCACTCTGTGATCACTACTTTGAGTCCTTCCTCCAGCCATTTCTGCACCTCCGGATTTTGATCCAGCGTCAATGCTGTCGTGTCCCCCAGGAAGGCAAATACGGGCGTGGCCACAGGCTGTGTAATATCTGACCCTATGCTCTGCCGCAGGGTGCGTAGCTCGGCTGGCGAGAGAGATCGGTACTCGGGCTTGAGTTTGTACGTGATTTGGTGGAAGACATAGCCTAGGCAGGGAACTGTATGATCGCATGCAAAGGCGGTTGCTGTCCAGGAAGGTTTGGCAGAGTTGCCCGAGCCGCCGACCAGTCGCCGGAGGGTGACGGTTTGCGAGGGCACTAGGGGGTGTGTGATGTGTGTTCTGAGAAGACCATCTCCGGGACCATTTCCACTACCGCTGGAATCAGAAGAATTCGTAGACTCAAGATCCGACGAGGAAAGATCTGTCTCGAGATCGCCTAGTGTCCAAAGCCCGCCGAGATTAAGAACCGTATTGGCATTGATAAAGTTGTCTAATACTTGCTTCATCTCAGCAGGACAAAAGATATCTGGAGGGTCCTCCCGCTTAACAAATGCTGGAGTAAGCAATGTATGGTCGCTATGCCCATGGGTTAGAAAGATGTGCTTAGGACGCAGGTTGTTGACGCATAGGCCGGCGTCGAGCAAGAGGTTGAGCTGGGGGATCACGAAGGAGGTATGCCAAGCGGCGCGAGACCTGCCCGTCAGTGTGATGTGGCTGAAGGGTTTAGGAAATCGCCATTCGAGGATTTCTGACCGCGAGGATTGGCGGAGGGGTGTTGCGAAACTTGCCATGGCTGTTGTAGCTCCAGGTTGATGTTATCGGTTGTCACGTATGCATTGTGAGCGGACCCCACCTTGCCACTGCGGTGGTGAGTGTAAACTTTGAAGCGAAGTAGAGCTGTTGACCTATAATGCAATTGATGAGGTGAAATTGCAAATCTCCGGGCTCATGGAATCGACTCTGTGAGAGAACAGCGCATGCATTTTATGTCTCGATTTCAACTTCTAGCGGATAGCAGAGCTCTATCAAACACAAGTGGTACCAACGCCATTGGTTGCCGTCGAGTCCCCGGACCTTGACTCGGGCCGTCAGAGTCAGCCCTGCGGAAGACATAACACGCAAAGCCACTGCATCTAATCTTGGTGAGCCCAATCGGTACTCGGGTCTCAAATGGCAGCTACTTGGTTTCACAGTGGCTGATATGACGATGTACCTTGCGATGAAGCAGAGGATTGAGTTGGCTGAGCTTTTCCAAGGCCGGATGAGCAAGATCGGAAAGACGTGACTAAGGGCTGCACAATGTGGCAATGAGAAAGCATGCAGGCAGAACCGAGCACAGAACTGACCAACAAAACGCTAGGAAATCCATACTCGGCCTTATCCTTTAAGGCTGGCCGACATGAATCCATGTATCCCGCCGTGAACAATAGCTTAGACACTTATAAAAATCTCCACCCTTGACAGGCAACTGGTTGAGGTCAATACAGTGGCATAAGGAAGACTGGACGGAGGACGGCTTGATATGCAGCTGATAACGTTCAAAACCTTTTCTCTCTCTATTCTCTGCCATCGGTAAACCTGGACATCTCGCAGTTAAGTCATTAACCCTAGGGAAAAGAACCAAGCCAACTTTTCCTCAGATAACCGACGCAATCTCAGCCCAGTAACCCCTGCACGTAGTATACTCCTCCCTGGCCCGTGAGAGCCAATGCAAGTTGCGACAAGGGAAAAGTCCGCCCTGAACCTTTTCAACGCCATGTATATATCAATAAGCCACCAAAAATAAAAAAAAAAAAATACCCAGAACCACCCCTATATGGTCAACGCTCCCGGTGATGCTACATACTGTGAACCCCACAGATATTGGGAGCCAATCCACTGGTTCAGCTCGGATTCTGATTACAAAAAGTCCATGAATATATATATGAGCAATGATAAGAGGACAGAGAGCTTACTCAAGCTCCTCTTCTTCCTCCTCTTCTTCAGTCGTGATACCTTTGTACTTCATCTCCAGCACCCACTTGTCTCCAAAATCCACGCCCTTCCTCATCTTAGTGCCGGCCTTCTTCCACACAGCCTGGCCCAGACCCATATCAACGAGATAGAGCTTCCACTCAGCCGCAGCGTCGTCCGAGATGGCCGTCGCGGCGACCTGGTCGCCATCATCGTCAACATCACCATTCTCTTCTGCCGCAATGATGGCCTGGAGCAGGCCGCGCTTGGGAGCACCGACTGCCACCACATAGCGTGGCTTGACATACAGCTTGTTGCCGTCGACCACTGAGACCCTACCTGAGGTTGGATCGATGCCTGAAGGCACGTCAACGGCGAGGACGAAGGCCTCGTTGCGATTAGCCCATTCAATAAGCTCGTACACCGTGGCCTGGTCACCGTTGCGCAGTTCCTCAAACGAGATGGCCAGCCCCAGGAGCGCATCGATGATGAGCATCACCGGTGCCGGATTGGTCAAATTGCTCAGTGACATACTACGTGGTGTATCGATAGTTAAAATGGGAATGCTCATCTTGCGCAAGTGCTCGAAGAAGTCGGTCTTGGTGAAGACACGCCCGCCCAGGTTGCGGTATAATCGCACCTGTTGCTGTACATCTTCAAGCAAGTCGCGGTCGCCACGTTCTAATCCGACCACGCACACAAGCACGTTGATACCCTTGTTACGGAGATGTCGGGCGGCGGCGATGGCTCGTGAGCCGGATTTATTGTTACCAGCCAGCACGACAACTGTCTGCGGAGGAGGATTGCCAGTCATGGGATCGACAGCACCGGCATGTCGGACCTTGATGGCCGGGTCGGACAGCGCCGTAAGTGTAACCTCAGCGATGCCACGGCCCGCATTTTCTGTCATCATCTCCTCCGTCAATCCGATTTCATTATGTGCGATATTTTCGAGGTTGAACATCTGCAGTGCTGAGACCGTCTCGATGCGCCGGTTAGACGGCAATACGTAAAGACCCTGTGGAGAAGCCGACGTCGACAGTTGCTTCCTCTTGTCAGCGGTCGTGGTACGAGACGAAAGTCGGCTGCTTGGCCGGCTTCCCTTCAGGGACTGGGTGCGCATCTGGCTCACACTGGAGTTGACTCTGCTCGGGCCCGACCCTGTCCCTCCTCCGGTCTTGCGCGACTGCGATCGACGATTTGAGCCAGCTTTATCACCTCCTCGGCGTGAGCTTTGCCTGCTGCTCATGCCCAAATCCCGTGAAATCAAGCGGTCGCTGCTGTGTACAACCCCGTCATCTGCCTCGCTATTCCAGAAGTCATTGGGTGTCTCCTTCGACGCTGGTCGATCCTTGGGGGGCTTAAGAATCGTCGACGGCATATCAAGCACATTCTCTGTATAGTGAAGGTTCTTTCCACCGGCTGTTCCGGGCTTGGGACGCGGTCGCCGGTTGTAACCAACCAACCGATCAGCCTCGTCAATTTGATCATTTTTCCTCAGCTGCTCAAACAGGTTCTTCTTGTCAAACTTGGCCAAGCTGCCCTCGAAGTCAAAATCGCCCATCTCCTGGACGTCAGTGACATCCTCGGAGGCCCAGCCATTATCAATGGTGTGCCTGCCCCTTGCTCTCCGTTTCAACGAGCTGAACGGCTGGAAGGATGAGGTATCCTGCAATATTGGGGTCTGTCTCCAGCCCTTTCCACGACCGACCATTTTTGTAGAAGTGTCCGGAGATGCCTGGTAATCTTCATGCGACACACCTCGCGAGCTGACCTGCCTCCGCTGCCGCCGCTTCTTCTTCTGGCCTGCTACATCTCCGTACTCAAGAACAGTTTCGGGGCCTTCTTTGTCCTGGGCTGCCTCAGCTGTCGCACCGCGCTCTCCGATGTTGAGCGCTTTGATTGATTCGGCGACTGTTGCTACGGTTGGAGTGACCTCGCGATTCGCATTTGGTACTGGTGCCAGATTCGGCATGGCGGGCTCGGGATCCCGTTTCTCGCTGGTAGTAGGCAGTGGGATGCTGGGGACGCGAGACAAAGTGGCAGACGGGCCCGGTTTTCCTACAGCCACAATGGCAGGGTCCACGAAGGCAGGTTTTGCTGGCGCTTGCGGGATAGGGAGGGGCGCAACCGGCGGCGCAACAGGAGCCACGGGCTGTGTTGCTGTTGCAACAGCATTCGGCGCGGGTGTGCTGGTAACTTCGGAAAGATCGACGATATCAGTCGAGGGAATCGAAACGCGGGGTTTCCACTCGTTTGTATTGAGATACCAGACTGTGGGATAGCGAGGGTGTGTCAGTACCGGGACGAAATACTTCCTTCGAGGAGATGCATGCCGATTCGAGATAGGATAAGACTCACCGTTGCTTAGAGTCAACCCAGTACCGGCCTCAACAGCGCTGACAGTTCCCTTAAGACGCAGAGGAGGGTTGCCCTTAAGGGTCACCAGCATCTGCAGGCCGATGAATTCCGCAGCCATGGCGGGCGAATCGAGGGGTGGCGCTCAGGAACAGGAAGCCCTGAGCGGCGCTGCGCTGGGTAAGGAAGAATATATGGGCTGCAGTTGGAGCACGAGACGGCGAACTGCTCGGTCAGATCGGGTCTTTTTCAAAAAGTTGGATGGCGAGAGCCGGCAGTGCTGGTCTTAGATGCGTTGCGCAAAGCAACGTGCGTTCAGACCGACAAAATGTGGGAAAGTTCGCGCTCGCTTTCCTTTGATGTCTGAAGGTCGACCATGTTTCGCAACTTCCAGGTTCCTTCGATCCTGATCTTTTGCTTATCGATAGGAGCCCCCTAAAGCTGCAAACCCCGGTTACATGCGTGGTGCAGGGTCGTTCGAGCGGGGCATGTACTCTTCGATGTAACATTAACGGCGTTTTTCGTAAAACTATGAAAATGGTCGCTGTGATTTTGGGCTTTATACATATTCAGACAGAGTGGTGTACGCTGGGCATCAAATAGCATACTGCTGTGAAATTCATTGGTGATGAACAGAGTAAGCAACCTCAATATCTAAGATTTTGGTGCACACTTCGTACCAGCCCTGGTAAATTCACGATTGTTTGGACAGTATTTGTCTCGTATCATACTGCTGCTGCTTATTGAATGTGTTTATTTACTGACATCTCGAGACACTTTTGTCCCTGTCCTGATTGTAACTCACTTGTCTCTGTAGACGCTGCCTGGATTTAAGATACATCTCCTGGAAAACGTTCCGAGCCCGAAATAACATGCATTTCCCGCTAAGTCCACTAATTCCACAGCACAAGACGCAAACCATACCCTTGCCCAAGAAGGTACCAAAGTCCGCCATAATACCATATGCACGCCAATCCCTTTCCTTGCCTCCAAGTGTCTTATTGGCTCTCCTGAGCTGTAAACCCTTAGCCATAGGCAATTCGGGCCTCTTCATTCTGCTCATCGTCATATCTCTCGTCCTGTGGCCTCGTCGGCGGCAGAGCCCTTGGGTCTCCAGGCCGCCTGATCGTATAACTTGTTATCGAGCCAGCGGCCTTCTTCTTCATCACCGACTCGGCTGTACTCAGTTTATTGTAAAACTGAATGACACGTGGGTGAGCCATGACTTTGGACTTCTGGAAGTTCAGTACCTGCAGTCCCTTTTGCGATGTAGCACGGCTGAGCGCGACATAGGCTTGGCCCTTTTCAAATACTTTCCCCAAGTCGACCTTGACACGCTCAAGGGTTTGACCTTGTGCTTTGTGGATGGAGAGCGCCCACGCCAAGATCAGGGGGAGCTGCTTACGTGCTGCTTGCACCTCACCGGTTGGCAATTCCACCTTCCAATCCTCCGGGACGCAGAGGATGTTGCGCTGTGTGCCGTCAACAGCATGGAAGCGTACCAATGGATACTCCTTATTAGCCTCTTTATTTGACAAGGCATTAGCAAAAGAGCGGATACGCCTCTTTGCATCGGACTCAACATCGGAATCGTCGGCTCCGCCTCGGATCTCGAAAGTTGACTCGGTCATAAAATCAATCACTGTTCCCAAAGACCCGTTGACAAGGGTGTCGTCCATATTTTTGATGAGCATGACCTGGGCACCTTTCTTCAGCTCAATTGTTGGTGGTGCCATCATATTGGCAAGCAGCTTGTCGCGAAGAACTGGATCGCTGCCTGTGTCAACACTGTCATATCGATATGTTTTACCAGCAAGGGCTTGGAGGCGCTTCTGGTTGGAACTGTCAACCTCCTGTCTTGTAGGAAACCTGATGGTATATAGGTTAGTCTATAACTTCAAAGGACGAGAGATGGAGACACACAGTTCGGTAACCTCAAGGCCATCGTCAAAGTGCAGCGGCCTGCTGAGAGCCTGAAAATTGCGAACGGTCTTGTCACTTATCTTGCCAAGACGCATCTCGTTGAGCATCTCGGCGAATTCTTAACTGCATTAGCATACTGCACAAATGACTTGAGCGTAAGCAATCGGAAAGCATACCAGGATCCTTCTGCCGGAAGACTTCGGTCAAGGCGATGGTATGATCAATCGACATGTTCCAAGTTGCTGCCTCAAAGGCAAACTTTGCCTCCCTTGTCTTGCCACTCTCCGGTACTGGTGGAAGCTGGAAAAAGTCGCCAGTGATGACCAACTGAATGCCGCCCCATGGACGGCCATTGTTACGGATAATCCTGCCGATCTGCGACAGCTTGTCAAACAGCTCAGCATCCACCATAGAAATCTCATCAATGATGAGAACTTTAGTCTTCAGCCACCGATTCTTCGCTTTTGGGTTGCGCCGAATCTTCTTCACAAGAGTGTTAACATCTTCCTTCCCGAGACCGATACCAGCAAAACTATGAAGGGTCATGCCACCAATGTTGCACGCAGCCAGACCGGTGGAAGCCGTAATAGCCACCCGTTCCGGATCGCGAATGTACTTCTTTTTCAGATCCTGGATAATGGCTCGCATCAAAACTGACTTGCCAGTACCAGCAGGACCTGTGAAGAAGACACTTTGTCCCTGCTCGACGACAAGGCTCTTAATGTATTTCTGCTCATCGCTCAAGACAATGGGTGCAGACTTAGATACGTGTGATTTCATCGCCTGATGCATGTCCCCAAGTGTTGCCTCAAACTTGATGGACTCTTTCTGCTGCTGTTGCGTCTTTAGCTGCTTCTTTTGAGCTTTAACAGCACTCTCCGTCGTATTCCATAACGGAGGATTTGTCTTCACTGGAGTCGATGTTGGGAGTGTACTTTGAACCTCCTTTAAGTCCTGATCTGCAGGTTGCCGATCCCAATTCGGGGGCAATTGTCGCTTTTTCTTGATAGGCACAGACTCCTGTGCCTCGTTGTCTGGTGACGGTCGTTTAGCAGCAGGTTGCAGCTGCTCTGCCATAAGCTCAGAAGGTCGAGGAGGGGGTCGGTAATGGGAAGGTGAAGATTGCGACCAAGAGATGACACTCGTGTTGCTAGCCGGAGGGGGCTCGTTCTGTTCAATCTTGCTAGATCCCGGTTCTTGTTGAGGGCGAGAGGGCAAGGCAGAGGGAGCCTGAAACTCCAAAGCCAGGCTTTCGTCATCGCTGAGGTCCTCAATTGAGAACTGCACTGCAGCAGCGAGCTCACTCACACTCGGCGCCGATGGCTGAGCAGCGCCGCCCTTTGTGGCTTCAGTTGCTTCGGGTGCCTCCTCCTCCTTAAAAGAATCGGACTGTTTGTACAACGATGCAAGGCCCTGGCCCTTAGGGAAAAACCGCGGGGGGTTGCTGTTAATAATATTGGGAGACCGATGCTGAAGGGCCGTCTTTGCTGGTGCTGCAGGAGTGGCTTTGGATGAATTGGCTAGGTGAGGCTTGTTGAACATGGTACTGATATTGCTCTGGGTTTTGGTCTGTGATCCGGTAGATTGGCCGTTTGATGGAAACGAAGAGGGTTTTCCTCCAGTCGGTTTTCGCGACTGCTGCATGGCGGCAGCGGCCCTTCCAGCTTCAATAGCCCGACCTAACATTGCACGAGGTTCAGCAGAGTGTCTCACCCCAAGAGTGTGGACAGTCAAGCGGCTTGCACGGAGCAGAGGATATAAGTTCCGGCCGAGGGAGAGGCTTGCTCGACGGAGAACTTGACTGGAGAGTTCAGTCATGCAGAGTTGTGGCCAGCGAGACAAACTGGCTGTCGAAGAGCGCTGCTGATGGTAAGTGGGGGAAGGAATTGTCCAGAGAAGCGAACTTCCATTCCAAAGTTGGGCTCCGTCGCGTCGAGCTGAGAAAACCGCGTTTGCAAGAATACTCCTTAAATGCGGGGAGCCCGTGCACTGAACAACACGACGGCCCTTCAAAACGCACTGGGTAGCAGATAGCAACCCTAACCCTTATTCTAACCATCAACTGCTAGGCCCTACGGATTGATACGGGCTTTGCGCTATGACAAAGGATCAAAACCAGGCATCTTCCTCAATTATGCAAGCTCTTAGTATTTAATCGCATATATTACCATGGTTTCCAGTGAATGTCTACTTATCTATTGCAGCATACCATGATTGTTGCTTGGTTGGATGTCCTGCTGTGAAAATGTGCTTACGTGAGACACGGGCCAAACGCACAACACTCATTTTGGAAGGGCAGAATGCCACATACCGAACATTTTTTCACTACTGCAGTGCAGGTTGTTCGGCCATCAAACTGCCCCCAGCTCATCCAAGGCACATCGACTGTAGACAAGGAGATGTGCTTGAAACAATCTGAGAGCAAGACCTGGCACTCGGCAGATCATCTCTGTCACAAAGCTTAACTCAACCCAAGACTGTGGAAACCGAAGAGGATTCGTCAATTGACTTCTCGGCATCTCTGGGCAGAGCTTGGCAGGGTCTTGATGCATCACGGCAGACGTCATGAGCTTGAAGATTGAGTCTGCCCATCAGCATACATATACGTATAACTTGCCTAATGCTAGCAGTGGTCAGTTGCCTGGCATACGCAATTCCAATGGCTAATTTTTGGGCACGTACAGGAGGACAGCTATCTTCCCTCTGCTGTGGAAGTAGGGCTCGAAGGTTCATGTCCATTTGATGGTGTTGCATTTAAAAGACTAGGATGGCCCTGCAAGAATAACTCTGCTTCTACTTGGACTCCTAATCCGGATTGTTCTTGTTACCTGGGTACCTAAGCAGGTAGCTATAACATAAATATTGGGCACCTGTCCTCGGTCATAAGACTGATGACATGCAACTATAACTTTCCGTTTCAGTGTACTCTTGACATCTTTAAAATCTCTCCGAATTTTCTTGTTGGCATGGCATATGTGCCACCGACAAATCAAACAGCGGATTGTGAATGTGCTTTCCGAGGCTCAGTGAAGACCCACAGCTTCTGCAACTGTGTTGATCACTTCCACCAACAAAGTAGTGTCATGCACTACACGTTGCTCGCAGTGCCAGAGCTAGCGTGTTTAGAATGAGTGTTTACCTACACAGTGTCCAAAAATGAACCAGGGGGCTGAAGATCATGGCAGTATAAAGTCTCGTTGACATTCCAATAATTTACCTTATTATCAAACCTGTTGTCCGTCTGTCCAACCTCCTGGCATCTCTGCCGGCCCAGCCCGATGCCTTTTCAATTACGATCGAGCTGTTTGAACAAGCTTCTCTCCTCGCTCCTTCCACAGGCTGTCACGATATCTCAACAGTCTTGAGCCCTTATCGCTATTGATGCTTACCTACCTAGGCAGGTATATCATTCCTTCCTCCCCTGTGCCAGAGTTCACGAGGCTCAAGTGACCGGGCCCACGCGTTTCTTTGGACTCGTCGCTAGCTCCGTTTCCTTACCCAGCACTCCAGACTCCAGCCTTGCCCATTGAAACGACTTCTTAGTGGTTGGTCCCAGGGTTCATTGGCGTTTGCGAACCGCTCAACTGGGAACCCACCTCAACCGCGACTCCACGTGTTCCCACTTTGTCATCCTGTCCACTTTGCCGCCGAGGCCATGTTTAGGACCAACGCGTTTCCTTAAATCCATTGTTGTATGGTTTGCGATTCGTCCCTGGTCAGTAATATTAGAACTGATTGAAGACTGACCGGTTGAGAAGTGAGACATCCAGGAGCCGCTTATAATTACCTTTATATCATTCAACGACATTAATCCCCCTTACATTACTCAGGACCCCAAGGCTTCCTATTCTTTTGACTGGAATCCCTGGTCCAATCATACAGCTCCTAGAAGCCGACATCCGACACCCCCATAACCAACTGCTCCAATCATCACGGAAATCTCCTCCGGCCCTCCCGTGGGCACCCTGAGCACGCCGCCGGGCACTAGAATATGGCTTGGGACAAACTCTCCATCACTGGGCCACATCTGGTCTACATCATCCTCGGGGGCTTCACCTCCTTGTTCATGCTCTGCTCCTCCATCTTCAAGGAGCGCATGTATATTGGTGAAGCCACGGTTGCGACCATATGTGGTGTGATTTTCGGCCCTCATGCTGCTAACCTCATCAACCCGGCCTCGTGGGGCGGTGTCGACATCATTACCATTGAATTCTCTCGTATCGTGTTGGTTGTGCAATGTTTCGCCGTCGGTGTTGAGCTTCCCAAGTACTATATGGAGAAGCATTGGAGATCGGTCTTCTTTCTGCTCGTCCCGGTCATGACATGGGGTTGGCTGATTACTAGTCTTCTTATTTGGTGGCTGATCAAGCCCCTGAACTTCCTCGAGAGCTTGGTTGTGGCTGCATGTGTCACTGCCACTGATCCAGTACTGGCCTCATCTGTTGTTGGCAAGGGCAAGTTTGCGAAGCGAGTACCCAAACATTTGCGCGACCTTCTCTCGGCAGAATCTGGCTGCAACGATGGCATGGCATTCCCCTTCATCTACCTTGCTCTGTATCTCATCCACGACAAACAGAGCGCCAAAGAGGTCTCATTCCACTGGATCGTGTACACCATCCTGTACGAGTGCTTGTTCGGTTGTGTATATGGATTTATCGTCGGCTATCTAGCTCGGCATGGCATCAAGTTTGCTGAGAAGCACGACATGATCGATAGGGAGAGTTTTCTCGTCTTCTACTTCACCCTGGCACTTTTCTGCGCCGGATCTGGAAGCATCTTAGGAGTCGACGATCTCCTTGTTGGATTTGCCGCCGGAGTTGGCTTCTCAAACGATGGTTGGTTCACGCAGAAAACAGAGGAGTCTCACGTCTCCAACGTCATCGACCTGCTGCTCAACCTGGCCTACTTCGTGTACCTTGGGACTATTATCCCGTGGGGCTCATTCAACGACAGCACTATTGGCTTGCAGGCCTGGAGGCTCTCTGTGCTCGCCATTCTTGTCATTCTCTTTCGCCGTATCCCTATCATGATGGCACTAAAGCCCTTAATTCCAGATATCAAAACCTGGCGTGAAGCTCTCTTTGCTGGCCACTTTGGCCCCATCGGAGTCGGCGCTATCTTCGTCGCCATGTTGGCACGCGCAGAGTTAGAATCGGAAGACCCGGTGCCCCTCGACCAATTACCAGCGCCCACTGCCGAGCACTACACACTCATCACTCTGGTGTGGCCGATCGTTTCGTTTATGGTCGTGTCTTCCATCATCGTCCACGGCTCCTCTGTCGCGGTCTTCACTCTAGGCAAACACATCAACACCCTGACCGTCACAATGTCATATACTGCGGCCAATGATGATGGCCCCCATTGGATGAGCCGGCTCCCGCGCATCTCATCCCAATCACGGTCTCAGGCCAGGAGCGTGTCAGAGCTGGAGGGCGAAGAGCTTAAGATGCCCGAGTATCCTCCAGGAACTTTACCACCTATTGGCTACCCTGGCAATTTCCTTCGCCGTGTAAGAGATGAAGACCATTCTGGACGGAACAGCAGATCTTCCTCGCGAGCCTCCCGCTGGAGAAGGAAGAGGTGGGATGACGGGATTGGCCCAGGAGGGCCTATTAGCCAGTCAGCCATCTTTCCCCAACGACGAACTCAGGGAGACCAAGCTACGCCATCTCAGCGCGCCAGTTCCGACATGCCGCAACAGGAGCAAGAGACGCCGTCGATGCCTACGGCAGAAGCTGGATCATCAGCCGCTGAAACACCTGCACAAGCCTCAACTTCCGGAACTACGCGGGTGTCCATGGACGCCCAAGGGCGCGAAGAAAGGCTGGAGGTCTATGAGGAAGGAAATACTGTTGTGGTGGAAAACCGGGATGGTGATGTGGTGTCTATCACATCCATCACTCAGGAGAATGCTGGACCTGATGCTAAAACCCTTGAGATGAAACTTAAGTCAGAAGCTGGTGCGTCGGGCTGGACTTATGAGGCACTCAAGAGGAGAATAATGAATTGGCGTGAAGCTGAGATGGAGAAGAGGAAGGGCAAGGAGAAGATGTTCAGAAAAAGCGAGCCGGCACGGGCCTTCCAGTTTGGCAACACGGTATGTCCGCCGCATATGAAGGACACTGGCTTTCTTCGATTCTCAGGCTAATGAACTATCTGCAGATCATCCTTGAGAATGAAGATGGCGACGTCATCAAGAAATATGATTTGCCATCTGACAAGTCGCAATCCGATCTGGTTGCACAAGGTCTAAAGTACATGGGAATGGGCATCTTTGTGAAGGTCCTAGACAAGGCCGGTGGGGCAGCAGAGAAGCCAGGTCAAGGCGAAGGAGCATTAGTTGCACAGAGGGGCAAGAAAAAGAGCTTGCCTAATGAACAGGATGAGGAAGACGATAAGCACATCCGCTTCACCATCGGCGGCATAGGAAAGCGCTTGACCAAGGAGGACTTTCTCAATGAAATGAAGAAACTGGACAAAAACCAAGCCAAAGCCCTTGCTCAGCAAATGACACAATCAAAAGCAAATGCCAGTCCAAGCAGATCAGCTGCAGGAAAGACTGGTAGCAGTTCTGCTCCGGCTGCTACCACGATGCCATGTATACAAGTAACGCCCGATGTTGACACAACAAAAGCGGAAGGCGAAACAGATGCGGAGCGCAAGCGGCGTCTCGCTGCTCTGAAGGGGATGCAGAACTTGAGTGAAGAAGCCCATGAGATCGAGACAGAGGCAGAACGACGCCGTAGAGAGGCAGCCCTCGGTCTTCGCCCTCATGGAGCCGAAGAGGATAGCGAAGATGACGATACTCCCCGTCTCCCACCCTCCAGAAGGTCTATTCGGTTTGCAGCAGCACCTAATAAGGAGAGGAAGGATTCGGCCTGAAAGGGCTTTGGCAAATGCAGGAAGGGCTTGAGGGGCATATAGTTCTGGGGCCAGTAACACGGCGTGTGGCTAGGAGTTTAGCTAGATGAGCATGCTGTACTGATTGCATAAGGTATCATGTAATTGCGGCGATGTTTGCTTGGAGGAGGAGTGCTTGGAGATAGATGAGATAACCAGATGGCTTGCTGTTTTTGCTGCTACTATGCTTGCTAAGATGGAGCCATATGTGATTCGATGAAGTCTTTGATATCAGTACTGATCTCCAGATGAGAATACTCAATGCAAGATGAAGCCATGCCAGGTACTCTTGAGAGGTAATGGAAAGGTCGATCACCATTGATGTCGTGCCTCGAGAAAGCTACGCACGTGAACTTGAAGAGGCTGAAGCACCCCGCTGAGGGACAGTGTGTGGACCCATTCCCTCCAGATGGTCAGCGCCAAGCCTAATTTGGACTAGCGCGGTCTAAAAGGCCGTCATTCCCTTGCCGCGAAAAAAAGACGTTTTGACCGGCAGGCGGCTTTCACGACCAGAAATCCTTTGTCCATCGACGTACTTTGCCTACCTAATCACCCCGCCCTAGCCTTAAGACAAAGCTGACCCAACAACGTGCGGCCCTATACTCATACACCTGAACCAAATAACACACTCTCCCTGCACAAGAGCCTTCCTAATTCGCCAATATGGTACAACTCGTTGAGGTTGAGGACGAGCACTTCACCCAGCCCCAACCGGGCCCAGAGGAGGATGATGATGAGTACACTGACACTGGTACGTCGCGCCTCGCTCAGCCCATCTTTTGCCCCCCATATCTGTCTCCCGTGAGACACCTGTCAGGATAGCAACTGACCAGTTTGTCCTAACTCCAGACTCTGAGATCTCCACCGAGTCCAACTTTGATCCCTCGGAAGAGACACTCGCCGACCGCTTGCACGCCCTGCGCGATATGGTGCCACCCGCCTACCGCGGCTGGATCTACCACAAGTATGAGCAGACAACATCAGCAGTGCGTAAGGCGTTGTCCTTTGCTGGCCGCGCCGCCTGGACTGTGTCTGTCACGGCTCTGCTCGTCGGCGTGCCTTTCTCGCTCGCCTATGGCGAGGATCAGCAGTATGCTGCTATGGAGCAGGAGCAGCGTATGCGTGAACTGGGCGGTGAGGTGCTCACTGCCGGTGCTCCCGGCAGCCAGGGCGGTGGTTTGACAGCTGAGCAGGTGAATGCTGCGCTGGGGAGGAGCGAGGCAAAGCCTGCTCTCTAAGGAACAGCCGTTAATGATGGGTGATGAACAATGATCGGGGTTTGGGGATGGCAGGGTTGTTGATGGCGACCAATTTGCAAAATCGCGGGTTTCGGCGAGGTAAAATGGAGAGATGGGTGCTTGGTGAATGGAACCAGGAAGTGTTGGATTCTTCCTTGGTAGGGAGAGGCATGGGATTCCCCGCAAAACCATTCGCATACTGTCTGTCGTCTTTGGTTTGGCCCAGAGACTCTTGGAACAGCTTCTGATTCGGCAACTGAGCCCCTCACACAATACGGGGAGAGAGAAGTCGGCTACCAGTCAAGGGGCCACATACAAATCTCCATATATCACACTCGGATTGACCGAACATTGTATGAAATGTCCATTCATATGCGGTCTCACCAAAACAACAGAGACACGCACACAGAACAGATGGACCTGGCTTCCTCTGTCTCTCCTCCTACCCCTTCCAATCAGACCTCAGCCCCTAACCTTCCTGTACATTTATGTATATTAAACTCAGATCATCTGCCATGGCGTGGCCATGATATCTTCTTCTCTCCCCCATGTGTCATGGGCTGGAGACGAAAATGTTGATGATAATGTTCTTTTCCTTTGCAGTCCCTCCTCGCTTATCATCTCGACTTTCATGGTTGGAGCTACTTGGTGGGATATACGGGCAGGAGTGTCGGGTAATCAACCAGTCAGGGCGGTTTGATGATGTTGTTGGGCATGAATCTCACCTCCTATGCTTTGCATGCAGAGCGTGAATGATAGTTATTCAATGCCTGAACTATTTCATGTGCTGTCTGGCCTGTCAGGTACTTAAGCAAAATATTACCCACAGCCGGTCATACACAAAAAAGGATGATTACATGAGAGCAGAACAGATCTTGCACGTCTCACCAGGGAGGCCTATGTAAGCTGTATGCAAACCGAAAGCAGAACGCCAACCTGACTTGCTAATTTCAGCCCAGCATCACCCATTTCGGGTAGTCAGCAGGCTAGAATGTACGTGTTTAGGTACTTCTTTCTGTAAGACTCAAGCCAACGATATATTGTTTATTTTTTTTTCATCACAGTAAGATAGGTTGCCTCCATCTCCCCTTCTCCCCAGATACAGTCTGCAAAGAAGACGCAAACAGAAGTATAACTAAGGGAGGAAAATGCTGACAAGCCGTGGCAGTGAGATTCAGAAAGTGGTATCAGGTATCATAGTGTAGAGAACACAAAAAAAAGACAAAGGGGGGGCTGTGCAGCGTGACCTTTTGTTGCTCGAAAAAAAAAAATAAGGTATAAAACATCTAGAGGGTTAACAGCATCCAGGGCCATCGCTGACTGTTAGCCAAGTTCGGGCCCAGGCAGTGAAAAGAATCAACATATCGAAACCAAGGTCTAGATATTGAAAAGCAAGACAGTAAGGCTTATAAAAGGAAATAGGTAGTAGTGAGCGAACAGGTAGAGCTCAGAGGGGCAGACTCTACAGTAGGAGAGGTGCAATCTAGGAGATGAGAACATGGTGGCCAGACCGTCAAGCGCCACTGAAGGAGTGCGCTGGTGAAGCAGAAAAAAAGGGGGGGGGCTCGTGAGGATAGTACGTAAGACAGCATTTTACTGCCCAAAGCTGGTGTGCTTGCGATGAGCATCTTGGAGAACTGTGCAACGTGTTAGTATCTACATAAGCGCATAGTAAGAAGCCCAAAGTGTAGTGAAACTTACTCTTCAGGACATTCATTTGCCCGGCTCTGTCCTCACAGGCGATTTGCAAGCCGCTACCATCAATGAAGTCGAGAACGACGCTGTTGGGAAGCTCCTGCAGCTCGACGTCGGGTGCATAAGGAAACTTGAAATCGCTCATGTGATACCGCTTGATAAGGGCACTGTGTCTGTTGCTGCTCATCGCGGAACCTTGCACGGCGCTCAGAATCAGGAAGCCGTGGCTATCGAGGCAGATGCTCCGGCGTTTCCAGAGGAGGTTGTCGGGGAACTGGACGTTGACATCGCCCATGTAGGCAACAATCGTGGGCTGGGTCGGAGGGACCAACGTGGCTGCGGCGTTGGCCTTGGAAGCGGCCTCGACTTCAGCAACATTTTCCTCAGCCACGGTGGGGGAAATAGCAGGCGAAGTGTTTTTGCGCCCAGTTGTCAGGGTATTGGAAAGGCGGCGCATGAAGCGCGAAGCACGGCTGCCCTTGCTCTGGTTCGGGCTTGTAGCACCGGAACTGTAGGTGCTCTTAACTTCGCTTTCAGAATCGGCGCCATCTGCAGTACGCGAAGGCGATAGCAACCCCGCGCCATTGGAAGCAGCGGAACTGTTCTGTTCGACCGATGAGCGTCGGCTCCCGATGCTCAAATGACGGGCCAAAGAACCTACCACTGAATGCTGCATGGGCAAAGTCTGTAGCTGAGAACCAGAAGCGGCCAGGTTATCTGTTGAAGGGGACTTTGCCCCTCTGATCAGTTCCTTCATCAGAGAAAGCGATGACCGCCTCCTAGGATGTGGACCGTCGAAATCCTTCTCCTCTGAAGCTTGATTGTCTGTTGTGCCATGATCTCTGGAAAGTCTCCCTTCCAACAAACCGTGCTTGTTATCCCGATCGGATGACCTGAAAGACATCACGCTGGATGGTCGCACGGGGCTCCGCGAAGAGGAACGATTGTGTACATCAACCACCAGAGGAGACTGCTTAAGATCCAAGGGAGGATAATCTCCAGTTTTCGACTCCGGAGCTCTAGGATAGGGCTGGTTCGGATCGCGAACAATGCGCGCCGTTACTTGAACGGATTCGGGCCTTCCCCTTGGTGGCATGCCGCCCTCAAAAATGGAGAGACGGTTCACCAAGGAACCCGATCTGCCACGCCTGGCTTCGGGGGACGATTCCGTCGATCCAGGAGGAGAAGGGCTCGGATTGGCTGACAGGGTATTAGCCCGTTCGGCAATAGACGGCGACCTGACTATCTCTCTAGTGCTAGCTTTGCGGACAGCGAAGAAGGTTGCTGATGGGCGCTCTTTCGGCACAAACTCCTGGCTATTTGCGTTACCAGATAACTTCTCCAATGCCTTGATGCGCTGCGAAATGCTTGAACCAAGCTTGGTGTTCTTGGGCCGCAACTCTGAAGCTGCAATTTGCTGCTGCTGCTGCTGCTGCTGAAGTCTCTGCAAATATGCGTTTCCAGAAGAAGCTGACCGAGGAGTAGTTACAGGTGAATCACCAAAGACCGAGTTCCTAACTGGATTTGATGCCGTCCTTAGAAGTCCCGGCCGCGGTGCAGGTGCTGCTTTCTCAGGTCCGCTCAAGGCTTTCTTAGAGTCATTGTCGACCGAGAGACAGGAAGACAATGGAGACTTAGCCACAGGTACGGGAGTCGCTTGCTCAACAGGTGCCGACTGCAGCTCATCCATAAACCCGTCGTTATCCAGAATGCTGATCACCGAGCGCCGCTTGTGGGCCTCAGAATCTTCAATAACCGTCTTGATAGGCTCGGGAACCTTGCGCCGAGACTTTGACCCCTCTACAGCTTCGGCCGAGTTGCTGGCGTTGTCGTTCTTATCCTGTAGATTGGCCGCATCAGCAGCAAATGACTCCGGGGTCTCTGATGCCGGCTGCTCGGATACAATCGCTGGAACCGCCTGGGCGCTAGTAGCGGAAAACTTGGATACGGGAAGACGGATTGCCGGAGCAGACTCCACCTTTCCAGAGTTGTCACCAGCGGCAGCCGCGGAGTCTAGAACTGGGGCTTCCGCAAGGCCTTTCGGGTTCTCAGATGACGGCCTGGAGCCGTCTTGATTCTCAACAAAAGACTCCGTGGGAGAAGTCTTGTCATTGGAATCCGAAACCGCAGTAACTTTAGCGACAGCAGCAGTTCCTTCAGTAGCACCTGAAGCTGTTTCGAAATGCTCCTTGTCGTCCTTTTGTTCGGATGCATTATTCTCTGTCTGATCATCTTTTGATTCGGAGCTCGCACCTGCGTCTTGCTTCCCGACTGAATCTGCCACATCGCCCTGCGGAGTCGTCTCTCCGGAATCGGGGCTGGGCGTAGACTCTGGCTCTTTAGCAAGGAGGGTCTCATCGGTTGAATCAGACAAAGACGAAGCCTGCGTAGAGTCACCGATATCAGAAGCAGCGAGAGGGGATGTGGCATGTGAATCAATATGAGTATCGACAGATGCATTATCCGCGGCAGTTTCGGTCTTTGATTCCGAGTCGGCCGTAAACTCGTGCTGGATGTCCTCGCGGTCTCCTGCCTTCTCTTCCGCACATACCTCTTCTGGTGCTGTTTCGTCATCTCCCTTGTTCCCCGGCGGGGCGTCGGTACCGCCAGCCTCGGAAGTATCGGCAGCCTGGGCAGATGTTGATTGCATACTGGCCATCTTCTTCTCCCTCAGCTTCATAGCTTTCAACAACCGGACCTTTTCGGGCGTCATGGTGTTTTGCTTCGCAGGAGGCGCGGTTGCGACGGGCATGATGGGCTCCGGAGCAGGGGCGGAAGCAACAGGATCGTTCTCCAGAGAAGCAGTTTGCTCCTCAGAAGGCTTCACGCTATACTCCTCGGCTTCTTCCTTGATCGATTCGCTCGGCTCTTCGTCCTGCCCTTGAGAATGCGAGCGCGCCTTCCGGTTAGAGAGCGACTTGATGTTCGCCGGGAGCGTTGAGATCGGACGATTTGCAGCACCAGCAGCAGACCTTGGCCGACCTTCCGCTGAAGGCCGCGGGGCAAGCTTCACGCGAGGCTTCGAATAAGGGTACGAAGAGGGGTAGTAATAATCGGAGCGCGAAGTCTGTGAGGAGGGGCGGCCCGAGACTTCGTCCAAAGTAGTTGCGGGGGATGAGGGCCTTGGGACGCCAGTGAACTGGGGAGGTTCGGGGTCGCTCGAAAACTGGGATGCTTCTGGCGACTTGGCAAGCTCGGCATCCAGCTTGACTGGAAAGTCGGATGGCAGCGATGGGGGCGGCGACTTGGGGCGCTCCTCGTCCTTAACGACCGACTGGCGCTTTCTTTCTCGCTCTTCTTCCTCCTCTTCCTCGGCGATTTCCATTAACCGTCTGCGCCGGACAGAGCTAGTCGTCGAAGATGTGGAATTGGACGCAGCATGCAGCGAACAGGCAGCCGAGAGTTTGGTGTCGGTAAGTTCTTTCGCATCAGCTATCGCGAAAACTGTATCGTAGGGCGAGAAGCGATCGCAGACAGCTTCGAAGTGGACTGTTACTCGGGCTGTGGGGTTTTCGATGAGTGTCGATTCGCCAAAAGTGCTGGGCAGTCCTCGCAAGGAAAGAGGAAGAAATACCTTGAATTAAGCGGGAGCAGTCCTCGGGCAAATACCTAATGATAACATTCCTGCGTCGATACCTGAGGTAGCCATACAGCGGGGACTTCTCCTCGTACTGCGAAATGAGATTACGCAGCTCGACAATACCACCATTCCCCCGACCTAGCAACTCAACCTCATCGCGACTAGCATATTTGAGTAAGAACCTGTCGATTGAACGCATCCGCAGGTCAGCAATCAACCCAAGAGGTCAGAGCATACACACAAAAAAGGGAGGGGATCGTTTGAGCCTAATGGAACGCTAGACGCAGCGAGAGGCCCGCTCAACCCCAGCGTCAACATACCATCCTCCTGGTTCAGCGGCGGCAGTTTCGAATGCCTCCTTAACCTGCTCGTTATCCAACCCATTCAACGACATCTCTGGCTAGTTTAAGACCGTCGTCAGGCACTGAACCTTGTCCTGTAGACCGTTGATGGTTCAAAAAGGGCGGCAGTGGAAGGCGCTCTGACAAAGAGGTCCGGAAAGACAGTGTGGCGTCGTGCAATGGGCCGGAAGAGTAAACACGGATTCAGCAGGCGCGTTGTGAGGGCGAACGGACAGTGGATGGTCGGTCGAGCCGTGGCACACATAGAACGGATTGGCCCGTCAAGATAAGGAGACTCTGGGAGAAAGCGCGTGGACGAGAGGGCCAAGGCACGCAGAGAGCATGGAATAGCGGGCGGTGCCGGGTCTCCGCGAAGGCTGCAGCACGGGAAGACAGGCAAAATAATCCGCAGTCCGAACCGTGTTGATCTTCGATCTCAGAGCCGTGTCTGCATCGAAAGGCTAAAATGAACAAAAACCTGGAGCGGCGAACCAGGTTCAGGTGTGTCCCCTCAGGGTAGTGGAGCACCGGGCTTAACCGTTGGCGATGACGCGAAGTTCGATGTCAAAGTCGACCTGGGTGTTCGAGTCATCTGAGGACGGGCAGCGCTCTCCAGACTCTTCCACCGGACACCGGGGCCGAAGCACTACTCAAGCAACAAGGGAGGGGAAGAAAAGAAGATAAAGGAAGGGGGAAAAAGTACAAGGTAACGAGTTACGAAACGAGGGCAGAAAGCGAGAACACAAAAAAAAAAGTCAAGAAAGGGGAGCCAACTAATCCGTATGGCTGCTGGAGACGAGCAAGCAATAGAAGGGAAATGAACGATCTTGGACGCTTTCTGCGGGCGGCAGTAAGGGGAGGGGGGATTCCCTGAGAGGACTGGGAGTGGACAGGATATGCTGTCTTCCGCCCTCTGTTGTCCGTCTTGGTTGGATGTTTGGATGATGCGCCTGTTCGCAACCTGGGGACAGGACTCAGACAGGCACCTGGCAAAAGGGGGGGGGGGGATCGAATGGATCGCAGAAATGCACACCACGCACAAGCTCAAGTGCTTGGAAAGAGGGGACGCCAGTGCTTGTCCCGAAAAAGGCTTCGAGAAAGGCAGGCGCCGATCCTCTCGGTGAGATATTTTATTGTAGCGATTGGCCGTTCAGGGAGCATCAACCACAGTACACCACAGCGCTAGCGTCTCAGGGGTCTTGTCTGGGGCCTGCCCCGGGGCCTGTCCGCACCCTGGCGGCTTGTTGGGTCCAAGGTCTGCAAAGCGTGGGCTGTGAAGGCTTGATGCATCACGTCTGGGCAGTGGGGTGCAGTGTGGCCTGAGCCGGGGTCTTGGACCAGGATCCAGGGGCAAAGAGAGATGATGGCACTCTCTGAACCCTAAGCAATGTCTTGGCTTGTGGACATCCCTGGATTTGATGGCTTGTGAGCCCGCGGATCGTTATGGGTCTTTGTCGGTCGCCTGTGTCTCAAGAGTTCCTACCAGTTTTGTCCGCAAGCACATGCAGACGTTGCAGAGCGCGCCGCGTCGTCACCTCTCTCGTTGTGTGTGGGTGCTTAACGTCCGATTCCCTCTCTGCGTCCACAGTTCTCGCCCAGGGCTTCAGAAGTCTTCTCTTCCGCCCCCCCCCCCACCCCACCTCCCTTGTCCTCCGTACCGAAGTCCCCATGAAATGAAACGCTTCTTCTTCTCCCGGCTGATCTAACCATTCCTGGAATTAGTTGGATGACCATCAGTTGGTTCCACAGCTGAACATCGACCTCATCATCATAGTTGTGATATTGTCCGGTGTCACCAAACTCTGGTAGGTAATGAAACACCAAGACAGGAAAGAGAGATTAATGCTAGTGTAAACGGTTAATAGAAACAAACATAAATCTACCTTTAGGGCTGCTGATCCAGACCGTCGGGAATACCGACCTCTCTCTCTTCATCCGAATCCCGGGTAGCGCGCAAAAGGTGAGATTTTTTGGATGCATCAGGCGCATCAATCATGAGCATCAAACTTCCCAATACTTTACCTGTCAATGATACTCTCAGCCCTATGATGGCGTACTGGAGGGTGTTTTGGACAGTCATGTTGGAGCCCGAATTCGGTCAGAGTCAGCAGATGGATGGAAAGTCAAGGGAGAGGGGGGAACAACTTCAAGAACTTTACGATCAGAGCAAAACCTAGTATTTCCTGACCAGTATCACAAGCTTGAAACGGCGCACCGGTACCAAGGGATCGTCAAAGCTTTGCGGTTTCGTTTACGGAACAATCACACACACAGAGTATATGTTCTTAAGGGAAAGGTATTTCTGGTTTTGGTCGGCAAATCAACGATGCTATCCCTAGTACTAGCTTCACCCGTACCATCAACACCGGAAGGGAGACACTTGCAATGGCTGGCATCGAGCCAGACCAAAGTAAGCAGCCAGGGAACCCGTCATCTGTTAGAAAACATGAACCCTGACAAAGAGAACGCAGCCGATAGTTCCTCCAATTCTGCCATCCCCACAATAAACCCAAGCAAAAGCCATCCGTCCCGTTGAAGATCACCTTCCCAGTCGATCCCCAAACTGAAACTCACGGCAATCGCGAGCAAGAAAAGTGCTTCCTGACACCGTTATCCCATATCCACACATAGCAAACCTAGACACGCAAACAAAATGCAAAGCAAGATGTAGAGCGCGGTTTTGCCTCAAATTCCCCACTAAACCGCTTGCTATTGCTGCTCAGAACCCGGCAGCTCAAATGCTCCCAGGCAGTTTGAGTGGTGATTATCATTGTTATCTCTCGCATTGTTGTAGTTCCGTATTCCTCAAAAAAAACCAGACCCAGGTGAACCGTTTCCTTCCTTCAGATTTCGGTAACTTGAAAGACATAACCGAACAAGTCCCTAAAGGGACACGATACTGACAAACTGGTTAAAGAACGGGCTCCTGTTTGCACTGTCTACATTGCAGGCGCAACCACGGATTTCCCCTCACGGATGAGAGAAGAGGAAAGCCTATAGGTTAGACAATTCAAGTCGTTTTGGTGGTGGTGTTGGCATCAACTGAAGTCAGTCTTTGCATTCCTGTTTGCCGATGCAGAAGTGCCATGAGCCGACTCTGAAGCGGCTGTGGTGGCTGCGCATCCATCACCAGACAGCCTGTTGCTGGTCAAATCGGGTTCTTTTTTTGCAGAACCAGACGTCGTGTCCAAGACATTTTGTGCAGAAACTCGCTGCTCGGTAGAGGATTGGTTGCCATCGGCAGCATGCCCGTTTGCGCTAATCACTTCGCCGGCACCAGAAGGGAGACTCTCCGCTGCAGTAGCTGTTGTCTCACTCGCAATCTTGTCCTCCTCAATAGTCGGCTCTTTAGGGGAAGCAGGCGCATCGTGTCCGACGCCGACTGCTTTGTTGACACTATTCTGATGCTCGAGAATGGCTTTCTGGTCGAAGCGAACAATCATGCATGACAGGTTATCCGTGCTAAAGCGGGCGAGAGCATGGTCAACCAGCAATTTAGCAGCTGCAACAGGATCTTCGATATGGCGCACCAACTCAACTGCCTCCTGGTCAGAGCAGACGTCCCAAAGCTACCGCCAGATGTCAGTATCACAGTTGCCAAAGGCCATATAGGCCGTCCAAAGCTTGACTTACCCCGTCGCAAGCGATGATCAAAAACTCATCCAGCTCAGGTTGAATGACTGTCTCAGTAGTATACGGGTGTCCAGTAACGAGTTCCTTCATATAGCTGTCGCCGAGGGCCCGGGTTACAGCAAGCACGCCATTGACACGATTGTTCAAGATAAGGCCCCCAGCGTTGGTGATACGCCTGCCTTCGTTCTCATCGCTACCCTTATGATCGTATGACAGGCGAAGAGCTTTACCCGACCGGCAAAGAATAATACGGGCATCGCCAACGTTGGCAGTATAGAGAACACGCTGCCTCTTCGCGACGCTCCGCAGTGCCTCGGATGTATCATTCGGCGCTCCATCTCCAGACCTGGCCGCCTCCTGAGCAGCTCTAGCGAGAGCAGGCGCAATTGCTTGAGACCCCGTAGCCGAGTGGTCACTCGGGACGCGATCTTCCCAGCGCAGAACAGCAATAGCAGCCGTGCAACCGCTATTCCTCTGTGGTAACTTCTCAAGCTGTGCGTCGACCGCGCAGAAAGTTTGATCCAGCAGCTCAGGGATGGGCGAGTTGGGGTTCTTCCGTATGATATCCTCGAGGATCAAGTGGAGCTTTTTACCACACCAGTCGGCCGCGAACGCACCCGCATGGCCGTCAAAAATGGCGAAGTAGCCGTTGTCCGTCTCGACATCCTGACTTGCCGCATCGGCGCCGTCCTGTTCCTGGCCCTCAACGACAGGGGCAGGTGTCTTCAAAAAATTGTAGAGAAAGGCATGGGTATCTTCCATGGTGCGTCTGCACTTCTTATTGCGATCCTCCCAGACACCAACGCGGAAGGTTGATCGAGGGCCTGGATAGGACTCACCCGCGGCATTGTTGCTTTGAGGCTGCAGGTAGGTCTCCTCCTCCTTGCCGAGCTTCTGTAAGGGAGTCTGGTTTGACGATTTTGAGTCAGTAGCCGAATCGTCGTGGTTAGAACGAGCCCCGACTTGGGTCAGGAGGGTGGCTTTCGCCTGGGCAATAAAGCTGCTCGCTCGAGCGCTCACCCCTGTGCTCCGGTGCTTCTTTTGCTCGTCCGAGCCGCTTGCGCCAGCAGGGCTTCCATTCCCATTGCGCTTTTCGGAGCTCGCGGCTTTTGAGGATTCGTTGTCTTTTTTGTCTGGAGAAGGGGATTTGCGACCTGCCTTCTTGTCACTAGACTTTGCAGAGTCCGACATAGTGCTGGTATCTGATTTCGAGCCACTAAAGCTTGAGCCAATGCCAAACATCCTAGTCAGCAGACCTCCCTCTCGAGAGGAGAGACTGCGCCGCTTCTTGCCTGCCAGCGTGGTAGACGGTAAAAGAGAGTAGGGGAGAGTACGTTTGGCGCGAAGGGGTCGCAGAAACTCGCGACCTTGGAGCTATCGTGTAGCCGGAGCTTGGGAGAATGCGCGCTGAACGATGTCGGCGGATTGTAGAAGGCCGCAGTCGCCCGAGTTGCCGCGAGAACTCAAATTCTTCTTTTGGAAAGGAGTAGATGGGTTGATGATTGTCGCGCAAGCAAGATCGGCTTCTTCGCGCCGCAGCCGGAGTCAAGGGTGCAGCGGTGAGAGCAGATTGCAGAAGGCAGAAAGAAGCGTCAGATAAGGTTGTTTTCCGGGCTAGAAATAAACACTGGTCAAATGGATGCCCGGAGTTTGTGGGTGGGTTGCTGTCCTGCGACCTGCGTGGCTGATGACGAAGGGTCAAGTGTTCTGTCACGGCTTGGTGTTGAGGCTTGACGGTCGGAACAGGATGATGTAATGCAGGACAGCGGCTGCGACTGCGGCTGCCTCTGCGACTGCGGCTGTGTGATTGTCGATGGATCGATAGGTCGGAGGAATGAGCGGTGCAGCTTAGGAATGCCGGGCAATTTGGGTATGGCGATGGGGCAAGAAAACAGCTGACGATAGAATGTGTGTGACCAGCAACGACTGATTGCAGTCGACGACAGTTGGATTGGGTTTGTGATGATCCAGTGTTGGGTAAGGTTAGGGGGGGGGGGGTTGACTCGTGAGGTGTGGCCTGCCCTGGGCCGAGATTTCGTAGGCCCTGCCTGCGGTTGCGCTGGCATGCAGCTGTTGCGGCAGGCGGTTAGCTCGCCCCAACAACCAATGGAAAGCGTCACCGAACCCTGACCGGTGGTGCGCCTGGATCCAAGAGCTCCCCCCCACTCTCTCGCGCCATGGGGATTGGAAAGAGATTGATGGGGTCGGGCTTCTTTCTTAATGAAGAAAGCCTATCAGTAGGCTCAGCAAGTAGAAGCCGCTCTTAGGCACCCCAATTATATAAAAAAAAGGGTGTAAACCTGAAAGTAGACTCTCTAAATATATATCTCTTAATAGCTTTGTAAAACAAAGTAGACAAAAATGAGATATCATACTCAATCATTAGTTCAATCTGGATGCGAACTAGCAGTCGCTCTAAGGTATAGTTGAATGTAGCCAATCGGGAAGGGAAGCAGTGACAATCCCACAACCTCCTGAGATGGCTTTGAAGGTAGTGGCCGGGTTGTAGAACCTGAGGGACTGGGGTCCTCACACAGTAGTATACGTGGCTTACCGCAGTTACCAGTTGTTGGTTGACAGCTATTTCTATTGCTGACTGAGGAAGTCCTCATCCTAATCCTGGGCATGGGTAATTCTATATACATGTTTATATCCAAACGTCGTCAGGGAATCTATGTGCCCTTTATACCCAGTGTGACGATTCCACAACCTCCTGAACATGGCTTTGAAGGTAGTGACCAGGTTGTAGAACCAGAGGGATTAGAGTCCTCACACAGTATTATCGTATGTGGCTTACTGCGGTCCCCAGTTGTTGGTTGACAACTGTTTCTATTGCTGACTGAGGAGTCCTCATCATTGTTTCTGGGTATGGACAATTCTATTGCATATTTATATTCGAGAGTCGGTGGTATGCCTGCTCTGCCATTCAGACTATCGTCAACCAAAGTTCACGATTATCGTTGAGGGTAGAGGTCGATTATCGGTGGTTCGTCGCGTCAATTATCTTTCCCTACCTGTGATTGGTCCGTCTCCAGATCCCACTCAGTGCTTCTCTATTAATTCTTACTCCACTGTTGCGGAGCGGCTGCTGGTCCGTAACACCCAGAGTCCTTCCATTGCTAAGCGTTTTCACTATTTTCTTTGGCTGTTAAGCCTTGGTGAACCATCTTCCTGCATTCCATTGGCCCTTGTGCTTAGCTCCAGGTTTCCACACCTATTGGCCTTGCTGGTTACGGCAATGTCGCCAGACAAGTTCAGATTATAGTCGAGGGCTGAGGTCCATTTTTGGCGACTCTTGGCGACGACAGTCATTTCCTATTTTGATTGGTCCGCTCCTTGATCCCACTTAAAGCCTCCTCATTGGTCCCCTTGCCACCAATGTGGGGCAGCTGCTGGCCCGCACCTGGGCCATAACAAGATGATATGTATAATATGGATCTTGTACCTTAGATATAGCAAAGCTTTATTATAGAAAGTAAAATTCGCCTAAAAAATATGTTTTGATGTATTTGCTGTAGAATGATAAGATGTGAGCCAGGGTCCTAGTCACGTCCCTAGGAAGTCACTGCGGGTCCTGCCTTTTGATAGGTCCTTTTTCAACATTACGATCTCCATCAGTTCTAACAGTCAAAGAGACTTTCTAGTCTCTGAAGTAATCCTCAGAAGTCAGATCTAGGAAATGCGATCACTCTATCTGGTTTATAATGATACAAGTTAAAAAGACATGAATCTTGAAGTCACAACTTGGTAAAAACATAATGGACCATCGCCAGATAGTCAAGGTACGTATGTGAACCATGATAACCCGACCAGACCTATAGCTTGAGGGCTCTACCACAGAGTAATAGGTAGCACGCTACAATGTTTGCTTGCTGCACGCACGCTGCTGCTCCTGCCTGTTTCACTTATCGAGATAGGAATGGCTGCTCTTTGTCCGAAATCACGTGGTCCCCGATCAAAGACAAAAGTACACCTCCAAGGCATGTATCAAAGTTCTCTGGACTTTACACAAGCAGCTCTTCTGTATTGCATAGTAAGACTCATTTCAAAAGTTTTCTGAAGCCTTCCCAAATCCACTTCCTTAACGGGCCTGTCAGCATCCAAACAACCAGTTCATTAAGCCATAGCATATAGGTAGCAGGGCAGGTGTTGTACTCTCATTGAAATGAACAACTAATCACAGAGAGGCCTCGTCAACGGTTTCACCCGATGGAAATGAAGCACAAAGCTTTGATTTTCCATAATCAGGATAGAAGCAAATGTATAAGAAATCCCGGAGTAACTGTTCATACCAAATTCCCTGTATTCGTGGTATCTCAGCATGCGCATTTCACATCCCACACAATCCTGCAAACAACGTCTCTAACCATTGTATTCCCTGCCTTGTCATCCAGCTTGCCATGGGATGGTCATTAAGAACCCAGAAACCCTCGGAGATAGTATCGCACCTAACCATGCCATCGCATCTCTGAACCTGGCCCAAAAAAAAAAGTGAAAAAAAAAATGAAGCGGTAGAACACATGAAAAGATTATGTCTAAACCGATCACAAAATCCCCTTCTCAATGAAGAGCTTCTTGAGCGCATCGGTGTCAAACTCGTCCTCGTCAGGAATCAGCTCCAGGATGCCAGTCAAGTTGACAAAGAGATCGCCCTGGTTGCGATATGCAAGAATGGCCGGTACACCTGCCGGCTCAAACTCGAGGTCCAAATAATGGACCTTGACGAAGTGAACAGCAGGGTAGGCGCGGACTAATGGAGATAAGGCAGCTTCAATCATCGCCGAAACGTCGCACTTTTTTCGTCAGTTAGCACATAGAACAATGAAATATCAGTACTAAAGGGAACATGGAAACTAGCCTCATGGTCATAGACAAACACGACCACCACAGTTTCCCTGGATACCTTCTCTATCGCATCCAGATAGCCCAAGGCATCCACGTGATCAAAACGGCCATACATTCTGACACTCGGGCTCGTCCTCCTATTGCGAATGGGGTTTCTGCTCTCCTGCTCGAGCTCGCGTCTGCGGGTCTCACGCCATTGCCGCATAAACTCGTCCTCATCCAAGTCGTCAGCAGTGAGCGTATGACCTGGGTCGCTGTCCTCATCCTCATCGCTACTTGTGACCCGGTCTCGTCGGCTACTTCCTCTGTCGAGGCTAAATACACTGCGTCGCGCAGCGCGGACCTTCTCTTTCCATCTGCTGTGGCGGGCCGCCTCGTAGGCCCGGGCATCAGCGATGACGCCCTTGACACCTGTGGTACGCCCATGGTCAAATGAAGGCGGCGGAAGCCTAATCTCGTTGCGATGATCCAGAGTCGGCATCCTCATGGCGGCCTCGATCTGTTTCTGGCGGTACTCGTCTTCCTCGTCCTGACTCTCCTCCTCACGCTCCCGAATGATATCCTCGCGGTCCTCCGGGTGATACTTATCAAGCTCAGAGCGATTGTTCTTCTCCAGAAAGAGTTGAAACTCCTCCTGGGCTGGGGTAAGATTCAGAGCCATCTTGAAGCCAAAAACTGTCGAGCGGATGGGTAGCGGTGATTTATGTAAGCACAGCAGGTGTCCCTGCGTATTCCGAGACACGAACTGGAAGGTAGGGGGGCAGGAGGTAGGGTGACACAGTGTAGGAGCGGGCCCTGGAGCAAGGCACGCGGCGATCCCGGGACAAGGTAAGCAAGGCAGGATGCTCTGCAGGATCTGGGGTTCGATTAAAGTGCCTGGTGGTTCAAGGATAAATATTTTGAGAGTCGGGTGTCTACGAAGGGCGACCAAGGCGGCGGCGAAGAACGGGCAGCGGATAGGACGAAAGCCAAGTCGTGTCGAAAAGTGTACGCACAACACACGTGTAGTACGACTGTGCAATCCAATGGTCTGCCGTAGAACTCAGCACTCCAAAAAGATGGGCACAGCAGCTTTTTTCCTTTCCCCTGGGAAATGCGTCAGAAGGTTTCAGGAGGTGTGGTTGAATGTGACGTTAGTGATGGAAGCCTGGCCGAATTGTGGTTGCCGGTGTGCTGGAGTCGAGACTGCCGTATCTCTCTCTTTATTGGCGGGAACAGTTTGTCAAGTGCCTCCAACCAAAAGTCTCGAACCCAACCTGACGAACAATCGACAAAATCATGTGCTTTAGATATGATGCGGGATGGTAAAGTGTGTTGATGGTAAGTTAGGGCAATGGAAAGACGGACGACGTGGGGCCTGAAGCGGGATCTGTAGCGGCAAAAGAAGTTGGTGAGGTTGGAAGGCGGAAAGTTGCAAACCCCAGACAGATGGCGCGTGGTGGACAGGGATCAGAGCGGCCTCGGAACAATGCGAAGGCGACAGGGAGTCCGAGTCACCAAAGTTGTCGTAGGTTCGTCAGACTTTGCAAACCACGGAGATCGAGTACTTGATGGATGATGTCTGTTCTTCTCAAATGCAGAGGAAGATTCGTGTCAGCACATTGAGCCTTTCATTGGTCGCCAAGGATACGGTACGCGAGAACGTGCAAGTGACCAGTTGCCCCTGCGAAGGAGGGGTTTGCCTACTGGAGCACAGGAGTTAAAGAGCCGCGGATAATGGGGGGATAGTGTGGACAAGGGTTACCGGCTGCTGGCGCCCGCTAGTGGATCTCTTTTCATCCCAAGCACTTGACAATGGCCGGGAACTACTCGACACATCCAGACAGTGGCTAACAAATAGCGTTCTGTCGCTTTTCGCATTCCAGAGTCTTGGACATATCACTAAAAGACATATTGCTCGCGGAGAGAAGTCATGGAAGCATGTTCTGCGCCCATCTATGTGGCGAAGGGGAATTTGGACGAAAACTGTTCCGTATGTTGAGTCATCTAAAGCCTCCTCAAGACCGTTTGTCCACATCAAGAGGCGATTTAGTGTGAAGTTCAAGCATTCAGTAAGTCGAGCTTATCTTTCTCCTAGGAGATTGCCTTCATTGATTATGAGCCTACTCTATGTATGTGCCTACAGGCAGCCTTTCTTCGTTTCCTGGCATAGCTAGGCTGTTAGCATACCATAACCTTCGGAATGATACAATTCGATATCCTATGTGCTTTTTCTGCATACACACGGAATGAACCTTCGGAGGTACAGAATGAGGTTTGCTTGAAATCAGTATAACGTGTCTGCTATCTTATGTTACGGCTCTCTGTCCTTGCCAACTGTTTCATCCTGTTTAATTCATGATATTGGCGATCACCAGCAACTGTTGCATTTCAAACAATGTTTTGCCCGCCCCTGACATGCCAAGAAGCTCTTTTGTTTCTGAACAGCTTCTTTTATGACATCCTATTGGTGTAACCTTCAGACCATTACCGAGCAACTCTCTGCATAAAGCTAAGGAGTTTTTCACGTATTCCAGAAACCTTCCATCAGACCACCTACAGTAGTCTCGGTATGAGCACATGGTGCAGATTTTTCAAACCACCGGCGACTTCCGTGTCATCGAAGCCATCAAAGCCATTTTGTGAATTAAACTATACGAGTCTTCCGAAAGTTGTTAAGAAACTTTTTTTTTTTTGCATTGAACAATATCTACAAGGAGTGATCCCATCAAACGTGTTTTCTTGTCGTTACTCCAGTATGAGAGCATTGCGGGCAAAGAGCTTAGGGCCTTTGTGACAAACAGCTCACTTTGAATCTTCGATTAGCCAATATCGCTACTGGGTTCACCGATAAGTCATCCAATGATACCAAAATCTCCATAACCTCCTTTTGGTGATGACAGGAGCTACATGTGTCTCCCTTTAACATTTGTGGCATCCCTGTTTCAACCAATGTTCATGTTCATCCCACTGTTTAAACCAACTTTCAAATAGTTACCTTGCTGGACTTAGGAAGAAAGCGAATCCAACAATACAATTTTTCTATAGAAGTAAGTCATTGATCTTTAATTGCAACCACGAAGTTCTTTAAGCGATCCTTCCCTCAACATTTTGGCGACGCTGCTCTGTATCGTTGAGAGCCTACTCGAAAGAAGCAGCAAGAAACTCAACAATCTGGAATTGCAACAACGTACTTTATGGGTAATTCTACAACGCCTTGGACCTTTCAAACAACATTGTATGTATTTCGTCCACTAAAGCGGCCTGGTACAGTAGAGACGTCCCTCGCCTGGCATGTGCCAAGAGACGAAAGCTGCCAGTAGTAACAACCAGGCTTCACGAGGACTGGGATCTCTCATTCCAGAATGTACTTATGCTTCAAATCCACAATCCGTAGTCCACCCAGCTATAGAACTAAGTCACGCTTGTGCTAATGCAACACAATAGGAGAATTATCTACCATGATCAGAAACACAGGATATTTCTTATTCTAGTATCTCAAAGAGACTGCCTAACAACACCAAAGAATGGGGCATCGTTCATAGAAGATATGAGTGATGTTTGCCGTCACACAGCCCATCCTCCTCGCCAAAACCAATGTCAAAACCTCCCATCATCAGTACCAACAACAACCGCGCCGAACCGAAGCCATTGTTAGCCTCTCTTCCCCACCAAAGCACCGCGCGCTCTCTTAATACTGAACTGCCATTCATTTGCCAGTCCAAGGGAAAAGAACAATCGTCAAGCTTCCCGCCCGCTCCATCTTGTGACCAGCATGTGTCTCAAGTCCAAAACGCTGAACCTGGCCGCCCCACAAGGCTGAAAAAAGAAAACATGTGGAATCCAAACCGGGACAGCACAGCCAGATGACATTAAAATGGACAATATTTTGGGGGGAAAACTATGATACAGCCAAGGTAAAGCTAATAACGCCCTTACTGGAGGCACAGATGGACAGAGGGCGAAGAAAATAAAGAGTAAGAACCGGAAGTAGTAAAGAAACGGAAACAGAATAATCAAAGAGGGAGCTCCACCCAAGACGCGAAATGGGGCCGGGTATCCAGAGGTCAAGGTCAATGGTCGTATCAGCATATATAAGGGGACCTAATAGGCCCAGACCTTGAGCTATGTGAGAGTTAGCGATGGCCCGGCAGTTCATTTGGCAAAAGAAACTTACAAAAGCGTCCCAGGAACCAGTGCACAAGCTTATAGCATCGTTTGACACACCCAAGCAGCTGACGCGGTTTTCGTGGCCCACAAGTGAGCCAACCTTCTCGCCACGGGTAACGTCCCAGACCTGTACGAGGCAACCGAAATCAGTATCAATGATGTGGCACACCAGCGTGGGCAAAGCGCGACGCAGGAATCAACTCACCTTGCACTCAAAGTCATCATAACCAGCGAACAGCAGCCGCCCGGAAACAGATGTGGCGACCGAGGTAATACCACAGAGGATCGATTCCGACTAGAAATAGATGAGTCAGACAAGGAACCCCCCCAAAAAAATTTTTAAAACATCGGGACTTGTTATTGCTTACCCCATAAAAGTTCAGCTCCCTGTCTGCACGGATATCAAAGAGCCGGCAGGTAGCATCGTCGGATCCTGTAACAAAGGAGTGTCCGTCGGGGAAGAATTGGATGGCATTAATGTCGGACTCATGCCCGGCGAACGTCTGGACGGCCTTGCCGGCGCGAATGTCCCAGAGCTTGGCGAAAGCATCGCAAGCACCGGAGATAAAAGTGTTTTGGTTCGTTGGGTTGAGGCTGATGCTCATGACATCTCCAAGATGGTCGGCGAACTCAACCACCTTGGTGCCGGTTTCGATATCCCACTTCATGCAGGTCATATCACCGGACGAGGTGATGATGCTGCGGTCGTTGATGAAGCGGCAGCACGATAGATAGCCGGCGTGGCCAGAGAGCTCACGGGCAACCTTTGTGGGCCCGTCGCGGTTCTGATTAAGGTTGTAGATGGAGCAGATATTATCGAGACCACCGCAGGCGACATAGTTGCCGCTCGGGGCATAAGCGCAAGTCATGACCCATGAGGACCGGAGAGGAATTGCATGGACCTTATTTGTTGTGTAAGCATCCCAGATGATCAGCTTGCCGTCTTGTGAGGCCGAAACGAGGTGTCTCCGGTCGGTCGACCAGTGCATCGCATAAATCTTTGCAAGGTGGCCCTTCAGCGTTCTCTTGGCCCTCATCAACTGATTCTTTGGAATCGGTTCATGCGCCTGCGCGGCGACAGCGCGGACTGTCCACACATCCAGACGCGTTAGCTGGCAGGCAATCCCAAAAACGCCAAAAATTGCAACGACGATGCCGTCGGAAAGACTCACGTGTTGTATCGGCGAGCTCCTCCTTTTTCCTCTTGATCCTGTCCTTGAGCGTCTCAGCCTCGCGACGCGCCTGCTGGATGCGGGCCTGCATCGCCTCAGGCGAAACGTCGCTCGACCGGCTTGGATCCATATCGGTAGAATTAAAGCGCCTCAACGTGATCGAATTGGATGGGAATTGGCGGATGAGAAGCCTGTTTCGTCGGCGACGGCGATGATCGAGATGGGGACGCTGAGGCGATCGCTGGAGGAGGTCTGGGTCGTTGAGATGCTGTGTGGAAGAAAGCGAGCTCCAGGGGTGCGGGCGCCGACCAGTAAAACAGCTGGCCTGGTCAGGACAGGTGCTGCAGTGAAATGACGGTCGGGGCGCGGAGTGGAGAGGGGGGAGGCGAGCGAGCCGGGGTTTTGGGGGGAGGCGATTTTGCTAGGTTAAAGCGCTGCGGGCCCGGGCAAAATGGTCGAATCAAGTCGTGTCGACGGTCTCCAGGTGCCTCTCGAGATTGAAACGCGACCGATCCCGTGTCCCGGATCGAGGTTGTACAGCTGCGCGCAGGTTACAAGCCGCAGGTCGCGGACGTTAAAAAAAAAAAAAGTGGAAAATTGAAGAATCCGGATGGTAGGAAGGCGAGCGAGGGAAAAAAAAAAAAAGATGCGGTGCTGCGGGTGCGGACGGTTAAGCAAAACCAGCTCGGCTGGGCGACGGGAGACCGGGCAGATTTGCGATTTATTCGACCCCTGCCCTGCCTGATTTGGGAATGGATTGATGGGGGTTCGATGGCTGGGGTGCTTCTGAGTTTGCAACCAGTGCGCCGGGCGAGCGTGCAAGGTGCAGGGCGACCTTGGACTCCCGGTCTTCTTTTTGGAGGCTTGGACCGTCAGCAGCTCACCTCGTTGTGCCTAGCTCAAGAACGGCGCGATCTGGGGTTCGAGGCTTCAGATGTTGTGGATTTGGCCAGGCTCAGACCGCTGGTTTTACTGTCAATTGGCGGGGAAACGCGCTGCGATCGCGAACCCCGATTTCTGCTGTGCAGATGCCTCGCGTTGCTGATGGGTGCACACTCGCAGAGAACCCAGGTTGATTGAGGTGCCGACTAGGCAGGCCAGGTCTGTGGAGCGGCGGATCGAACGAGCGACAAGGATATTAAGCAGGTGAGGTGCGAGTAAATCTCCAAGGAGCATCGGCCACTGGCCAAGATTCAGGCACGCCTCCTGCAGCCGGACATTAACGTTAACTCGCTAGTGGGTGCACGGACCACCGCTACATCCACTTCTATCGGTGCCAAGACCTTTGCACAAACGGCAACCTGGAAGCTCCCCAGTGCCTCCTTGAAGGGCCCGCCCAGGGCCCAGAGCAGCCTCCTTGCTTGCTCGCTGCACTTCGCCCTATCGCCGATCCACCGAGCAGAGGGGATTTCCAGTATTTTGCCATTCCTCGATCCCAGAATCCCAGGATGCCCCTGAGGATTGCTCGTACGAGGCCGACAGGTGAAGGGAGCGATGAAGAAAAAAATAATCAGAAAATATTGACGACAGCGCTAGTTTGCATGGTTCGCATCGCCAACCATCTAACAGCCATCCTGTGGAAAGTCAAGCACCACCATCAGGGAGATGCAGTTGCTGCCGTTGCATACTTCCATTTCCCCATCTGCGTGTTTGCGGCACATTTGGGCAGGGTCATCCCGCCCGGGGACCTGACCCGTGGGACAGCTTCATCGGGCAAGCAACTGGCTGCATCCTCGGCGCTTGACCCGTGCAAGACGATCTCGGCAGCGAGACGTGCCAAGATACCCCTCGGTCCGCACCACAAAGATGCTGTGCCGGAAGCTGGCAGAGATCTCGGGGTTTTAAGATCTTCAACTATACGGAGTACTTGAAGAAATGCATATTCAGGGCGCTGCCGCTCGCTATTTCTGTGAGGTCGCAGGAGAGAAAGGGGTCCATAAGAAGTCCCGTGTTGTGCATCTGGGCAAGCTGGTCTGAATGTGAGCACTACAGCACAATAATGGAGCATTACATAGCCAACTTGTCCTCCTTTTTGGCTCCAGGCAAGCCGTAAATACCTTAAGTCTCTTATATCACGGGTACCCGAGACATTGTCCCAAACATGCGGGAGGCTAGGTAGACATGTGCTCCGTATATCTCAAGTGGGGTTCGACATCTTGAAAAGCTCGTCTGGACTTCCTGTGTACCTCTCCCAGCCATGACTTTCGGCACCAGCCGAACCGGCTCAGGACGTCTCCGCCGATGCTAGCCTGCTGTTGTGGAAGCCAACGGAGCCCGACAAAAATATGAGTGTCTCTCACCTCCGACTGTCCACCTACAAAAGTGTTTGCACCCCCTCATCGCTTCACCACCAACTGTGGCTTGCGAGAGCGTGTGATATTGTTAGAACAACCAGTGATGCCTGATGCTTCAAAAATGACATGGCCTGATCAGAACGTCCTTGATTTCAAAGCACTGCCTAAAATAGAGGTACATCATTGGTTCACATTCACTCCCTGCAATGGGTTGGACACACTGACATATTAGCCTTATAGCTTCATGCCCACCTTAGCGGCAGTATCAGCAGAGAATGCCTTCATGAAGTCTGGCTAATGAAGAAAGCCGCAGGGGAGACAGATTTGCAGGACCCCTTGATTGAGATGCCTCCGGGGAAACATGACTACGACTTAAAAACGTGAGTATTGCAACCGGTACTCACATATCATCTCGCCCCTGAATCAAAAAGGAAAAAGATATTAGCATTGGGCAAGAGAGATACAAATAATGTTGCAAGATGATGAGTATTCCGTGGGTAAATGCTGGTTGTCCTAACGCAAAGTTCCGGTCTCTCAAACAGTTTCTTTCCCCTTTTCTCATCTTACATTTACCATCTCGTCAACGATGTCGCCAGTTTGCGCTATACGACCCTGTCAGTGCTTCGAGACTTTGCTCGTGATGGTGTAGTTTACTTGGAGCTGCGGACCACTCCGCGAGCTATGCCCGCGGCCGGTCTTACGAAGGAAGGCTACATTCAAACTATTCTCGATGCCATTGCCGAGCACGAACGAGAGCAATTAGACAAACCGGAGCCAAAGCTCAGGACAAAGCTTATCCTTTCTGTATGCCTATCAGCCATACTCAAGCAGCCAGGCACAACGCTAACCTGTTTCCCTCTGCAACCAGGTCGACCGCCGTAACACCCTTGAGCAGGCCTATGAAGTTCTTTCCTTGGCTACCCGCTTCCTTGGAAAAGGTGTCGTAGGCATTGACCTGTGCGGCGACCCGGCCGCCGGCAGCATCTCCTCCCTATCAGCCTTCACGCCAGTCTTCCAGAAGGCGCGCACCCTGGGCCTCGGGGTAACGGTTCATTTTGCTGAGGCCGAGTGCAGTGGTACGGATGCTGAGCTGCAGTTGCTTCTATCGTGGCAGCCGGACCGACTGGGGCACGTCATTTGTGTGAGCGATACGATGAAGCAAGAGATCAAAAAAAGGGAGGACTTGGGTTAGAGTTATGTCTGAGCTGCAATGTGCACGCGGGCATGGTCTCAGGCGGGTTTGAGGGACAGTATGTCAAGTTCATTTGATGCTTATCTTCCTGATGCGGGCAAGCTGACAACAGTGTAAACAGTCATTTTGGAGAATGGTGGAAGGTCTCTGAAACTGTGGTAGTTCTGAGCGTAAGTGACCTGGCACCTTCTTTTGGAATACACGATCCAGAAAACTGGTACTGACGGCTGGGGGGGGTTTGATACAGACAGATGATGTGGGTGTATTTGGAAGCCCTCTATCCAACGAATATGCCCTTGTTTCCCAGCATTTCGGACTTAGTCGGCAGGAAATCTGTGATCTTGTCAGAAGGGGCATAGACGTCATTTTTGGAGGAGATGCTGAAAAAGAACGGCTTAGGAGAGTTCTGTGGACGGCATAACACGCACTGAACAAAGCATCATGCTATGACAAATACCTATTGTACGCCTTCTAAGAGCAACGGATCATACAATGACATAAATAAGGAGAAAATAACTAACGAGCGGAGTGTCGCAATCCCGACTGAAATAAGGCTGCTCGGGCAGCATCGTCTTCGGCGACTCTGCTCATTTGTACTGCCTCTTGACAACCAACCCCCCATTTATACATGGACCTGGAATTTTCATGAAGATATCTCCTCCCAAGAAGCCGAGTGTCCACCATTTCATAGCAGTCGCTCCGTGCACCTACTTGGTATTTCCTCCATCCTCCTTTTTTGAAACCCTGGATATCCCGACAACGCCAATGCCCAATGCGGCCAAAGTTTTCTATGTCAAAAAACCAGTATCATCATCCGCCTCCTCATTCAGTGGAAACCATGGGCTGCAGGTGGGTGACCATCGAGATCCAACATCTCAATCTGCTGCCTCTGGGCTGCGCTCCTCTGGGCGAGGTTTCCGAAAAAGCGGAGAGCATCGTGGCTCTCCTTGCGCACCTTGAGCGTGGCATCCCGGCGGTTGTCGAGTTGCTCGACAGAGCGCTGCAGGCCGACACGCAGCGAGTTGGCAGGGATGTGCAGAACTTTCCGCACAGTGGTAGAAATTCTGGAGCTGTTGGAGTGGACGTAATCCATGGCCTCGAGCTGGCTCGCGATCTTGCTGCTGAGTCGGTGTGGGAGCGAATAAGGAATTTGCTTGAGGACATAGATACCAAATGCAACAACTTGAAATGTCATAGTTAGTACAAGGAAAAACGGAAAGTGAAGAAACAAATTCTCGAGGTACTTACCAGCTGCAATGGCACCAGGAATAATGAGACGGCGTAGATTGTCACTGCCAAGCAGTTGGGCAACACGGAGCGCAATGTTTAGCTCCCCGTAGCTGCCAATAACGCCGGTCCCGACCACACCAGCCAAGGTGATGGCCATACCGGCCTTCTCTTCTTTCTGGAGGAGAGTGGACCAATCAACAAAGTCCCAGAACTCAGTGGCAATCTCAACCTGGCGAGCGAGCGCATGCTTCTTGTGCTGGAACATGACGTCGGACTTGAAGTTGAGATTCTCATACTCGTCGCCGAGGTGAAGGAGACCAAGTTGCTTGATCATGTTGACACCAGCGACGGTCTTGGTGCGGGCATGCTCCTCGCAGTGAACGACTGAAGCCGCGATTTGAGCAAGCATTGCCTCCTTAAGCTGGTCTGCATACTGGAACGCACCGAAGAGGCCAGGGTACGGGATCCCAAGGTTGCTGTCGCCAATATTGGAAATCGTGGAGCTGATCGTCTGGCGAGAGTAGTCGTAGACTTCCTTGCATGTTTCCTCAATGGTGAGATCGATCTTCTCGTTGATCTCCGTTCTCGCCTTCTTGCTTGACTCTAGCTGGGGCTCGAGCTCCTGAAGTTCCCTGTTCACCCTATCAAACTCTCCTTGAGCGACTTCTACGTTGACAGTGGCTAACACATGCAGGTCACTCAAAATATTCAAGAGATACGTTTTCGCCGGAGCCAGCTTGGAGCGCGCGCGCCTCTCGAGAACAAACCGGCGTAGAGACTGCTCAAGAGCTGTGAAATCCCTCAGCATCTCCTTTTTCTTACCCTTCGGGTCATCATCCCCTGGGTCGTCGCCAAAGCCACCACCGCTTGAACTGCCCGATCCGCCGCCACCTGGGCCGCCAGGAGGTGAAGGGGCCGTAGGAATAGCCGCGCTAGACACAAAGTGGACCAGTTCACCAGCCTCCTTGTACGTGCTCGGACTCAGTGTCCTGATTTGGTTCAGGATCAGCTTCTGGCAGCGCTCCTTATCCCTAATGGCATCATATCCATTCACCACGATGAAGAGATAGGCTTTCTCTGCAGCTGCTGCCCTGATAAACTCCGTCGCAGTTTGAGTGAAGTGATTGCTAGCTGAGACGACAAACACGACAACGTCAATCTCCTCCTGACGGGCGAAGATGGCCGTGGTCTTTGTGGTGTCCATGTTCAGGCCGGGGGCGTCGATGAGAGCAATGTCCACAACACCATTGTTGAGGAGAGACTCGTCGATAGTTCGGATGTCTCTGACATAAATCTTGCATTGCATGTAGACTGAGTTGTCCACAACAAGCTTTTCCAGGGCGCTGAGCGGGTAAACATCGTAGGTTGTTTCATCATGCCGGTCGTATATGGCATCTTTGTGAACTGCATGGACCTCTTCGATACCACAGTTTTCGCGCGCGTCCAGAACCTCGCAGAAGATACTGGTGCAGGGCTGTTGGTCCTCCGGCAGGATCTTGCGCCGCAGCAGAGCGTTGCAGAACGTCGACTTGCCAGCATTGAGATCACCTGTAACCAAAACTTTGCTAGACGTATCCTCAATACGCTCACGGAGCGATTGCAGATGCCTGATACTAGACTGAATCCGGCCATCGAGCAGCGAAGCAATCGAACTCTTCTCCAGCGAGTGAACCAGCTCAGCCTGGTGCAACGCGCCAAGCTTCAAATCCAGCTTGAGCACTGAGAACTCTTGGGCGATCTGGGGTGTGACAAGGCGAGGTTCGGCAGGCGCTCTGCTTTCGGCGAACCGACTGGACTCAATCTGAGGGTCTTCCGGCATGGTCATAGAGCGTCGTAAAGGATAGGAGGAGTTCGAATATGACGACGAATTCGGAAACTCGCCCGACATGGTATAGGAAGGTCGAATACCGGGCCTCATAGGCGGGTAGGGAGGCGCCTCAAGCGCAGCGCGCTGCACCGAGGGATAATGTGCGGGCCATACTGCGTTTTTCTCCTGCAGCTCCCTCAAGAGTTCGACGACGGTGGTGATTGCACGGCCGAGAACTGCCCGATGCTGGTTATACCACAGCTGGTGGACAGCTGCAGCCTGGGAACGATTCTCGGCAACGGCGCCATGGGCCGACGAGGACCCAGAACCCTGGGGGCGTATTGGCCTTTCTTCATGGATGGCAGAGTCCCAGGTGTGTGCGGTGCTGGGACCGAACAGGGACGGGCTTACATCGTCACCAGTAATGCTTCCGTAACCACTATCCTGCTCGAGCATGGCTTGCAAACGGGCAGCGTGCTGAGATGTCGAGCCGTTGCCAACAGTCATGTATGCAGGAGTGGTACTCGCCACCGGAGCTCTCGAGGGTCGCGGTTGGGTCGGCGCAAACGCAGACGAAGACGGGGCAAAGGACGCAGCGAGGTCATCCTCTTCGGCGTCGTCGTGGTGCCTCGACGCGCCCTTCCCCTTGGGCGAGAAATATTCCTGGCTCATTGTGCCGAAAGCATCTAGCAACGAGAATGGTATTGGGGTGGTGAGATGTGCATAGCGGGGTCGATGGGGGATGTCGAGCTGTCGACGTCCAAGGTGAATTCAGGTTTCTTTTTTCCCACATGAAAATCGGATGAAGGTTGGGCATTGCACGAACCAGAGGGCTTCCAGAGCTAGGCCGCCAAGAAAAGTGTGGGTCTCGATGAGGAATCTTGTTCCGAGTTACTCCTTAGGTGGTTACATCTGTCACGACCAAGTCAGTGTAAGTACCTACCGTTATTGACGGATAGAGGCAAATCCCGAGCCACAGCTGAACTTTGCAAATCTTTCTTCGACCGCCTTCTTAAATATCGAATCGCCATATAACTTTCGGACATTATTGTTACACAAGTTCTGAAACCTCAATCGGAGTGTGGATTGGAGTCAATTGCTTGCTTATATAATTTATAGACTACTTCCACTAGCTGGCCATAGCGGGAGAAACAACGGCAGGGCCAAACGGTAAGGACATCGGTAATTCAATGTTTCCATGCAGGGCTGTTGCTTGAGTGTCATACGCGCCCTGGAAAGCCTCGAATGAGGTCATCGTGGATCTCCGCCCCAGGTCGCAGTGGCTTATTGGCCTTTGATTGGCCATTTTTGGATCTGTGGCTTGACTAGTGCCGCATCGGCCAAGCCGCCGTTGCCTGGTCGGCTGCGCTCCTTGTCTGGCCGACGAGCGCCGTTTGGCGCAGTTCAAGTGATAACCTCCCACCATCAACACTCATTTCAACACTTGCCCGCGAGGCGACCCCGATTTCTGTGCTCCTAAATCGCCGGCTCAACTTTCTTACTTTTCAATAATCTTATATCAGCGGTTGTCAACATGAATGTAGGTACTTTTCTCTAGGACCACTGCGATCGGGAGGTTGAGGACGGGTCGGGAGACTGATGCGGTTTCCAGGTGCTGGAATGGGCATTCGGCAAGCGCGTGACGCCTGCAGAGCGCTTGCGCAAGAATCAACGACTTCTCGATAAGGCCATTCGAGAGCTCGACCAGCAGAGGATGAAACTAGAACGACAGGAGAAGACACTCATTACTCAGATTCGCCAGAGCGCTCAGAAGGGTCAAATGGGCGCTTGCAAGATCCAGGCCAAGGATCTTGTTCGTACCAGGAGGTATGTTAAGCTTGCTGTGCCAGTCATTTTTTGGATTCGTTCTTACTCCTGTGCTAGGTACATTGAAAAGTTCTATGCTATGAGAAGTCAACTACAAAAGATCTCTCTCCGCCTGCAGGTTAGTAATTAGTCATGATGCGCTGGCAACGGGCTCCTCCGGACTGCTGACACTGCATATATCCAGACATATCGGACAAACGAGCAAATGATGCAAGCCATGAAGGGCGCCACGATGGCTCTAGGGAGCATGAACCGCACGATGAACTTGCCGTCGCTTCAGCGTATCGCGATGGAATTTGAACGCGAGAACGACATCATGGAGCAGCGACAGGAGATGATGGATGACGCCATCGACGATGCCATGGATGTTGGGCTTGAGGAAGAGGGTGACGAAGTGGTAGAGCAAGTGCTAGAGGAGATTGGGGTAGACTTGAAGCAAGCGGTAGGTTCTTATTTATCCCGCCATTTCTTGCACATGTATTACTGACGTTTGTTGCTTTAGCTCGGAGAGGCACCCTCTGGCTTGCAGTCAAGTTCAGTGTCAGAACCGAAGATTGCCCAAGCCATCGGTGGCGGGGGTAGCGGAGACCCCGGTGATGATGACTTGCAGGCACGGCTTGATAGCCTGAGGCGATGAAGTGTTTCTGCTCTACGGAGATACGAGACTTGTTTTCTATATGACATGATGGCTTAGAGGCTTTGGACGTTTTGCGTCCCAGGAGCTGTTTTGGCAGGTATCGAAACGGCGTCTTCAGTGCTTCCAACAGGATCTAAGGTGCGTCAGTGGCTTACGAGGCAGCTATACGCGAAGTAGAGAGCTTGGAAGTAAGCTTCCTGCATCTTATGGATTGGTTGATTCCATCCTAGGAATCCATCTGTTGCTGATCCAGATGCCACGCAGGTAACTGCTGTGGCCGCGGATCTCCATACTTCCTACTTCGTCTTACCGTCGAGTCTCCTGGTGTACATGTGAATCACAGAGGAGCTGGCAGCTATTGATTGCAGAGACACATTCCCCTCGTTTCCATAATCCAAGAACTGGGCTGAGAGGTGCACTCTAGCTGGTTTTCTCATCTTGGGTTTGGGGGTCATGCTTTCACTAAGAGTCAAAAAAACATACACGAGAATAATGAGAATCGGAAACAAGCTACAACTGATACAGAGATCCAATCCAGTGTCAGAAGCCCCAGATCCTATTTCATCAGTTTTACCCCTTCCTGTTGACATGGTGTCTCTCGAATGATGAACCCAGCAGTTTGGGTCCCGATCCTCGTATCGATCTTTGCTCCACCTGGGATAACAGTCGGATGCCGAGCGGCCGTCATCCTGGCAGCGGAGCAGACCAACGGCGCTGAGTGCCCAGGTGGACAAGGGTGAGTGGAGCCAGCTGTCAGACAGGATTCCACCAGCAGACTCGGTAATCTCTGTAATATTACGCTTAATGCATACGTTCCTTACAGCGAGGAATTTTTTTTCTGGCTCAGCAAACTTGACTCAAATATGTAATTTCAGTTCCTAAATAGAATAAATTTATAAATTGTTGTCTACTCGGATAGCTTGTCTATAATGAAAAGATTAATCATGGAAAATTAGGAGAGTCTCTTGATGTGGGTAGTTCCATAATGTGACGAAACCAGGTTGGAGTACCTTTATGTACTGGCTGTAACTGACAGCCTGTGGCGTGTTGGGTCCCACAAATCAAGCGGCCCGCTGACGTCGTCCAACATCACCCTCTCCTCTGGCGCGGGGGCATCAGAATCCGCCTTCTGATAAGATGCATGTACAAGTTGAAGGTTATAGGAACATTGAGAAATGCATTCTTCACGGCCGAATGCAGATGAATATAAGCAAGGCTGTTCACAGGAATTGTACTGTCCACAGGAATTGTACTGTCTGTTTTACATGAAGCATAGTTTCTAGCTGCACAAAGGCCAGACTGCAAAGCCCTGATGTCTGGGCTTGCCCACGAGAACCATCACAGACGGTGCCACAGGAGCTCTTGCATGAGTGACTTCATTACCAGTCACGATTACTGGTACGTAGTCCAACTGGCGATCTTCCTCTCATATTATCCCGGATTCCACCCATCACGAATATGTCACAGCTTGTCTCTCTGTCAACCTCAACCCCCTCCTCGTTCACAGCCCTTCGACATTCCGAGGAATATTGCGGAAACCCTCTTCAACTTTCCTTTGTCTCCTAGGCCACCACATAAAGCCGATTGCGACCCGCCGAACGTTTTCACCTAGTCACCCAGAGCCCGGATACTGTCACAACTTTGACCTCCACCCCCCCACCTCCCCTGCTCCCCTGCTAGTCTAAGGCAACAAGCGCCATCCTGCACAGGCCGGAGCCCGACTTCAAGCTCACACCTTATCATATCACCACCACAGCTTGTACTGGGCGGTTCGCCCGTTGAGTCTTACAGAAAGGGCCTCTTGTGACAATCAAAGTCAGTTGCTTTTTTTTTCCTATCCACGAGATGCAAAGGATGTGTCTGCGTTGATTGGTTTTTGTTTCTTTGCCTTCCATTCACTCGCGCAAGTGCCTTGTTCAGCAGGTACCAGGTATCTTCGTCCTGGTTGTCGCTTCTCTGCCTGAAGCCCCTCCCCCTCCTTCTTTGTCGTCCCGTACTCCATCCTGCGCTCTACCCCACGCCGCACGGCACGCCCGCGGGTTCCCAGCTTCTCGCCTTGTTTCCCCAATCTCTCTAGCACGCCAAAGCGTGTCCGATGCAGTAGCATGCATTGCACATAACACAGATCGTTTTCTCCATCGTCATGGAATCGCGCAGCAGCAGCAGCAGCAGCGACTTCCCCCACACTGACCATCCTCTCTCGCAGAGCATCCCAATCGATAAGACCGAGGTTCCCTTGTCTGAGCGGGAACATCGACTATCAAGATCTCTACCCATTCTTCGATTCCCCAAACCCCAAGGAAGTCAGGAACTCGCCAACTGGATCTCGAACAGCTATCAGATTATTATCCAGTCCCCCGCCATGCCGGATGAATCCAATCTGGCCGACTCGGCCTTTGAAATCATCCACAACACTGATACCGAGAGCCAAGATGGCCAACTAACCGAATCCACAAGTTCTCTGCCAATCTCTCGTTCTGATGACGTGGAGAGCCTCGATGGGACAGAAAGCCACTACAACTCCGAAACTGACGACGAAGAGGCTCTGGAATCTTCCCACGCCTCCTCCATTCGCTATGCGGATCAAGCTCTCCAAAGCCCCTCTCCCCAGCTTCCTGCCAGCACTCTCCACCACGGTTCTTCCACCGATGGGTCAGGTGTCATGGTAGGGTCGATCGAGTTCCAGGAAGACAATAGAGAACATAAAAGCGACAGCACAATTCTCTTGGAAAAGATCTCCGTCAAGCATGCAATCAAGGACTTTAATGAGGAGGAGTCCGCCGCATTGGCCCGGACTCTCGGCCTGCCCAATGCACCCAAGCGACTGGTAGTCACTGTTCGACAGACAATGTCCCAGTCCTACCTTTCAACGGAGAAACCCCTGCGTGTTCTCTATGTCGGCCGTGCTGAAGCACAACGGAGTATCATCCTCAAGGTCTGCAACGCAATCTGGGTCTCCCCTAAGAATAGTGACAAGGATGCAGACTATTTCAACAGTCATCGCGAGGGGCTGTACAATATCATACCCATCTCTTCATTTGGACCCAATCCTGAGCTCGATCTCATGGAAGCGTCTCACTATCAGATCAAAGTTGAACACTGCACCTCTGCCCACGAGACAATTTACGAGGGATCATCTTTCCCCAACGACACGGTTTACTCCATCACTCTCGAACACGACAGGACTTACACATCTTCCTTCTCTCCAAGCGGTTCTCGAATTCAGCCAAAGTGGGATCTCCCTCACATTGCTATATTTTACTGCTCCGAGAAGGATGATGCCGAGAGCACGCGGACGAGAGATGCTGCGTGGGCTTTCATGAAGCGGCATGGCGTTCCCGTTATGTTCATTGCCGAGCAGCAGATGTTCAAGAACAACTCCAACGGCCGCCACTGGAATGATTACATTGATGAAGACACACCTCATCTGTGCCTTGAGTCTCGCGATTCTGAGGCTCCCATGTCTCCTCAGCGGTTCCCAATTGATTACAACTCGTTTGCCGATATTGATGCACGGCAAATGAACCGAAATCTCACTTATCTGACTGGCCGCTCCAAGTCAGATGACGTCTGTGAGGATCAGGCCTCGTCCAATGTGTTCCCAGGATTTGGTCTCTTCAAGAATTGGACCTCACTGAAGGAGAATTCCACTGTTTTCTTTCAACGCCTGGATCTGGCGTGGTGGATCTTCTTCTGCGTGTTCCCCATCTTACTGCCTATCTTTGGGTCCTACTTAATTGATAGTACGGTAGGGTCTTGGAGATCTGAAGAACTCTCGGGCCTTCATGCGGTCCACTCTACAGGTGTCTGTCCTACCGACACCAACTCCGCCGGTTTCACCGTCACTAAACAGCCTGTTGTAGCAACGACCACTACAACGGTTGTGATCAATGTCACCTCAACCAAGACCATCCAGGTTAGTCACGCAAAGCCTTCAACTAGTGCTCTGGCTTCTGCGCTGTCTTTTGCCGGGTTTCTCTCTGATAAGCCGTCGGATGTTCCTTCTGATACCATTGTTAAGACGACCGGTTCGACAAAGCAAACGCTCTGCTCGGTACGCATCCACAGCCCAACAGAATTTCTGATTGAGATTCCAAACAAGAATAAAGCCATCTGGCTTGCTCAGGGAGCTATCAACATCGACGTGTATCGCGGAGATGTTGCCCTGAGAACTAAAATTTCTTCTGTGGATGAGGGTGTCCTTGTCGAGCTCAGCAGAAAGGAGGCTCATGGGTTGTTAAATATTTCTGTGGTTACGAACCGCCGGCCCAAGATCAACGAAACATTCCAGCTCGACTTTGGTAAAGCATCCCTTCTCAACACTCTGGAGGAAGGTTTGCATCGAATCGAAGACGGAGTTGGGAGAGTGTGTTCCAAGCTGGGTGACGCGTCTCAAGCTCTGGGAGGCATGGTCAAAGTGCCGAACGTATTCATGTCCACCTTGGAGCACGCCTCTGAATCTCTGTGCAGCCGAGCAGCCGACTCGTTCCATCAAGCTGCCTATAGCGTCCGCAAGAAGCTCTCTCTTCGACTTGAAACAGCCAAGGAAATCCGCAAAGAAGTGGGGTTTTCAATCCTCCAAGCCCAGATCACTTCCAGGTTGTGGTGGCTTAAGATGCAGGGTAAGATGGATGAATATGCTGCGTACAAGCGAAACGCATCCAGGCTCCTCAAGATGAAATTTGGAGAGCTTCGGAAGGGCAAGGCACTGCAGGAGAAGGATACTCCAGTCGCGGACAACCGCGGGTTTTTGAGACTCTTCCCAAATTCCCATCGGACCTGTAAAGGCGAGTGCGTCAAGGGTGTTAAGGAACCTTTCAACCAGCATGCTACTGACGGAGGCAATGTCTGGCTGAAGTTCATGGGCCGCACCTAAGCCTTCACTTTCTTGGGGTGGTCGACGGCATCTGTTTCCTTTGTCTTCTTCGGGGTTATGGTAATGGAATGGAGTAAACGGATGGTCACATGGGATGGAGGGACATGTACTTACTGACTTTGCGACTATGGGACTTATGGCTGTCAGGGATCTGGATTGGAGTTCTTCATGGCTTGTGTGCTCTCTTTGCTCGGTTCAAGATCATTCATTGCATTGTCTGGTAATATCAACCTTGTGTTTCGAGACTATCCCAAAAGAAGTGACCGTTATGCATCTGCTAAGCATCGAGGGATGTATCTTGTTCGGTGAACACCCTTCCCTCGATCAGTCAAGTTTTCCCCTTCATATGTCAACAAAGACCACACTTGGACCTAGGTGGGTAGAACTGTCGAAGACTCGCAGTGGTACGACTCGAAATGGTACGGTTGTAGATCGAAGGAAAACCATAGTCAATAATTTCTTGTTGACCCGAGGACTTCAACCGGCCACGAAGATATCATAAACTTGACTACTAACTATCCAGGCCAGATGGGGGCAACAGACTCCTATCACCTGCTACCTGTTTGATACTGACTTACTTGAAATGGGGAGATCCCAAAGCTGGTGGGTGTGTACCACACCGCCCTCATAGTGATATGCATGTAAGCTAGTTTATTGACTATCCAATCACCGTCGATATGGCTGCAGCTCAGCCCAGTGTCAGGGTCCACAGCCAAGACCCAATTTTCACTCTTGCGGCCGTGATTTGGTGATAAAGGCAAAGTGAGGGGCAGTTTATTTTGCACCACCTTGCTTGCTGCCTTGCCTTGACCAACCTTATCCACTTTTGCAATACTCAAGACGTCTCTATCTGCACTTGCGCACTGCAGCTGTCTCAACCACAGATCCGATTTCAAAGCCATACGGTATGTTGTTTTTCCTATTTGGCGGTTTTTCCCTCTGTGACCGCAGGCGACTTGCCCCGCCATGTTCCGAACAACCCTGCCGACTCAGCTGAAGCATGGCGGGGGCGGGGGCGGGGTGGTGAGGAAGGGGAGCGTGTCGCCAACGCCGGTGGCGGCGGACAAACTTTTTGATTTATACACGAACACTGGCTAACCACAGCATTTACGTGTCATCGCTTTTCGATTTCGCATCGTACAGCATCATATATTTTTCACCTCCGAGAACTGTTCTTCCACCAACTGTCAGGATGTCTTCCGAGAGCGACAACAAGCCCGTCGATGAGGTCAAGTCGGTGACCTCGTCTTCTGTCTTCTCCATGTTTGGTGGCGGCGCCAAGAAGGAGAAGAAGGAAGAGGAGGACCGTGGTGACATTTCCGGCAGCGCGAAGGCCCAGCGCGAGGCAGCCGCAGCTGCGAAGGAGAGTGCGAAGGAGGGTGCTGGCGACGAGGTATGAGTCAAATGTTCAACTGGGTCATAGAGGGCATACTGTTGTTAGGTCCGGCTGCTAACGCTAGATATCCAAAGGATGACCAACCCCCGGAGTCGGAGGATGTCCACTTCGAGCCTGTTATTCGCCTGACCGAGAAGGTCGAGATCAAGACCCATGAGGAGCAGGAAGAACAGGTTTTCAAGATGCGCGCCAAGCTCTTCAGGTACCATCCTGAGTCAAAGGAGTGGAAGGAGCGCGGCACTGGTGATGTTCGCCTGCTTAAGCATGTTGAGACTGGCAAGGTCCGTCTGGTGATGCGCCGTGACAAAACCCTTAAGGTCTGCGCCAATCACTACAGTACGTTTAGTCCCATTAGCCCACGTTTCCTTGGACTGAGATGTTTGTGTGTATATCTGTGTGGAAGCTGACTGATGAACAGTTCTCCCTGAGATGACCCTTAGTCCGAACGTTGGCTCTGACCGCAGCTGGGTCTGGACGGCTGCTGCTGATATGAGTGACGAGAAGCCCGAGGCTGTGACTCTGGCCATTCGCTTCGCTAACTCGGACAATGCCAACGAGTTCAAGGAGGCCTTTGTCAAGGCCCAGAAGGAGAATGAGGCCATCATGAGAAAGGCCAAGGGTGAGGACGCGAAGGAGGAGAAGGAGGAAAAGAAAGAGGAGGAGAAGGAGTCCGCCTAAAAGTAGAGGACAGCTCGCTGGGTTTAGAGGGGATGATCCCCGGGAAGAAGAGCAGCAACCCCTTGAGATGCCATGTTCTGCCCAGACTAGGGGCAGTGGCCATGAAGACGAGCTTTGCGGATGGATTTAACGACCTAATTCACCTTCGATCATAAGACCCTTCTCACACGCACTCGTACACTTGCACCTTCACACACTTGCACACTTGGGGCAGGCCTTGGAACATGGCCCTGTCACGTTCTGTTGTTGGCGAGGAAGGTCAACAATATCTAAGAGCTTTAGATAGATCAAATAGCACAAAGGTCCCCCTTGCTAGCACCCTGCTATTCGCTTCTGCGTCTACAAGACCCATTAGACCGCAGATCAAAGAGGGACCCGCAGGACAACACCCGGCCAACGACGCCGAGCCTTTCAGGAAGGAGCTTGATAATGCCAGTTTGTCAATGATTTTTGTCTTAACAGAGGACTTGGTCCGATGTTTTGAACTGTTTCTTCAAACGCCCTACCTGCCCGATCAACTTCCTCTTCCAACCTTTTGGTTTTCAACTCTCAGGTTCCCTTCCTTTAACCGACCAAGGGCGGCAAAGTTTCCCACTTCCAATTCCAAACCTTCCAACTCTTCTCTTCTTTAATTTGGCCTCATATTTCCAGAACCCGGGCAGAAACCGGCAAAGGGCTCCCACCGACCCAAAGAGGGATTGCTTCGCAACTTACATCGGTCGGTTGTTCGCCAAGACCCGTTGCTGCACCGCCACAACTTCATCAAGCATGGCCCCGCGCAAGAACGTCCCACGCGCCGCCCGCCGCTCTTCAGGAGCTGTGGCGGGTGAGGGTGGGCTGGTATCGCCACAGTCAGGTACGTGCCAAGCTCCAATTCACAGGCGCCGCGCGCGCTCTGGTCGCTTTTTCGTGAGAGAGCCAGACCGCGACGTGGATCGTCTATTACCAAACGGAAGCCCAATCTCCCAGACCCCATCTTCCCAATCATCATCATCCTCTGCCCCCCAGCCGTAGAGCCGCTACGTGTCCGTCCCCGCCCCCTTGATCCTGGTTTATCCATCGATCCAGCGTTATAATTGTTGTTTTGACGGCAAACGTTTTCTCCGAAGTGTCGAGCGATCGGCCCAGCTCTCAGCGCGTGCGACCACTTTTGCCGAGCGATTTGCGATTCCTGCGATATCACCGTTACGCAGGGGCCATCTGACCTCATTTCTTTTTTTTTTTTTTTTTTTTTTTTTTCGCGCCGCCTAGCAAAAGCGCACTTCGTGCCTTGCCTATACGCCGACAAGATTGGACGAGTCCCGGAAACGAGCCGCATCATTTGCGTTTGCTGTACGGTTGTGTGGAGAAGGACGGTAAAACACTAACGTATTGGGGTTTCTGCGAGGATAGAGGACCACGATACCACCACAGACGGGATCTCTGTCAACCTCTCTCCTGCTGCTGTCCGTTCTGTTAATAAGCCGAACTCGCACAAGCAGCCCAAGATCAAGATGATTGTCGAGGTAAGCACTGACCCAGAAATCGGAAAAGCGCGAAGTGCACATGGAACAACCTGTGACTAACGGCGGCTTTGATCGATACAGCGCAAGATCAAGATTGTCACTGAGCAGCACAATATGTAAGCATTGAGATTTGAGAAGGGCAGGGGATAAGGAAGAGGAGATTGGGGAAGGCTGACGATGTGTTAGCGACAAGCCTCCTATCCAGGAAGGCTTTCCTATGAAAGAATGGACTGTTGAGATTTATATTCTCGACCAGGAGGGCAAGGAGAGGCCAGCCAGATGCTTCACCAAGGCTGTCTACAACCTCCACCCTTCTTTTGCTCAGCCCGTTCAGAGTATGTTCTCGGCCATACACTTCCAAAGGCTGTCCATGTTGTAATACTAACGCATGCGTTTTTCAGCCTTCACCGAGCCTCCCTTCCGCTGCCGGAATGAGGGTTGGGGTGAGTTCGAGATGGCCATTGACCTGTACACGACCGAAAAGGGTGGCAAGCAGACCATCATCCACGACCTCAATTTTGCAGCTCCCCAGTACGAGAACATCCACACCGTGACCTTCAAGAACCCGTCGCAAGCCCTTCAGGCCATCCTTCGTGAGACGGGCCCGCTTCCATCGGACGAGGAGCGCAAGCTGAAGAAAGCGGACGGTGGCAAGAAGAAGAAGGCGTATGACATCGAGAAGATGGCTGATGCCTTGGTCAAGCTCGGAGAGGATGATCTGCTCCAGGTGATCCAAATGATCCATGACAATAAGGATGACAATACCTACATCCAAAACAACATCGATGCGGGAGAGTTTTCGGTTGACCTTTATACCCTGCCTGACCCTCTTCTTAAGATGCTTTGGGACTTTGTGGTAGGCCACCATACCATCGTCTAACTCGTTTGGCTTCCGTCATTGATTCTTTCATGAAGCCTGGCAGCTAATTTACCGTCACACATATAGGTCAAGGCTGGTGTTGTTGCCGCTTAATCCACACATATCTAGTCTCTCTGCATTCGATGGCGTATGGCGTCCGGGCGGAAAGGGTCAAACAGCATTAGTCGGATGCTTATTTGTCGTCCTGACTGAGGATCGGCGGCCGGTTTGGCACAGGGTTCCTGATGGGTTGGTGGATTTGGGCCTGGCTCCTAATGATAATTGCTGGGAACTTTGGTATCTGTGATTTGATTCACCTTGCTTTCTCGTTTCACTGGTGGAGTGGTGGCCTGAGCGGCTTTCGTGTATCTATCTGGCGGGATGGGGCTTTCAGATGAGCAGATGAGTCTTCCTCCCATTACAGAGGATAAGATGGGCGGTTTCGAGGCTCTTCCTGGTGGAAATGGTACTACGGCTGGTCTGGATTCCGTCGTATATATGATCTGGCACTTGATATTATGAATTGTCCGGTATTCTCTCCTTTCTCCAGACATGTAGAGTAGGTACCTATGTCGCTTGTTGGGGTGAGGGCAACAAGGAGAGGTATAGTCGCTCAAGGACAAACACTAGGGCTACATATTTGGTTAAGAGTAATCAAATCGACGTATTCACTCCAACTTCTAATGACTGCGTCTCCCTGCCTTGCCCGCCGACTAACTGACCTTGTTTGAGATCTGGGGTGTATAAGGGCATGATAGTCCTGCATGGTTTTCATCAAGGGGCTTCGACCACTACATGTTCCGTTAGGAATATTCTGACATTGAATCACAACTTCAAGAACACGAGAACTCAGGTGGGTACCTGCTCTTGCTGATTACGGGGTACAAGCACCTACACACAGGAATGTATTCTCCTAAGACACCTTACCTAGCTCTAAGGTAGGTCAAGTAGGTAGTCGATGCCAAAGCCTGCTGAAGTAACATGCACATGTAACCATCCACCAATCTATATCACCCAGCACGCGTCCTCGGTAAAACAATACATGGTAATACATTTCTCCAAGGTCGCATGCAGAATGGAAAAACTTTGGTCAAGTGCAACGGGGGTGATGCTCCTGGAGGGGGTGTCCATTGAGGTGCATGCGCGGCTGTTGTCGGGTTGCTTTGATGCTACCTCCTATGTACCGAGAAAGCTTCGCGCCAGCTCACGAGGCCCATCCGCTCAGCAGGCACAGCTGCTTTGTCTCTTGTCCTGTTTGGCATAGATCCACAGGGCAATCCCCCACACCGCCGAAGTGAGCATTGAGTAAGCAGGCAAGCAACAGAGAAGAGAGAATTCTGGCGGCTTCCCTGTGCCACCGTCGTCACCGAACCACGGTGATGGGAGATGGAAGAGGAGCATGGATGATGGAACAAGGTCAGCGGGGCCGCGTGACCTGCGGTAATGTGACCTGCTGCTTTCCCGACTTGGGCAACGTATGTCAGAGATCGGGTCTCATGGAGGGTACAGACAGCGGCAATCCCTTCTACAGTTCGACGAACGGCGGGTTTTGGAGACACCAGGCAACAGACATAGGCATACGTAGTGTAGATCCATTCCATTGGCACGGATTACAACTCAGTTTGTTTGATGGTGGCACAGCTTCGAGATCATCAGCAATAACCGGCGCTCAACACAGGCCCAATTGCATATGCTGGGATACGAAGGAGGTTGAGGGGCTGGCTAGGTATTCAAAAAAAAAAAATCTTTACGCAGCTGCAGGCTGTCAAAGATGCAGAGCCATCAACGGTATGCAGATAGTCAGGCGGGGTTGTTTCGTTTCTAAGACGCGCTCTTATCGCGACAAACTTGACAACCCTGGATGGTGGAGACCGGCAGGGCTGCGATTTGGCCGTCCGATTTGCCAGGGCGTGTGAGTTGGAGTGGGCTCCTGCACATGCACCCCGATAAAGCTGTCAGAGGGGCGGGGCAGGCGGCTTTTCAGGTTCTTGATGCCGTGGTTGCTCGTTGACGGACAGAATACTTAGATTTGGATGAGTGGTAGCAGAGGAGATGTCAATGGAGCGTGGTTGGCTTTGCTTGTCCCCAGCTCAGGCGCGGCGCAACCGCCACTGCCATTGGAACGGCGGATGGCGGCAACATACCATTAACCACAAGAACTCGAGGATGGCCAGCCGCACCTCCATTCATCGCAGCCGCGCCGTCTGATGCATTTTGGCCCTTTCACTTGCCAACTCTGGTTTTGTCCGTTCCTACCACTTCATGCCCGTCTAAGTCCCTTATCGGTTCTGACAAAACTTTTTTTTTTCCTCGAGGGATCACCTTCCACTTCGAGCTCGCATTCGAGGCTGTCACAGTGCCAATTGAGATTCAACTTGCCAACGGTGGATCCGGCTGTGAACAGGGGATCTCAGCACCGGAGCCAGCCAAGGTAAACGACGGGCACTGATAGGCTCAGACCAAGCCCCTCGTGGATCGCCGTGCAGACCCACGTAGACCAATGCAGACCTCTTAGGCCTCTCCCCACAGTGTCCACAGTGCCCACCGTACGCAGCAAGCAGGAAGCAGAAGCGAAGAAGGTTCCAAGCGCGAGCGGGAAGCGTTGGCGCCTGGATGGCTCGAAGCAGGCGCTTTGCACAGTAGCAGCCTCAACCCGGCAGTGGAATCAGTAACAGGCCAGCAGCAGCAGCAGCAGCAGCAGCAGCAGCAGCAGCAGCAACCAAGACCTGACAACTTAGCCTGACAAGGGTCGAGCAGGGCCCCTCCGGGAGCCCCAAAAGCCGCCAGGTGCCCTGTTCCAGGCTCTCAATCTTGTGATCCGACCTTGCTTGAGCGACCTCCCGTCAACCACCGCAAACCGCGTCCAACCGAACAACCTAGCAGACCTCACTGGAGCTTAGCAACGGCGCAACCTGGAACGGCGCGACCGTCTCAGACCCGGGACGCGAACAGGTAACAGGAACAGGCACAGGAGCGACCAGCAGCGAACAGGAAGCGCATTGTAACAGAGGCTAGGCAGCCTAGCGGTACCCGAGTGCACGCGGTACGCCGCACGCCGCACCGTACACGCGGTAACCTTAACGGATTAGCACTGAGTGCTTGACATCTCTCGACCGGCTACCTACCCTACCAGCCCTAACAACCTACCGATCGCCGGCACAACCGACCCGACGTCCGACGTCTGACGATCGCCCCGGACGCCTCTCCCCCAGCCTTCCAGGTTCCAGGTGTCGGCCCTGGGATCCGCATCTGCTCATCATGGCGCACTTCGCCGCTCCCTCCCTTCCTTTGCAGTCACTCTCTCCAGTGTCGCCGGTCCCCCCCTCTTCGACCACATCCTCCGGAGGGAATCCTGCTGGTGCTGCTGCTGCTGCGCCGTCCACCTCGACCCGCGGTGGCCCCGGCAGCGGGCCCAGTCCCTCCGCGACGACCCCGTCACAGCCTGTGCAGCCTGTGCAGCCATCTTCTTCGGGGTCGGCTCCGACGCCGGCACAGGCTCCTCAGCAGCCTCATGATCAGCAGCAGCAGCAGCAGCAGCAACCACCACAGCCACCGCCGCCGCCGCCACCACAGCAGCCGCAGCCTGAACCTCCACGATATCGTCCGCCAAATCCGCCACAACATAAGCGGGTCTACCAGGCATGCATTCCCTGTCGCCGCCGCAAGGTCCGGTGCGACCTGGGTTCGGTCGATGACCCCCACGACCCGCCCTGTGTGCGCTGCCGTCGAGAGAGCAAGGAGTGCTTCTTCAGTGCCACACGCCGCAAGCGCAAGGCTGACGAAGATGACCCTGAGCTCGAGGAGTACATCCTGCGAAACGGCCGCAAGCAGGCCCGCGGCGCCTCAGTCACCCTCGATCGTCGCTATTACAGCGACATGCCGCTCACACCGCACGGCCGGGCGCAATCGTCAAGGCGCATGGGCGACTCGGCCAAGAGTGTTCGCAGCAACAGCAGTGCCGGGGGAGAGTTTGGCAACGGCGAGCCGAACACTCCTCTCGAGAATTTAGAGGCTAGGACGGTCATGCGCCGGGAGGTCTACGGGCCCCACGACGCCTTAGACCTCCTGTACAAGGCTGCCACCGATAAGTTGGTCTTCCTATCCACTCCAACCCCCAGGTTGTGCGCAAGCCGGCTGACTTTTCTTGGAGGTTTAATGACACCTCGTCACAGAAGCCCGAGGACGATCCAGCTCCCAACCATGCCGCTACCCACTCAACGTCTCGTCACCTCCGGCAAGAGTCCGAACCCCGCAAGCTGTCCAGCACAACCGCATCCGGCGGTTATCACAGTCGACACGCTTCGCGACACGAGACATCGGCCGACAATGCCATCGACCCGGAACTTACCAGGCGCGACCCTACATCTGACCCAGGTTATCAGGAGGCTCTCAAGGCCTGGAATAGGTTCCGCTTTGTGCGCGCTGGATGGTTCACGGCCCAAGAAGCCATCGATTATATTGATTAGTACGGTCCCCTTGATACGGAGAAAGTCGATTTCCGTAGATGCTAATATGGCACACAGCTACTACAAATACCTTTCGCCTCTCACCCCTATTTCCCCGCCCACCTTCCAGAACCCGGCGTCTCATCTTACGTTATTGACCGAGGAGCCGATACTCGCAGTGACGCTATTGACTATCGCGTCCAGATATCGCCGTATGCCTGGCACAGGAGGTCACTGCCGGTCCCACGCCATTCACGAGCAGCTTTGGACTTATCTCAGGGGTATGATTGAAAGGGTTGTCTGGGGCCAGGAGGCCTTCGGCGGGGGGTTCTGCGGATCAGGCGCGGACGAGAACCAAAGCTCGAGCACGGCCCCGTGGCGCGGGCTGCGCAGGGGGAGCCTGCGCACGCTGGGAACAATCGAGTCGCTGATGATCCTGACGGAGTGGCATCCCCGCGCCCTGCACTTCCCGCCGAACGAGGCGACTGACGAGCTGCTCGTCCCCGCTCCTGATGCCAAGCCTCCCTCGGATTCGGACGGGACCCAGAAGCCTGGGGGTAGCTTTGGCGGCAGGAGGATTGAGAGCTGGCTCGAGCCAGCCTGGCGGAGCGATCGCATGTGCTGGATGTTATTGAGCACTGCTATGGGTCTGGCTTATGAGCTTGGGGTGTTTGACGATATCGACGAGCTGCTCGCCACTGGCGCCATCACACGACCCGAGTATGAAGACGAGGCATACCGGCTACGCGCCAACCGCATTAAGCGACTGTTGCTCATCTATCTGAGCCAGCTTGCGGGTCGGTTGGGTTGGACGAACATGGTACCGGAGAAGCTGCGCAAGTCTGACCCAGCCATCTCAGGCAGAAAACGCCGCGCATCTGTTGAGGGTACTACGCCCGGTACGAACCCGTCGTCCTTGTCCAACTCATTCAACTACATTCCCGACCTGGAGCTGGACGATCAGATTATCCACTGCTGGGCGGGTATTAGCCATGCCATGCAGGTGGGCAATGACAAGCTCTTCAAGTCTCGGAAGCATACGACGGAGATCATTCAGAGCGGAAAATACATTGAGCTGCTGAGGGAATTTCAGCCCATGCTCAAGAATTGGTGGAACGAGTTTGAACGCTTCCGGTTGCCCCCCTACATCCGGCACATCCTGACCATTGAGTATGAATATGTTCGGATCTACATCAATTCGCTATCGTTACAGGCTGTTGTCGAGCGATGTACAAGCAACGCTAGCGGCGGTGGCGGCGCAGGTGGAAGCGTGTCGGGACAGTCCGGCTCGACCCTGTCACCACAAACTCAGAACTACTACGGCAAGCTGCCGCTGGGCCAGCTTGGAGGTTTCGGTGCTGAGGATCAAGAGTATGTAAGAGAGGTGATTAGCGGAAGCCGGAACCTGCTCCGTACAGTCGTTGACGGCCTGCTACCGGGCGAATACCTCAAGCACGCGCCGGTTCGGACCTACTTCCGCATCATCAGCGGCGCCATGTTCCTTCTCAAGACGTTCGCACTCGGCGCCCCCAAGGCGGATGTCGAGATCAGTATCGGCTTGATGGATCGAACCGTCGATGCGCTCCGCAACTGTGTAGTAGATGACGTTCATCTGGGAATCCGCTTTGCCGACATGCTCGAGACATTGACCAGTCGGCTGAGGAACCGTTTCATCTATGCCGTTCCTCCGCAGATGCCACCGGCAGACGGTAGGTCGCCTGCAGCAACGAACGGCGATGGCGCCAATGGTAACAGTGCCGCGAGCGGCATGACTACCCACCTGAGCCATGTGCAGGACATGTTCATGAAAATGAGGGACAGTTCCGGCCCTCCCGGTAAGTCCACATCTTTAAGAACATCCAATGACAAGTGTCACAGCTCCTAACATATCTCTCTAGAGCGTTCGGCCACTCCAGCCAACATCTCAGCCACACCCTGGGATTTCTCAGCCGGCGCCTTCCCCTACCCAGGCGGTCCCGGCTCAGTTTTCGGCCCATCCACACCAGCCGCTGCTACGAGCACAACCATGGACAACACCAATAACCCTCACGGCCTTCCCGCAGATGGCAGCAGCAGCGTCACAACCGGATCTGGAGCCGGCGGCGTCATTTTCGACTCGGACTGGGCCAACCCCAACAACGAGATGTGGTACCTGCCCACGGGCCCAGCCTTCTTCCAGAACATTGACAACACGTCCGTGTCGATGACTGCTGAGGGTGTTAATGTTGGTGGGCTTGACCTGCTTGAGTACATGGCGATGGACCCCATTGACAACCAGCCTTTTGGTATGGATGGGGGAGGGTTCTGAGAAAGCAAGAGAAAGATCGGTGAGTGAGCATTAATAGGTACCATTTGTGCAAGCTTTTGAGTTTGCGTTTCTGTTTGTTTGATGCTTTATCAACTTTTTATTTATTTTTGTTGCTGAGCATTAAGATCCCATGCAAGCCAGGGATACTGTGGGTGGCTATCTACTACTTCTTTTTCGAGTTCTAGGGCAGCTTATAGTTTGATATCCAGGAATAGGTCCTGGATAAGTTCGTTTCGATCTGCAGTATAGCATATTTATCATACCTAGCTCTCGGTGGGTTGATTTCAGGTCTCTATGCAGAAGTTAAAAAGGAGGAAAGGAAAAAAAACAAACATGCAATGGATCAGAGGACATGCCCAAAAAATCAGAATTATGCTAAGTATGAATTTTGAGATGATACCTACCCGTTATGGTTGTTACGATATATGCCCTGGTTTGAAGGATGTCTATGGCTAAAGTCTACGAGTAATGGGCAACATGCTCGCGTCAAGAAAACACGAATTTTTGAAAGGGAAAACATGGTGAGCAGCAGGTATTTGGTTGGGGGTGGGGGAGGTAAATAAAACAGAAATAAACCCAAAAATATATGATACAGGTTAGGGAAATTAATGCAGTGCTCTAGACTGAGGGTTAAACATGTCTTGTGATTTGGTCGCCGAATTCCAAAAGAGATCCGATGGATTATGTGAAAAGCAACTCTCCTTTGGTGTTGAACCTACTGTTTTCTTAGGATCTTGGACCCTGCCAACCAGATCATATAATGAGCTGTACACGTATTGTACAATCTTTTTTTTCTATCCACACGCCGTTGTGGGCTCTTCTACTCCTAGTTCGGAAGGTCCTCGTTGGCCTTCTTCGCCCATTCTCTGAACCAGTCAAGAGCCTCGGGGTTAGCAACACTTGCATTCGTCTTGACATCCATGCCAGAGAGAATCTGCTTAACTGCAACCTCAATCCTAAAGTCGAAGCTGTTAGCACGTCTTCAAACCGGCATAGTGAAAGGTGCGCAGCGCAGACTCACTTCTTTCCATTACCCGTCTTCGGCACACCCCCCTTGGCCTCCTCAATAACCCCCGGCACATGCCTGGGACTCAGCTCGCGCCGAATCGTCTCAGCAATTCTCTTCTTCATGTCCTCATCGAACGTCTTGCCCTCGGCCATCACCACGAAAAGACACACCGTCTCGTCTCGGTCCTGTGGTCTCCTTCTGCCAACGCACACCGCATCCTCGACCTCGCTGGCAAAGAACCGCGTCAGGATGTTATAGATCTCGGCGCTGCCGAACCGCACACCCGCAGGCTTCAGAACACCGTCGCTGCGGCCGAGCATCACCAACCCAGACCCGTCTGTCTTAGGGTCCGCACGGCGCACAAAATCGCCGTGGTGCCACATACCAGGGAACCTCTCGAAGTAAGCCGCGCGATACTTCTTGTCTCCATCGGGACCAAAGAAGGTCAGCGGCTGGCAGGGAAAGGGCTTAACGCAGACCAGGTCACCGGGGGCATCCGGAGGGGAAACGGGCTGCGGGTCTTCGGGGGCCGACGCAGAGTCCACGACGTCAATGGCCATGCCGAGACCGGCGCACTGGACCTCGCCGACACGGACCGGAAGTAAGGGGCAGGGGGCGCCGAACAGAGAGATGATGTCTGTGCCACCGGTAATGGAGGCGAGGTTGATGCGGGCAGGGAAGGCGCGGTAAACGAAGGAGAAGGTGGAAGGGGGGAGCGGGGCGGCGGTCGAGTAGATGGCCTCGAGGTTGGAGAGATCGAGGGTAAGGTCATCGCGCGGGAGAACGTTATTCGCTTCGAGTGTGGTCAGGTAGGCAGCAGAGGTGCCGAAGTGGGTGACGCGAAGGGAGGAAAGGAGTTTGGGAAGGGAGAGGTAGCCATGGGGACGGAAGGGCGAGCCAGAGTACAAGACGAGCGAGGAGCCGCAGGCGAGGGCGGAGACGCTCCAGTGGTGCATCATCCAGGAGGTTGTGGTGTAGTAGAGCATGCGGGATGATGGGCTGAGGGAGCAGTGAAGGAAATGCTCTTTCTTGTGCTGGAGGAGTGTGCCTGCTGCGGTGTGCACGATGGCCTTGGGCAAGCCAGTCGTACCGCTAGAGTAGAGCACATAGAGAGGGTGAGAGGGAGGGAGCTGAGCGAACTCCAGACGCGCATTCGAGGGCGATCTAGATGTATGATGGTCAGGAGACGAGTCTTTGTCTTACGTCTTCGGCTAGGGAGCATACGTACCTGGATAAGAAAGCATCATACTCCTCGGCCTTCACGCCCTTGGCACGGATGTCATCCAGGCCAGTCTCAGTGTTCTTCAGGGCACGAATGACAACAACCTGCTCCAGACCGTGCTTCTTCAACTCCTCAACAATATCCAGGGTCTTCGCCTTGCTGGACCATTCCTTGCCGTTGTACAGAGTGGCATTGTCCGCAAAGAGAACCTGCGGCTTGATCTGGACAAGCCGATCCAACACGGCGCTGACGCCATTATCCGGGCTGATACCAGTCCAAATGGCACCCAGGGCAGCAGCACTCAGTAGGACAACCAGTGCCTGCACATGGTTGGCCACAAAGCCGGCCACAACGCTATTCTCCTTGACGCCCACGGCTCGCAAGGCGCTGGAGCAGCGGCGAACCTGATCCCTCAGCTCAGCCCAGGAGGTCTCGCTGAGCTGGGACTCATCCTCGGTGGCCGTGATGACAGCCGTGGCCTTTTCGTCCACCTCAACATTCGCTGGGAAGAGCAGGTTCTCAGCAAAGTTCAGACGGGCACCGGCAAAAAAGTCGGGCCTGGGGAACATGGGGGCGTCCTTGGGAAGGACCTATTACGCAAATAACACTGATTTTAGCCGCTGCATGTAATGATGTGATAAGACTCATATGGCCCGATAAAAGAGGGAGTGGAATTTCAAGTCTAAGGGGCGGGATGGTAGCAATATCATGGAACGCACCTCGTCGTACAGCCGCGAAGACTTGATGCCGACAAAGTGCCAGACCTCGCCCCAAAAATCGGCCACATTGTCGACAGACCACCTGTAGAGATCGGGATAACCTTTGAGATTGAGACCATATTTAGAGTTGACATGTTGTAGAAACTTCCACATCTGAGTCCCCTCGGGGTTGGGATGTCTCCAGAGTTCGGTGGCGGCCATGATGTCTTTTTTTTTTCCCTTCTTTTTCACGGTCTGCAAGAACCGGAGAATAGATGACCAAACGAGTGTGTTAGAGAGAGAGATGCAAGATTGAATTGAGATGACAAACACTTCTGTACTGGGGTTTGTAGTATGTTACTGGCAAACAAGACAATCACTACGGTCACGGTCACGGGTATGGAGAACCGAGTCGAGGTGGGAATGCTCAAAGATGGAAACCCCACGGGACCCCGCGATGGACCTTGGACGAACGGCTGGAGTGCTCTGGGGCCTGGGTTCTCTCAATGGTTTCTCGGCCCAAGCAATGGGAACTGCGCTCCTTGGGTCTCCGTCCGTCCATTCGTCGGCAAGCCGAGCTTGCTGCCGAACCTATCCGCAGTGGCTGCAGCTTACTGTCGCTGCCCCAGTTTTTCTAAAGGCGTTCTCTGGCGAGCGCGTTATAAATTAAAAGGGTCTGCTTTGAAGCCTCTGGTTCTCTCTTCTAAGTTGTGGCTTCACCATGCCAGGTGACCCGCCGGGGATCATGGGCTTGATCGATGCAGTGCACCAGTGTCTCGCGGCCATCCAGGTATGCCACTGGAATCCTGGACTGGCGCCGGCCATTCTTCCAAGTTACTGTGAATCCCGATCCCCGGACATTGGATGGCCCGTCCGCCGGGTGGGCTCATGCAGGAACGGATGTCTCACGGGTGTACCGGAATACATGGTGCCTCTGTCGTCATAAGTTAGGTATTTTTTTTGGAGGTTTCAAGGGTTGCAAGGGTCCAGGCCAACCACATCTGTCCACGCTTTCTTGGTTCCACGTTCCATGGGTCATGGGCTGAAAACCACAATCATCAAAACTCAGGAAAATGTCGGAATCATAGTACAGTACACCCCCCCTCCTTTTTTTTTTTTTCAAAACCAGTCCCCCCCCGACGTTTGGACAAACATTTTGACCCCTCGATACGCTCTGCGGTTGTCGACCGCTGCAGTTATCACGGGACTCGCCTGGTTCTCTTGGGTTACGGATAGGGTTTGACTGCAACGCTGCAAGATAAGTCAAGTACCTCTAACTTCAACAGCTGCCTATTGTCAGCCACAACCCTGGCGCTCGGCTGATCGTCGTGGATTAATTCTCGATGCCATCTCCATCAACCTGGGCCGTGGGTATTAGTCAACTGACTGGACATCACGCCAAACCCGGCGTCGACGAGAATTGCTTCTGGAATTTTTTTTCTCTCTTCATTGTTTCGCCCAGACCTCGGCGGGATACGGACGGAATGGCATCATGCCGGTGGGAGAGGATTCGGGGCTCCGAATTTGGCACTGAAGACATTGGACGGCTCCCATATCCGTACGGATTGCCTATACTAGGAAAAAAAAATGTAGCTTCGAATTGCCTGGTGCAATGGTGCTTGGGGTGCTTGTTTGAGCCTTGTAGAGAGCGTGGTTGTAGCAATTTCAATGTGATGCAGCGTCGCAACCGGACTTTTCGGCAACGGGAAGCCTTTGACAGCCCTGAGAACCCACTGGCCGGCGTTCGTACCTCTGTGCTGACTGCAACAAAAGCCAGCCATGGCGTCGGCCGGCAGTGTGATGGCATCCACAAACAGGCATCTCCGCCGGAATTCAAGCATTTTTTTCATCATGATTGTCGGCATCGCCCAGCCCCGGTGACGGACTTGCTTGTTCCAGGGCTCATCGACCAACCAGCAGCCACCACAGCACTGCGCCCAGGCAAAACCCACCACCATCAGCCAGAACAACGGAGCCACGCAGAAGCCAGGCACTGCAGGCACCGTGCTGGTCCCAAATTGCGCATCACCCTTCTCCATTCAAGGGCAAGCGCGGATCCACTCCTGCGCGATCAGCAGCCCGCCATTCGACAATCGCCGGCCCGCCCCTGGCTCAGTAGCCCAGCGGCCCACGCCCAGAGTCTGACCTGGGAGAGTGTCAGTGTCAGGGTCAGGGTTAAAGTCTGTCCCTTGAAATCCTCTTCACCGTCCACTTGTCCTCCCTATCCTTCCCGTCCTCTCCCTTATCTCCATCCACATCTTCCCCCCTGGACTCCGTCCTCCGGCTCCTGCTTCCTTTTTCTTTTGAGACCCAAGTTGAGCTCCCCCTTTCGTGAAAGCCTGCCCGAACACAGGGCGACGCGACTCGGGGGCCCAGGTCGTTTGTCTCTTTCTTTCTTTCCTTTCCTCCTTTCCCTCCCTGGTTCCTCCTTCTGCCCGTGTTTCTGCTTGCGAAGGCCTCGCGGTGAACCGAGACCTGTCTATCGTCCAAATACGTGTTTTATATTCGCCGATTGCGGTTTTTGTGGTATTTTCAGCAGTGTTTAGCGCATCATTCGACCCCGCGACTATCGGTCGAGTCACTGAGGGTAAGTTGTGCAGATATGACGGGATTGCCCCCTCTTAGGGATTTGAGTCGTTTGTGGCTCCAGGACTCGGGAATCAATCCTGTTGCAACAGCTCCGAAGCGGTGGTTGGCCGCGTGTCAGTCGATTTGTTGGCAGCAGCAACGAAGCCTGAACTCGGAGGGTGTCCTTCCCTAGAGATCTAACGCAGCCACGCGCTGGCTGCTTATCTGACCACCGAGTTGACTGCATCATCAGCCTCACCGCCTCGGTAGCAACACACGGCCCTAAGCACCACAGCGCCAGTCTTAGCTTCCATAACGCCACATGTGTACACAATGCTAACACTCTGGTTCAATTAGCATCGCTTGCGCCATAAATCCCAAGTAGCTTTTGCTATTGCTGCTGAAATCCCGATTACGCACTTCTAGTCCTGCATCGCGTGTGCCGAGTACCGTGCCGCCGAGTACCATGCCGCGAAAATTGACAAATCCTTTCTCGTCGTCAAATATGTCTCATTCCGAGCGGTCTGCCGAGCGCCGGCCGTCTCGGTCCGGAGGCAACCGGCTCGCTGGCCTATTCTCCAAGTCCAAGGACCAGGGCAAGGAGTCCAAAGACCACATCCCGTATCAGCAACAGTCACCTTCTCCCTCCATGACAGCATCATCCGCTTCTCTCCCCACAATTTCCCTTTCATCCGCCGATTCGAACAATCTCCATGCCGACGAGTCCCAGACCACCCTCTTCGACGCTTCGACCGCCGAGGAGGCCAGGAAAAAGGAGCGCATGGATGCTCAGTTTGGCCCCTTGCTTAGCAAGGACCATCTCTACGTCAGCGCACACAAGGGCGGCCCGCTCCCAGCCCCGATCGAGGACGAGCCTCCGTACTTCTATGTCCTGACCACTTACATCAGCTACCTGATCTTAATTTTCATTGGCCATGCCAAGGACTTTTTCGGCAAGCGGTTCGGCAAGAGGGACAACTACCGGACGATCAAGGCCTCGAATGGCTATGCCCCGCTCAACGACGACTTCGACAGCTTCTACACTCGCCGTCTGAAGAAGCGTCTCGATGACTGCTTCGCCAGGCCCATCACCGGCGTTCCCGGTCGCTACATCACCCTCATTGATCGCGTCTCCGACGACTATAACCGTTCCTTCCGCTTCACTGGCACGTACACCGAGACCCTGAATCTGAGCTCGTACAACTACCTGGGTTTCGCCCAGTCCGAGGGTCCTTGTGCCGATGCTGTCGAGGATTGCGTGCGCAAATACGGCCTGAGCGCCTGCAGCCCTCGCTTCGATTCGGGTACGTTGGATCTTGCGCTCGAGGTTGAGCGCGAGGTGGCGCGCTTCGTTGGCAAGCCGGCTGCTATGGTCTTCCCTATGGGCTTCGTCACGAATGCTGGTACCTTCCCGGCTTTGGTATCCAAGGGCTGCCTCATCCTGTCGGACGAGCTTAATCATGCCTCGATTCGTATCGGTGCTCGTCTCTCCGGCGCCGTCATTCGCTCGTTCAAGCACAACAACATGGCTGATCTGGAGGCCAAGCTGCGTGAGGCCATCTCTCAGGGCCAGCCCCGCACTCATCGCCCTTGGAAAAAGATCCTGGTTGTTGTTGAGGGTCTCTACTCGATGGAGGGTACCATGGTCGATCTTCCTGGCATTCTGGCTCTCAAGCGCAAGTACAAGTTCTACCTCTACATCGACGAGGCGCACAGCATTGGTGCTCTGGGTCCCAGGGGCCGCGGTGTCTGCGACTATTTCGGCATTGACCCCTCTGAGGTTGACATTCTCATGGGCACTCTCACCAAGGCTTTTGGCGCCAACGGTGGCTACATCGCGGCTGACAAGCACATCATCGATACCCTTAAAATGACCAACGCTGCCAACCTTCTCGGTGAATCTCCCGCTCCCTCTGTCCTGATGCAAATTCTCAGCGCCCTCCGTGTCATCACTGGTGAGCTCGCCCCTGGTCAGGGAGAGGAGCGCTTGCAGCGCATTGCCTTCAATTCTCGCTATCTCCGCCTCGGTCTTAAGCGTCTAGGTCTCATCGTGTACGGCCACGACGACTCTCCCATCATTCCCATTATGCTCTATAACCCCGGCAAGATGTCAGCCTTCAGCCACGAAATGCTCAAGCGCAAGATTTCGGTTGTCATTGTCGGCTACCCCGCCACGCCTCTCATCAGCTCACGCGTCCGTTTCTGCGTGTCGGCTGCTCACAACAAGGAAGATCTGGACCGCATCCTGAAGGCGTGCGACGAGATCGGCGACATCTTGCAGCTCAAGTTCTCGACGGGTATTGCCGGTGGTCAGGAGCCACTTCCTCCGGGTGTTACACCCGAGAACGAGAAGGAGTGGCGCAAGGCCAACGGTCTAGAGGGCGTCATCAAGCCGCCGAGGTGGAAGCTGGAGGACGTCATCGCTCGCGGTGTCGAAGATGCCAAGCAGCCACTGAGGTGAACGAGAACCTCAGATGCTTCTTGGCTTGGACGAAGTCGGCGAGATGGCGGTGGTGTACATAAATTCCTTCACTGGGACGGGAAGGGCGGTTCGACCTGTGTAGGATTTGGTCTGCTCATCTGCCGGTTGTTGACCTTTGCAGCATCCCATCTTCTCGCTATTGTTTAGCTAGAGAAAGGCTCAGTGCTGGATGATAACTGGCTTACGGCAGGGTAATGTCTGATACACGGTTAGGATGGCTCAGGATGGAGTGTCTTGGACATGACGAGAAGGCAGTCACCGGACGGCCATTCTGAGCGACTGCGTTGCGGCGGCAGGAAAGCCGATGGCCGGTGTTTATATAATCCATTACATACATACTATATATTATGTCGGAGTTGGAGCTGACGACACTAATGATGTAGACGTGGGCGTTGGGAAGCTCGGGGCTTTATTGACGAATGGGGGTTTTGGGAGGGGAAGCGGCGCTGCTAGGATCACCTGTCTGCCTCTTGTAATGAAGATGCCCTTAATGATGAGTAATACGGAACCCGGGAATGATAAATAGATATGGTTGCTCAAGCCGAGTGCGTGCCCCTAAGAAGTGTCGATTGGCGTCGCTGCGGTCTCTGCTTCCAGTACCTCCTAGTTACATCTTCGAAAGTCGACTTCTCTCCGTCCCGGCTATCGATTATTGTGGACCCCACCACTGTCACGTGATATCGCGTGCCACGCTGCGCGACAACGCGCCGGCCTCGAGTCGCTCTTACCTAAAGTGAATTTGACCGTCGCCGTCTGATATGAGGGCTTAAACTCATATGAGATCGAGTCTCATTGCCATAGGCGCTTTTAACCCTCCAACACCCTCGGCCATATCCTTTTTACCCACCTAAAGAATCGATCTCTCACTCGAGATTGCATCTATCTGCTCAACAAACTCCTAAAAGCCTTTAAGCCAACTCTCCATCGATTCATCGATTCACTTTAATTGGTTTTACCTCCCCGCGGGGTATAAAGTTGGCGCAACCACTGCGCGCTGACTCCTGGTTTATTCCCGTTTGCATTCTTGCTTCATTACCAAACAGGTATGTTTTCATTTTCTTCATACAACTTTCATATCTTTTGCCTCTTCGTGTTTTGCTCCCCTTTCCCCCTCCCCTTCCCCCCCAAATAATATCCTTGTCGCCAAACCAACTCATGCTGAATCTCACATTAATCGATCTCGCAGTGCCATACGAACACTCTAGCCAGAAGTAATCGCTAGAACCGCGTCAAGGTGACGGCAAGATGGCAGCAGCCAAGAGGAGTATGAAACAACAGACCCTGGAGGCCACTTTTGGTGAGTGAAATTATATACACATATACCAGTGAGCATTCGTGACCCCGACCAACCAACTTATACAACCAAATCTAGGCCGCTCGATCGTAAAGTCGAAGCAGCAGGGCGGCAACGAACATATATGCTCTACCGCTAAGAATAATTCTGCTGCGGTGGTGCAGAGTTCTTCGCCGCTTCCGCCATCTTCTTCGATGAACTTTTCGTTTATGGGCTCATCTCAGTTGGCGAGTGCTAGAAAAAAAATGTTCGTTGTTCGGGATGTTTCTTCGGAAGATAGCAGCGAGTCGGAGAATGAGCCCGAGGTTTCTGTAGAGATGAGTATCGATGCTCCCAACGACGAGAACAAGGGCAACGGCTCATCTTCATCTAGTAAGAGCTCGTCCGATGATAGTGATGAAGAGAGCGAAGCCAAGCTCCCATTCAGGAGAATCCAAAGAACTAAGCGCCGCATTTCAACATCGTCCTCTGAGGCTGCCGACAATAATGATAACAAGATAGCTTCCGGTCGTCCCGAGAAACCGATAGTCGACGATACTGATGACGATGACGATAAGCCCCTACAGCGACCTGCTACCAAGCGTCGTCGCCTTGTCTGCCGCAATTCGGTTCAGGCTCAGAATACCAGCAACGAAGACAACGATGAGAACGAAGATGAAGAACAGCCTGAGCTTAGGGTTATTACAAGGCGCACTCGGAGCGCACGTAGGCCGCTCACGGCAAAGGCTAAGGCACTGGAGAGGCTCCGTCGCAAGAAAGCTGGTCAGGCAGTCGACGACGATGAATCTTCTTCCGAAGAAGAAGAGCGCAAGCCTCTATACGACTACGATCCGGACCATATGGCCTTGCAGGAGTTTCCCGACGATGAAGAGGGCGTCATCCAGTTGAATGTCGATAATCAGTCCAAAGAGAACCACAGGAAGAAACGGAGTGGCGATGACGATTCAGCAGGCGACATGGACGACTTCATCGATGACGACAGCGATCAGCCTATCGGCTTCCCTGAGGATGTCGAGATACCCATGCAGTTCTCTAAATGGGCAACTCAGCCGCTCAAGTTTCATTTCAAAATTGTCATCGAGTGGCTTATCAAGTTCAAGCTGAATCCAGGCTTCAAGAGGGATATGCCCATCTACCAGATCGCTTGGAGAAAGATTGATGACGAAGTTCAAGGGCTTTCCCACTCTAAGTTCTCCTCCAGTGTTTGGAGAGTAGACTTTTCCAAAGCTCTTCGGGCACGGCCATACATCGAAACCCACGAAATACCAAAGAATGATGCCGCAAGGATCACAACCTGTGATGCCTGTGGTCGGACCAATCATCCCGCTAGGTGAGTTTTCCCAGCATCCTCAACAAAATAGGCACATAAGTTTAACGGACAGCTTAACTAATCAACTTACAGCTGGGTAATCAGCTTCAAAGGCGCAGCGTACCACAAGAAGACTGGAGATCTGACCCGCTTCCTGGAACCTGTTAAGGCCGAGTCCAGCGATAATGGTGGTGAATCAGACGAAGACTCTGACGTTGACTGGGATGAAGACGAAGACGGCAACGACATCCCCAAAGCAACCAAACAATGGTTCGTTGGCGCAAACTGTAGCGCCAACGCCGAGACCTCCCACACACTCCTCCACTGGAAAATCAATCTCCTCAATTGGGTCGACACTCGCTTGTCCGAAGAAGGGCACATGACACCCGCCAAGGTGGCCGAGCGCAAGCGCATGAGCGCCGCGAAGCGCGAAGAGGTCACCTACGAGGTAGTCAACACATGGATGAACAGCCAAATCGTTAGCAAGCTGTACCGGGAGTTTAAGGCACACCTGGAAGAGGCGCGCAACAGGTCGACGAAGGGGCGGGCTCATCACGGTGGCTAGTGGCCCTCGAGGAAGCTGGGCTCTAAAGCGCAGAATTGGAAGCTGGGGAAGTAACACGGGTATGCTGTTAGCGACGTGGCTAATTCGTTGAAGACACTGCTGCCAGAAGGAGATATGTCCTGGGCATGGTAACCTGGGACAGAAGACGGATATGGTTCATCTCTTTATAGACTTGGATGAACAGGACCAAAGCTTTGCCGGCGCGGGATATCTGATTGCAGCTGGTCGTTGGATGTGACTGGGTCTCACTCAGCTTGTTGATGACTCTGAATTTGTACATCGGTACACGACCACTAAGGGGCGTTGATTTTTCTTTGGGTGGCACAGTGTAGGGATAGGTTGTAATAATAGCTGAGAGATCATACCATGTATGGGATACTCTGTATGGAAGTGTAAGACAGTTGTGTCGGCTAAAAGAATTTAATTGGGTTTTAGACCTGTGCTGAATTCTCGTTTGCCTACCTAGTCATCAATCGATCCATTGGTAATTTGTTGTCCTCGCCACTAGACTTGTGTGAAATTCGATCAGACGAGGTACTCTAAGAAATCAGTCGGCATTCTTAGCCATCAACTCCTTGAGTGAGCAATTCCGAGGGACAGTGGGGGAAACAATGGCCCTTGTAGACAAGCAGGCCTCGAACTAATGCTACGGAAGTCACATAGTTTCCTATCCAGATGAGATGGCTTTCTCCGCAGCAGTTGTCCTGAGCTAATGTGTAATGCCCAGTCCAAGACACCAGATACCACTAACTATTGGTTCTCACCTCATTGAATTTGTGTGATACATCATGAGATGAACACATAACATTATTCCTTACACGGGGGGCAGCAACAAATACAGAAGATAGAATCGTCAACAAACTCTCCCAAATAGATCCTAAGTCCCTAGCTCTCGCTCTCCTGCTCTTTGCTAGACATCATACACGCACTCCCCTAATCTCACCAACCGATAATCTCACTCTTTCCACTCACCTTTCCAGCACACACAGTTGTAATTGGACACAAAGCTGCTTGCCTTGAAAATCACCCTCGCCACGCTATGCAACTCAAGTCTCATCCACAAAAAAAAAGGGCGAGAACGAAAAGAGAACAAAACAAAGGCCGACATAACACAACCAGTCCCAGGGTCTCCCAAATGATCAACAAACTCCCATATAGTTCCGAATGGTCTCGCTTTGTGTTTTGCTATTTTGTATTGCCAGGCCTGTTTTGTGCTGTGTTCTGTTGGCTTACATTGGGTCCCTCTTTGTCGCTGTAATGGTGTATATCGTGATAACTGTACGATGGTGACGCTATAACTCCCAACACTAGACCAATCGCTTCTTCTTACATCAAACAGCTTTTAGATAATGCCACCCGGTGGGTCATACCCCCCTCCGGAGCTAGCCGCCGTCGCGTTCGCCGCGGCAACCGCCTCCTGTGCCGCCTGTGACGCTGCCGCCGTCGCAGCCTGCTGCTGGGCCTGCGTTGTCTTCCGCAGCATGAACATGGGCTTCTTGCCCTCCTTATCCAGTTGCTTGAATAGTATGAGCGGCTTCTCGTCCAGGCCCAGGCAGCGCTCCTGATCGCCATAGACGATGTACAACGCGTACTGGTCCCATGGCGCGTTGATCTGGTATTTCTTGAGCGCGGCCGGCAAGACTTTATAGCAGGGGTCATCCATGCTGACCCGGAAGGATTTGAAGATCTCGACTGACTGATTGCCACCGCCGGGCGTATCGGGGTTTCTGCGCGTTGTGGTTGCCGTCGTTGTCGTCTGTGGGGTTTTATAGTGGTCATCAGCATAGTTGGAGCGAGCAGGAGGAGGTGTGGGTTGGTCGGAGCGGTAAGAGCGTGAGGCAAGTGTGGTACCGGAAAGTGTAGTAGGCGGTGAAGTAGGAGATGGCATGTTCGGTGAGGGATACGATGGTGATGTTGCGCTGCCGGTGGATCCGTTCATAGCGGCAAGGTGAGACGACGACATGACGGCTCTGTCGGCGGCGCTCTGTGGATCGAGGGTCTGTTCGACCATCGAGCGGTCGTGTGTTGTTTGGAGATGTGTGGGTGACGACGCCTTCGGAGTTGCTCCTAGCATGATCTTCTTAGTTGAATACTGACGTTTGATGCCCACACCCTGACCGCCTCCAGGAGGTGATAGTGTGTTTTCGTAGCCGTTAGGGGCAGGGAGGGGTTGCTGGGCGTCTTTGACCAGCCGTAACGCGGGTAACATGTCTTCTCGTAGCCTCTTGAAATCTTCAGTCAACTTCCGCAGATCTTGCTCAAACAATGCCATGCGCTCGTCTCGTAGGCGTAGTTGCTCAACAAGCTGTTTTATGTCCTTGATTGTCGCGGTGTTCGATTGAGTTGCCACCTCGGCAGCTACAAAGAGGCAACGAGTTAGCGACAGGCTCAATCACGAGAATCATTACCATATCAAGAGACGAGAAAAAGCATACTGGGTGGATGGTAATGATCAGGCTCAATGGGAACATCCTGGGCCTTTTTGACATCGTAAACAGACTTGAGAATGGCCAGCCGATGTCCAGCACTGGTGATCCCCATGGCCTTGAGGTCATCGTGATGTAGGGCAACGAGCGCCTCGCCAACGATGTCGTTTTCTGGAGAATCCAAGTCAGTTAACAGTTAAACAGGACTCAAGAACGTCGACTGGCTGTCGGACAGACATACCAATAAATCGGTCGGCATATTTTTGGACACCGATGGTGGCAATGAAGTCTGCGCATTCTTCTGCAGTCCACTCTGATATCAAGGTCTCTGGCAGCCGGCTTCTCGTATGGTAGCCGTAGGTGGTGGGGGTATGCTCGGCCGATGGAGGCTCAGAGTCAATAGGAGAGGTCTCGACATCGGTGGCCGTGGGGGAACTGCCGTGAGGGTCGCGCTCATACTCGTCGTCGGCGTCCGACTCGGCGTATGCCGTTCCGGAATCGAAATTCATGGCTGACTGGTATTGTGCTGGGCCCTCACACCCGGATCAGCGGCGAGGGCCAGGAGATTAGGAGGAGATGATGTCGACCCTGGCTGGACCAGCGAACGGTTCGTCCGAACGACGAGATTTCCGGAGAGGCGATCGCGGTGACGTAGGACGTAGACAGGAACAGATGCGGCGTAGAGGCAGTTGCGGGGCTGCAGCGGTCGATGGCTATGTGCAGACGTGCAGACGTCGACCTAGTGGAGGCTATCGGGCAGCGTGTGTTTGTTTTGGGGGTCGGGGGTCGAAGGATCGAGGGTCTGGAAGCGTCGAAGGGTCGGGTCAGACGAAGTGCAAGGTCGGGGGAGTGCTCGTGCGGTCGAAGACAAGAATTGCAAAACGGAATATCCCTGAACTTCGAGCTCTGACTTTCGTTTCGACAGGCTGCTTGCTGGCTGCTGGAAGCCGGTGGTCGCGGCTGGAAGGCGCCAGCAAGCAGTGGAAGTAAACGTTGCTGCGGCCTTACTTAGCGGGCGGAGGTTGTCGATTGTGGGTTGCGGATTCTTCTGTGCTGCCGTAGCCGCTCGCTTGGCTGCTGGCCCGCTCCATTCACTCCATCCTCCACTCCGTTCACTCCCGTCCAGCTCCAGCACTCCAAGACTCCAAGGACCCCTCCAAGGTTTCTACTGGGGCTCCATCCATCTATGGTCCACCCAAGCAACGCCCAGCGAACCCCTTCCAAAAATGGCCCTAGCGCTTGTCTGACTGGCCCACAGCCCCACTTTGCCCTGCGACGCTGTCCAGCCCACAGTTCGCACCGTTCGCAACCGTTTGCGCTTGCCGCCAACCATTCCCGTCTCTTTGCTTGGCTTGTGGTTACCTACCAAAACTGCCCTCTGCGCCGTTTTGTCGTGCCCATTTTCGTCTTGTCAGGCCTGAGATCACGATGTCCAGCCCATCTCAGAGTGCTCCAATAACCTCGGATTCAGCGGAATCTGCTGACCCTCGGCGCCACCAACTGTATGATGCTGTGCTAGCCCGTTAGCCAAGATCAAACCCTCCGAACGGATGAAACATCCCATCACTTGCTCGCTGTTATTGTCCAGGGGGATAGCCCGTGGCGTCTGGCCATGGGACTCGAATCCATAAGCCTCAAAACAGGGCATTTCATTGGTCTAAGATCCAAGATTCAACCTCAACTAAAAAAAAAAAAATCGCATCAATATTCCGACTTTTCTCCCTATCAACGTCCCTTGTTTCTCCCGCTGTTTTAGCCCGTCTCTGCACCCAAGTTCCCAGTCTATGGTCTGTGGCTTGTCGAATTGGCTGCGAGGCCGTGTGTTGCGTTGTCGTCCCATAGCTGGACTTCTCGCGTCAATCTACATCCCCATAAGAGAAGGCATCGTCCTTTGCAGCTTTGACACGTTTCTTTCCAGGCTCTCTACTCGCAAGAGAACGCTGAGCTTCGATTTGAGCCTAGGTATATCTTCCACTTCCAGGAATCATCATATGAGTTCCCTGACAACCCATGTTCCAAAGTTGTTGTGTTCATCCCTACTTGATTTCTTCCTGAAATCTACTTGATCGTAACCCTACCCCTTGAAATGGCCAAAGCTAGCTGTAAGCGATCGCAACAACGTTATCAACGACACAACGCTCATGGCCCCTGTTCTTCGACCTTCTCGATCGACGGCTCGCTACAGATCGCCGCCAGTATAGAATTGCACGATACACATACCAGCGGACTCCAAAGAATAGCCCCAGAGCAGCAGTAAACCAGGTCCCATGAAACGAGTTGGAGCCCGGGACCCCTGATGCTTTCCCCGCGTTTCATATCGTCCCCAGAGCTTTTTGTGATCCGCCAACTCTACCTCTAAGTTCGGGATATTGGCAATTTATCGCGGATTGCCAATTGAATCTAGGTCTAAGGCGAGCATGTTCGTATCTTGAGAAGCCCCATCTGAGAATACGACTCTAGTGGCGGCTGCTGAAACAGGAGACTACCAGCATGACTGGCCTTCATCTAGCTGAGACCATGTGGTCTAATGTGCGTTGCATAGCGTTACGACTAGATTTGGGCTTGGAAAAGCTACCACGTTGCTATACGGTCAACCCGAACAAACATTCAAGTGTATAAAGGTTGCTGTCGTCTAACAAAGCCCATGACCCGCTGATAATCCCAAGTTATAGCTGTAACATCAAAACACTAATGAATATGCTGTGCTGCTACCACTCTACATCTCGCCATGAGTGAGACACGTGTAGAGTCACTTTCGACTCAGCACAACTCTATAAACCCACAGGTGCCCACTATCTCTGAAAAACAAGCCACTATCCACGCTCCTTCTTTCACCAAAACGAACTTTTTTTCTTGTGTATTTTCTTCCCTCCATCTTCCGACTTGCCCCTTGCTCTTTGGCCCCCATTGGCCTGGGATTGTGGCTGCTGTACCACCACAGGCTGTGGTACACGACTTGCCGGCCCAAACAACGGTACATTCAGCAGCCTACTGCCATGATGGGAAGAACTAGGCTCGGGCCCTTGAGATCCCTGACCCTGGCTGGGACGCCCGTATGGCCCAGCGCTAACAGGTCGGGGTGGGGGAGTTGGCACGGTGGGTGAGAGCGTCGAGGAAGCGGAAACAGAAGAACGCTCTCCCCTCTCAGACGGCAGCTGCTGGCCCTCCACGCCGTACTTTTTGCGTAGGCGTTCTGTTTCCTTCTCGATCTCAGCCTCGCGCCGCCGCCGCTCCTTCTCTTCCTCCTCGAGCATCTTTTTGATGAGCTCCTGCTCGGCTCGCTCCCTCTTCTCGCGCTCGCGCTCGGCCTTCTCACGCTCACGTTCCTCCTGCTCGAGCATGGCTTGTAGCTCGCGCGTTTCGGCGTCAATCCCGGGTGTGGACGATGAAGGGATGTTAGAGGCCGCGCCAAACATGGCTGCTCCCGTCGAGACCTTTCTCCGGGCAGCACTCGGCGCTGGAGGACCATCTCCATGGAGATTGAAGGGGTTGCTCTTGGGCACTAACCAAAGGTCTTTGATGACCTCTGAGCATAACAATAAGACTATTTCAAGGCCCTTACGGTCTTCAACCTCGACACGATTGAGATTTGGCTCATAAATGGTCAGTTTGCTCTCTCGACTGGCCTTGAACAGGGCAATGGTGATGTCGGGTTCTTTGTTCCTGCGAGAGCCAACTCTCCTACCAGACATGTAGCAAGTCATATCCCGGCTTAAGCGGCCGTCCCTTTTCCACCGGAACATGATCCGAGGCGTCAAGTCCGAAGCTGTGGGCCCGTTGTTCTGCTGCTCTCGATCTAACTGACTAGCTGTTGGCACAGGGAACGACTGGACAGGAATCTCAAACTCCCAGCTGTCGTTCTTGTTCCATGTCCCAGGAACCATCTTGATAGTGACTGTATGGTCTGGGTTGTACAGCTGAATGGTGAAGCTATTCGGAATCATGGCCGCTGTGGTTGCAGGAACAGCGACGCCGGCCTGGGTTTGTGCGCGCTGATCGGCCGTCGACAGAGCCGGCTGTGCCCACATGGGCTCGACAAGCACTTCCCCATACACCACATCAGCATTGAGGGGATCACAAAGTGCTATCGCATACTTGTTGCGAGCCTCGGGCTGCGCTGGGTCTGCCCGCCGGAGAAGATACTCGGGTTCTGGATCTGAGCCATTATATGTAAAGTAGTACAGGCTTGAAAGAGGGCTGTCGGAAGATGGTTTAAGCCGAAAAGTAGGCAGGTTTTCGTCAAGCATTCCGAAATACCTCCGAACGAGGCCTCCAGTTCGATATTCGAGAAAATAAGGTTCGGCCGTGGGTGTATATGTGGGCTGATGTGTATTCGTTGATGAGGCGTTCTGTTGATGAACGGTCTAGGAGGAAGGTGATACTTCAACACGAAACTTGTTGCCTGGACGAAGAGGTTCTAGCACTGGAGATTGGAGTAATGCAAGCAGGCGGCCCAGAGCGTCGACAACGGCATGACTAACTTCAAAGGTCAGGCGAACCCTTGGATATACATATGATCATAAGCGAGGCTGAGATAGTGGCACAGGTCCAGGTGTCCGGTATTGGCTGTGTGCGGCAGAGTCGCAAGCAAAGCGATCAACCCCGCCATTCGATGGACAAGACGGGCCCCTTTCTGGCTAACGTCACCGTTCCGAACCAGCTTCAGCTCAGCCACAGTATGAACAGGTCTTGGTAAGAGGACGCGTGGTCACGGTGGGGTGAAGGGGGGACGCCAACACGAAGTGCAGAGAGCTGAACGTTGTAGTTGCAAGAGCTCAAGAAAGCGAAAACGCAAGACATGGAAACTACTGACCCCAAACTATAGCACAGAGTGGTTATGGAGTTGGTCACTGGGTGCCTTCAGGCAAACCATTAAAGAAAATAACTCGATAGAGATAAGACTAAAACTTCGCTAAGGGCTATCAAGAGCTGGACAGAAAGATGAGCACTGATTCTTTTCAAATCTTCTAAAACTTAGTGTTTTTTATTTTTCTTTTTTGGAATGGAATGGATCAGAGGTTCAGGTTGGCTCTTGCAACGCTTGGAAATTGTGCCTGGATTGGAGAGTTGGCAGAGAGTTCTAACAGATTCGCGTTGCGTCAACTATCGCTTCGGCAATTGCATACCTGTATCAAGGCCGGCTGCTAGCACTTGGCAGCCGCCCACGAAGACCGCAAGTCAGAGCACGAGCCACATCAAGCTCCCTTGGCGAATAGGTGGGTCTAGTTGGTCCAACGCCCAGCCCCACCACGTGACCACACAGAAATCGAAAACCTATCGCGGCAGAAATTGAGAATTACTTTCGACCTCAGACGCAACCACCTTTAGGACAACGAGTGCCGGTCTGCACCAAGTTGCCCAACATGTCGCTGGTGTCGGGAGAGAAGGTACGTTTACATCCTCGATACCATCCTCCCAACTTGTTGTCGCTGGCCATTTTCCCGTCTTTCCCGTCTTCCTGGGCTTCCCGGACTCTGCACTTCAAGAACGTATGAAGGGAAAAGTTTCAACGATCACAACATATTTCAACAGAGGCCAGAAAGCATGCTGCGCACAATTCAAACCGGAGCAAAGGCGAGAGGCCAGACAGCTGTATCATTAATCACCATCTGGGTTTGTTGGCTGCTCAGAATTAGGCACCAAATCTCTGATTCCGGCCTTGGGACTTTAGTTATCATGATATTAGTCGCTTCGGCATTGCCACTGTCTGGATCGTTTCTAGTGTTATGGGAGCTCAGGAAGAACGGAAATCATGGGGAATTGATCAAGTTGTTGAGTTGGGAAGCGAAGCAAGAGAAGGCATGGCTAACCGTCGCTACTACAGACCAACTTCAATCACATTCTGCGTCTGCTCAACACCAACGTTGACGGCAAGCAGAAGGTCGTCTACGCCTTGACGTAAGTTTTCCGTATCTTGTGCCTTGTAGAGGCTGGTTGTGCTAACTTTTTGCAGTCAAATCAAGGGTGTTGGTCGCCGTTACTGTATGTTTGCTACCGCGAAATCAAGAATAAGCAAATGGGCTTGAGTGGAGATAGAGGGGTGCTGACTAAAAACTAGCCAACCTTGTCTGCAAGAAGGCCGATGTCGATCTGAAGAAGCGGGCTGGTGAGCTCACCTCTGAAGAGCTCGAGCGCCTGGTCACGATCATCCAGAACCCTCTGGCCTACAAGATCCCAACGGTGTGTCTCCAGCTCACTGGAATTAACATTTTAAGATACAGCGGACTGACAGCTTGATCAACAGTGGTTCCTTAACCGTCAGCGCGATATCGTCGATGGTAAGGATTCTCAGATCCTTGCCAACGGTGTCGACTCCAAGCTCCGTGAGGACCTTGAGCGCCTGAAGAAGATCCGCGCTCACCGTGGTCTGCGTCACTATTGGGGTCTCCGTGTCCGTGGTCAGCACACCAAGACGACTGGTCGCCGCGGCCGGACCGTCGGTGTCTCCAAGAAGAAGGGTGGTTAAAGGATATCGGGTGTGGTGTGTGGGCTTATTTGGCATTGCTGTGGCTTGGCTTTCTGGGCATTATCCCAAGGCCGAGGGGTGGTCATGGACGGCACGGCTTGATTTTTTGCCATTATGAACATCTTTGCGATTCCCGGGCAATTCGCTGGATTGCGAAAGGGGACCACCACGAATCACAGAATGACAATACAGGAGTGGGTGTGAAACAAAAGTTAATGATTCTATTTTGATGTGATACTTGTGTTGCGCTATGGACCACGGGATTGTACTGCGCTTGGTTACTGTTATCTGCTCAGTACCGAAACACCACCACGTCTATAACAACGCTTAATCAGACAAATGAAGAAAAGGTTGGGGTATCAAGCTGTCGATCAATCCTCATGAGTGACAGCCATATCCAGCACCTCTACCCTTCCCTGCCCCTTAGTCTCCCCTGCTATGAAGTCTGACAAGCCCTTGAAAGCGCCTGGCTCGACGAAACCAACAATCTCCCACTCGGAACCAACCACGTCTTGTGACTCGACCTGCTCGATAAAGCCCAGGATCTTGTCCTTCACTGTTCCTGGGGCCTTTTGCTCTTCCCCGTCTTGTGCGGTAGCCGGAACCTCCTCCTTCTTGTCGGTGCCCTTATCCCTGCCCTTCTTACCCTTCTTGCTGTCGCCGCCGCCATCACCACCGTCTTTGTATGCTGCCGACCCACCCTTGGGAGCCCTGACGGCTTGCTTCAAGACACTGGTTGGACAGGTAACGCGCAGGCGCATGCGGGCACGCGCGACAGGGATGGGTTGATGAGCTATAAGTGCCCGAATCGCGTCTAGAGCTTGTGATTTTGCGGACTTGTTTGCCGTGACACCCGTCCAGGTTGGTAGGCGTTGTGTTTTGCTGTTGCCTTCTACCGTTGGCGGTTGAGGCTGCTCTGTGGATGTGGACGGAGTGTTGGTGCCGTTTGAGGTGGTGTTCTTCTCCTTGTCTTGTTGCTGGTTCTGGTGGGCCATGGAGCTAAGCATGTCAAGCGCCTTCTCGATCATACCGGGGGTATAGACACGCTTAGTACGAGGATCGACCAGCTTGCTGGTGACGATGGATATGACTTCGTTGTGGATGCGTTCCAGCTGAGCAGTACGCTCCTTTTCGCCCACCTGCATCTCTCCCTTGCGCAGGATTTCGAGAATGATGTCGTCCATGGAGGTATCCTTGCCAAATGCTTTGGCCAGTTCATCTTTTGGTGCCGTCTGTCCTTTGGAGACGTTCAAAAAGACATTGTGGATTTGGAGGACATTGTCTAGGTCTGTTTCAATGCCAGAGCGCCATTCGAGGACCTTGTTCTTGTAGCAGGCAATCTCGAAGCGCTTTTTGCCTTTCTTTAGCCTAACCAAGGAGACATTGGTGAGCTTGATCTGGTTCGAGGGTTGTTGAATCACCATGGTGACGGGTCAAGGTGGTTCGACTAAAGGAGGGGTATCTGCTCTTGAAGAATGGAAGTCGTCCTGGAGAAACAGAAACAAATAACAGAACGGGGTATCAATGTCTGGAATGATATAAACAATGAGTAGGAATCACTAATATTTGCGGGAATGTGTCACTATAAAGGGTGGTTCTTTTCGTCAATCTGCATCCATGATGTTTTTTCTGGCTCGCCCTTACCCCGCCAATGAACCCATGCTCACACTGTACACACATCGTATACATACTGTGCATCCTGTCCTAACGAGTCAAGATGGTCCACTGTAAGCAATCAGCCCGGCAGGGACTGCCGACGTCAGCCGAGCCATCGCTCTCCATTCTCTAGCGCATCGTTGGGAGTAGCTGTCACCGACACGTCTCGATGCCAACTCACCGAGATCCGGGTTCACACATCGGCTGGTTACGTAGGTCATAGCATCTGGAGCTTCTCTCCGGACTTCGATCGTCTCTATGGCATTCGACTTGCTTCAAGTCGGGCATGTAATCTGTACCTAATTGTTGATCCTGATGTAATTCCAACCTACATACAACTGAGCCACCCTGCTCTTCTTCGATGTACTGATAAGAAGGAAGATAAGGGCGGTGCCAACAAGGCAGATCAGCCCCCCTTGATGCGGGCAGTCGCGCGGAGAAGACGGGGCTGGGGCGTTTGAACGTGCATGATCGCCCATTGGTCAGCGACGCGCCGCCTTACAAAAAAGAGTTGGCAACTGGTTACGGAAGATAGTCGGAAACAAGGTCCTTTGAAGTAACTTCTGTTTGACCTGCCTAATCTGTTCCCGTGACACGCTTGTTGTCCTGCAAGGTACCCAGACAACTGGCTGTGGCGCAACTCGTGCCTGCCTGGATGTCGACCGCCTTGGATCTGGGGAGCGTTCCGACTCGGCGACGTCAACCAGCCCCAAGCCCCTTAACCAAACCCATCCCATCTATCTTCCCCTGGATCTCTTAATCCCGTCTTCCTCTCACATTCTTCGTTGCAGCCCTTTTTCCTCCTCATCTCCTCAATTAACTTTTCGGACCTGCCAATCCATCCATTCTTGAACAACTTACGGTTCCTCTTTGATAACACCTCCGGTCTTCCCGTGGCTCTCGCTGGCGCCTATCGTCGCGCCTCCTCACCTACCGCCATCCCTGGTTCGCCATGAAGATTGCCGCCTCGACCGTTCTTCTCGGGGCTGCCTCGGCAGCTTCGTTTCAACAACACGCCCAGCATGTGCTCAGCAACGGCCTGAATAAGGTCCAGGAGGCTGCCAAACCTATTTCGGATGCTTTCGTTGATGCCACTTCTATTCCCGTTGAGAAGCTCGAGGACCTGTTCGGCAGTGCGTCCGCCGAGGCTAAGGCTCTCTGGGAGGAGATCAAGCTCCTTGTCCCTGAGTCTGCCTTCCAGCAAGGCAGCTGGTTCAGCAAGCCCAAGCCGCATCGTCGTCGCGATGACTGGGACCATATCGTGAGGGGCGCCGATGTCCAGAAGCTGTGGGTTCAGGATGCCGACGGCGAGAGCCATCGCCAGGTTGACGGCCGGCTCGAGAACTTCAATCTCCGTGTGAAGGCCGTCAATCCATCTAAGCTTGGTATCGACACGGTCAAACAGTACAGTGGATATCTGGATGACGAAGCCAACGATAAGCACCTCTTCTACTGTAAACTCAACCGCTGCCCATTCAGCTAAGAAACAAACATGTACTGACTGGTCCTTTGTTCAGGGTTCTTTGAGTCTCGCAATGACCCCAAGAATGACCCTGTCGTACTCTGGCTCAATGGTGGTCCCGGGTGCTCGTCACTGACGGGCCTGTTCCTTGAACTTGGGCCTTCCTCCATTGACAAAAAACTCAAGCCTGTCTACAACGAATTCAGCTGGAACAACAACGCCAGCGTCATCTTCCTCGACCAGCCCGTCAATGTTGGCTATTCATACTCCGGGTCATCTGTGAGCAACACCGTTGCTGCTGCCAAGGATGTGTATGCTCTCTTGACCTTGTTCTTCCACCAATTCCCAGAGTATGCCACGCAAGACTTCCACATTGCAGGCGAATCGTACGCTGGCCACTACATCCCGGTCTTCGCTTCCGAGATTCTGTCTCACAAGAACCGCAATATCAACCTCAAGTCTATCCTGATTGGCAACGGCTTGACCGATGGGCTTACTCAGTATGCTTACTATCGCCCAATGGCTTGCGGTGATGGCGGCTATCCTGCTGTCCTTAGCGAGAGCGAGTGCCGCAGCATGGACAATGCCCTGCCGAGGTGCCAGGCTCTCATCAAGAGCTGCTATGAGAGTGGGAGCGTCTGGACTTGCGTCCCTGCTTCCATTTACTGCAACAATGCCTTGATCGGCCCCTACCAGCGCACTGGCCGCAATGTCTACGATATCCGCGGCAACTGTGAGGATAGCGGAAACCTGTGCTACTCCGCCCTTGGCTGGATCAGTGACTACCTGAACCAAAAGTCTGTCATGCAGGCTCTTGGTGTTGAGGTCGACGGCTACGATAGCTGCAACTTTGACATCAACCGCAACTTCCTGTTTGCCGGTGACTGGATGCAGCCGTATCATCGATTGGTGCCCAATATCCTCAAGGAGATCCCTGTGCTGATCTATGCTGGTGATGCTGACTACATCTGCAACTGGCTGGGCAACAAGGCTTGGACCGAAGCCCTTGATTGGTCAGGTAAGAAAAGCTTCAACGAGGCCGAGCTCGAGGATCTCAAGCTTCCTGGCGCCAACGAGGCCTATGGCAAGGTCAAGGCTTCGGGCAACTTCACCTTCATGCGCATCTACCAGGCCGGCCACATGACGCCCATGGACCAGCCTGAGGCCTCGCTCGACTTCCTCAACCGCTGGCTGGGCGGCGAGTGGTTTGCCAAGTAAATGACAGATGGAAGAGGTTTCAATTGGAAATTGTACATTGGGCAGGGCAAATTTCTGGTATGTATGGTCATGGTAGTTGCTGAGACTCATGTTGTGGTTGAATGGATTCGGATTTCCATACGATTGAGGGCTTGAGCATTCTTTGCTTTTAATAGCATGGAGTCTTGATGGTCATGGATGAGTCTACGTCGTCCTCCTTTCAGTAGTCCATTTAGTTTTGTTCACCAGTCCATGAACATCCATAATGTGCAGTTGTACCAGTCTTTCTGTCAACTTCCCGAGCTTCCACGCCCATTCTGGAAGTTTGAATCTGCCTAGCCCGTCTAGCATCTCCATTCTTTCCTGTCTTATTAGTTACCTAAGACCAACCTGTGGGCCGGGAGAACAATAGATCCTTTCAATGAGTACCACAGTTACCATGATTTAAACCCAAGAGAGGATCATCGTCATCTGACATCAGAAAAGACAATTGTTCTGCTTGTGATCTTCTTGTTACCCCGAGACACCATGCTACCTTGTCATGGTCAATATTTAACAGTGCTGTTAAACTTGTAAAGCCCAATCCTGACATTATTATTACTCCAGCATCATCACTCCGATATCGGTCTCAACCAACTGTCCTGGCGACTGACATCAGCATCACATCGCTAATTTGTTCATCTATCATTGATAAGGAACTGGGCATGCTGAAGGGGAGAAACCGAAAGTCACTTCTCAAGAATCAAGGTCAAGTTATGTACATGGCCTGCATGTGGGAAACTATGTTGGAGGGGGAATAGGATTGGAGTAAGCAGCAAAAGTAAACATATCCTTGCTGGTTAACAAAGCAAAGGTTAAGTAGTCTGAACCTTTGATTTCTGACACTCGATTGCCCCATCAACTTCAATTTAGACCTAAATAGAGGCAATTCTTCCCGTCCATTTTTGTCTGAAGTTTCTGATTCCTTCAGTCACTCAACATATACTAAGCAGCCAAGCTATATGCGGAGTACACAAGTAGGTTATTGTAATTTTGGTATCCATCATATCAAGATATCGTACATTAGGGGGGTTAGGTACGGTTGTACACATACACCAGAGAGAGACCTGACCATCCATCCAGACCACACCCACACCCACCATCCGACCATCCACCCCTCACCCAACCGATCATCCAACCATCCGGCACCACCCAAATGAGAGAGAGAGAAAAAAAGCAAAAAGACTAGAGTATGCAGGAAGAAAGGGAATCGAAAGACAAAAGGGCAGTCAATTAAAAGACAAGCCCGAGACGTTGACTAGAAAATGACCAAAATCAATCATGGATGACATATAACATTCGTGCTTTTTGTTTCCCCTTTACAAATGCTCTTGCTTTCCCTGTTACAGTCACACACACACACACACACACGCACACATACACATCCCTGTTTTTTCCCCCCTTTTGGCTGTTGCTGTTGTTCATGGATATCATCGTCATCATCCCATCAAAACCAAATAGGCGAGAGGTATGCTCTGGCTCCATTGTTGCTTCCCTGTTCCCTTGGATCAAAAAATGGACCCGTTCCTTCCCTCGGATTTTGCCACTGCTCGTGCTCGTTCTTCGACCCCAGATTAAACCCTTGCGGGTCTTTCCCCTTATGGCGTCATCCACTAAGTCGCACACAGGATTTCTGATAACTTGATCAGGGGACAGATGGTCAAGGTATCTTCTGCCCAGAGGTGACGTAGTAAAGGGTGTGTTGGAGAGGTGTTGGCGATAGTGGTTGGATATCAGCCATTTTCTGTCCACGCATGTCCATTCTCCCATCGGGAATACTTTCACGCAACACTCAGGGCTTGGCTTAGCTGGCTCGAGTCTCACTTCCAAAGCTCTCGTTCATGAAAAGGGCCAGGAAGAGAAACCGGTAATCCGAAACCCCCGTCCTCGGGCCATCAATATATGGAAAGGATGGCAAATGGGGGTGATCAACCGGTGTCAGCAGCCTGCATGGGCGGACTCGACGAGTTCTTATGCTTCTTAAACAACGACTGCAGCCCATTGACATTGAGCCTAAATCGGCTAGGCTTCTTCTTAAGCTGCCTACACGCCCCTGGCTCAGGTTCCAGGGTCCCGCTGCTGGTCATGTTGCTGTTTGCATGGTTGTTCTTCGCGCCCTGGAACTGGGCATTCCGCCAGGCTGGGTCTTCCTCGTCGGTCGCAGGGTAGCTGTCAAGCTTGAAGTCGGGTTCGCTCCTAGCCGATTCAGGGGCCGACACTGCCGAGTCCGGCGCGGTCGTGCTGGTGGCCTGTATGCTGTTCAGGCGCTCAAACGAGTCCTTGCTGACGATGCTTGTGCCTTGGGTGCTGGGGGATAGTGGCATCTTGCCGGTGGTGGCACTCGTCGCTTGTGAAGCCCAGTCACCTGTATACCGTGCCGAACTTCCCTCTGTGGTTTCGCTGCAGCGCTGCCTGCTGTGGCCTTGTGGTTGGTAGTTGCTGGGATTGAAAGGCTCTCCAGGACAAAAATCAGTCGGTGAGGAGAAATTAGTGACGATGCCGTTGACAGCCAGGCCATCAGCAGGTCTCCTAAAATTCTGATACGACCTTGGTAACGATTCACTCTGCTGCGTGACGACAGAATTGGGTGTTCGTTGAGGCTCAACCACCTCCGGAAGTGCTCGCGATGCCCTTGTACTAGCTTGCGGTGCGTCTCTGACCGGTTCTGTCGCATCTGCAAGGCCGATCGTTTTGGACGAGAACTCGCCGCCATTATCTCGTTGAGACGTCAAGCAAGGGGATGGCCGTTCGGGGCCTTCGATGAGCAGTCGGTCGAATAACCTCTTGTTCACATGAAGCTCGTCCACACAGTACTGCATAGCCGGGAGCAGGTCGGCGGCCGTTTGAAAGAGAGGGATTGCGAAGACGTTCATGAACTTCGTTTGAGAATTGGCCAGCGAGATGGTGTCTTTTTTGGGGACAGACATGAGAGATGTGGGAATGTCCAGCTCCATCTCCATACTTGCCTGACGGGCAAACTCGTCGGAGAGGATCTGAGACCACTGCAGAGCAGTATCGTGTCTCCGCGCAACGTTGCTAATGTCGGCACATTTAATTAGCAGGGCACATGCGAGTGATTTCTGTTCGTTCTTCGCCGCCTCGGGCCAGTCGTCGATGCTGCTCGTCGCGCGGAGTTTCTCCTGGAGATCGGCAAGCTTCTTCATGTAGTCAAAATGCAGCCCCATATCGGTGGCCAGGATGGAGCTAATCATGAGAGCGCGCATCTTGGTGTCTGAAAAGGCTGATGGCCAGTACCTCCGTAGAATCTGCGAGTATGCGGCGCAGTGGAAGGATTCTAGAACGGAGCGGTCGTTGTACAGCTGGGCGAGAGGGGCATTCAGTGTCACTAGGAAACCATTGTTGACCCCTGGATGTCCAACGTCGTGGCCAATAGCTGTGATAAGAAGAGTAAGCGCCTCGAATGGCTGCAAAAGCTTGGCCACTGGGGACTTTGGACGCGCCTCAGAAAGCACGCCCCCGGAGTAACGATACGGCGGCAAGGCGCCGATGCAGACAAGGAAATGGAATGTGGCCTGCAAGACATCAACCACATGTCGGAAGTTGTGATAGGGGACGAATTCATTGTAGGCCGTACGGCAAGCAAGGAGAAAGCGGAGGAGCTGCTCTGGACACGGAAGTCAGGGAAATGTATCACAGAGGGACAAGAGGGAACCGAATCAAGGACGCACCATTTGATATCCTCCACGGCCCTAGTTCAGGAATAGCCAGGGCATGTTTGAACATAACAGATGCCGCGACGACGAGTTCGTCGTCGGTAAACTCATGGGCGCAAAAGTGCCATTGGCCGACGGCCGAGGAAATCTCAGCCTGTTTGTCAGCAGGCACAGATAATCTGATAGGCCCACTAAAACCTTCTTCCGCTTCACTCCCGATGCGGCAGATCCAGTTCATGAGGTTTGAAACCATGGCCTCCCGCAAATAAGCAAACGGCTTCTCCTCGTTTACTCCTACCCATGACCGTTTCCGGCCCCGTCGAAGCTCAAGGATGGCCTTTTGATCCCGGGCAGCATCGCGATAGGCACGATAAGCATGCACCTCGAGGTTTGCGACACTGGCGACATTCATCGGGTTCGTCATAACATCTGTCGCTCCCAGGTCGAGGCAGCGCTTCATCATTCGTGTGCTAGCCGACCGACGCTCTTTGAGGTTCCAATCAGTGCCCATGCCGAGTCCTGAGCCATTGGTCCCATTTGAACCACCCGGTTGGTGATCGCCATAGGGGAAGCCGACAATGGGGACGGTGACGACCAGTTTTGACGTGTTTCGAAGGTAGGATTCGGAAATGATCCTTTGCAGCAACGGCAAGCCGTACAACTCTTCCTCCTGACTCTCGCGGTCGTCACGCAGCGATGACCGAGAGGGAGACGGGGATCTCGAACGCGACTTCTCAGGGAAAGATTCCTGAAAGGGAGTATCAAGGATGAAAAGAGTCGGCCTAAGGGCGACAATCGAAGCTTCCTGAAGGCTCAGCCATTGGGTCAAGCAAGCGCCCCCGGCGCTGCAAAGATGAACTGGATAGACATATTAGTATGCTTCATACCGAAGAACCGAGAGTGCGCAAATATGCTGTCGCGATATGGCATACCTTCGTCGAAAACCTGCAAGAGCAGGCCGACATTTTCGGCCAGATGCGTCGATTCCCAGCGCGATGGATCCTTCTCCCAGGCCCAATCCGCAGCCTTTACGGAGCGATCCTGCGCGACGCACCGGTCGACATAAATGACATTGCACGAGACACTCTCCATGGTGGGATGCTGACAAGCGACCAGTCTTGCGACCAGGTGCGCTTCCACCACGGGACAGAGCGTAATAATAAGGGCTCAGAGACTCGGGTTCCCGAATCAAGCACCGCTACTGAGAAATTGAGAAAGTCCAGCAACAAACAAAGCCAGGCCGACGGGGGTATAAAGACGACGAGATGGCTCCAAAGGCGGTAGCTGAGAGACGAGAAAGGCGAAATCGGGGGCGACTGGCTGGATGCGACAGAAAACGCCTTCAGCGAAACACAGTTCTTATATCCGGATTAAACGATGCCCGTTCGTGGTAGAAGTAAAATGGAAGCAAGTAACACCGGCTAGGGCAAAGACACGGCGATGCGAGTTCGGTAGGCGTGCGATAAGGTCGAGTCGAGGCCTTGGAAGATGAGATTCCGGCACGCTAAGCGGCGCCGACTCGAGTGGACTGTCGTGGGCGTGAAGGAGTCAAAGATCGGGCACGGGGCTAGTAGTAGTAACGGCGGTGGAGGGTCAATGTAGTGCAGAAGCGACATGCCGTGGCTGGCGCGGAATCGGGGGACGGCGGTCGTGATGACGGCACGAGCAGAGCGGGCAGCGCGGGTGTACTGTCTGGTTGTGGACGGGCAGGATGGACGCACAGGGAAAACCAGAAGGCAGCGCTGGGCTAGTGCACCTGAGCAGAGGAAGATTTGGGTTTGGGAACAGGGAATACAGGGAGGCCCGGCCCCGTCAATTCGTGCCACTGACAACGGTTCAGTGCTGGGTCGGGTGGACCAGAGGTTGGAGTCAAGGAGAGAGCGTGGATGGAAGCTAGACAGAGACCAGGTGGAGTCGGTCGACAACAAGGGCGGGAGACACCCAGCGGACGTAGAGTCGGGGAGGGAAACGAAACAGTTGATCTGGAAGTGAGCCGGGAAAGGGAGTGGGAGTGAAAAGGGATGAAGAAGACGAAGAAGAAGAATAAGAGGAAGAGAAACAGGTGAGAGAAGGGGAAGCGAAAGGCGGGTAGCTGAGCAAGGAGTGCAGTAGGTATGGATTCGTAGTGCGGTGGGAGATGCTATGTCCTTGTCCTTTTCGCAATGTCTTTTTTTGTCTCGTCCGTTCCCCCTCCCCCCTTGTTTGTGGGATCGCGGTGGCTGTTTCTTCGTGGTCCAGGAACCAGCGCCCAGCAGCCTGTGCCTGTGCCTGCGTGGGTGAGCCTGTGAAGCTGGAGAGAGCACAAAAAGAGAGTGTGTGTCCAGTGTCTGGTGTGGACGTGGGTTGTGGGCTGCGGTGTCGAGAGGAAACAAGGCACAAAAGGACAAGAGATGGAACACAGCAGACTATGTCAGGTAGGTAAGGTAAGGTAGGCAGGTAGGTAGGTAGGTACCGATATCCAAGGAGGTAAACCTGTCCACGATTCTTGGGCAATCTGGATTCTGCAGTTCCGGACTCGATAGCAGACGGGCGGCAGGTCTGTGTGTTCTGCAGCGCAGACTGCAGCCAGCAAGAAAGAGTTGGGAGCGAGAGCTGCAGACGGTTTTAGGCGTGGAGCTTTGCGGCCTGCTCGCCTGCTCGACATGGAAGTCGCCCAGGAAAGCAGATCGCTAGGAGACCTGCAAGCCAAGCGGAAAGCTGGGCAGCCTGCCCAAGACACCAAGTGGGCACTGGAAGGCAGAGGGCAGATCCACCAATGTCTTGCCAGCTGCTGCAGCGGCGCGCTCGAACCCATGGGGCAAATCCGCCCAATCTTTTTTATGACTGGCCAATCGCAAAGTGCCAATTAAGGTCCCTGGCTTTTTGTTTTACTGTATTATTTTCTGCCAACCATCACACCTTTCTAGGATGAGGGGACCAGCGACGGCTACCGTTGCGAAGGGCAAGGCACGCGAGATCAAGGACGCCGATGTGGATGTGGATGGACGACGGATCAATAACAGCGAGAGTGCAGCAGCCAGCAGCTAGCATCTCCAGATCACCAGCACCAGTACCAGCACCATCACTAGCAATTGGCTGGCTGGCCAGCCAGAAGCCAGCAGGCTGCGAAGGGGATTCTCGCGTCGGGGAAAGCCACGGAAAGGTGTGGGTGCGTGTGGATGCTGTGTGGATGCCGTGTATGGGCTAGAGTGGATATGGTGGACCCCTCCCGGTGGCAGGACACCAATCAACACGCAGTATCTGGTGGGGAAGGCTGCGCGAACGGGAAAGGTGCAATCTGAGGGATAGCCGGGGCAGCGCTGGGCAGGCGCTCAGTGGTCGGCCAGCGGTGCATCGACGCTCCATCGAAGGGCCCCTGGCGTTCGTGGCCTTCTGGGTGTCTTCTCGAAAACCCGTCGAAACAACACCTCTGCCGTCTTCTGCGGTCTGCCCCCCCTGCGGGTCACCACAGACAGCGCCGGGCCAGCAGACCAGCAACCATCCCGTCAACTCGCTCGATGCCCAAACGCTAACAACTGCAATGCAACCGCCCTGCAGCCATGCCTGGGACTCGGCGACGACGACGATGTTGTTGCCTCAGAAGTTCCTTTGACCCATGTCTATACAACCTTATAATAGCACGGAGGCTCGAGTTGCTACCTTACACTACATACACTACAATAGGTAGAATGCCAATAATCCAAGCATGGTGTGCGGTATAGCTCACCGGCACCAGCTGCGAGTATGCAACGTCTCCTTGGTTGGGATGGGTTTTAAAAAAGATCCAGCTGCCAAAAAGCGAGTGAAGCTCGCCGAGACTGTCAGCCGATGGGCGCATCCCTGGCTCGGCTTTCGTACGGCACCGAGATGGACAACGGCATTGGCACACACACAGAGTAGGGCGACTTGAGAATCACTTCCAACTCAAAACCCGGCGTCTACCAAGCTCTTCCGGCGCCAGCCAGGAGAATATATATTACAGCCATTTCTATAATGCTCTAGCGTCTATTGCTGTCCTCGTCCGACCCAGAATGCTCCGGTCAACCCTCGCCGGCACCGCGCATGAGCAACAAAACGATCAAACCTGCAGCATGCCCCCAGCATTCCAGGCTGCACCATGACAGCGAATCAGGACTGGCGCAAATTGGCGTCGCCTTGTGACCACTGCAGAACTCCGGACTGCAGCTAGGCTCGAGATGACTTGACACAATGATTACTGGTCGTTCCGTCTTAACTCTCTTGTTGTCGCTTGTTGCCTCCCAGGGCCTCGCTCCATTGCGATCAGTAAGCATGTACTGTGATCCGACTCTTATTCGGCGCTCTCCCCAGCGATCGCCAACAGCACCGCCTACTCATCATGGCCAGGGCTGAGAGCCTCAGACCGCGTCAGCTCCCATACCAATGCCTAAGTAACCCCTATGCAGGTAGCCCTCCATCTCATCAAATCGTCATCGACGCCGACATGGGCCACGGACAAGCCGGCCGAAGCAACCGAAAGGACGGTCTGATACTTTGGGAATGGATCTTTTACTGTAACAAAACAGCGCATTTGGCAATTTACACCCGGCTTGCCGATCCTTCCAAAACAGAAATGCCCATAAAGAGATAGGTACATACCTTACCTACCTGGGTATCTATGGGAAGCCGAAAATGTTCTCAGAGGCACGTGCTTCGCCCTTCTGGAGCTTGGCTGGGGCCTGACCCCGGTGGCTCCAGTCCCGAACCCTTCTCGAAGCAGGTAAAAACTGACGAGCCACTGATGAGCAGCGCGCCTGATCAGATCTGGCCTTGCTGCTGGACCCAGCGATCCATGCTCCAGCACCGGGGAATGGATCGAGGGCTCTAGTGGACGGCATCTTCCGTTTCATTGTTATCTGTGTGAGGCCTGTCTTTGTTGCTGTGCGAGTTTACAGAACATCTTGAACATTTAGAGACGACCTGGGAGCACAATCACAAGGCTTCTTGAGCCCTAGACCCCAGAGCTGGACCGCCACAGTCTCACCATATCCCTTTCACCCAAGCATCCGCTCCGCCGATCCGCACCATCGCCAGTTTTATACATGTCCTCCCCACTTTCAGGCACCTCAGTATGCATATACTTGTGTCTTATTCTGGCAAAAGGCAGATGTCAGCAGCCAACAGAGCTGCCTACCTTACGCCCGCAGACAGGTGCTTGTGAACAGCAGCACAAAGTTTTTTTTTTTTTTAAGCTCCTCGACGAGTCGACGGTATTATAGCCCTCTCCTATATCCCTTGATGTCTGGGCACCTTCTTCGGCCAGCAAGCCAAATTCTCATTGTGCTGCTGTGTTTTGTTGTGTCCGAGTCCGGACCTTTAGGCCCATGTACGATCGAGTTGTCCCTAAAAAAGCTCGTAAACCTGATTGTTGAAGACCTATTATCCCTGCATCATTCCCGAGACGCCTGCGCAAAGCTCAGCTGTTCCGGAATGACTCGCAGGATAGAAAATAATGATCTGAGACATACAGAAACACCCAAACAGTTCGCTGAGGGTCTGTGAGGCCAGAGCAATCGAGGTATCAGATAGCTATTCTGCACATTAACGGTAGACCTTCTATCACTTGCCTTTTGTTTTACGCGTAGAAAGCCTGCCACATCCATCTTCAGAATACCAAATCTTGTCCATCCTAAATGTAAACACTCAGTGTTGATGAGCAGAACATCACAAAACTGACAAGTATGCATGTAAAAACGGAGCTGTCTCACTGTGCAATGCCAAGCATCATACTATTCTACGGATAGAGTAGAACAGAGCAAAATATACTGCCCCAACCCACAGCTTGGATGTACCGTTTCACTTGACACCAATGATCGACTGGTGATCCATCACTCTGATTCCACTGTTAACACAGTTCCCGGTCAAAATGATGAACCCAGTATGATTCATCAGCCTGGGTGAACCATTGTAAGTTGAAGACATGTGCAATATCAAGGTGATGCTTTACAAAGTCAGCTGAAATACTGACATACCCCCTTTGCATCTAATACGCAACTAATTGTTAATTATATCAACCTTCTATTTGATCCGTTATTTCCAAGGCCCAAGTGATCATGCTCTCGATGAAATGGATCATGCCGCCAGTTTGGATGAGGGACACATGAATCAACGCCATCAATCACATTCAGAACAATCACCAAGAAGAAATAAAGAAGCAAGATGGTGACTTTTTATCAATAAATTGCTCAACCCATACACGTTAGGGTAGGTAACGTACGGCCATTCACCTCTGCCCAGAAGGCAAGCAGCTTTGGCAAGTAACACCACAAAACCAACCTTACCATCTCTGCCTGCCCTCTCTTCATCCCTCCCCCCTTCCCCTACATCTAAACTTTCCAGTCCACCTTATCCTTCCTACTCCATGCCCTGCAAAAAGAACACCCAAGATTGCAACCATACTAGGTCGATGATTGGATATGTTATGTTGGTGCATCATCATAATCATGATCATTATCTTATTCATCCCACAATCATCAATCACCACCTTATTCTTTCTTGAGGCTCCAAAAAGACCATTTCATTTCATCCAGTGTATCCCCTCTTTAATTTTATGTTCATGAAATGCGGTCCCTTCCAGCACTAACACACACCAAGTATGAAAAACATTCACCACTTGTGTGTTGTGTGCGTATGTGCTTGGTCCAGGAAGAAAAAAGAGAGTGTGTGTGAAGGAAGGGAAGAAAAGTCAAACCCACACAATGTATGCAATGCAATGCAAGGAGACACTGTCTAATGTAATGTGTAGTGGATGTAGTAGTCACGTGCCAAACCAGAAAGGAACGGTACGTTCATAGTAAGAAAAACAAGGAAACCTATCCCATTCACCACTACCAACAAACCGTCACCGTCTAAACACAGATATCTAAGCATCAGTCTTCTTGTCCTCTGTAGCAGATGCCACAGGGGCAGGGGAAGATGGAGGGGCAGGTGCCACGACAGCAGGAGCGGTAGCAGTCGACGTAGTGTTCATTTCCTCCTCACTGGCGACGTGAATCTCCATGACCTTATCACTGGCCCGATCATCGTCTGCACTTGCCGCCGCGGGCGGGACTTCATGAACAGCATTCCTCTCGGCCCAAGCCTGAACAGCAAAATTGCTCATAAGCTGTGCCGGCACTTGGTTTGTTGAGGCGGGAGGCGGCTCTTGATAGGTAGGAAATGGAGTAATTGGTTCCGTAGGCTCCACGTACTTCGTGCTAGGTTCAGGGGGGATGATGTCACCAAACTCTGCCTGATTCAGGGCATCGCTGTCATCATCATCGTCATCATCATCGTTGTTGATGGATGAGCCATCGCCCTGGGCAACGTCGCTAGCGATCTCGGCATCATCGTCTCCCATGACGTCGGACCCATGCTTGCCTGGGGTAATGTTGTCAAAGTTCCAGGTAGGACCAATGACAGAGGTCATACCAGCCATGGCAGTTGCGCCGTCGAAGTCAGCCATACCAATACCTTCATCCTCGCCATCAGCCTCGATACTGTTGTGCAGTGTCTCTTGGTTGCTCCAGGATAGCTGAGCACCCATGTCGGTGTCGTCATCATCGACGATGTCAGCGGCCGCGGCAGAGATGCTCGCCTGGTAGGAAGGCAGCTCTGGATCCACTGCGAGTCTAGCCAAACCACGATTTCCTAGCGGGAGAGTTGGAACGGCTCCGGTCGAGGCGCTCGGCGATCCACGAAGGGAGGAGCCTTGGCCGAGACGCCGACCTTCCCCCGAATCCGACCCATCATCATCGGCATTGGAAGACATGAGCATGCTATTGTACTTGTCACAAATCTCTTGGAACTTGGGCCCACCAAGAGGAATGTCTGACCGGCGGCGATAGAAAAGCAGATAGGCGGCAGGTGAGACCATCCTAGAGAGGTCATGTGTCTTAGACACGGACGCATCTGGATATTGTTAGCATAATGCTTCCAGTCGACTTCCATGAATAATCAAGAATTGATGCTCACCATTGTACTCATACCACTGGCCATCAAAGAAGTTCTTGGCATAGGCAGTGTAATGGCCTCCACCGAGACCACCGTAGTGATTGTCAACAGCAATGAGGTCATAGATGTACTGCTTGCCAGGCTCCTGATCAATTACACGCCTGGTCAGGTCAAGCCCCTCAATGGGGAAGTCGACCAGAATGTCGAGTTTATCACGTCGCCAACCGTGAGAGCTGAACCGCTTCAAGTGAACCACCAAGATGTCTGGTGTCTTCCACAAATCAAACTTCTTAGTGGCGCGCACGTGCTCCTTGCAGCGAGGGCAGTACCAGCAGTCGTTCTCAGAGAGTACCTCTTCGCTTTCAAACTCATCCAGGCAATCATCGAGGGTAATGCCCCGCCTCTTTCGCTCCGTACGAGCCTTCCGCTTGGCATCCAATGTAGGATCATCCAGCACAGGTAGGTTAACAAAGGTCCTTGCCCCCTGACTGCTCTCTTCGGAACCAAAAACCCATTCAAGCGAGCTCTCGGTCCACTCGACCATGATGCCTTCGCCAACACCGATCAAAGCACCGCTGGGAAGCTCCTCAGGTTCGACTCGGGATACTGGAGACTGTTGGTGCTGGTAGAACCGAGCAGACCGTTGTTGTTTCTCGGAACGCTTCTTGCCCTTCTTGCCGTAAGTCTTGTGCGGCTTTATCTTTTTTCTTTCCGCGGAAGCTTACTGGATTGCCGAAGGATTGTCCACTGGGCCGAGCCATGGGAAGCTTCTATGAGACGCACCGGAGCGCGCACACAGTCAGTTATCAAGAGTCTGGAAGGGCTTGGGAAAATGTCATAATTACACATACCGGAAGTGGAAACTCATCATCCTCATCGCTGGACTCGTCAGCCATGCGAGTGATAGCAGCTGTCGCCTGCGGGGATTCGTCACTGGCACTCTCCTCCGATCTATCGGGGCCTGGACTGCGCATGTCCACATCTGAAGCGGGCGGCTTGGGTAACCTAGAAGCCAATGTAGGAAATTCATCATGATCATTATTCACCTCCCACCCTGTGGGGATCGTGTTTGGCCCGTCAGTGAAATAGGTGAGATCAAAGAGATTCTGCAACCTGGGCTCAAGGAACTCCCGTGGATCAAGCCACTTAGGCCGCTGTTTTTTGAATTGTTTCAGCAACATGGGATAACTGTTATTTTGGTTGAAAGCTCAGCAACAGATTCTTGTGAACAAACTTTTAAAGCAAGGTGACTTACTCGTCTGATGCGGCAGAGGCAGGAGTAGAACCAGGCTTGTCCATCACGGTCGGAGCATCCTTCATCGTGACGTCCACCATGTCTTCTTCACCCTCGACTGACTTGACAACAATCTTTGTGTCGCCTGCAGAGTCGGCATCTGACGTGTTGTTAACCATCTCAGCATCTGTCGTCTCAGACGTATCTGTATCATCTGAACCAGCCAATTCGGGAAGGGTCGTAAATGTAGCCAGTTTCTCCAGGATCTTCCTGCGAATGACGTCAAGATTTCGAGCCTCCTCACGGTTTAGCACAATAAAATGTGGGGGTGGGACATAGTCGCTGGCCTTGCGGCCGCCGAGACGCTTCCTAGACGATGCCTCCGAAGGCGTAATGCGGTGAATGACAGGAACCAGCAAACGCTCTGCCAAGGGGTCATCAGCAGAGTTGGCAGACTCTTCATCGTTGGATGGCGAGCGGGCACGGAACTTCTGACGATTCTCCGTGTTCTTCACGAGGTGTGCATTTGTGGGTGCACACTCAAGCTCGTGCACCACAGCTATATCAGATTTTTGAATAACCTCCGCAACGATGCCCCTATCCTCGTAGAACTTGAAAAACTTGGACTGGAACTCCTCGCCTGCGAAGAGACGCTCAACTGGAACACCAACACGTGCTGAAATGAACTGCTTGAGGGCCCTGATGGTGCTGTTCTTATCCATATCAACGTTGATCTCAACTGGGGCATCATTGAGCGGGTAGTACTTGACTTTGTGGGTCCATACATTGCTGATGGGCAGCGGCAGAGTCAAGTTATTGAAAGGGTCGAACGTGATGCTGACTTTGTCGCACTGAGGGCAGACAAGAGTGGACTTATACATGCCAGTGAAGAGATCTGCAATGACTGAGTCATCTCTCTTCTTTGTGATGTCCCAGACTTTATCAGCCATTTCTTTGATGGCCGCAGGATTGTTGATCATATCATCAGTCGAATCGGGCTTCTCGATGTATGGCTTCTTTTTGATGCGATTCAAATCTTCCTGAAGACCATCAAGGAGAAAACCGAGAAACTCTTGGGTATCCTGCTGCCCATAGCCCGAAAAGGCGGGGGCATAGCGACCAATGATGCTCTTGAAGTGTCGGGGAGCAACTGATGCAGGAGTCGGATCCTTGTAAATCTCATCTAGCAACCGGCTGTACGCCATAGCGACATCGCCGTTGTGCGACAGCGGGTTATCAGGGTTGATTTCTTTCTTAGCCTCATGGGTCAGGAAATACTTGGTGAGTTCCTCAACGCTCCTCAAGCATTGCAAGGCAGAATTCATATAGCAGGTATTGCCCAAGTTTTGCAGACCAACGCAACCCATAGTGCGTCCAGGCTTTTGTGGCAGCCGACCCCTAGCCTGCGTCCCAGGAAGTGCCGGGCTGCTGCGGCTACTGGTATTGGCACGGGGATGGGCTGCGAGACTGCTGCTGCTGTTGCTGGAATTTGCCTTCGCGGGGAGTGGCATGTCCCTTGAAGGGCTAAAAGTAGACACGTACACTTGACCGAGCTCTTTAATCTGTTCATCAAGAACCAAAGTCTGGTCCACAGCAAGCCCCACAATCGACAAGCTCTTGCTCCCATTGTAATTGGGGTTGGTGGTAGAGTCATCAGCATCAACCAGGTCACGGTCAACGCCCTTCTCAAGCTTCAGGAAAGTCTCGACATCTACAAGGAGCGTTGGCCACGAGCCAGGCGCGGTCGGGGCCTGTGTAAGAAACTCAACAGTCCGGCCAGGCGATTCAGGAGGGGTCTTCATCCCTGAAGGCTCAGGGGTGTTGCGCTCGGTGGCGGGGATAGTTTGCAAAACTCTCCAGACACGGATTTTACGATCCATAGAGATGTCAGTGAGCTCCTTGATCAGCTTAAGGAACTTGTGATAGCCGTATGAGGTGCTCTGAATCACGACCGGCGGAGGGGGATTCTTGGACTTGATGCTGCTGTTGATTGGAATCGGGCTTGCCGCGGACCACAGTCGGTGGATCGTAAACATCGGCGGGTGGAATTCAAACTGAATTGACGGCAGGCTCACCGAATCGGGGGCCGTATTGTGAGCATAGCGGACGATGGGAATCTGGCCAGGAGCCAGACCGTACCACGACACAAGCAGATCCCAGGCGTCCTTGGGGAACAGCTCGAAATGCTCTGTGGTCAAGCCTGGTTTTAGTTTAACACACTGTTGGCCGGTTGAGTCTGTGAAGATGGCCTGGATAATATCCGAGTTGTCGACAGGCCCTAGTGTCCCAATCGACTCTTGGGTGGCATGCTTGGCCTCAGAACCAAACGCCTGCGCCTTGCTCAGCCACATGCGCGACACAAGGTAGGCCTGATCCCCTTCCTTGATCGGGGTCTCAGCAAACGCCTTAACAAGCGTCTCGATGGTCTTGATCTGCTGGTCTAGAGGAGGAATATCTGCGACGTAGTCAGCACAATCTGCTCGTTGACCGAGTCCTGCGAATATGTTTCAATATATTATTACCATTCAGTAAGGGAAGTTCCTCCTCCTTGTCGGCCCCAGAAGCCTTGGCACCATCCTGGTGTGTGTTATTTCGCTGCTCCTTCGGGTCTTGAGGGGCCACCGACTGCTCCCTCTGGGATTCCGGCACAACGATCATGTCCACATCATCCCTGGTGTCGACAAGCTTAACGTCGTGTTCCGGCTCCATGCTGGATGCCCTGCGCTTGAGCGGCGAAGAAGAGCGCTGAGGAAGATCCGAGGCGCCACCCATCAGAGCCCGGCGAACAGATTGATGGATTGGAGACTGGCTGCCCGCGCGTCTGAAGTTATGGGACTCAAGGGGCAGTAAAGCCACGCCAGACTCGGGCAGAGGATCTGGGTTCCGGTCGAAGTCGACGGAGAAGTCGGCCGAGGCAGCACAAGGCGAGCTGGCGGCTGAGGAAGCAGAGTCGGCTAACGAAGCAGCGTGAGCCGTCTGCAGGCGGGGAGGGAGGACGGAAGGAGGTAGCGACGCAGCACGAGCAACGAAGCTGGTTGTGGGCGTGCTCAGGCCCGATGTAGAAGCAGCCGAGAACGAAAAGGTTGGATCGACGTCGTCGTGTTCGGTGGAGGGAAGTACCAAGTCCTCAGGCTTGTGCTCCCTTGTCGTCTGGCGCGTAATCCTCCGTTTCTTTTGGGAAGACGTGGTGAATGTGAGCTGCCTGTGCAGCTCGAGGGATGCCGGATGGTGGGGTTAAGGGGCACTCTCGAGTGGGGGAGGAGCGGCAGGAGGACGCCGGAGAGATGGTGGAGTAGGAGTAGCGGTTGCAGCTACAGCGGCGGCGGCAAAGAAGGAGGTGGGTTTGCTGATTTGCGGCGACAGACGCAGGCGCGGACGCGGGCGGAAGAACGGACGACGAAGTCGAAGGCAGCCAAGGGAAGAAGGAAGACGGAAGAAGCGGCCGGTTCCTGCAGGGCATCAGCGACCGTGGCGCTGCCAAAAAAAAAAGAGTTGACTGTTGTTTTCCTTTTTGACGGTTGGGTTCCGTCCAGTCGGTCGGTTCTCTGTCTTGCTGGTCAGGGTCAGCGTTCTGGTGGGCGGCGAAGCGAGCCTAAGGGCGGAGAGCGGGAGGCGTTAACAACTGGAAACTGTCCTGATCCAGGTCAGGTCCAGCGCTGGCGTAGCTCCCTGCACTCAGACACTCAAACACAGGCAAAATTTGGGGCTGACTAACTTGAGTTCGACTTAGACTCGAGCCTGAAAAGACAACAACACCCCAGGCAGAGGTAAAGTAAACGGGCAGAGGTACCTAGGTCTGGGATTTCGTACGGGCAGGCAGGGCCAACTGCGGTCTGAGTGCTTCAAAAAGTGTAAAAAAAAAAAAAATTAAACCGCCCATAAGATGGTTTTAGCCTACACAAGGGTGCGAGGCCATTCCTTGAATGAGAAGAACCCTGGCCCACATGCGCGAGCCTGTGAAAACGAAGGCGAGCGGCGCTGCTGACTTTTTTCTTGAATCTCCTCACACAACCTCAGACTGGTCTGGTTGGGTTTGCTGCACGCAGGGCGGGCAGACCTTCAAGTTTGGGCAGGTTTTTGAGTTGTCTTTTGAAGGAAATCCTGGGGTTGGCGGGAGAGGGAAAGCGGAGCTCCGTGCGAACAAAACTCTGACCTTGACTTTTCAGTTTCCACTTCTTCCCAAACATCCTGCCAGCCTGTTGCTGGGAACGCCTGTCTGCGTGTGGAGAACCCTGACCGCTCGCTCACATCCGCCCAAATGCCCATGTGCCAGGGCCGCAGCTTGCAAAATTTGGGCCTTGGCCCCTTTGGGCCGCTCTCGATCTAGCTACACTACTGGGTGTCTGACTTTGGCTTTCAGCCCTGCAAGGCCACGGCCCAGCAAAATGCGACCAAAAACGCCCTGGCCCAGGCGGCTCAGGGCTCAGGCACAACCGCGTAAGCAGTACAGTGTGAGTCTGTCGTGAATGGGCCTCTAATAACTGCTACGAACTCAAAGAGCTCTTGCGCGGCATCAAACAGACTGCCATGGCCTTTGAGCCTTTGAGACGCCTGCCCCTCACTTACCTTTCTTCGTCAGCCCAGGATATGCGTGAAGTTATCAGGAACCATAACGCAGACTGCGGTGCTAGGTATGCCGTCAGCCATGGATGCCAACCCGGATCATGGATGAGTGTTGGATTTCGCCTCCAGGATTCTGTGGTGATTCTTGGGTTTTCTACCACATATTTCTGCATGCAGTGCGTGCCCAACACTCCGACTCACATGCTGCAAGAGGAGGCTCCAACATTCGCACTGTGCCCTGGCCTATGATCCACATAAGTTTTCAGGAACTTGGAATAGGAGCTGGCAGATCAGTTTGTACGACATGCCCCGGTTGACGTTACCAAACTCTGAACTCTATTATGCTGCCCCGCACCATCACTCTCTCCCGGGAAATGGAACCAACAAAGTAGGCAAATGCCTGATAGGGTTACACAGCGCCCTCTCTCAAAGATACTGGACTATTCCTTGCTACTCAACGCCCATATCAAGTTAATATCTAGTTGTTTTTTGAATCAATCCTTTAGTGTGCTACGAGTTCTGTATACCTTGTCAACAGACTTGGACCCTCAAAGTGTGAGGCAACTGGAAAGCAACCTTCAAGAAACTTGCTCGGTAACCTGTATCTCAAGATCATTGCCATTCCAGAAACGACCGGTATCTTACCCGTCGACGTACGACTGAGTTGTCAACTCGATCTTCCGAGCCTCTGAGGTTCCAAGATTTGACAGGCCACGCCGGGACAACAGTCTCAAGTCGAAAAATATTTTGCGCCCTCTGTCATCTGATCAGCATAAGAGTTGTTTCATAGCTGTCAACGCCTACCGCTTTTACCCAAATTCTCACATGTATTACTTGCTGGTTTTCACACATTCCTCAAAATGAGAACTTCAGCAGGTCATAGTGCCCGAGCTGGGCTACAATGGCCTTGTCTCACAATTAAAATTCATCAGTAAGAGCAGAACTACTAAGTTTCCTGTGTTTCCTTTACCTATCTCATGACCCGATCGATGGAAGTCTATCAAGTCATAAACCCACCCTTCCACCCGCCCGTTCATATTCAACTTAAAGCTTTGGCTCCAGATCTTCATACTCACTCAAATCCCTCATTGGCTTAGGGCCGTTACTCGCCGGGAGACTGGCCTTAAACGACCGAACGTCCTCGATAAAGATAGGCTTGATCCCGTTCGCTGATGGCGGTTCTGCGTTGGCCGCTTCATTACCGAGTCCATGCTCCTCATGAAGCTTACGCCATGCTTGGGACGCCGCCTCAATCTTGTCTTCGGCAACCTTCAAGTCCTTGGCAAGATACTCTCGTAGCCCTTCCAGTTCCTTCTCCACGTTGGGGCCAGCCGCACTCAAGCGGGCCTGTAGATCTGTCGCTGCCCTGGCAGCCGCGGCCGAGTCGAGATCCAGCGTCTTGACCAGTTCAGTGATCTGTTGTGTTGACACATCGCTCTTGGCCTGCGCTTCTAAATATACGGCGAGCTTGGCCCGGGTGGGCGAGCTCGGGTCAATATAGTACTTGAAAAACTCAATCATTTCGGCCTTAGTAAGCAGTTTGATATGCTCCGCATCTTGCTGGGCTATATGACATAACAGGTCAGTATCACAGTAATCTACTTGGAAGGGCCGATAAGAAATAAACTAACCATTATCGAAAGCGTAAAACTCTGTGTAAATGTGAGTCCAGTGACGGTTGCTCTCCTGCTCCATATACTTGAGTTTCTCGAGACGTTTGTCAATAATGCTGCGCTTATTGCTCTCAAACTCCTCCTCGCTCATCTCTTCGAGCAGCTTGCCACCATTGCGCAAGAAGTCTTCAATGCGTGTCTCCAAGTATGGACCAGGCTTTTCGCTCTGAATGATGATATAGAACCCAAATTGGGTCGGGCTGGCCCATGCCCCTGAGTAGACAACATAGCCCAGCTGCTCTTTTGTACGCAGTTGGTTGAAGCAGGGCTCGTGGAGAATCTGATCCAAGAGCAAAACTTTCGCCCGAACAGTGTAATCCCCCCGGTAGCCGACGTGTAGGCAGTAGTGGATACAGTGGTTGACGTTCGCCGGATCCTTGAGTTTTTTCTTCCAAATGTAGTTGGAGCCGGACGGGAGGATCAATCCACGACGAACCGTCCATTGCTGCTTGGGAAGTTCTCGCGGCTTGAATGTGGACTCGACCAAGTCCGTCAGCCTGAGCGCATCCTCCTTGTAGAGATTGCCATGGGCTAGGATCTCGATGTGCATCTGGGCAAGCAGCTCCTTCTGGAACATGCGGACAGAATCGGCCGTGATATATGGCAGCTCGGCTCCAAGCTCCTCAACAAGATACCCGCGATCAATCGTCAGCCAAGACATGTAATCGCTGATTTGGTTCCACGGCGTAGCGAGCTCCCAGTTACGGTAGCCCCTACTCAAACGCTCCTTGATGATCTCAAAGCGATCATCGCGTATCTCCAGATCGCGTATTGTGACCAGGACATGTTGCAGGAGCAGGGGTAGCTTGTCATTGTAGCCGGACAACTCGATGAGGAGACCACGAGCATCGAGAGTGACTGTGTACTCCAAACCAGCCAGCTCTGCATCGTAGGAGTACTCCTCCAGAGCATCCTTCACGAGGTCAGTGAAGAGACGAACCTTGACGTGATTAGCTGCTGATGCAGAAGCCAGCGGGCTCCTGCAGCTGATGATCAAGGTTGCTTTCGGGACCCAGAAGGTATCGTCCTTCTTGAACCAAGTACGAACGATCGGATCATTCCGGATAATGCGAGGCGCCAGCGCCGGCTCCTTGATGTCCTTCTTCTCGACATCAAGCTTCATCGGTATGAACTGGTTCTTGTGCGGGAGATGGATCTTGGCTGTACGAGTGGCCGGAGTGCTAGCGGCCGCCTTCTTGATTTCCTCCATGAAATCACACGGAATGGGTTGGCATGTGTATTCTGTGCCGTACCACTTCTCCTTGTTCTCCCATGTACCCGGGTAAGTTCGGGACACGATGTTCAGGAAGAAGTTGTCAGGTCGCAGGTAGTCGAGTCCCTCCTTGATCAGGTCTGGGTTGAACTTACGCAGCACGCTATACGCGCTCAACAAAAACTTCCGTGGCAAAGGTTTTTGCATAGTTGAACTGAGCTTGCTCGTGAAGCGATAGGACTGAGTCTTTTCCCTGAACTTAAAGTTGACCTCCGACAACAGCTTCTGCTCTTCGAAGATCCACTCCTCGGGTTCGGTCTCACGCAGGAGCGCAATGTACTCGAAGACAACCTTGACTACCTCTTTGTAGTTTTTAAGCCCCTATCATGAACGTGAGCGACTCGCCTTCCTTTTCCGGCGTGAAGGCTGTTGTCAGTATCATACCTCTTCTGTTAACGTAATCTGGACCTCAAAGAGATCCGGTGTACCAGGGCCAACAGCCCAGGAACCAGCATATAGACCGTTAGCCCAGCCCTTAGACTTGATATAAGCCATAATGCTCCCAGGACCTTCATGGCCGATAAGATGGCTGATGTAGCGGCTGGGTTGGAATTCCCAATACTGTTCCTGCTCCATGAACGGAAATACCAAACTGATTTCTCGAACATCCATGACGGGCTTCGCAAAGATCTGCATTCCAAGCTGCTCTTTGGTGTACGGGACGACATCTGTCCACACGTTACGGGGCAGGTTCTTGTTTGGTACTTTCGAAAAGTGCTCGACGACCCACTCCTGGAGCACATCCAGCGACTCTCTCCCCAAGACACACAGCTTCATCCGGTTAGCCGAGTAGTGCTTTTCATAAAATTCGATAAACTTGTCTCGGACATTGATTCCGCGAGACTCGGGTATGGTCTTGAGGGTTTCGAGGTTGCCCGTGGAGAAGTGGCAAAAGGGGTGTTCAGGGTTAGAGAGGGATTTTTTGAGCTGATGCAGGCGCCACTGGTCGTTTTGCAGGTTCTTCTTGTTCTCAGAGTCCACGGCGCGGAGTTCACGGTCGAGGGTGTTTTCCAGGAACAACGGCGCAATGAAGAACTGGGCGAAACGGTCCAGGGCACCAAGCAGCGGCGAAGGGTTGGTGGCCGATGGCTCCTCTCCATTGCTGGGCTTAGCTGAGACTTCAAAATGGTAGTTTGTGGAAGTTGCCGCAGTGTATGCGTTGGTCACTCCAGAGTGTGCAGCAATATACTGATGGTAGGCATTCTCGGCCGGATACTTCTTGTTGCCCATGAAGAGGAGCTACGGGACATGGTTAGTTGGAGACTATGGGTCTTTGATTCACACATCGAGTGAGAGGAAGTCAGGTAAACTTGCATGTTCAACGGCATGGGCCGTTCCGGGCATGTCGTCTTCATCACTGTAGCTTCCCACGTTGACATCCATAGCTGCGCTGGCCTTGTCTATCTTGGGATCATGAACCAGCAGGGCCTCCAGCTGGTTCGGGAGCATGATGACCCGGTAGGAGCGGTCATCGAGAGACGGCGTTTCTAACTGCTCGGTGATGAGGGTGACCCGGGACGATGTCAGACTGCCCGTAGTACTCGGCGCATCCGCCTGGGACTGCGCATCTTCAGGTGGTCGGTCCATGAGGGATCAACGGCTTATGTCCACGGATGTCGACGTCACCAGAGGGGGAGGGGGAGCAGTCGTCGGTGAGCACACAAGGTGGGGAGGTTGACCGATAATCGATGACCGACTTTCCCAACTGGGAGGGAGTCTCGGCACTGGCAAGCAGGAGACAGGTCTCGATAAAAAAAGCCCAGAAACAAGCAGTTCGCTGCAGAGTCTGTTGTAGCACTGCTTCTGCTGCTGTTCCCGGCGCTTGCCTTGCTGCTTGTGGTTGTGAGGGTGCCGCGCACTGCTACCCGGTCGTGCCAGTAGGCAGCTTAGCACAGTTTATTTCTTGGTGGGGGTGGAGAGCCCTGTTTGGCCTACCTAAGGTGTTGGCCAGCTACTTGTTGCTACCTGCTAGCTCCGCAGTAGGCGAGAACCTGTAAAAGAGCCCCAAGCTATAGTGGGTATGTGTAGCCACCGAACCCCCGTTGCTATTGATGCACCGTCTGTGCGAGCTTGTGGGGAACGTGCTGCACGCTGGGTGATTGATCGGAGAGTTGTACTTGTAGGTACCGATCTGTTGGGCGCGTCGGGTCGTTCGAGGCTTCGAGTTGTACCAGTGACCAGTGGCACGGAACGCCGGGGCTAGCCAGGCCGTTCAGTCGTCCAGCTGCCCGCTTTGATTTGGATTTGCTAAGTATATGGTGTAGGAAGGGGTATCCGTCGATGTTTGACGCCGTGGCCGTTATGGTGAAGCAGGCGACTTGGAAGCCGGTACCAAACTTTTGCTCTCTAGGTGAAGGGATTTTGCGTTCTGTAGCTCTCAATAACAATCAGCCAAGGCAGTTCTGCGGGGCAAACAAACGTGCTAAAGGGTCAGCCTCGGCGAACTTCACCAACACTACCGGGTTCTCCCCGGTGAGCGAGGGGCCCGTCTTTATATATGTAGCTGAACCAGCCGCAAGCAAGGCGGGGGAGGTTGGTAGTCTTGTGGATTGGCGGCCGTTGAAGTCGAACCCAGGTTGGGTGTACGCGCCATTGTTGTCACACAAGTACCTCGAGGTATCAAGGTACCATCACGACCTACCGGGTGCTCTGGCCTGGTCCCGATTTAACAAGAGCCGGAGTTAGTACACAATAAAGATCAGAAGCATTCTGGAAGCTATGGAACCCCGTCCAGCATGAATCAGGATCCAACAATCCAAGCATTCCTTCTTGTTTAAGAAAGTAACTATGGGCAGGGAGCATCAGATCTTGCAGACTTGGAAATTCGATTGCTAACGGGACCATGCCCAACTTGAGGATGCCATGATCTTCAATAGGCCTTGCTATGTGCAACAAAACATTCCGGGCACAGCACTCATCTACAAGTTCTATGTGAGACCCATTTCGGATCTTTCAGGTTTTACCCGATGCATCACCGGGTTACTTAATGCTTGAACTTGTTGGACAGCTTGCATCATCTGCCTTTTCTTAAGAGGCCAGCCGGGGGGAGGGGCAAGGTACAAGTGCTTGTTGGCTCGTTCTCGTACTAACCTTGATGGCAGGACAAGCACTCATGCAGCGATCCAAGTCCCTGGATTGAATTTCGAATTTCGCCGAATCAGGCAAGTGTCAAAAAATCCCATAACGATGTTCTAAACATGTTGATGGGGATGACTACCAAGCGAGAGTACTTTAAGAGTTGCTCTTAACAGGCAGGCGCAATAACAGATAACCAGTACTCAACTAAATTTTGGGACTATTATTACACCAAATCTGGCAGGAGGTGTACGTATGTCCTTGGGCAATTTCTGGAGGACAGAGCTTTCGCGTAGCAGGTCTAGGCAATGTATAATAAAACAGGTTGATGGCTTGCGACAGGCGGCAAAAAAGGAGCTGAGGTTCAGGGGTTTGAGTCAATCCTTCCAGTCGGGAGATTGTGACAGGATGGAATGAGGCGCATCCAGCCGTGCCATCTCCTTATCTGTCAGATACGCCAACTCTGACATCATCTATAGGGCAACATGCTCGACTTGCACAAACAGTGAGCATGGAGCCAACAAAGATCCTTCCGGGTCTCTGTAACCGTTGAAACCCGTGTCTTTTTCTGAACTATGGGAAAATCAGAGTCAATCGAAGCGCTATTATTTCACCTTGGATCAATTACGCATCCAAGCTCACGCAGACTGGACTTACCCATGAAAGTTAGCTGCCAGAAAAGGGGCTCTCATACCGTTGGTCTCTTCGAGGTGCTACCAAGTTGAAGTTTAAGGAACGTCCACGGATGGAGACAGCCAGCAAGGTAGTTGCAATAGTACATCCCGTCGAAAATCTGGCTGGCGTGCATCTCCAAAATGGAGAAATTGACATCAAGCCGAAACTTTAATGCTTGATCACAAACGTCATGCAGCAAGACTTCTTGCCCTCTCGCCCAGGTACTTGCCCCAGATTACCCCATCGTTCACAACTTGTCTTACCAAGCCACAGTGGCACAAGATACTCTTGGCTCCTGTCGGATGTAATCTCGGGTTCGTTGCTTGAAGGCTACTCCCGGAAGCACAACCGCCAATCTGGCCCTTCTCGTTGTTCCCTGCTTAACACATCCAACCTGACGTCAAGATATCCCTTGGGTTTAGCCTAGCAGTCCCTCCCGATAACCCAAATTGAGTGGTGCTTTGCGAAAAGGGAAAAATTGATGTGTATCCGGCCCGGTTTCTGATTCTGCAATCTTCGTGTTCTAGACATTGAACGGAGAGGCCATCAACAAGAACAAATTGATATGAGAGGTGACGGTCCCGTCCTAAGAAGGCCGCGGCGTCACATCAAGCCTTGTCCCTAGGTGGGGCGGGGGAAGGGATGGAGGGAACAACTCCTGCAGGCTACTCTGCTTCCCAGGTAGGGAAGTAGGACAGAGGAGACGTCAGGCTACCTAGGGCAATTTTCCTTTCCCCTAGAGGTCGTCTTTCTAGAAAAGGTTCGATCGCCGCGCTAGCTAGGGCCTAGAGCAACTGCCGCACCTACCAGGAACTGTCATTAGCGGAAAATCTTTTGTCTCCGATGCACCGGAACCGCCTACTGTGTGATGAGCATCAAGGTCTTCTGAGTCGCCAAATTCAGCGGGTTTGGTTGGAGGGGTCAGAGACCAGGAGGCGGGGCTGTCGCATCATTGATACCTCCGGCTGCTGTCATGACACAAGCCATTGAGCCTACGAAACTGGGAATTGACTGCCCAAAAGGGCTCGGTCTCAACTGTATTGATTTCGCCAGGGCCCACGAACCGGTGTGCATCGGTGTGCATCGACATTCTCGTTGCCAAGGATGGAGGAACCGTTGCTGGTCATGGGTGGGGCAACTAACATCTGCAAAAGCACATGATATAGTGACTCCGGCGGCCGTTTCTGCGTCCGCAGGGATACTAGTTTGTACCGCCATTCGTGGCCAGCCGCACTACGACGGACGAGCCGAACCAAAGGTAGTCAGAAGCTGGGTCGCACGGAGATGATGGGCTCCCTTCGCGCGCTCCCATGGGCTCTCTGAGAAATCTTAGTGCTTGGCTCGGGCACAGACAGGTCCGGGGCGGCCATCCAGACCCTGCAGCAAAACCTGTTCGGGAACATGCGGCCGGTCACAGCGAGCCTCACGAAACGCGCAGTGCGTACAACCAGACCAAAATAATGTGCTTTATGCATGACGTTGTCCCTGCAGGAACCCGATCTATAGAGCTGCGATCTGGACTCCCCATCAGCCCAACCCCTGCGGGGAGCAGTCACAGAACTCACCGGCAACGCCGACTCTGATCGCATTCCCATGATATTGATCATCATGACAGGTGGCCTACCCATGCTGGGATGGCACGATGCCTTGGCGATCTTCGTGGGGTTTGTTCGAGATCCTCAACGCCTATGCTGGTGCAGAAGGTGGCATCCGGGTGTCCCCAGATGCGCAGATATCGATCGTCCTTGATGCCGACGAGCCGGCGGCGATAGCCGAGAAGGGCAACGCGGCCAAGGGTCGATCCGGCCCGATCTTGAATTATCCTCCGGCAGGACGCACGGCCGCTAAAAAAATACGTGCAACCTGTCTTAGTTCAGACCCGAAATCCTCACAGCAGTGGTATCAAACAACACCGAAATCGTTGACGCAGACATCCCAAAAAGGTAAAAAACCGTTCGGGGACCGCCGTACTGAAGGTTTTAAACGGCGTCCGCCGGGTTTTGCGGACTTTAACCGGGTACGTAGAGGGTATGGCACGGTCAACTGGTCCGTAGTACCCAGAGGAGCAAATTTAGGTCATCATAGCCTGCAGCGATCCGCCATCACTTGTCAGCGGAAAAAAAGGAAATCCATGTGTAGCCGTTTCTGCCTGGGGCGTGTGATATAATCGAGGGATACCAAAGATACCCTCCTTGACTCAACTCTCCTCATCCATCCAGACACATATTCTGATTTAACACGGTCCGAAGTGGCGTGTTTCGCTTAGCGACAGAGTCCAAGAACGACCGCTCTCATCCAGTAAATAACTCACGATAGGAATCTGTTTTGGTGATTGGGAAATACAGTTGCCGCCCTTTATGCATTCTCGTCACACTGCCCCTGCAATATGGCAACCCAGAGACTCTCCGAGTGTCCACATATGAGATGGCAGTGACGGAGACGGGCCCGAGCCGCCGACGACAGCTACAGTTGGTTAGCCCCCGGCGAGTTTCTTTCCGCTGAGCACTAAAAAATTCTCGACGACGTAAGAACATTAAAAGACAACAAGAGGGGAAATGAATGAAGTCAAACTACCACCGCGGAGCCGTTATCCCGGTGGAAATGGTTTCTTTCCCCGGCCAATGCCACTCAGGACACTTAGCCTTTGATCTCACTAAGCCGAATACAGCTGGTAACAGTTGCAGAGTTTGACGTTTAGACTCCTTCTGAATCTGTCTGGACTGGCCGACTCATCTAGTCCAGGACCTTGACGGGATTGAGACGGAAAGCAGGCGGCAGAAAATACCGGACGATTCTCGGTGAAGATATTAGGAAGGAAGAGAAGCCGACCGCAAAGACGATTGACCGGAGATCTCAACAGGGTGAATCGCGAAAGGAAGAATCAAAGGAAGCGAAAGAAAAGCTTGTCAGGCAAAACAGCCTGGGAGTCAACGTTTCCTGCTCGGGCATTCGGCCACCTTGTGGCCCGGCTTCCCGCAGCCATGGCAAGAAATGCCTGTCGAGGAACGTTGAAAGCCAAGGGCACCCGCCGCAGAGATGGAGGTCGGTTGATTCATCTTGACCTCTTTCTTCCGCCTTTTGATGGCAAACTGCTGGGCCCTCTTGCGTTCCTCTTCTCTACGGAGAGAGAGGCTAGTTCTCGGCCGCTTGGACCCAGAGTTGGCTACGGCATCCTGGCGACCACGGTCGGTCTGATCTCGATCGTCAGTCGCTGAGCGAGGGGTATCGGAACCATCTTCTGAATCCGAGTCGGAGTCAGAATCGCTATTGTCGCTACTGTTGTCGGGCTAAGAGAGTTGTCAGTGATAAAGGAAGATAGGGTCTTCTTAAAGTGCACATGCCTTAGACTTGTTTATGTTAAACCGGCGAATCCTGGTCTCAGCAGGGACATCACCCAAGACAAAAGGATCATCATCATCGTCTGCTCCAGATGAGGCAGCCTTGTCGATCTGAGCAAAACTAACTTGGATGACGTTCAACATAGGGCGCGCGCTTCTTTTGGGAAGTGCTGGGGTTTCTTCGAGCACCCAGTGCGAATCGCCGAGCTCGGCGGCACGTTTCTCGATAGCAGCCTGACGTTTCTTCTCCTCTTCTTCCAGAACAGCCTTGATGGCTTGTTGGTCGAAGAGTAGAGTGGCGGGTGAGCCTGCATCCGACGGAGTGTGGGCAACCTTTCTGCGCTTGGCCGTGCCGCCGTCACTCTGTGGCGTTGCAGGCGAGGAGGCGTCGCTTGCTGTTGCGGCAGCGGCAGCAGCCCGCTGCATGAACTTCATCGTCATGAGACGAGAGGAAATGGTGGTTTTAGGTGTTGCCTGTTTAGGCATGCTGGGTAGCTGACTGGGCGCCATCTTGACGAAAGGGGATCGGGAGGTGCTCGCAATTTAAAGCGTTGAGACTGTTGTTGAGAATGGACAACTTGAAAGATACCGATATTCAATTTCAAAACCTCGCGGCTTTGAAAGTAAAGAGGAAATGTAGGAAGCTTGAGGGGTGCAACTTTTATGATCGATGGAAGTGCAGCCGTCAAGTTTGTGCGAAAAGCGAGAGGAAACACGATAAAAAAGTGGAACTTAGGCCAAGCCAAGGTCTACGTATCTGCTGTGTGCAATGACGAAGAGGTGCCCACAGGACGGCTGCCAAGACTTCCCAGTTGATACGTAGTTTGTACCGTATTTTAGCTGCGTCAAACCTGTTGCTACATACAAGAGCGCCAAGATTTTGAGGCTGAGCACAGACCACCAAGCATATGGTCCAATCAAGACCCCGCTATGTAACCTGAGAACCTGCCGCCATTTAGCACGGCTACAACAGCAAGCAAGTGCAGGGAATCAAATCGGCGGCTCTGCTCCCCATCAATTCCCGCGACCTCGTTCACCTCCGGGGACTCGGCTCCCGAACCCGACACTAAACCCGATAGAAACCACCGCCTTGTCGAAGCAGCAGAAGTAGAAGCAGCAATCAGCCAAGAAACGAGGAATCCTTCTTCCTCTAGAAATAATGTACGCCTCGCGTGGAGTGCGGGCTGTGGCCCAAGCCCGGCAGCTGATTTCAAAGCGGACGTTCACCGCGACAGCCCGCCAGCTCTCGCAAACACAGACGCCGACCCCGGCTGCTCCTACGGCCACCGCAGAGGCTGAAGTGGCAGAGACCGGCCGCCCGGCGTCCGCTGTCATGCAGGCGCCCAACCGCGCCGAGGTGTGGTCCCGTAGCCAGAGACCGCGGTCTGAGGCCATGGCCGGCCCCCGCTTTGAGCAGACAGATTTCGATGCCCAGGTACGTTCCTTGGCAGATGCTAAATGTTGCCACAAGAGGATGGAGTGGTGTTTTTCAGGGTTTAGGGGAGCAACGGGAAAGCTCAGGAGGATATAGGCTGATGTGTTCGGGATATAGCCTCGCCCTTGGGCCGCTATCGAGCTCATCCATAAGCAGCCTGTGCGGTGGACGCACGACCGTATTGTCGCCTGCGACGGCGGCGGTGGCCCGCATGGTCATCCTAAGATCTACATCAACACTGACAAGCCCGAGATTGCTACCTGCAATTACTGTGGTTTGCCTTTTGTAAGCTCTCTTCGTTCCAGAAGCCAATCGCAGTGGTTAACGAAGTTGAATACTAGGCGAATGAACATCACAGGAAGTATCTCGAATCACTCCCTCAGACATCATATCCCCTCAATTAGAACAGCAAAGCACATCAGCGAAACTGATGTTAGAACGGGGCTCGGGTGTGTACATATGTAAAATAACCAATAGATCGAGCTTCCCTCTGACGGCATTTTTGGCGAAACTGTCACTCACTAATTCAGCCAGGTGCCGTCTCTTTATGACAATCAACTTGGGCTCAAGGTTATCTTAACAAACATATTTTCTCACAACAGTCTATGCCATTATCACAGAACCCTGGTCCCATCTGCTTCTCTCCTATCAGCTCATCTTATTTGCACCCAGTTGAAAATCTCGGCAACATCTGAGATTGTGTTGTGCACCCTAATGATTCAATCTACAACCATGACGACGGAACCATTCAAAGGTCCTGGGTTGTAGTGGTAGATGATGTTTCCGTGCTTTCTCGGTCCGGACATGCGAACATCAGCTAAGGCGAATGTTGTTGGATAATCCCAAGGCTTTGTGAAGTTCCTGCAGTCATTCTTTGTCAGCCATCCTCCAAGAGTGCCTGGATGATTCTACCAACGTACTCGTCATCATGATAATGATGAACGAGCTCAAGCGAGAAGTAACCGGGATGCCAGAACGTCGGAACAGCCACCTTAAAGTATGTGTTTTCGTCCATGAAACATAACCGATAGGGAACTGCCGGGTTGGTGCCGTCGCTGCTGCTATTCATCTTTGTTACCCCATCCCAGCTCCACGAGGAGCGGCACTGGCCTGATGACACACGGTTCTCTCTCACAGAGTTAGGATCAGACCAATCAACTTGCAATGTCAGTGTTTTGCTCTTCCATTTCTCACGAGGTCTTGCTGCTTACAGAACAAGAGGCATGTGTAATTGGCGGTCGGATCCAGCCGGTGACAGACAATGTGAAGCTCAGCCACCTCAAATGGAGCAAAGTTGAGTTGACTTAGATCGGTTAAGTTTCCCTGAAGAGTCTGATTGCTCTGCAGGAAACTGGTACTTGCCTGACGCCACGGCATAGGATACCCGAATGACAAGACCATGAGTACCAGGAGCAGAATGGTAGACCACATGATGGCAAGCCTGAATCTGCTATATAGCTGAGGAGCAGTCAAAAGGCCTGGTCTGGGATCTGTCAGCTTTATCAAGTCCAACTTACGTGGACATGCCTTTTTGTCACAAATTTTATGGAACGAGACTAAAGTCGAAATCGCTTACTTTGTAGGATTGGACGATGATCAACAATGCTTCCTCTGGTACCAGCAAAGAAGTTTTTGTCAACTCTATACTCGGATACTCTTTGGTGATCAGACGAGGACCATCAGAAATTAAGTAATATCAAGCGGACGTTGACATAATGTGAAAATTTCCCATATTATCAAATTTTGTATATGGTTACTGTGGTAAAGAAGGCTCGACACAGAGCATCCCCGTGAAAGGCCTAAACTGTAATGACAAGAAATGATTTCTGTCCATAAAATGGGGAGATTGTTGGGATATGGGCTGACTCCATGATGGCATATAAGGAAAGCACTCCTGTATAACCTGCCATTGTGAAGGTGAATTGCTGTGTCGAATGTCTCTTGGTTCCACCAGCTTGTGGCTTCCACGCTGTTTCATAGAGCCTCAGCGAACACTTCCACAAACTCGGGCTGTCATCTGTTCCTGTAAGCCATGTAACCATTGGCTTTGAGCAATGTTGAAAAGTTCCGGGAAATTAATAAACTCAAAAGTCAAAGACGACTAAGCATCTGTAATGTGGTATTCTTGCCTGCCATAAATAAGTGTGTTGTACTATGATTGCAGACGGTCGTTTGAGTTCTTAGGGATAAGCAGCAATGAGTAGTTTGTTGATAGATTTATGAGACCTGAGAAGATACACTACTGGCATGCTCAAGATGTGATCACAAGAACGTCTGTAGCAGCAGAGTAAGATTGTACAAGAGAGTCATTGCAGCTGAACTGAAGAGTGACAGCCGGTCGCGCCAAGACCCAATTGAGAGACTTAAAATCTGATCTGAGTCAAGTGAAGACCAGGCCAATAGAGGAGGATAGGCGAGGGAACTGATCACATATGACACAGACGTTTGGATTTGGAGACTGAAATTAGCGGCAGCATTCAGAGATTTGAGGGCCCAGTTTGTGCAATGATAAAGCCCTCCAGGGGCAGCTTTGCCCATTGAGCTGTCTGGAGTTTGAGTTTGCCTTCTTGTAGATAAACAAGTTGCTCAGGTTCTAAGCCACCCGAGACATCCTGATTAACTCAGCCGAGACAAAGTGGCAAGTATCTGGGTAGTTTGCTTAAGTAGGCACGGTAAGTATCAAGATTTTGTGTCACATTCTCCAGACTGCATGTCACATCGTTCAGAGCTTGGTGACGACCGAGGCCGGGCGTGAGGCAGTGTTGGCATCGGTAAGATGACATACAAGTCTGAGTGCCACACTCAGGCAGCAACACTAAGGTAACTGAATGAAAAACCATTTAAGCATGTTCTTGCACAAAGGACCCAACCAACCACATTAGCACCCCGAGAATGGTGGGTCAAGCCAAGATTGGAAGCATTCCCTTTTGTTATATCCTAGGCTATTGACAAATGCTCACGGTCACACTTTGAATCTGAACCTCATCACTCGCAACTGGGCACTTTGCTGTGACTTGCGAAGACGATGTTTTTTGAGGTCACCATGTCGCTGGTGACGTTAAGGGTTGCTTTTCCTAGTGACTTGGCAAGCTCAGGGCTGAACCCCACTTAGTCTGGACCCCACTCGACCCACCGATAAGACGGGGAAGATCTGCGAGCTCCATCCTGAGGTTTTTGACGATGTCTTGGCCAGGAACCAAGCTTTTTCTGAAGCCGAAGGATAAGGTAAGTACCATCCGGGCGTCCCTCCAGTTCAACTGTGCGGCTGTTTGAGCTGCGAGCTGTGAAAAACATCGGTTTTGCCCAACACATTGTGTGGATTGCCTACCGCTTAGGTAGCTGTCGGGTGCCAGAAGAGCAGGCATCTATCGACGATCCAACACGCCCATTTTTGCCTTTAGTTCAAAAGGTCAATTAGGGTTGAACACCCTGGTCGAGATTGTTTGTCAACATTGGTTGGCTAGGTATGGCAGATGTGCGGGTAGATATGATGACAATCCATCCATGGGATGCGGGGTATCCAAACGGTGATAGCTCGTCTAGCCACGGAGATGCCCCTCGCCTTGGTGACATGGGAGCTGATCAATGTCGGCCTGCAAGCAACGGACCACAAATGGTCAACCAGACTGCAAGCACTGCCAGCATGCCTGCATTGAACAATCCAGATTGCGTGTCTGCTGTTAGTGGGAGAAGTCATAAGATATCCATTTATATTATTCAAGAGCCTTCCATCAATAGTCAGATATTGGAGCGGAGAGGCTTTTCTAGTAGTCCGCGCGCATGCTAACAGCATACAGATTGCCCCACCCGCGCCCGATTGCAGCTGTGGGTGATGCCTGCGGAGCTACAAAGTCCAAATTACCTATCCTTCAACAGAATGGACGCGGAAACAAGCACCTCAGCAGAGCTCTGACCTTCAAACCCCGAGCAATCAGGACAGGTGTTCGGATTCGAGGATGTCTGGGAGGCGGAGTTCTTTATGGAGGGATGTCATCGGGCATTCTTCGCTCCGTTACATACCCTCTTTTCGTTATGCATCTCCGAGTCCATAGACAGGTAAGGTAAGCAGGTAGGTAGGTAAGTCTTGACAAAAAACTTTTAGTGGACCGTATATAACATTGGGGCTCGTTTTTCTCTGATTTGAAAGTGACCGAGAGGACAGACGGAGCAAAAGACCATTTTGTTCCCAACCTACTGTGTAAACCCACCCTCGCGTAGCACAGCCTCGAGCGTCAGCAGACGCAATGCTATCTCGGAATCGTTGAGGTCGAACTCGCTGCAAGAGACCCCTGCCTTTGACCAGCCGTAGCAGGCATTGGAACCCTGCGGTGCGCCATGCACGTATGAGGGGTCAAACAGCCCGCTGCCGAGCGCAGACAGTTTAGTGACAAGGCTAGAAGTGATACTTAGCAACCCCCGAAATGCGATTTCGTTTCGCTCTGCCTTCCTTTCCGCCCCAGGTCCCAAGTCATCAAGGATCCAGCCAGGCGCTGACCGGGCGAAGTTTTCTTGTCTTCTACGCCTCCACCGCACCGTTGAGCCTTGGACTTGTTAGCTCCGTGAGCCTATCGGAGTTGTCACCAGAGCCTGGAACGCTTGCAGTACCGTCTACACTACACGACAGTCCCGGTCACGTCACCTAACAACTCTGTCCAGTTCCTTGCTTGGTTCCTTGGCTGCGCGCTGCTGCTGATCCTCGCCCTTTGCCGGACCCGAGTGATTGCCTTGCCTCCTGATTCCTCGAAGACCTCGCGGGCGCCCGATTTGCGGCTGCGGCTTTTTAAGGTTTGCGTTTTCGTCTGGTCTTTGCTCTCCCCCGCACTGCGGCACTACGACGCCGTGCCCCTCCCATCGCCCACCGCCTAGGTAGACTGTTAGCCGCGCATCGCATCAGATGAGGCGGACATCTTCGAAGGATTGGAGGACGGGATGGCCTGGGGCCCGTCCCCCGCGCCTGTGTATGGCGAGAAGGACAGCTAAGTAGCTGTCTGCTTGCCCCCCTCCCGCCCAACTGTCAGCCAGAGTGCTGCTGGTCTTTGGCGTCTTCAAGCTCTCCCAGTTTCCCTTGGGCCATAACCGCATAAAGCCCACTTCTATCATTTATTATACTGTCCACTATGCCATACCTGCCCGTTGTCCTGCCCTCATGTCCCATTTAAGAATCCGGACCTGAACAAAGAGTCTGAGCTTGTCTGACGTCGTTTGGCGCATTCAGTTAGAATGCCATCCAGGATACATTGGTCTGGGAGGAACAACCGGTCGCAGCACAACCTGGTTGGGTCTATTGGGTCGGCTGGGTCAAGTGGTGCCGAGCAGAGTTCCCCAGGTTCCAGTGCAGCAGGAGGAGGTGAGCGCGCAGCTGCTCCTGCTGCGAACCCGGGGACACCAGGCGCTCCCCCCTCAGCCTCGCCCAACCCGTCCAACCTAATTAATCCCCCTTTAGCTTCCTCCAACCCTCCTGCCTCAAACCTGTCCAACATTGCCTACAGCTCCAGTAATTCCTTCCAGCCCGACACGAGCGCGGGCACAAGTAACGCAGGAGCAATTGGAAGCCTCAGTGCTCGAGGCAGTCACGCACCAGCACCAGTGTCACAGTCGCCGTCGCTGCACTCGCCACAGGCGGGACACCAGCAACACCAGCAAGTCCCCGCGCAGCAGCAGCAACACCAGCAGCACTTCCAGCCGGGATTCTACTCCAATAGCGCTGCTGCCTCCTCGAATCCCGGCCATATCCCGCAACAGTTGCACCACTCCAACAGTGTCTCGGGCTCTGCCTACGATCCGCGCCAGTCGGACGACTCTGCTCATCAGGTAACGCGATCGCAATCCCATCGCTTTTCGCAGAATACCCCCGCCACGACTCAGCTGTACCATCACCAGCAGCAGTACCAGCCCTGTTCACCGCCCCCAGGTTCTGCCTCTTACGAGGATCTCCCTAATAGTCTCTCCTCCCCAACGGCCACATCTAACCAAGATCCGTATCTCCAGCAGCAGCCAGCCCCTCCTCAACCCAGGGCCAAGTCTGGGGGATCGACGCGACGAATATTGAGAAACATCTTTCGTGGCCAGGATCACCAGCAGCCCCAGTCTGGCAGTTCCCACGGTTCGTCGTCAGGCGTGACTCGCAGAAACTCAAATCGCAGGAGTCTGTCGCATCCATACCCTCCGGCCATTCGCACCAGCCCCTCGCAGCTGTCCCAGGTTTCATTTGAGCAGCAGCAGAACCAAGTTGACTGGCAAAACCAAACTCCTGGAGCCCAGCAGCCGTCATCCCAACAAAGTGTAGGAGGCTACAAGCATCGCCAGTCGTGCGTCATTGACAGATCTGACCAGGAGTTGCATTACCAGAACCCACAGAGCATCCAACATCCAACGATTCGGTCTGTCCCCTCTTCGGACGTGGACTCGTCATCGCTCTACCGAGCAAGCCAGGACTATCGCCAACCGCAAGGCCAGGTTCAGAGTCCTGGTCAGGTTCCTCCTGAGTCGCAGCGTCATCAACACCAGGAGTACGGCCACGCTGTTTACGACGCCAATACTCAACAGCCACAGCAGCAGGCACAACAGCACCAGTTTGCGAACCCCCAGCAATCAGCGCAGTACCAAAGCGGCACACAGCCCTCGTACTCAGGGTACTTGGAAGCGCCGCAACAGCACAACTCTGAAGCTGTGTCACAGTTGTCGCATGAATCACCAGTGACCGATTCTGATCAGCGTATCGCTACTAACAGCCAGATACAAGGATTCCAGGTTCAGTCACCGGTAGCCCAAGCTTACCTATCCCAGCAACCGCAGCAACAGCATCAACATCAGCAGCAGCAAGCTATGGCACCACCAGCTAGCGGAGGACCACCGCCGCGACGGTCCCAGGATGTGGATAGGGGCATGCGCGACCAAGCGCAGCCGCCCTCTGGCTACAGGCAGAACCAGCAGACCAATCTTAACCCCCACCAACCTCAGAATGTGGGCGCGCAGAATCCGGGTCAACAGGGAGATGTCCAAGGGCGCAACAGTCCCCAGCCGCCGCAGCCTGCACCGCAACAGGCGCAGCCTGCCGGTGACCGTGGCGCTGAAGATCCAGAGAAGGCGTTTAAGGAACTCCGTATGAGATTCCCCATTTGCTTGTTCGGCCGGTAATGAAGCTGACTGCTGGGTATAGTCACTAAGTATAAAAACGTCAAGCGCCTCTATTTCGATGGCAAGAAGGAGATCGAGCATTTGCATGCCCAAGTTGAGCAGCTTCAGAACGCCATTGCCAACCAGCGCATGTCGCAAAGTCGCACGTCATTGGATGACAATGAGTATACCACGCGCTTCAACCGCTTGAATGGTGCGATTAACAATCTGGCCTTCAACATCCGTAAAGACTGGGCTTCTATCCCCCAATGGCTCATCCCTTACGTTAGCGCCGACGCCCTCAAGACTGGCAAGCAGGAGATGACAGCTGTCGGGCGCGCGGTCATAACTCGATGGCTTGTGGACGAGCTTTTCAGCCGTTGCTTCCATCCAGGCCTGGACCCGGAATTAAGCAAGCACTTGAAGCAGATCGAATACAACATTCGGAGCTTCAACCATACCAACAGCCAAGAGGAGCTTGATGCCCTGACCAACAAGATCGTTACATGGCGTATGACGACGCTTGAGGGTTTGCAGGACGTCCTGCGTAGTGCAGAAAGCCGGGAGTACCGTAATGATTACACGCGCAAGGCAACTACCAATCTCACAGGCTACCTCTTTCAGTATCTGAACGATCCTCCCCCAGCGGGTGTTGAAGGTAGCGCTAGCATGATTATCGAGTTGGCGGTTGGCATCGCAAGCAACCTACCGCTCGAAAGCCGCGACGTCGCTATTACCTACCCGCTACCCGAAGTTCCTGTTAACCTTGATTTCATGGAGATCGAAAAGACAGGCTTGCCGCCGCTGGAGAAGCGTCCGTCTGATGCAGGTGAGGAGGGTGGTGGCTCAGGGAACAAAGAAAGCGAAGAGGGCGCTTCGGCCCAAGGTAAAGACAATAATAATAGTAGTGGTAATACCGCTGGCACCAACGGCGGTGGCAGCGGTTCTTCTGCTTCAAAGGACCAGCAGCCTGGGAAGGACTCTCGGCGCAACAATAATACCAGCAACAACAATGGTACGTTGTCACGGTCGAGCATTTCGCGGGGAAGGGGGAAGAATAATGCTCTGAGTAGAAAGGGGAGTAGTGCTAATGGTGCGGCGTTACAAATAGGGTCTTCTTCTTCTGTGCAGGCGAAGGACCAACAGCCTAAGGTGCGCTTTGCTGGATTTGTCTCAGTTGAAGTGCGTGGAAGGCAGGTGTTGGTTAAGGCGCCCGTGTGGACGTTGTAGGTTGAGTCTTTGGGCTTTGGGATAAGTGGGATTTTTGCGTTCCACCTGCACAATTTCTTTCCACAATGGTCATGGTATGTATGGTGAAGATGGAGAGGAGTGTGTGGTTAGGTTGAGGGACGGATGGATGATACCTGCCTACCTTGTGGATTGTTGGGTATCGGGTGGGGGGCTGGATATGTAGATGAGCCCTGGCCCTACATGCTTTTCTCCTTTGTGGTTATTTCATTTCATAGGAGGGGCTGCCTGTGAAGGTGATGGCTCTTCCGCAGGTATCTACCTAGGTAATTGTCATTTCCTGTCTTGATTATATGACGCTGTGTATGCCCCTGAATGAGACCCGCCAAGGCTGTTGAAGTTGGGGTTGTGGTGTGTGATGGGGATAATTAATGGGTTGTGCAACTTTAGTTATTTTTATCAAGCTCACCGCCTTCCTAATCTGCTGCCGAGCTGCCCCTCCATCTGCTGTCTGCTGGCTGTCTGTCACGAACTGCCCCGCCATAAAGACTTGATATACAACCCCAAGGCTCATACTCCAATTGGTGTTGAACTTAATTCCAAGAGCCAAAGCTCCAACATCTATCAAATATCTGAATCCGATTCCGCACCACAACCAGACCTCCAAGGCTCTAAAATGTCAGATTTTACTCCCGCCGGTGCATCCACGCCACCCCACCTCCCCCCTTCCAAGCTGGGGACAAAAGAATAGTACGCTTTCCTCTATTCCTTCCAATCTCCCTGTCCTGAATCCCATTGCTAACTCTTATATGCACAGCTGGGACGCCCTCTATACTACCGAGTTAACAAACCACTCCGAGAACCCTGCCGACGAGGGCACAGTCTGGTTCGACGATTCCGATGCCGAGGCGAAAATCGTCTCTTTCCTCGACGAGCATGCCCTCTCTGACTTTGGCATCAATCCTTACTCTGAAGCTGTCAATATAATAGACCTGGGTTGTGGAAACGGTAGTTTGCTGTGTGCCCTGGCGGAGAGTGGATGGCGCGGGCGGTTGTTAGGAGTAGATTACAGCGAGAAGAGCGTGCAGCTCGCCAGGGGGGTGAGTCGTGAGCGGGAAAGGAGATGGAAGGAGGAAGAGGGGGGAGACGCAGAGTATGGGAGAGTAGAGTTTGCGATGTGGGATGTGATTAAGGGGGATCTGGACGTTATTATCCCCAAGAGCGAGGATGGGGAGAAGGGCAAAGGGTTTGATGTGGTTCTGGACAAGGGCACGTTTGACGCGATTTCGCTCTCTGCGGAGCAGGATGACCGCGGGAGAAGGATAAATGAAGGATATGGGCAGAGGGTACTGTCGTTGTTGCGGACAGGGGGCATATTTGTGATAACGAGTTGCAACTGGACCGAAGCGGAGCTGAAGGACTGGTTCGAGGTCAAGACGGAGCCTACAGCAAGTGGAGAGAGGCTTAAAGTTGCTGGGAGGATAGACTATCCCAGTTTCAGCTTTGGGGGAGTCAAGGGACAAACTATTAGCACGTTGTGTTTTGAAAAGGTTGCGGTTTAGAGTGCATAGATAGGATAGATAAGGTAGAATACGGGAACTAAGGACAACCGACAGGGGGTGGACGGGGTTTCGAATTTGTTTATGTGTCTGTGTCTGTGTGTGTTGTATGGCATCATGCTACTTTCCTCCTCTATACAGGTTGTTTGTGTGAGTCCGCTACATTAAGAGACGTCGACACCATGTCAGAGAGCCAGTGCGGTTTCACTCGTTGACCCAACACGCAGCAAAACCCAAAAGAACAAAGACGGCCGAGAAGCAGGACAACAAAAACGAGGATTTGCTTCGTCATTAAACTTTCTTTCTTCTCTTCTTCGTCATCGTCTATGGTGACGTGTTCATCGGCTCCCCACCACCCACATTCTGGCCCGTCGCAGCCGCGGCGGCCATGGTAGCAAAGTACCGCACATCCACATCCTCATCCTTCTGGAGCTTCTCCAGCTGCGGCATGATGCGATCGTCAATGAGCTGCTGGCCCCGGGGCGACGGGCTAAAGGGGGCACCGGCTTTCTCCAAGGTATAGATGGTACCCTGGTCGGGCAGCCGACGCAGAACTCCAATCAAGACCTGGTACGTCTTGGCGACGTTGAACCGGATATTGGGGATCTCGTCACTCGCCATCTTTTCGAGCATGGGGAGGATCGACTTGGCGATCACATCCATGGTGACGACGCTGGCCAGCGTCTGTTTAAGTTAGCAAGGGGAAGGGCCAGATGACACCAAAAATAAAGAGTTCAACATACCGAGATGGCGAAGCATGTAGTCATTCTGTATAGATAGTTGGGGTGACCACCCATGGCCATAACCTTGGGGATAATGGCCTCGCTAGCCCACTCAACACCAAACACCTCGGTAAGCTTCTTAAGGTTTTGAGTCGCCGCTTCGCGGATGGAGAAAACAGTGTCGCCAAGCCATCCCATGCACAGCTGGCTGAGCTTCTCGTCAAAGAACTTGACACCCAGCTGGCTGGCAAGAAGGGGCATATGCCCAATAATGGCCAGCCGAACGCGCCATTGCTTGTCCTCGGCCAGCTGCACGATAGCAGGGAGCAGGGACTGGGCAAGCAGGTCGATGCCAATGACCTGGTTGACCAGATCCAGTTTTGAAATGATGTGGAGTCTCACATCAGGATATTCGTCCTTCAGCATCTGAAGGAACATGGGCAGCAGGTGGTCGATCGTCCTAAACGTTCGAGGTTAGCATGGGACGGATTGAAACAATGATATTCACCGAGAACATACTCCTGCTTGCCCAGGATGGGGGCAAGACCACTAATCTGAGTGCCGAGGGCCGCACGGACGTGCTGCGAGCTGTCCGACACCAGGTTCTCAATGGTGCCGATAATGTCGTTGAGAATGGTAGGCTTGTCGACCAGGGAGCAGAAGCCGGGGATTTGACTGGCAATGGCCGTCCTCACTTCGGCCTCGTTGTCCTTCAACAGCTTCACGAAAGCGGGAACCAGGTCCCTAGCAACGACCTCTTCGTCAACCGCCTTGGCGATCTACCCTCCGTGTTAGTCCAGCACAGTCCCCCGAGGTGAGGAAACGAAGCGCAACATGCCTTCTCAAACCTGTCGGCAATCATGTACCGAACCCTCCAGCTCTTATCGTCTATCAAGCTCCGTAGCGATGTGAGGAGCACACCGTGACTGGCCTGCTGCTCCTTGGGCACGACCTCAGCAATAGAAATGAGGACGTCAACAGTGAGCAGGCGAACGCTGTCCTGGTCGTCGGAAACAAGGTGCTGGAACATTGGTATCATCTCCTCAACAACAATCGCGGCAGGCATCTCCTTCACAAACTTGGCCAAGTTGGTCGCGGCGGCACGGCGCACCATGGGGGTGTCATCGTGTACGAGCTGACCAAACTGCTGGCGGAGCTGTTGTTGGACGGGGGGCGAAACTCTCTTGTAGGGCGTCGTGTACAGGCCGCACCCGGACACCTTGGAGGTAAACCAGTCGGCTTTAGAAAGGCGGATGACCAGAGGGATGAAGTACTCCTCAATTTGCTGAGGAGAGAGCTCGGTGCAGATCTTATTGAGAGACTCAACGGCCTGCGCAGGGGAACAGGGGAGTTAGCAAAAAAAAGGGACGGTTCCGACGCGCCAGACGTGCTCCGGGAAGAGAGGGGGTGGTTGGGGGAGAAGAATAGAGGGGGTCGCGCAAATACCTTGTCCCTCACAACGGGCTCTTCTATAGCCGCGAGGTTCTCGAGCGGGGAGAGCAGCACATGGCCCCACTGAGGGCCGCCGACATACTCGATGAAGTTGCCGAGCTCCTCGCTCAGGGCCACAAGGACCTCGTCTTCGTCCTCGACTGACTCTGCAGGCGCGAGAAGGGTTAGCGAACGATGGGGGGCGTGCGAGTGCGTGCAGGACGGGAAGATGGCTGACCATCGAGGAAGGGGATCAGCTCGTCTCGGGTGCGCTCGGCGCCCAAAGCGAGGGCAATGGTCGACAAGCGGTGGATAGCGTTGAGACGGAGCAGGACATCGTCGTGCTGGCAAAGACAAAAACGAGGTTAACGATCAGGGCAGGCTGGGCAGGCGGGGCGCGGCAGGACCCAACAGCTGGGCCCTGAGCGCCCGAGTACTGTGGTTCGGCGATTACCTTCAATTCGTCGATCAGCACGGCGATGGGGTAAAGCTCGTCGTTGGCATTCGCGTCAGCCATGGCGGGCGAGTCGGCGACTGGCGGCAGCGAGGCGGGCGCGGAGATGTTGTCGGGGAAGACGAGGTTGACGGGGTTGATGGGAAGGTTGACGAAGGGGGGGTGTCGATGGCCGTCGGTGGTCGCAGAAATGGTCGGACTTGGTCTTGTCGTCGTACAGGGACGATGGGGAGCTCTGTGGAATTTTTTGGCTGACGCTGGGCAGAGCGGCTGGGGGGTTCCAGCTTGCAGGTTTCGCGCGGGACGGTGAGTGGTCGTGTGGTACGCGATGTGATGCAATGGGAAAGTGGGTGTCACAGTTGGCCGAGACAGATAACTGGAACCTGGAGGACCTGGAGGACAGGCGCTCTGGAGTCGCTGTGCTTGGGCTGAGGTACCCACTAAGGTGTCCTTAGCCTGGCGATCCCCGGGCCGCCAACTGGAACCTGGCAGTACGGCAGAATGCTTATTAGGCGAGTGGCAGCAGCCAGGCTGCGGGCTGCCGTACAGCACTGAGTGGGTTAAAGGACAGCACCAAGCAGCTCTGCACTAACTAAGGTGCAGTCGGGTCTTCAGGTGGGCTGTGGGTTGTTTGAATGGCCCTAGCGGGTTCGGACAGAGTAGCACCCCTAACCCTGTAGGCGTCCGGATATGATAGCCCGTACGCGCAAGCTGTTGCAAGCAAAGTGTATCAAAGACTTTGAGATATCCTCTTTTTAGTTAGGTTCTTAACAGCAGCAACAACACGTTTTAGTTAACGCACAAGCGACTATGTTTTTTTTTATTTCTTAGCTTGTCTGCTAACCGTGGAACACGTGGGTGATTACCCTTGTTGGTACTTAAGGCTTTGTGGAATGAAAGTTTACAAGGGGATAAGTGATGTTACCTACCAACCTACCTACAGGTACCTAACCTGCCTAGGTAGGAATATACTAAGTCAGGGTTTATTACAGCTATGGTAAAGCTACACAAGCTACACAGCTGCTGGAGATGAAGTGGAGAATGAACTTCAGAAGAAGCTCAGACTGAGCTCGACAAATTAGTGCATATGTAAAACCCAACATTAGCAGCCTGAATGACACCATTAGCCCAAGCTACCTATCCCTTTTCCCAGTCAACAGCAAGGCAGCAATTAAAGCGACGGCTTGACAATGGAACCCTAAACTTTCAGACCTGGAGAGGTTTGTAGTCCAGCGTCATGTCCCAGGCTCCCAGCCTGGGTGACCAGCCGCTTGGGATACGCGGGGCTGGTCAGGACTGGATAGCTGTAACGCATCTACGTATGTATGTAATTACAGTTCTTGGCGTGTTTGTGTCGAATTTCTTACCCGCCTATCATGGATAGTAACATCACAGAGGCATGTAAGTCGTCCAAGAGGCCCCGTCTCAGGTTGTCATCATCTTCAGCAATCAAGTAATTCCGCAAAACAGCGATTAAAATGAATACGCTGGCAATGCTCTGCGCAAGTAGTCATGCTGAAAAGAAAAGCGTACCAATCATGGACTCCAAGCCCTATCCATCTTGAGCCGTGGCCCCAATCCTCAAGTCGATTTATGAACCACTGAATGGAAAAGTCATCAGGCAGGCAGATAAGAAAACCATCGCTCATCCGCTCATATTGAATCCACATCATGACACCAAAGACACACCTCAACTCTAGCTCATCTCCTTCATCTCTTGCTCTTTGCTGCCTTCATCATCCGGCTTGTCGCTGCTACCACTTAGCTTCCCTGAGCTCGAGCTCCCAGTGCTACTCCCAAACACTCCTTTCCCGATTGCTAAAGAAGACAGTTTATCCTGCAATGCCCCTAGCGTAGCAGGAATGCCTCCCGTCGAAGCACTACGATTCAATGCAGACGACGTCCTAGTCTCCGGTGTAAGAGCTTCGTGGATGCTTTCCCTGCTAGCCAGCATCGACTTGCCTTGCGAGAGGCCTGCTGCCTGTTGTGGCTGAGGGCTTCTACGTGCAGGACTCGCTGAACTCCGAGAACCGGGCTCGGACGGGCTACTAAAGCTCGTGCTATCCGCGCTCAGGATTCCCGGCTCAGATAATGTTGCTTGGTAGGCCGCGACACGCTCCTGCGTTGCAATGGATGCGTTGATATCGCCATTCATTTCGTCATCGGTGCGGTTGAAGAGCTGATACCACCAGCGAATATCGTCCAACTTCGGGAAGATAATCCGCTCGCGCTCCTTTACATGGTCGTCGACAACAGGGTCGTATTTGTCGTTCGTGAACTCCTGACGCCGCGCCAGGAAATAGGACCATACACTGCGTGTGCGCTCACGCAGCTTGGCTTCACGACGCTGTCGCTCGTTATTACAGAGAAAGGTGCCATACTGGCATGAATACACGTGGTAGTACAGCCGCCGCAGGAAACGCTCATTGAACTCGAAGCGCGTGGGATGCTGCCGCAGGAGCTGGTAAGTGGCGTCCAGGAACTGATGGAAGATAGGGGAAACATCTCTGGGTTTGGTTGCTTGATCCTCACTGACGGGTGCCGTTCCTGCTTTGGCATCATCCAAAGCTGATGTATCGTCGGCATCGGTAGAAGTATCCTTGTCCTTTTCACCCCCAATGTTCTTATTCCAGAACCTCTTCGCGCCAGCCATAACGCTTCCCAGCGCATCTGTTCGCCCGTCACTCTCCCCGGGGCGTATGGCTGTTCCAGCCAGTGCATCGTTGTCCACTGTGAACCAGCTCTCGTGGCTCAAGTGGCCTGAGCGCAGCTGGAACATGTGTCCGAATGACAACCAGTCCTTCTCCACAAGCACAATGAAGCCCTCAATCGTCCTGTAATACGGGTCCAACATGAGTTGGGCCAGGGCGCTGAGCTGGCTTGTGCGATCCCAGCCATCGGAGCAGTGGATCAGAACATGTGAATGTTGGATACCAACCTGACGTGCGATAACAGCAGCACCGTCGAGGATGCCAGTAATATGCTTCAGCCACTTGCTCTTCGCCAGGAGCTCCTTGTTTGGTGGGAATGGAGACACATCAGCGTCTTTGATGGCGTTAATGACCTTTTCTAATGAGTCCCTCATGACATGGATATTGTCTATATTCAGGAACGACTTCTTTGCAAACTTGTAGTAATCCATGTTCTCCGACCCCATGCCTATCGCCTGCATGGCGTACGAGTTGATGGCTGGCCGGGCGTCGACAATCAAGTTGTGTTGCTGTGCACCGTAGATTAGCCGCTTACCCGTCTTCTCGTCATAGAAGGCGTTGACACCGGCTAGTTCTTCCTCCATCCGCATCCGTTCTGTCTCTGATAGAGACAGATCGTCCTCTGCATAGTCGGAACTCAAGTCGACATGGCTGGAAGCCGGACTACGGTCAGCATTGGTCGACTGGGTGCTGTCCAAATGCTCATTGGATGAGAAGCAAGCGGCAACAAGGCGCTCGTCCTGTATACTGCGCTTCATTCGGAGCCCCACGAAGGGCTGTGAGCTCCGTGTTATCGTGCAATTGTTTACAGGATGTAAGTAAGTAAGCACAGGGATCCGAGCCCGTGAGCGAAAGTTGGCCGCATACTTGAGTGTATTGTCCGAGATCTTGGACGGCACAACAAGCAGGGCCGGATAGGTTGGCGAGAAAGTGTAATCCTTGTTAATGGTAGATATCCTCCAGCCTATGTCGGCCGACTTTTCACTAATGCCTTGTCGGCGAAATTCGGCTCGGGCATCGTAGATGTCCCACCCATTGATTTTGTGCTCGGGTGAGCCTGGAGGAGGAGTGTAATGGAAGGCTAAAAGCTTCTCTATGCTGCCCAGTCGGCATGTTCTGGCCCGTACAAACTCGAACGCATCTCGAGCCTGTTTGTCGTCGGGGAAGTTGAATGTCACGAACGTAAAGTCCCTGAAACGTAGTCGTATTGACGAGGGAATGCCGCTCGAAGGAGGGGTCGGTCGCAGAGTGCAGTGGGCTATTAAGGGGTAGGCGAACCACACCTGCTTGACCTGTTTCTTCAAGCGCGAATCGGCAGCTATCCTCGACTCAGCGGGAAACTTGAAGATCATGTGAAAGTCGGTCAGGGCAAGGTCACCGGCCTCGGGCACGCCGCCTCGCAAGGCCTGCACATCACGAAACACCTGGGGCCGGTTTTAGCACAATCCAGCAACCCAGCTTGGAAAAAAAAACAAGCAACAGGCAGATAAGAGGCGTAGAGACATACATGTCTATGCTGTGGAGCTGACATGGCAACAGGCGCAAGGCGAAGTGTCGTAATCGCGGTTTTGGCGGTAGGAGAGACAGTTCGGGGACTAGGGTTAGATCATCGGCATCTGGAGAAGGAGAGGGTTGTAGAAGCTCCAAACGGGTATCTGGAGGCAGGAAAAGAATTACTAAAGACAGCAAGATGGTATAGCCAGCGCAGGCATGGAATGCTTGAACCCAGGCCTACGCTGGTACCCCCCGCACCTTCTGTCCAGAGATTGCACTCCGGAATCCAGATGCTGTGGCGGACAGCCCAGCCAGTTGGTAGAACTCAAAAGTTATGTCTTCCCAGCTTCTGTGTGTGTAATGATGTAACCGAAAAGTGAAACCTGTACGGAGAACCCGCTATGGTATCGCTGCCATTACCAAAATCGGGGGCCTGCCAACATCAGCTTCGCAGTTGCCTTGTTGCCGGCAGTCCAAGTTGGAAGTGTCGGCGGTCGCTGTGCCAGAAGACAAAGCTTGCCAGGAAGGATGGCGCTGTGTTTGACGTCGGCAAGGCCCCACCAAAGCACGGGCCCCACGACACCGCAAGCCTCCAGTGGCTGGCCAAGGTTGCTGCAGACACCCCCACCAAGGCTCTGCCAAACCCCACACCCCTCCACAAAACTTTGTGGTGGGCTATGATTGGCTGCTGTAAACCCTACTCCACTTCACACTCGGAACGGCAAAGACAGCCCACCAAGAATTCGCAAAAAGCAGTGTGCAGGTCGAATTTCCCTCCGCTGAAAAAAAGTCGGCTGAACAACCGCGAGACGGCAACCCCTCAACCTCCTGCAACCATTGAAGTTTTGAGGAGACTCATCGCCAAACCGCAATCATGGCTGTTCCCGGCACTCAGATGTAAGTCTCTAAAATTCGGTCACTGGGCAGTTATTTTGGCTATTGAGAGTGTGTGGTTTTGGCGTTGGTGGGAAGCTGCCGGAAGTTGCGTGTGGGATGTGGTTGGCGATGTTAAGGGAGGGGGGGAGGGGGGACATTGTTGGATCGAAGTCGTTATGAGAATCTGAGAGGCCGCAAAAATCGAGAATTTCAGAGCTGACGCGTCTGTTTTTTGTCTGCAGCTCCAAGAAGAGGAAGTTCGTCGCCGACGGCGTTTTCTACGCTGAGCTGAACGAGTTCTTCCAGCGCGAGCTGGCTGAGGAGGGCTACTCCGGCGTCGAGGTCCGCGTTACTCCAACCGTCACCGATATCATCATTCGCGCCACCCACACCCAGGAGGTCCTTGGCGAGCAGGGCCGCCGCATCCGCGAGCTCACCAGTCTCATCCAGAAGCGCTTTAAGTTCCCCGAGAACTCCGTCTCCCTCTATGCCGCCAAGGTTCAGAACCGCGGTCTCTCGGCTGTCGCCCAGTGCGAGTCGCTGCGCTACAAGCTCCTGAATGGTCTGGCCGTCCGCCGTGCCTGCTACGGCGTTCTCCGCTTCATCATGGAGAGCGGTGCCAAGGGTTGCGAGGTTGTCGTCTCCGGCAAGCTTCGCGCTGCCCGCGCCAAGTCCATGAAGTTCACTGACGGCTTCATGATCCACTCTGGCCAGCCAGCTCGTGAGTTCATCGACACTGCCACCCGTCACGTCCTGCTCCGTCAGGGTGTGCTCGGTATCAAGGTCAAGATCATGCGCGGCAGCGACCCTGATGGCAAGTCCGGCCCCCAGAAGACTCTTCCTGATGTCGTCACTGTCATTGAGCCTAAGGAGGAGACCCCGGTTGTTCAGCCCATGAGCCAGGACTATGGCGCTAAAGCCGCTGCCGCTGCTGCGGCCCAGGAGGAGCCGGTCGAGGAGGAGGCTGCCCCCGCGGAGCAATAGGAGAGCTATCAGAACGGCTGTGCGGATCTCCCTTCTTCCACCGAGCCCCTGCCTGCCAATGATGGTTGGTAAAGGAGAGGGGCATCAGGCCTGGACCGGGAGGGTTTCTCCCGTTGAGCGCGCCACACGCTCAAAGGGTATGGTTGCGGATGGATGGGTCACTCGGCGTCAACTTTGAGCATTTGCATTTGAGTCTGCGCATCGGGAAAAATGGTCGGAATCTTGCTTGGGAGGGTGGATTTGTAACTATCCAGGCAAAACCCATGGACAGGGAGTTTACGTCAAGACGATCCTGAAGTCACCTGTGGCGAAATACCCCTCAACTCAATACCTCTTGTGCTTGTTGGCTAGTATGGTGAGAGCGTGATGCGGTGGCCTTGCCTGTTACATATTAGATTGTCAGAGTCTGAACATCATAACAGGTAAGACTGAGCGAAGCGAAGACGACGTATTTACCATGCAGAGTATGGGAGACACCATGGCAGCCTAACCATCAAAAACACACTATCTGTGTCAAGAGGCACCAAGAGGCACCAAGACATCAAAACCGCCTTCCGTTTTAGGTGTTGTCATGACTCTCTTTTGTCCTACATACCCATATCTGGCCTTCATTCCTGTTTCATCCATTCGTACATCCATCCATCCGTTCCCAACCAGGTCCTACCAAAACCTTCGAGGTTGCTCAACAGTGAAGAAACAAAGCCTTTCCGATAGGCCTGTCTAAGGAGACAACTGTCAAATGCCCGAAAACGAACCAAAGAATAAACTCCTATTATTACCCCTCCCTTTCTCCCTTCTGGTCAACCACCCAGCCGACCATTCCTCCCAACTGTTAAAAAACCCACGGGAACAAAAAATAGACAGAGAAGGCAGAGCAAAGATCTAGAGGAAAAAAGAGGTGAAAAATATACACATATGGCATCAAAAGGCCTCGTGGCGAGGGACGAAAGTGGAAATGACGCCTGCTTTTGAATAAGTCTCGGGATGTGTTTCGCTGTGTTGTTCCCTTCCTGTTGTATCTTTGTTTGTCCCAGCCAGTACCCAAGGGAGAGAGGAAAAGTCAAAAGAACAACAGAATACCGCCACAAGGAAACGGAATGCAAGTCCGCATATTGTACAAGCGAGCAAACAGCCCCTGACGTTCTGCTCAGAAGGGAGGCAAGGAAATGAGAAACAGGGGCATAGGGATGAATCGGGGAAAAAAAAATAACAAGGCATAACGATGCTGAAAAAAAAGAGCCTGTCATCATCGTCACTTCTCCCCCGACTTCTTCCCCTGCTGCAACTCTATCGCCCCATCCTGCCCACTCTTCATGTTCAACCTCGATGTGCTGCCATTCGGCCTATGGTGCGACCAATGGCCATTCCCCTGATGTGACTGCCCAATCATGGGCGAGCGGGGATCATCCTCTTCGTCCGTCTCCTCTGCCAAATCCGCCAGCCCAACTTCTTCATCATAAGCACGCATCAGCCCCTCCCGATCACCCGACCGCAGACTCCCAATGCTCATGCGATGCGATTGTGAGCGGCGTGCCTCCATGCTCATGCGTGTCTGGATGCTGGAGACCATGTCGGTGCCGGTGATGTCGCCGGTGGCACGGCGGGCGAGGGACTTGGTCCCGTCCGGGTCGGTGCGGCTCAAGTTGAGGAGGTAGACGCCGGTGAAGGTGACGAGGAAGCCGCAGATGAGGGAGAGAATACTGACGGTGTCGGTGGTGTTGAAGCCTTGGAAGAGAATGAAGGAGGCGCAGAGGGTCGCGGTGGTGAAGGTTACGTAGTAGAGAGGGTTGACACTGGAGAAGTTAGTGCCCGTTTGTCTTCTCAGGGATGTGTTGCAGGTAGAAGCTTACATGTTTGTGGGGAACTGGCTAAGGGCCTTGTTGAAGTAGTTCATTTGGGTCAAAATACAGACGCCAGTGACAATCATAAAGACGTAGGTCGATGGATGCGTGAATTGGTTGTTGCCGCCGAAGGTCAACTTCAGGGCAATGCCAAAGGCCTTGACTGACATGACGGAAATGGAGCCGACGGTCGAGCAGATGCTGAGGTAGATCAAGGGGTTCTTCTTCCCGTAGACAGGAGCAACCTTGTAGATCATGACGGTAGCGAAGATACAAACAGCGATGGTATAGATGAGGAATCCTGGGATAGGTGTGAGCAACAACCTCATACATATCTAACCGTTCAAGTAGGAACACACCTGGCTGGATCGCATAGTGCAAAATCTCATCGATCGTCTCAATCTCCTTGTCTGGGGGCGCATGCAAGACGATAATGACAGCGCCTATCAAGCAAATGGCACTTCCCAGCTTTCCTAGCGTACCGAGCTCCTCTCCAAGGAAGTAAGCGCCCAGGATGGCCCCTATCAAGACGGACAGCGCGCCGAGGGGGGTGACAAGGATGGCGGGCGCGAAGGCGTATGCGGCAAAATTAAAGACCTCGCCGAGCACCAAGCAGACAATGCCCGCCCACCACAAGGGGCTGCGCAGGTAGACGAATCCCTCGCCCTCAAAGCCATGCCGTTGCTCAGCATGCATTAAACCCTAAGAGGAAGCGTTAGTATACTTGTCTGGCAGCTCGAGGAAATTCCAAACGCCAGATTGCGTATTGCTTGTTGTCAACTTCGGAGTAAGAGATTCTTCCGTACTTTCTTAGTAATGACGAAGCTAGTGCCTGTAAACGAAGCTCAGTCAGCAACTGGATGTTCTTCGCCTTTCTCCTCGAGAGCCAAGTATGACGCACCAATGGCCAAGCTGGAGCTCATGGCCAGAGCCAGACCAATGTATCTGTCAACAGAGAGCTTTTGTCAACCAACCCTGCACTATATATATCCCTGGCATAGATGCTGCGCGACAGAGTGCGACAAGATACGGGGCACTGCGTCCAAGGGAAGCCCGGGGTACTCATACTTGTCTTCGATCATGTTGTCGGCTAGAATCATGTCAAGAGGGGCAGCAAGTGAGTATTGGGGCGAGGAAAGCGCGCTCCGTGACTCGAAGAAGGCTGACGATTGTCCTTGGAGAGAGGGCAGTCCGTAGGACCTAGATGGATGAGGAACGAGCGAGGGGGAGACAGGGAGGCAATGACGACTCGCGCCGGGCGAGGCTGGGGGAAGAGATGGGCGGGGAGAGAATCGGCGAGGCTGTTTTTAAGGACACATCCGAGTGCGAACTAAGTATCGGACAACTGATCTTTTTCGCGGCTATGGTAGCTTCTGGTTTGCCTGCGTTGTTTGTTTGGTTGTTTGTTTGTGTGTGTGTGTGTGTGTGTGTGCGTCGACTGGTGTCTTCGTCGTTGCGTTGTTCGTTGCTTCGTCACGAAATTGGAGCTCAAGAGCAACCAATTTTGAATGGGATACTACAAGAATTGTTGCGCGTGGGCTCGGATTAACTCTAGTCCTCCGTTTGCAGATCACTGAGATACTTGGGGTTCGTTCGCTCGTTTATTTTTGATCGATTGTTCACATCCAGGCGAAGAGGCCGGGGCTCCGCAAATCGATCGGTTCGAGAGCGTTTCGTCGTTGTCGTCGGCTCCAAGAGAAAGGACCCCTCACCCAAAGGAAAAATGGAACCGCCGGGTTTCCCGTTAAGGCCAGCTGGCGTTGGACAGAGAAGATGAGGATGGCGAGAGGCTTATGATGCGCCTGAAAACACTAACACAGGGGGATGTTTGCGAAGGAAACAGTTATGTATGGCATACCGGTAGTGTGCGCACGCAGTGTAGCAGGTACAGATAGTGTAGTTGTAAGTTGTTGGGACTGAGGCCCCTTGCGCGGGCTGCTGCTGTGCTTGGGTGGTGTGAGGGCGAGTCTGGGGACCAGTGGTTTCATGAACCACGAGTAACCCCTGCCTGGCGCCCAAAGTCTCCAAAAGAAACCCCTGCTTGGCCTGCGGCGGGCCCTGGCCCAACGCCAAGCAGCCGAAGCCCAGCAGCCCAGAAACAGAAAATTAGTAGGGGCGGCCGCTCTCCACCAGCAGACACTTGGCTGCAATTGGCCACAACCAGTGGGTTGTCAGCTACAGTCGATTCACTGTGTTGCAACGAGATCTTTGGGCGAAAGATTCGACAGTTTCAAACGATCACGACGGGGATCTGTCACCCCCTGGGCCCCCTTGAGCAAGTCACAAAACTCCATACAGTCACCTGGTACAGCGCACGGAGTGGTATTGAAGATCTACGAAAGCTATAGTTACAGAAATTGCGCAACTATATGCATACCCTAATCTTTCTAAACAACCAAGTCTTTCAGATCTGCAAAACAGAGAGATCTGTCCCGATGCCCGGAGCTGAAACTCGGGCGCGGCTTTCGCCTCGCGCTTTTCTAAGCTCCCCGTGGGCCCTGGACGGCTTCTCGGCTTCCACTCAGGTCCAACAAACTCACGACATCCGCTGTCTCCTTGTGTGTAAGATCTTGCCATGCCGCCACACCCATAAAGTCAAAGGTGGGACACCAGGGGCGCCAGGTCTACCAGCTTTTCAGATCGAACTCGTAATGACATGTTGAAGTTTATCAGATAATATGCTGTAGGTAGATATAGTGAATGCTTTTCTCACCAAACCTGTATCTGTCAACTGGTAGTCAAGGCTGTTGCTTTCGCGCCAATCCGTTGGTGATATTTGACCAACTGCCCCTGGAGAACGCAGATACGGGCATATCTCATGCAGGGTTCTTTCCCTTCAGCCGCTTATTAATCAGCAGACCTCATTCAAGTTCTTTACAATTATATTACTAGGTTGTTGTTGGAAAGACACCACATGTTAAACATCAAGCAGTTCGGAACAACCAAATGTTGCTTGCAATTTTTTCGCAATCCCGGCTAGCTTACAACACCCGCTCCAAAACCAGAATCAAGAGCGAAGGTACAGTTCCCATCTATCAGATAAGTACTGGAAGGGGGGGGCGGGGGAGGGACGAAGAGGCCGCAAAAAAAAGAAAGACAGAATCCCGAGACTGTCCAAGACAGCTCAAGGGAGAAAAAAAGAACAAAAAAATTTAAATATGTAACTAAAACGTTTTTTTTTAAAAAAAACTTGCATCCCCATCACCAAACCTATCACCCATTGGTCCATGCCTGGTATCCCCTTTTCCATGACGAGCGCTGCAAGAGCAGAACCCTCATCAACTGAGCCCCATAGTATGAACCAGTCCCGGTAGAGTCATAAACCATCCACCAATTTGTCCGTCCTATCATCATCAGAGAGTGTAACATGCCGAATCCAATGTTACTGTCGCCATTTGTCTGGTTAAGAAAGGGCTAGATTCAAACCAGCTCTCAGAGCCACCAAACGAACCCAGGCCACGAAAGGCAGGGCATAGCAAATCAGTAACAGTCACAGATTGTCATGAAGCAAGCTCTCTCACTCAGTCTCGCGGACCAGCCGAGACTCGTGGCCCAGCTTCGACTCCGGGAAGGGGAAGTAAAAGAGAAAACACAAGATAGGAGGACCAATCCATCCCAACCCCATGTTATCGTCCAGTTTTTATGCCCAAACGCCAACTCCAGAGATGCAAAAGGGAAAAGAACAGCAAAGGGGGAAGCCGAGTAATGATCCTACATGTGGGTAATACGGGCAAGTGCCGTAACGCTCATCTCATCAAAATATGCCTGCCGAGGTTGTGTCCGCGCAAAACAACTCAACCCGAATGATACCCTATAACTCTGATCGAAGATGCTGTACGTCCTGGGACATCGCCGATTCAAACTCTTGAACAACTCCAAGAGTCAAACGGCCCGAAGTCTTAAAGACTTGGCAGGAAAGGGCTGAGACGTTGAACATGAGGGCCGAGTGCTGCTCCTGTTTCCTTCCTGTCATTGCCGTGGATTTTAAACTTACCTACCTTCACGGTTCTCGGGGCGAGTGCTGTATGTTCGTATTGTGTGCCGGACTTTCGGGCAGTCGTGTTGTCGAAACATTACCTGTTAATGTCGCCGGATGTGGAAGAAATGTTGGGGATGATAAGGATGGGACAAGGGAAACAGCGTCCTGTTTGCTGCGGTTGAACTACAACCGAGGCTGGGACCGTTTGCGGGGAAGGTGTGTAGGTGCATATGTAGGGCTGTTATGTCGAATCTGGCGCCAAAGTCCGACGACGCTTGTGGTCTGGGTGAGGTGTAACCCGTCAGTACTGGCGCGCCCGCTTCAGGGGAGGGCTCGCAGGCATACCGGTCTCGTCGGCCAGACCCTCTTCTTCGTTAGCTCTCTGGCGTTTACCGGCGAAGCTTCCGGGAGTCAAGTCAACCCCCTTAGCATCGTATCCGACGGCTTCATCTGTGCCCTCTACTTGTTCCTCCTCATCTTCGTCTTCTTCACTATCGTTCTCCCAATCAATTTCACCATGCGGCTCTTCATCATTGTCGTCTGCCAATTGGTGAGCAGACGCGTCTTCTTCAGGCTTGCGAGACTCTTCAGCCGCTTCGTCTTCATAGCCGATTTGATCATCGTCGAGGGTTGTGCTAGTTGAAACAGAGATATCCTCCATAGCGGCAGCAGGTTGCTCCCCATGCTGATCGAAAGGATGGTGCCGCGCTGTGTTCTGTTGGTAATTTTCTGCGTTGACCGCTGCCTCGTAGACACTGCTATGCTGTTCATGCTCGTACTCTTCCTGAATTACAGACAGCATGGGCTCTTCATCGACAGCAAGTTCGATATCATCGGCTTCGAAGGCAGATCTGTTAGCATCTGTGTCCCTGGATAAGGCCATGCTGATTTCACTCATATTCGACAACACCGACGAGCCGGACTCGAGAGAGTCGCACCGGCTGTGAGAGCGGCGGCTTGCCAGCCTTAAATAACTCAGCCTACCCACTGGTCTCTGTGCCGGCCACGGCTGATTGTTGAACACCATATTGGGAAGAAAATAGTGATGGGGCTCGCTAGAGTCCACATCGGTTTCAATGAGCGGCAGCTCGGGCTTCCGGTCCGCCACTCCTGTTTGGACAGATGCCGTAACATTCTGTCCAACTTTATCTTCCTGTGAGGGGCTAGAAGGGATATCGGTGCAGTCATCGGCATAGTCGGTGTCCCAGTCACCGTCCAGATCAGATAAGGGGTCAAGGAAAGCAGGGTCCTCTTTACCATTTGGTCCTAGTTGCTGGTCGTACTGACCAAGCTCATCATGCACAGCATTGTGATCTGCTGCTTCGAGTTCAGCATACCGATCATGTGCATCGTCGGCCTCTTCATGAGCGGTTTCCATTTCAGGCGGCTGTTGCTGTTCATGGTCTGTTGAAAGGGCGGTATCATCGTGGGGTGGCATATTGTGCTCAGCTTCACCTTTCACCTCTTCGTGCCACTCGTGAGCCTGACGATCTTCATTCCCCACAATCTCCTCAGGGTCTTGCCCCTCATGCTCCTCATGCTCCTCGTATTCTTCACGCTCCTCACACTCCTCTTCCCCTCCATGTTCAGGATACTGCTCCTCAAGGTACTCTTGCTCGTCGCCTGCTGCGGTTTCAGTTTCATAGGAATCCTTTGCAGGCTTAGTGGGAGCTTCCGGGGCCTCAACGTAGTCATGAATCTTGTAATCAGCTTCGTGGGCTTCCGTTTCTTTAGCTGGAGCGGCAGGCACTTTGGACTCATCATGAGTCTTCATATGACGCATGTCTGTCCGGTCATTCCCAGCAGTAGCTTGACAATGAGTCTCATCGCGCTCCTCGGGATACTCGCTCTCCGGAGACTCCTGCTCAGACTGTTCAACGGCCGAGAGCTCGGCGGTCACGGCTTCTTCAGGACTCATTGACGAGTCTTGATCTGAGTATTCAAGGAGCCCAGCATCAGCAAGCAGCTCAACAAAATGCTCCTCACTGTCCCTCCGCACCATCAAGTAGATGACAGGCTCTGAAGAGATAGACGGATCCTTGGATACAAGGGCACGGTGGCAATCCAGAATCTCGCGGAAGGTACGCTGGAGGAACTTTTCGTTGGACCGCTCGCCGAACTCAAGACCCAGAGGCTCAAAACCTATGACAACCTCATCGGTTACAGAAATCTCGTTGGAAATGACAGTGCGAAGCGCGGCAAGGAACTCTGACAGAGGCAGATCCAGCTCCTTAGGATCGGACAGGAAATAGGTTTCTGGGTCGTCATCAGGGTGGCCAAACAACGAGTAGCAGGCGTCGTTGTAGATAACTTCAATGTCCGGCAGCTCAGCAATAGATTCGGCAAGGTCTTCCATGGCCTTATCAATATCATCAATACTGTAGTGCCTCTTCTCGTGGACGCCAGCCGGCTCATCGTCATCATCTGGACAAGCACCCGCGTTTTCCTTCTCGGTATCGTCAGAGTGCTCTTGTGCTTCGGCAATCTCGTCATGATCCTCAGGATTACGGGTTTCGCCTGCTGCTTGATTCTCCTGGCAGCTCTCCTCATCAGCTAATTCATAGTGCTCTTCTTTCTCTTCATAGTACTCTTCATGATCTTCGTCATAGGACTGGTGATGATCTTCATTACGCCCTCCATCGAACTCTTGTGTCGGCTGAGCAGCCTGGACATGATCCTCTAAGGACGCAGCGTCCGCTACAGCGGCATCTGTAGAGACAACATCGAGATGGACGTCCGCGACTTCAACATATTCCTCTTCATATCCGATCTCATCTTGATAGTCTTGACTGACGGTCAGATAAACATCCTCCTGAGAAACTTCAGTCTCCGACGGGTTGCTCTTGGGCTGAGGTTCCGCATCCCTTTGGCCGTCGTCAATGGCAGAACTCGAAGCGTCCAGGTCAATGGCGTGCTCGTTTTCAACGACTGCATTATCTTGGCCGGTTGTGGTGGCCACTCCAACGTCAAGTTCAACGCCATCGCCACCGACGTCGGCATTAGATGGGAGCTCATAGGAAATGTCGTAATCCAGTTGATCGGGAACTGTTTGTTCCACGGCCAATCCCATCATATTCATGGCTGTAACCGATTCAGATGTGGATGGTCAGAACCGGAGTAGAGTAGTCGGGACAACGGTATCGCTTGCAAGAATCTTTGATAGGGGGATAGTGCTACCGAACAAACACTCGCATTATTTGGTGAAGGGAAAGCTTGACTGTGAAGTCGGTCTCGAGTAATACTGATGGCAAGGAGACCGATAAAGAGCGTAGAGTTAGAGGGGGAAACCAAATGGGGGAGAAAATGGTTGCGGTATGTCGGTGGGTGTTCTTGTGCCTTGTGAAGGTTTACGTCAAGAAAATGTCAATGGGAGATTAGGACACGTGCTGTTTTGAGGGACCGAGCAAAGGTCCGAAGACAACCCAGATGATTGTGGCTGTTGTCGATGAGGGTATTGAGGAAGGTTGCTGGAAGGAAAAAGCTAAGGTGGGAGATGAGTAAGAAAGACGTCGAAGACGTTGGGCGTCAATGTGAAATGAACCCAACAACGAAGATGGGTTGTTTGCGAATGGTTATGGCGGGGTATTAAAGTCGTAGACGCCGTGTTTCTTTCCACGATGATGTTGGAAAAAAACAAGGGAGGTGGGAAAAAATGATGTCGTTTGGCTGTTGCAAATGACCGTGACCAGGTTGCAGGCCGACACGCTAATGCTGCAAATGAAGGTTACCGCATGCGGGTGTGGATCAGATGGCCCATGAGCACGGATCACCGCGCGTTGCGGCGTTGATTTGCTGGAGCCTACCATTTGCTGAGTGGGGAGGGGAATGATGATTGATTTTCCACAATTCTTGGCATTCTTGGCAGGAAGTTCCAGCCTGGACTCGCAACTCCCGCAGCCCCTGCCAGCTGGCAGCCCCTCGCCAAGCTCTCGGGGGTCGAGCCAGAACGACCACAGTGTACAGACCAAATCCAGTTCAATTACACACGCCTACACAACCTCCTTGCAGCACTGGGAAAGGAGTTGACTTCGGAGCTTTCTCGACTGCAACCCCTGTCCCGCCCATACAAAATAATACTTCTTCCCTCTACGTCAACAGTCAAGATGGTAATGCTCCTCTCCAGTCTCCCGCCCCTTTCCCGGAGGCTCTGTGGCAGCAGGACGGAAACAGAACAGTCGCGCTGACGACACATATGATGATGATATTAGGTTGTGCTCGCTGCGTCCATCTGCACCCGTGGCGGCAAGGCCGTCCTTGCACGGGCTTTCCACGACATCAAGCGGTCGCGCGTCGAGGCGTTGTTGGCATCGTTCCCCAAGGCGGCGAACTCGGGGACGCAGCACACGACAGTCGAGCAGGACAACGTTCGCTTCGTCTACCAGCCGCTCGACGAGCTGTACATGGTGCTCATTACCAACAAGCAATCGAACATTCTGCAGGACATAGACACCCTGCACCTGTTCGCCCAGGTTGTCACGAACACATGCCGGACGCTGGAGGAGCGGGAGATCCTACGTAACGCCTACGAGCTAATCAGTGCCTTCGACGAGATCATCAACCTCGGGTATCGGGAGAACCTGACTATCAACCAGATCAAAACCTTCTTGGAGATGGAGAGTCATGAGGAGCGGATCCAGGAGATCATCGCTCGGGTGCGTATCGACAGGAGAAGAAGTGATCGAAGAAAGACGGCTGCTGACTGTCCCACAGAACAAGGAACTGGAGGCCACCGAAGAGCGCAAGAGGAAAGCCAAGCAGCTCGAGATGCAGCGCAAGGAGGCCAGCCGTCTTGGGAGGACCGGAGGCATGGGCGGCGGCCGGCCGCCGGTCTATCCATCTTACACTCCTCCTGTGCGCCCTACTGTTACCGAGACGTATGATACATACGAAGCAGAAAAGAATAAGTCGAAGTGAGTGTGTCCCCAAGTTGCAGGGTCTGGGCGCAATGCTGACAACTGCATTGCTAGGTTTAATGCTCCCAAGACCAAGGGCATGCAGCTTGGCAAGAAGTCCAAGACCACGGATATGTTTGAACGTGTGAAGAGCGAGCTGGGTCCTGTAGAGGATACCCCTCTGGTCTCGGCAACCTCTGCTTCTGCTCCAGAACCGGCGCCGCGGGCGTCGACATCAGTAGACAGAGATGCCATTCACGTCACGATCAACGAAGCCATCACAGCAAAGATCTCACGGGATGGCGCAGTCAATTCATTCGTAGTCAGCGGCGACCTGGCGTTGCGGGTGTCGGATGCTTCCCTGACAAAGCTCCGTCTGAATCTAACAGCGCAGCCCACACACGGCGCCCAGTTCCGGACTCACCCTAACGTGGATAAGAATGCCTTCAACACTGGGCGGGCGATTCAGATGGCCAATCAAGCGCGCGGGTTCCCAGTCAACAATGCAGTCGGCGTACTGCGATGGCGGGCGGCGCCCAGGGCGGAAGACGCGGCGAGCCTGTTGCCCATCACGTTCACTGTGTGGGTCAACAAGGGATCGGAGGGCAACTGCACGGTGACGGTAGAGTACGAACTGACGGGCGGCGATGCGCTCAAAAATGTCAGCGTGGTGATCCCGTTCAGCAATGCCGAGCCATCGGTGTCGTCGTTTGATGCCGTGTATGAGATGTCGGGCAACAGCCTGGAATGGTCGATTGGCTCGGTCAGTGAGGACAACCCGAGCGGTGCCTTTGAGTTTGAGGCGCCGACGAGCGATGAGAATGAATTCTTCCCGATGCAGGTGCGCTTCGCGAAGACAACGCCGTTCGTGGAGGTTGATGTAGGTGTTCCTGCTTTAAGTGAGGCAAGAAGGGATGGTTTAACTAACATGCCACAGGTCGTCTCGGCTGAGCTCGTCGAGCTGAACGAGGAGGTGGCCTTCTCGAAGGAGATCAAGTCTGTTGCGGATTCCTACGTAATTGAGTAGATGGTATCACGATGGGACGATGGGTGTGATAATGAGGATATTCGATGCTTGTACTTGGTGCACGGCTTGCTAGAAGCGGTATGAAAATGGTTTATGCATCAGGCCAGGAATTTCTGTGATTGAATAGAGTAATATCATCCTCTACATGACTTGAAGGCAAGAAGGGTAAGTGAGAAAACTTCCAGATGTAGATGCCTGAGGTACCTCTGGGCACCTAGGCAGGTGTTCAGATCGGAATAAGGGTGAAGAGGTGAGCTAGAGAGAGAACAGTGCGAATATCTGTATATGTCACTGTGTCGAAAACACTCGAGTCTCATTTAGGGTCAGGCTCAACATCAACAGTAGTAAAACACAATATCAACACGGCAGGAGGCATCTTACTTCTTTTGGCACAGAAAGGTTAAGGGGAACGATGGAAACTCTATGAGCTGTAACGCCCGGGCTTTCGAGAAAAGTGGTAACCTGTATTGCCAGGGCTAACTTTCCATGCCTTTTGCAGACCAAAAGTGTTCGTTTGCAGGCCCAAAAATAATAATTCATCCACTCAGCTGGCTACAATCTCATCACTCAGCAACCATAACAATTCAAGCAAACAAACAACCAACATCACGACCAAAATGTCACAACCACTAACTCACCTCCGTCTGTTGAACACAACCTCTCTTCCCTCACCAATCACAGCATGTAGCAACTCAGAGCAAGAAAAGAACCCAAGACTTCTGATCGCTCTCAACCCAGCCATCGACTTGACAGCCACAGCCGGCACAAACGACAGTGCTGCTGGAGCAGTCGGCGGATCAGGGAACACGGTCCTACATGTATGGCGAGCAGGTGAGCCGGGGCAACTAGTCTCGCGCGTGGGCGAGAAGGGGAAGAAAGTTGAGGGGGGTGTAAGGTGGAAAGGGGATGGTATGTTGATTCTCCTGCCTTGTTCTGCCTCTGCGGAGGATTGAGTAAAGCTGACAGTCTCTCGTGCAGGACAATTCGTTGCAGCCGGCTGGAGCGATGGTGTCGTCAGGCTAATCGGCCTCGAAAGCAGCAAGGCGGTGCATCACATTCGCATCGGCGATGACAATACGTCTTCCTCGCCGGCAAAGATTGAGTTCATTGCATGGGTAAGGAATGTGACAGGCGAGGCAATAGAACGCAGAAAGCGTCGCCAGCAGGCTTCCAGCAGCAAGGGGGTGCCCAGCAAGTTGCCTGAGAGAACCATCCAGCTGGATAGAGATCATGTCAGCGATATTGTGCTGGACTTACCGCATGAGTTGACGTTTCTGGATATTGAGACGTCGTTGCCTAAGTTAAGCCCTTTGCCTGTGTCGGGGGGATCAGGGTAAGTATGTTTCTGATCTCTCTCTCTCT